AGGGCAGCGCAAGCGGGAGGAGCAAATAATCGGCTTGTTTTGTTTTTATAATCGTTCAAAACTCAGATCGTAATCGTGATTAAAATTCGATTAATTGAGCAGCCCTATCCTCAGGATCCACTGATTTCCTTCTTTCCTGTTCACACTCTCTTTCTAAACATTTTTTTAAATCACAGTTGCCAATTTTTGCTCATTTTAAATATATTTTTAAACATTTTCTAAATGCTTTTTTATATTTTTACATTTTTTTGCTTTTGTGAAGCGCCTCGTGATTTTTATCTTGAGAGGCGCTATAGAAATAATACTTTCTTCTTCTTCTTCTCACAACTCCTGTCTGCAATTGACCAATGAAAATACAGCCATGGAGTCACGCGAACAGCTCGTGATGAGAGTACAATACAGGGTTTTTCCTTGCTCAAATTGAGGCAGAGGTGGTACCATCCTGACCATGCGCCAGCACATGCATACTCTGTGCATTCAACTGCCTCACTTTTTAATGGCAAAATATTATAAAAGACTCAATAATGTGCATTAGATTGGTGTTTAGTTCCCTTTTTCCCATCTGATATTTATAGTTAAAAAAAATTAAAAATTTTGACCTACATTTCAGTAACATTTTAGGTTTGTATTAATAACACTTGTCTTAGTCAAAATAACACATAAGTATCTCCAGTAAAATATAATGCATTTCATTAACATGCATTTGTATTGGAAATGGTAATAACATTTAATTTCTGCTGCTAACAATCTAATGGTGGCATGTCTATTATGTACGGGTTGGCAATAATCCTGTTCAAATTATGCAAGATAGAAGCGTTTGTGAATTATATATTACAACGGCTTGTAGGGCTGGGCGATATGGCCTCAAATCTATATTGCGATATAGTCTGAAGCATGTGCGGTAACAATATATATTGCGATATATTTTTTCCTCTGTTTATATATGTCAAAATGACATGCTTTTAAATATCCTCATGTGGAAAATATATGCCACCTGAGGCATATAGTCCTCCTCCTCCGCCCACTCCATGCTTGCAGTCACTGCCATTCTGTTGTCCCAATGTCAGCAGGGTGCACCTCTTAGTGACGTGTGTTATCGCGGTATTGCGATATAGCCAAAAACTCTTATTACCCAATTTTATATCGTTTCTACCTTATATCGCTTATATTGCCCACCCCTAACGGCTTGCCATACTTCATGCGTCAGCAGTAATGTGACTCGTATCTGCAGCGGTTCTGATCCATAGCGCTGCAGGTGCAGAATAAACAGGATGGTGGGGACTTTTCATCCGCTTGTAGAGTTTAGTCATTCTTAGTTTTGCCATCATCATATATTTTTTGTGCGCAACTTGGTCGTGAGACTGCTACCCATTAGCCTTAGCATTAGCCAATCTGCGTATAGCTGCACTTTTGATCCCAAACTTTGGACCGGTTCTGCCTTTTTTTGGGGGGGGTACCCTAACGTGTCCTGCTAGAGCGAGATGTGCAGTTTAGCTCACAAACCTTGCACCGTACATTATGCCACCTCTAGAGTTCTCACAGCGGAGTGACCGGGCAGGGGTGTGTGGCTGAGGCAATGACGCCAATAAGGAGGCGTCGGACCATTCAACGATTTAAAGAGCAAGTCACCCCCTACCAGAGTCTAACTCCACTCCCACTTCATGTTTGAAAAATGCAACAAATGCCGTTGCCTGGCAGACCGAGAAGGCGGAGCTGCTAACAAATACACACACTCACGACATTGTGACATCATAATGTACCAGTTTACATCATAGCATACCTCTTAGCCAATAGCGGTGGCAGATTTAAATTAAAATACAGTGCAGAGTTTTTACCTGACAACGGCACAACACTGACAGTTTTAGGCAGAATATTTAAATTTCAACTAAGATGCACTGAAGTAGGGCTGCAGCTATCGAATATTTTTGTAATCGAGTACTCTATCGAATCTTTTTTTCGATTAATCGAGTACTCTAATAAATTACTCTTTTGTGTTTGTAAACCATTATATCATATATTGATGAGCCAAGATGGCGCCGAGTATGGCTGCCTCGTCGCGAGCTCCACCAAGTTCCAACATTACACGCTCCATACTGTACATTAATGCCACTGTTTTGCACATACCAACCTCTGTACATTTTATATCTCTTATCTTATTGTTTACTTTATTCATTTGTATACTTAGATTAGCCATTTTTATATTTTAATTGTTTTTACATTTCTGTATTTTTGCACAACTCTGTTGCTGTGAAGCTCGCACACAAGAATTTCACTCGCATGTACTGTACCAGTGTACCTGCACATGTGACGTGACAATAAAAGTGATTTGATTTGATATCAAATAGCATGTTATAATTATGAATGACCTCTTGAAATGAGAAAGCAATTGCCAGTTATTCTTCAAGTTTTATTCAAAATTAGTTTGCATAACTTCAGCACTTCAACTTTACTTCACAGTAAACAAATGCCTGTGCAAAAAATAAGTAAACAACCTGAGCCGATTTTCACCTCGTGTGAGAATCTGCTCGCCTGCAAACCAGACAAAAACTAGGAGGATAACGCTACGAGCGGCTGCGGCCCAAACAGAACCAGAACCGCTCACGGCGCAAACAGCTCGCCGGCTGTTTCCCTATTAACACACGTCCGTTTTAATTTCTACACTTTTTTTTCTCACACTAACAAGGATTGTCGAGAAAGCATGTTTGCTGTGGTTTTGTCAAATTATACTGATCACAAAACATTTATTTACTTTCTTTCGTTTTCCTCCGCCACTCATAAATACCCGTGTCCTCCTGCAGAAACCCCGAGGGACAACAGACGTCAATAACACAATAAAAAGTCCGACGTGTTGTGTAAAAACCGCTATTTTTAGCACATTTTAAGTCCGACGTGTTGCTACCAGACGTACGGTGTGAGCTGAAACTGAGCGCTACAAACGAAAAAGTCGCACAGTGTCCGCAGAATATATAGAAATACAGGCTAAAAAGCATTATCTTGTAGAGGCTCCGAGTTCCCTTGCAGAAGTGACATTTACAGGTGCTGCAGCACGGAGGATGTGGTGTTGTGGTAGGCTAAATCCATGTTGTTACAGTATTTATACTGGACTACGTTTTCCGCCTTACGACGTGAAAAATAGTCCCACACCTTTGACATTTTCTGTCTTTTTCTCACTCCACCAGGGTACAAGTTGTCCGCCATGGCTTAAGAGATTACTCGCGTGTGCATTCAGTCCAGTGGGCATGTGCGTCACTTATTTCGGTCCGGGTGAAACATGACCCCGTGCGTTTGCAAAGCCATGAATTAATTAAATATGAATTAAACGAATCCTCGAGGCAGAGAATTTGACTCGAGGATTTTTTGTACTCGAATTATTCGAGGTACTCGAGGAATCGTTTCAGCTCTACACTGAAGTGCCAAATTATTGACGACACGTGTCTGCAGCACCATTAGACACTCGTTTATTTAGTTTATCAGCAAAAAAATGTTTATTTGGGGGTGACTTGCTCTTTAAAAACCAATAAAAGAATCCTAAAACGAATCCTTACATCAATGGGCAGCCAGTGAAGGGCTGCCAGGACAGGGGTAATGTGGTTGTACTTACGCTTGCCCCCTAAGAATCTGGTAAAAGCATTCTGTACCGTTTGCAGCCTGGATATTGAACCCTTGCTCACACCAAAGAAAACTGAACTGAACTAAAACAAACTCAAAACACACAAAAAAAGGGTATGTTGGGTACTTCTGGTCCTTTCTTCAGTCTAGTAGTGGTGGAAGTTGGCCACATGAGTGCCTGATTTATTTATTTCTTTTAATTGGCTTTTAAAAATGATTTTGGCCGACGTCCGATATAGAATAATTTTATGTATCTGTCGGTCTCTGCTGCTGCCTGTAAAATTGTCAACAGCACCGTCTTTTCCCCCTCATAAAAAAAAGATATTTTGCGACAAACACGGAACAGATTGAAGAATGCATCGAGGCTAAAGTCTGAAAAAATGAAAGTTTATTTGCTCGTGACTGAAGGAGTACCAAAAAAGTACAAATGCAGCAATCGTTTTATTTGTAGACGGAAAAGACAAGAGTTGTGAGTTTAGGGGTGCCGATCGCATGAAGAGGTGGATGGGGGACAAATTTGTTCCCGTTCAAAAAGTCTCTGAAACATGTGAAAACAATGTAAACACTATAATAAATACACTATCGTGGACGTGACTGTAATTGTGGCAGGATACCTCAGAATAGGGCTACGCCCTCTGTTGTCCTGGCGGAGAATTGTTTTGCAACAATCCCCAGCTGACGAAGTCCAGGAGCAAAACGTCTCGGTCAATGTGTGTGCGTCTTTCCAATGCGGAGCTGGCGGAGACGTATAAATTAGGCTTTAGCTGTCAACAAACTTAAACCCCACAAACGGGAGGAAGAGAGTCACTCTTTCTTTAGAAAAATGGTCTGCAGTACCCAGTTTGACCACAGGATGTCATTCTTTATTCTTGCATCATGCACTTTTAAAGGATGTTCATCCCACGATGTCTTTTGTAAAACCAACACTTAATTTCAGAACATCACGCCAACAGTCAGACACGGTGGTGTTGGTGTGATGGTCTGGGCCTACTTTGTTGCTTCAGGACCTTGAATGCTTGCCGTAATTGACGGAATAATGAATTCTGCTTATGAAACTGTAAAATCCTGCCAAAGTCTTACATGTGAGGCGTTAAAACATTCGATTTTGGCTGAACATGTTCTTTTAAATGGTTTAAAGTGGTAGTTAATGTGTTTCCTGTTAGTTGACCAATGGATTTAAACTACTTTAACTTCACCTGAAAATCAGAAGGATTTATGCTTGGAGTGCTCCAGGGATGAAAGCGCACAGTCGATTCTTTTTTCCTTATTCAACCTAATAGAGCAACAATTTGTACAAGAGACAAAAACAATAGCTCTTCATAATTTCTCATTTCTAAAGTCTTGTAAGGAGCCATGTCTTTGTGTAATTAGCAAAGTGTTTCTTTATCTAGCAGGAATTGCCAGTCAGCTCCCCAGAGCACCTGATTGGATTGGAGGCAGCAGAGAGGGATGTAAATGAGGGAGGTATGCGGTCAGAGAGTGAAGGAAGTGATTATGCACCTGGTAGAAAAAAGAAAAAACGCTCCAGCTCTGCCAAAGACAAGAAGAAAGGAGGAGGGGGAGGAGAGAAAGGAGGCTCAAAGAGCAAACGTAAAGATCCAGAACCGGATGATGACGACGATGATGACGACGATTGCCAGGTAAAGTTTCAGTTTTTTTTTAAATGTATGTTTCACTTTGTTACGGGGGACTAACTTTTCTCCGCCCACTGCCAACCCCCAGCCTAAAAGCTCCACGCAGCTGCTGGAGGCCTGGGGCATGAAAGACATTGACCACGTCTTTACTCAGGAAGACTACAGCTCCCTCACGAACTACAAGGCATTCAGTCAGTTTGTCAGGTGAGGAAACTCACTTTTTAGGATCATAAATGGCTAAATATATCCAAATAAAAAAAATATACAAAGCCACAATAAACCTGGTCTTATGTGTGTTTTAGGCCTTTAATTGCTGCAAAGAACCCCAAAATTCCTGTGTCCAAAATGATGACTTTAATGATGGCTAAATGGAGGGAATTCAGCACAAATAACCCACTCAAGGTGCCCCCCCCCCTCCCCCATTCAAACAAATACATTTGTTTTATGCTTTTTGTTCGTTTTTGTCCACAGAGTGCATAGCTTCTCACTCTGCTCCTGTCCTTTCAGGGTTGCGCCACTGCTAATGCAGCCTTGGCAGCTGCCAATGTGGCTGCAGCTGTGGAGAACATGGTGGTTGCAGGGACCGATGGAGGTGCAGAGACTCCTCCTGCTGCTCCTGCTCCAGTTCCTGCCGCCGCTGCAGCTCCTGCTCCAACACCAGCTGCACCTCCTGCTGCTCCAGCACCTCCGCTCCGCAAAGCCAAGACCAAAGAGGGAAAAGGTAAAGCTGGATGAACGTAATAAAAAATGGGATTTTACGTTTCAGTTCTGATTATTTAAAAATGCAGTTTTCAAACAAAATTGAGAATATATTGAATTTTGTTTTTTTATTTGTGTTCTAGGCCCAAATGCTCGCAAGAGGTCAAAGCCTGCGTCTAAACCTCCTGCTAAACAGAAACCCAAGAAGGTGGCTCCACTCAAAATCAAACTGGGAGGCCTCAACAGCAAGAGGAAGCGCTCATCTGTAAGATGTTTATTAATTTTTTTTTCTGTATACTGTCTCTCCAGCAGAGAAAATAAACAAAACTTCAAGTAGAAGCCGATTTTTAATTTTCATCTTTCCTGATCAGAGCGATGAAGATGAACCTGATGTCGACAGTGACTTCGATGACGGGAGTTTCTCTGTTTCTGATGGCTCCAACCGCAGCAGCCGTTCTAAGAAGAAATCTAAGAGTGCCAAGAAAAAGAAGAAAGGTCGGCTTTAAATTATCCCCAAAATCTAAACAAAAACAGATCAGCTGTGTGAACTTTCAAATTAGCTTCAAGAACAGAAGGCAGTAGACGGATTTCACAACTTCTGTCGTTGACGCTCTCTCTGTAAACCCCTCTGTCAGTGGAAACAGAAGATGGTGACGGGTATGAGACGGACCATCAGGACTACTGTGAGGTGTGCCAGCAGGGCGGGGAGATCATTTTGTGTGACACCTGCCCTCGAGCCTATCACATGGTCTGTCTGGACCCAGACATGGAGAAAGCACCTGAGGGCAAGTGGAGTTGCCCACACTGTGTGAGTGTCCTTAATAACCACCGGAATCCTGGAGCAGCAAGAGGGAAAAATGCAGTCGTCTTAGGATGTTGTGGTCTGGAAAGACTTTAATTTTAATCATTGTTTTGTATTAATTTCTCTTTGTTCTCTGCCCCACAAAACCTCTCTGCTCATGTTTTTTTTATATTTTATTCTCCTTCACACATCTCACCATGAAATTCCTCTTGTCACTCTCCCTCTCTCTGACTCCTCTCTCAAACACACACCCCCACCCACCCTCCCCTTTTTTTATTCTGTTCCACATACTTTTCCTGCCTGCCGCCCTCCCCCCCCCCTCCCCCATCACACACACACGTACCATCTTCTTCCTTCGCCTGTGATTCTGGCTCCAGGAGAAGGAGGGGATCCAGTGGGAGGCCAGGGATGATCTGTCCGAGGCCGAAGGGGAGGACGATGACGACAGGAGAGATGAAGGGTTGGAGGAGGAAGACGACCATCACATCGAGTTTTGCCGCGTGTGCAAGGACGGTGGAGAGTTGCTGTGTTGTGACACCTGCCCCTCCTCCTACCACATCCACTGCCTTAATCCTCCTCTCCCTGAGATCCCCAACGGGGAGTGGATCTGCCCCCGCTGCAAGGTGAGCGCTGTGATCTGCGCATGCTCACATGGGTTTGCTTCTAGACTGCCAAACACACGTTCTGCAGATGTGGAGCCCTTTTCCCTCATAATTCTCCAGAATTTGTTGTTTCTTAATATTTCAAATAAATGATGGCGCTCATGCAGTTTGTATTTTCTCAATTTCACCATGTGCAGTAAATGTCGGGTAACATTTATGAGCCATCGCTCCGTTTCAACAGTGTCCACCGATGAAGGGAAAAGTGCAGAAGGTTTTATTGTGGCGCTGGGGGGATCCACCAGCCCCCATGCCTGTCCCTCGGCCTCCTGACCTTCCTGCTGATGCTCCTGATCCTCCTCCTTTGGTGGGCCGCAGGGAGAGGGAGTTCTTTGTCAAATGGTGCAATATGTCCTACTGGCACTGCTCCTGGGTGCAGGAGCTACAGGTACTAAGATCTCCTCACTGGGACATGAATCTGCTTCTTCCAACAAATTTACTACCTACTGCCACTCTTCCCCAGTTGGAGCTGAACTGCCAGGTGATGTTTCGTAACTACCAGAGGAAGACCGACATGGACGATCCTCCTCCTGTAGACTTTGGAGGTGAGGGCGATGATGACAAAAGCACCAAGAGGAAGAACAAAGATCCCCTCTTTGTCCACATGGAGGAGGAGTTTTGCCGGTTTGGAGTCAAGCTGGAGTGGCTGATGATCCACCGCATCCTTAACCACAGGTGGGATACATGTTTGACATATGATGGTAAAAGTAGTAAAATGAGTCAGGAGAAACATACTGGATGTAAAATTATTCCACATTGATTGAATGAGGTATTCAGATTTATTTCTGCTCTGACTCTAAAGTTTCTGACTCAAAATGATCAAATTTAAAGCTTTAAAAAACCACAAAGAGCTAGTTTTTGATCAAACCCTGCCTTGTTTGTATGTTTTCTGCATCTAATTTTAGTGTTGATAAGAAGAACAATGTGCATTATCTAATAAAGTGGAGAGATCTGGCATATGACCAGTCCACCTGGGAGAGTGAAGACATGGACATTCCTGAGTATGACACATACAAGCAGATCTACTGGAATCACAGGTGATTCTGAACATTTTGGGATTTATTTATATTATGTGGGAATTCTGTTTCTCATTTATTTATTTATTTATGCTGTTAATTTTCTTTATTAGAGAGCTGATGACGGGGGAGGAGGGGAAACCTGGTAAGAAGCTTAAGAAGACCGTCAAAGTGAAAAAGGCAGAGCGGCCACCTGCTAACCCAGTTGTAGATGTGAGTGTTTTTATTTGGATGTAGAAAGTAAAGGTGTCCTAGAATTTAAAACAACATTTACCTTGTCGTTTATAGGCAGCTTGGGGTGTCTAATGTAGCATACCAAAACGTCTTTGCCGTCTTGCTTACTCATGTAACTTAGTGACGTTTTAATGGCCACAGAGGAACTGTTCATTCAGAGAAAAGCTGGTTTAACACATCATAAGCTCACGTTTGCAAGTCCCAACCAACTTCAACTCCAAAAACCTGTAAATGTTGGTCGTGGTAATGCTAACCGCAGAACAACGCTAGCTCGAGCTAATGCTAACGCTTACCTGAGTTTCTGCTAACATCCGCGCTGGACGAATGGAATTAAAGAGAACGTCGGAGCTCTTGTGTAATGTTCCAGGATGTACTGGGAATATCCAAACTTTCAATGAATGCCAGAAAGATCCATAGACTGTGTTGAGTTATCTGGATACTATTCACAGCTCTACAAAGACTTTCCAGCTTCAGGCAGAGCCATAGAGCCATCAGGATGAACCGACCAATCACAACGCAGCTCGTTTAATATTCACGTCCTGGCCGAGTGGGCCAGTCTTTCCATTGTAGAGCTTTATTATTGGGTTGCTTTTGGTCATCCTGGGCCATTGTGAACCCCAACATAGTTTAATATGCTATATAGAGGCTCAAAAAACTGTTTCCAGTTGTAATTAAAAAAAAAACAAAGTTGTTCTAGAACCCTTTTAATTATTGGTGATAAAACTTGGTTGAATAAAAGAAGAACATGTGAATTCTTACGTTTGTTTACTTTCTTGCAGCCCACCATAAAGTTTGATCGGCAGCCAGACTACCTGGACAGTACAGGAGGCACGCTGCATCCCTACCAGCTGGAGGGGCTGAACTGGCTGAGGTTTTCTTGGGCTCAGGCCACGGACACAATCCTGGCTGATGAGATGGGTTTGGGCAAGACTGTACAGACAGCTGTCTTCCTGTACTCGTTGTACAAGGAGGTGAGAAACTCAGGATCCAAACTATTGTTGTCATCAGTGGGGCAGCAGTAGCTCAGGTGGTGGAGCGGGTTGCCTCATGGTCATGGGTTCGATTCCAGCTCCCGCCAGGGGGTATCCTGCTGTTGTGTCCTTGGGCAAGACACATCACCCAACTTGCCTGTGTTAGTGGTGGTCAGAGGGGCCGACAGCGTCAAACGGCAGCCTCGCCTCTGTCTGACCTCCCCAGGGCGGCTGTGGCTACAAGTAGCTAGGGCTGCTCGATTATGGCAAAAATAATAATCACGATTATGGTGACTGAAATTGAGATCACGATTATTTAGGACGATTTTTCAATTTATGTTGATTTTATTTGTTTTTATTCAGTCATAAAACTGCTCAGGGCACAATCAGGACAAAAATAAGAAACAAGATGATCACTAAAAGATCTCCTGATTCCCAGGATAAAAGGACCAATATACTTATAGCTCATAGTCTATGACCCAAGGGCTATAGACCTTGGTTGAACTCATGTAAGTCTAACCAGTACAGACCCAAATACCAATATCTTGCAAATACTGACAGCAAGAATTATAGTGGCATTTATAACAAATAAATGCAAATAAACTGATGTTCACAAAATGTTACATAACATTTATTGAGTCGTGTCAAGGTGCTGTAGGACTGTGTCCTCAGAGAGATTAGTTATCAGCGTGAGGAACTTATTTCTACCTTATTTATAAACTATTTATTTACAGGCCCATCAGTTAATGTAATAATTGTCCCGACCACAGCTGCACCCCCCACCCCCCCACCCCGGTCTCACACAATCGGGCAAGCTGCACGTGTGTTTAGCACGCCGCACGCGCACATTTAGCTGTTTTTAGCTGCTCAGGAGACCGCAGGTGCGGTGTGTGTGTCACTCACTCTGGTTAATCCAACAAGGAGCCGGCTCCGAGAGCTGTCTTTAGCGACCGACACATCACTGCATCATTCCCTTTCCTAATGTTGTGAAGAACGGTCCGGAGCGCAGGCGGAGTGTTTAGCTAACCTGCAGGAAATGTCGACGACAGTTATCCAGAAAGTAGCTAAGGGTTACCAGAGATGTTTCTGAGATGTTCGCTAGGTACTTTTAGGATTAAAAAGTCAAGAAGGGGGTCTGAAAAGCTGCTAGAAATAGCGTCAAAGTCGCTAAATTGGCAACACTGTGAGGAGCGCTTCATTTGCAACTTAGGGCAGCGCAAGCGGGAGGAGCAAATAATCGGCTTGTTATGTTTTTTATAATCGTTCAAAACTCAGATCGTAATCGTGATTAAAATTCGATTAATTGAGCAGCCCTACAAGTAGCTTACCATCACTAGCAGTGTGTGAATGTGAGAGTGTGTGAAAGCATCTTTGGGTGTCTAGAAAAGCGTTTTATAAGTTCAATGCATTATTATTATTACTGTTAAAGTGCTATAAAAATATGTAAACTTTGTTTTAGTTTATTGTGCGTTCTGTCCAGTCTGCCCTCCTCTGTCAGTTTGTGTCAGTGGTCGGGGTTTCAGACATGTGACACACACCAACTTTGTCCAATAAAGGGAATGAGTTCAAAGTAAAGAACTTTATTCTAAAGGCAGGACAAGACAAATGCAGATGCTTTTTTTAATCTTTAAAATAATTTCAATTCAGAAATAATTAATCCCAAAGGAAATTAGATAATGATATATTTGCAGAAAAGGAAATTTTAAACTCCGTGTGTACCAATATTAATTTAAAATTTTGCTTTATTTTGTTGCAGGGCCACTCCAAAGGCCCCTTCCTGGTCAGTGCTCCTCTGTCCACCATCATCAACTGGGAGAGAGAGTTTGAGATGTGGGCTCCTGACATGTATGTGGTCACTTATGTTGGAGACAAAGACAGCAGAGCGGTTATCCGAGAAAATGAGTTCTCCTGCGAGGGCAACGCCACCAGAGGAGGGAAAAAGGCCTCCAAGATGAAGGTAGGGAACATATAAATGCAAAAACAATCGAAGCTATTTATCTAATAGAAAATTACAGTAGATGTTTTAATAACTTGTTTGAACGCCTAACTGACGTCTTCTTGTCTTTGCACTTAACAGAAAGACTCAACAATTAAGTTTCACGTTCTGCTGACATCCTATGAGTTGATTACCATTGACCAGGCTGTGCTGGGCTCCATTGAATGGGCCTGTTTGGTTGTTGATGAGGCGCACAGACTCAAGAACAACCAATCCAAGGTAAAAACAATAGGGTCAATAGCCGTGTGTTCACTATAGGAGTTCTGAGAATTTTCTGGGAGGGGGGAAAAGTGACCAGGAGATGTGATGGCTCTGCCCTCTCAGCTGTTGTCTCCTTAAAAAAATCTGCCCTTTCGGGACATTTCTAAGACGTCAGCATATTACGAATGTTTTAGCAGAGAGTGACGTCATTTAAAAGCACCAAAAGGCATCCACAGACATTAATAACATTAAAAGTTTTATTCTGTCGAAGTATGCCATCATAAAATTTGTGTAGGGGATGGGGAGAGTGGCTGTGTGATGTAAAAGATGGTGTTCAATGACCAGAAGAAGTGTTGTTTTCACAGTGCTCTGCAGGAGACCACAAAGTGTTGTGAATTACAACGTTAGCAGATGTTTGCTGCTTTTTTTTAATTATTGCTGTTGGAAGTTCAAAATGTCGATTGTAAAGCAGCTGCTTATTTTTTTCTTTCCTGTCCTGACTTTACTACAAACACTGGTTGTTTGGAAACGTCTGCTGATGTCATTTACTACCGAGTTACAATCAATTAGCACAAGTTAACCACAAGTCCTTCCCATTGACTACCGCTGAGTACACACCCTAGTTCAGGTACTTTGTTGATCCCTGAAATGGCCCGGAAAATGGTTCTTTTTGGTCGGGCTGGTGAAAAGGGACACGCGCATGTCGGTAAGGTCCAGTAAAATTCCAATAGCAGAAACTGACTAAATGATACTAGAGAGAGACCGAAAAATTAGGCTGATAGCCACCATTTATTTTACATGTCGGCAATGATGTACTGTTGTCTTGGCATGCAAATAAGGCAGAAAACATGTAGATATCAGCCATGAAAAGTGGCCCCAAAAATCGGCAGCACAAATTGGCCATTGGCTGACCATGACCTCTACATAACGGTATCTGCAACAGTCGACCTCTATTTGATACTCCGGCTGAGCTGAAGGTGATATTCTGGTACAATTCATGCAGGGTATCTGCGGGCCCTTAAAAAGTCTTAAATTAGCTTTTCCAAATTTAAGGCCCTAAAAATCCTTAAAAATGACAAATAATCCTTAAATACAGTTTCCAAAGGTCATAAATGACCAAAGACCCAATAAACAAGATTCTTTTATTTCTGTAAAATTTTCGTGAATTTCTAGTTGGTGTTCAGGTTTTTTGTGTATGATGTTAACATAAGCGGAACTGTGCACATTCAGTTGGTTGTGAAAGGGGGCTATTTTTAAATGAGCACATTAGCTTATTAAGCTAGTGGGAGCTTGCGCCATGAGGAAGTGCAAGTTTAATGGTAACTGGATGGTTAATCCCACGTTCGCGACGTTGTTGGCACCGGTTCCAGGCGATAGCTGGAAATTATAGCTTAAATTTAATTTTTAACATAACTTAAATTTAGTCAAATTGGCCTTTAAAAAGTCTTCAAAGTCTTAAATTTGGCTCCCTTAAACCTGCAGATACTCATTGCTTTGCTGTGCTTTATGAATGAGCATATTTTCAGAGATTTCTTGTCATTTTCCCTGTTTTTCTCTCTAATTCTAGTTCTTTAGGCAGTTGAACAACTATTCACTGCAACACAAACTTCTGCTCACTGGAACCCCTCTTCAGAACAACCTGGAGGAGCTTTTTCACCTGCTGAACTTCTTGACTCCAGAGAGATTCAAGTTAGTCGCTTTATGTTTTGTTTTTGTGGTGAAGCTCACAGGGACAGAATTTTAATCATTTGTTCATATTTTTTGCAGTAACCTTGAAGGGTTTCTGGAGGAGTTTGCAGACATCGCCAAAGAGGACCAAATCAAGAAACTCCATGACATGTTGGGACCCCACATGCTCAGGAGGCTGAAGGCCGATGTGTTCAAACACATGCCTTCTAAAACAGAACTCATCGTTCGAGTGGAGCTGAGCCCCATGCAGAAGTAAGTAGGGTTGTCACGGTAACCGGTGTAGCGGTAAACCCCGGTAAAAAAGTTGACGATAATAATAACCGTCTTGTTTTTTAAAAAATATATTATCTCGGTGGATTACCGTGGCTGCGGTATAGGCGCGGTGACTCTTACCAGCCACCGTATCATCTGCTGAAGTTGCCGGCGGCACATGCACACTTTGTCGTCGTCTTCCTCCGCTTATCCGGGTCCGGGTCGCGGGGGCAGCATCCCAACTAGGGAGCTCCAGACCGTCCTCTCCCCGGCCACCTCCACTAGCTCCTCCGGCAGGACCCCAAGGCGTTTCTGGACCAGATTGGAGATGTAACCTCTCAAACGTGTCCTGGGTCGACCCGGGGGCCTCCTGCCGGCAGGACATGCCCGAAACACCTCCCCAGGGAGGCGTCCAGGAGACATCCTGACCAGATGCCCAAACCACCTCAACTGGCTCCTTTCGATCCGGAGGAGCAGCGGTTCTACTCCGAGTCCCTCCCGAATGTCCGAGCTCCTCACCCTATCTCTAAGGCTGAGCCCGGCCACCCTACGGAGGAAACTCATTTCGGCCGCTTGTATCCGCGATCTCGTTCTTTCGGTCATTACCCAAAGCTCATGACCATAGGTGAGGATTGGGACGTAGATCGATCGGTAAATCGAGAGCCTGGCTTTCTGGCTCAGCTCCCTCTTCACCACGACAGATCGGCTCAGCGTCCGCATCACTGCAGACGCCGAACCAATCCGCCTGTCGATCTCCCGATCCCTCCTACCCTCACTCGTGAACAACACCCCAAGATACTTAAACTCCTCCACTTGAGGTAGGACCTCTCTCCCGACCCGAAGTTGGCAAGCAACCCTTTTCCAGTCGAGAACCATGGTCTCAGATTTGGAGGTGCTGATCCTCATCCCAGCCGCTTCACACTCGGCCGCGAACCTACCCAGCAAGAGCTGAAGGTCAGAGTTGGATGAAGCTAGGAGGACCACATCATCCGCAAAAAGCAGAGACGAGATTCTCCTGCCACCAAACTCGACACACTCCACACCACGGCTGCGCCTAGAAATTCTGTCCATAAAGGTAATGAACAGAACCGGTGACAAAGGGCAGCCCTGGCGGAGTCCAACCCTCACCGAGAACAGGTCCGACTTACTACCGGCTATGCGGACCAAACTCACGCTCCTCTGGTAAAGGGACTGAATGGCCCTTAACAGAAAGCCACCCACCCCATACTCCTGGAGCGTCCCCCACAGGGTGCCCCTGGGGACACGGTCATAAGCCTTCTCCAAATCCACAAAACACATGTGGATTGGTTGGGCAAACTCCCATGCCCCCTCCATCACCCTTGCAAGGGTATAGAGCTGGTCCACAGTTCCACGGCCAGGACGAAAACCACATTGCTCCTCCTCAATCTGAGATTCAACTATCGATCGGACCCTCCTCTCCAGTACCTTGGAGTAGACCTTTCCAGGGAGGCTGTGGAGTGTGATCCCCCTATAGTTGGAACACACCCTTCGGGTCACCCTTCTTAAAGATGGGGACCACCACCCCGGTCTGCCACACCACAGGAACTGCCCCCGATGACCACGCAATGTTGCAGAGACGTGTCAACCACGACAGCCCCACAACATCCATAGCCTTGAGATACCCAGGACGAACCTCCGGGGCTCTGCCGCTGTGTAGTTGTTTGACTACCTCAGCAACATTTGCCCCCGAGATTGGACAGTCCATCTCCAGGTCTCCCGGCTCTGGTTCCTCCTCGGAATGCGCATAGGTGGGATTGAGGAGCTCCTCAAAGTATTCCTTCCACTGTCCGACTATATCCCCAGTTGACGTCAGCAGCTCCCCATCCCCACTGTAAACAGTGTGAGCGAGTTGCTGCCTTCCTCTCCTGAGGCGCCGGACAGTTTGCCAGAACCTCTTTGGAGCCGATCGATAGTCTTTCTCCATGGCCTCACCAAACTCCTCCCACGCCCGAGATTTTGCCTCGGCAACTGCCACTGCTGCACCCCGCTTGGCTATCCGGTACCTGTCTGCTGCCTCCGGAGACCCACAGACCAGCCACGCCCTGTAGGCCTCCTTCTTCAGCCTGACGGCTCCCCGAACCTCTGGTGTCCACCAGCGGGTACAGGGATTGCCGGCCACCTTGCGACCACAGCTAGCAACAGCCGCCTCAAATATCGCAGAGTGGAACAAGGCCCACTCAGAGTCAATGTCCCCCACTGCTCTCGGGACGTGGTCAAAGCTCTGCCGGAGGTGGGGGTTGAAGACCGTCTTTAACAGGTTCTTCTGCCAGGCGTTCCCAGCAGACCCTCACTATGCATTTGGGTCTGCCAGGTCTACGCGGCATCTTCCCCTGCCATCTGATCCAACTCACCAAAAGGTGGTGATCAGTTGACAGCTCCGCTCCTCTCTTCACTTGGGTGTCCAAAACATACTGCCGCAGATCAGATGATACGACTACAAAGTCTATCATCGACCTGCGACCTAGGCTGCCCTGGTACCAAGTGTACCGATGGGCATCCTTATGTTCAAACATGGTGTTCGTTATGGCCAAACTACGGCTTGCACAGAAGTCCAATAACGAAACACCACTCGAGTTCTGATCAGGCGGGCCGTTCCTCCCAGTCACACCCCTCCAGGTCATGCTGTCATTGCCCACGTGAGCATTGAAGTCCCCCAGCAGGACAATGGAGTCCCCTGATGGAGCACTAGCTAGCACTCATCCCAGAGACTCCAAAAAGGGTGGGTACTCTGAACTGATGTTTGGCCCATAAGCACAAACAACAGTCAGGACTAGGGATGGGTACCTTTGACATTTGAATCGATCCGGTACTAATTCCCGGTACCTACGAATCAATACCGTTACTTAACGGTACCAGTTTTAGATACTTTTGAGTGTTTAATATTTTAATTCTCTTTAACAATTAAATGTATATTTTTGATAAATATCACGATAAATAACATTCAACTGTTTGTTTTAACATCGTCCTTGTAGTTTTATAAGCTGATAATTAAACTGAAGCAAACATCTTTACTGTGAACTAAATTTACTGTGTATCTTCATTCCTTTTGCCGTCCTTTTCATTTGATTTTTCCTACTGGGAAGTTAGAATTTCCGAGGAGAAAGCGAACGCACCATTAGCTGATAACAGTGGTGGCAATGGAAGCTAATTTATCAAGCTAACTTTATCTTACACAGTTTATTTAGCTGCTGGAGCAGATTAAAACGATGATGCCTCACACTTAGATCGTTGTCACTGGTTTCATCTTCACCCAATCACCCGTCGCATTTAGTAAAGTGAAGCCAAACTTTAGAGCGTGTTCATGTTCCTCTAGTCGGAAAATCGGAGTTCCGAGGAGAAAGTGAACGCACCATTAGCGGAACGGAAGCTAACAAATCAAGCTAACGTTATCTTAAACATTTTATTCACCTACCGGAGCAGATTAAGATGAGGATGTCTCACTTAGATCGTTGTCGCTGGTTTCATCATCACCCAGTTACCCAACACATTTAGTGAAGTGGACCCAAGCTTTAGCATGTGTTCTTTCTACCCATGCTGCTCTGTTTACAACTCGCTCGCAGCGACTGACGACATTACGCTCTTGCGCATGCGCATCTGTCTAGGCAAGTTCTCGTTATGAAGGACGGGTACCGAAACGAGGCACCGTTTCAAATGACGTGAATCGGTGCTCAGTCGGTACCTTTAAAAAGTACCGAATTCGGTACCCATCCCTAGTCAGGACCCGTTCCCCGACCCAAAGGCGCAGGGAAGCTACCCTCTCGTCCCCCGGGGTAAACCCCAACACACAGGCAGAGAGTCTTGGGGCTAACAAAAAGCCAACCCCAGCCCTCCGCCTCTCACCCAGAGCAACTCCAGCAATGGAGAGTGTCCACCTCCTCTCAAGGACTTGGGTTCCAGAGCCAATGCTATGTGTCGAGGTGAGTCCGACTATATCTAGCTGGTACCGCTCAACCTCTGCCACAAGCTCCTGCTCCTTCCCCGCCAGCAAGGTGACGTTCCATGTCCCAAAAACCAGTTTTCTTGTCCGGGGATCAGACCGCCAAGGCTCCCGCCTTGGTCTGCCACCCGATCCACATTGCACCGGACCCTTCATGTTCCTCCTGCGGGTGGTGGGTCCACAGTTGGATGAGCCCATGTATCCGGTTCGGGCTAGGCCCGGCCGGGCCCCATGGGCGAAAGCCCGGCCACCAGGCGCTCGCTCACGGGCCCCAACCCCAGGCCTGGCTCCAGGGTGGGACCCCGGTAACCCTCCGGGCAGGGTACTCCGACTCTTTGACTTTACCTCCATGAAAGATCCTCTGAACCGTTCTTTTTCTCACCCTTCACCTAAGACCAATTTGTCATGGGAGACCCTACCAGGGGCACAAAGTGCCCCAGACAACATAGCTCCTAGGATCATTAGGGCACTCAAACTCCTCCACCACGATAAGGTGACGGTTCAAGGAGGAGTTTGCGCACTTTGTTGTTTACAACCAAAACTTTCTTGAAGCTAAAGCTGAAATAATGGCCAAAGGAGGAGACGGCAGCGCTCAGGACATTTATTATCCCTCAAAGAAGACAAAGTGGGAAGTACGGGCATCTTGTGGATATTTTAAGAATGCCGAGAGACAGTTGATAGAAGACGGCTATCCTGTTTGCAGCACGTGCAGAAAAAGTGTCTGTGAAAGGCAGCAACGCTTCAAATCTCATGACACATCTGCGTGACCATCACCCACAACTCTACAGTCAACGCAAGTCAAGCTGACCTTAGTTGTTTAGCTAAAATGTGTGATCCGAGGATTTGGGTTGCGGGAGAATGCAACAAGTCACTATATAAAGCAGCCGCAGCGCCGCTACCTGCATATAAACCGTGTCGCGGACACCACCATGTTGAAATGACGCTATGCATTATGGGGCTCCCAGGGGCAGATAAGAGTTGGTCTCTCTCCGAGAATAATTATGAATTTAACAACGATTACTGCCTGATGACATTTTCCCACATCTGCAAAGCTCACTGGAAGGACACAAACCGAGGACAATATTTTCCTGATATAGGGTTTATTACTCAAGTAAGGGTAAAAAAGTATCTGATTAGAAGGCTACTTGAGTACTGAGTATCATCTGGTCTAATATTTTTAAAATGATGACATCAAACAGACAAAAAATAAGAAGTTATGGGCAAATATTGGTTTTTTAAAGACTAAAGGGGAAATATGTAAACAAATAAACAACATAATTACAAAATAACAAATTTTAGGCTAAATTTAGACACAAACTGAGGACAATATTTTCCTGATATACAGGGTTTATTTAGTTGTCTGAAAATGTAGCACGTTAAAAAAAAATACCGCGATAATACCGAAAACCGTGATAATTTTGGTCACAATAACCGTGAGGGGAAATTTTCACACCGTGACGACCCTAGAAATAAGCAATGTCAAACCCACACAACAGCTGCAGATCTGTTTTTCTTTACTTACCGTTTATTTTTATACTCTTAGCAAAATGAAAAATCAGCTCATGTGCACCTGTTTTATTTATTTAACAATCCAGGAAATACTACAAGTTTATTCTAACACGTAACTTCGAGGCCCTGAACACTCGAGGAGGCGGAAACCAAGTGTCTTTGCTAAACGTTGTCATGGACCTTAAAAAATGCTGCAATCACCCCTACCTCTTCCCTGCTGCTGCCACAGTAAGTTTTCATGTTTCATTGCTGAAACGTATCTGCTCGTTGTCACTTCATTCTGAGTCCTTTTCTTGCTCCAGGAGGCACCAAAACTCCCAAATGGCATGTATGAAGGTGCCGCCCTGACCAAAGCTTCAGGGAAGCTGATGCTGCTCCAGAAGATGATGAAGAAGCTGAAGGAAGGAGGCCACAGGGTTCTGGTTTTCTCCCAAATGACCAAAATGCTTGACCTACTGGAGGACTTCCTGGAGAACGAGGGATACAAATATGAGAGGATTGATGGAGGAGTCACTGGCAACATGAGACAAGAGGCTATTGATCGCTTTAATGGTCAGACGTGTTTGCACATTTATCTTGGTCTCTCAGGAGAGCTGAGTTGTTATTTGTTTTTCTAATTTGAAATCTGCTCCTCGTCCCGACAGCTCCTGGTGCTCAGCAGTTTGCGTTCCTCCTCTCCACTCGGGCCGGTGGTTTGGGCATTAATCTGGCCTCTGCTGACACAGTTATCATCTTCGACTCTGACTGGAACCCTCACAATGACATCCAGGTATGAAGACCAAAGGTGTCACCTGACTTCGGTATCGGTATTTTATTCAGTTTTTGGCTGAGGGTTTGTTGTCCCACACAGGCGTTCAGCAGAGCTCATCGTATCGGCCAGAACAGGAAGGTGATGATCTATCGCTTTGTCACTAAAGCTTCTGTTGAAGAGAGGATCACACAGGTCTGTTAAAATAATTACATTCACATTTATTTAAAGAGCAAGTCACCCCCTACCAGAGTCTTAACTCCACTCCCATTTCCTGTTTGAAAAATACACCACAAGGAGGCGTTTCCTGGCATACCGAGAGGGCGGAGCTGCTATCAAATACACACACAGGCTCATGGGGCATTGTGACATCATATGGTACCAACTAACGTCATAGGGTACCTCTTAGCCAATAGCGGTGGCAGATTTAAATTCAAATGTAGTGCTGAGTTTTTACCTGAAGAGGGCGCACTGACAGATTTAGGCAGAATATTTAAATTTTAACTAAGTTGCCCTAACGTGCCAAATAATTGACTACCGTAAATCCTCTAATACAGGCCGGTATTCAATTAAAGGCCGGGTCTCCAATTTTGGCCGGTGTCGGAGTCAGCGGAGGTAAATAATGGCCGGTCTCTTATTGCGGCCGGATGGAATGTGGAAACAAGCAAGTACGAGCGTCCCAGCGGCAGGGTTATAGTCCCCAAATCAACCAGCAGGAGGCAGTAGGGGTTCACGCAAACCTTTATTAGGCTTTTTCTTCAAGCTTTGTAACACTTCAGACACGATCCACTATCACGCTCCTACCACACAGAGTCACGGTGTCAGTTAACCATGCTAATTCAACCCGCTCCACAGAACACACATCACCTTCCCTGTGGCTTACATAACACTCACACAACACGCAAATCAGCACATAGGAACTAGCAGAACGATAGGAAACACATATAACACAATACCCAGAATGCACCTGGCTTACAACCCCAGCCAGGTCATTACACTATCAAGTTCAAAGAGAATGTGCTGATTATGCTGCAGAACACTCTGGAGAGCAGCAGTAGGGGGTGTATGAACTACAGTAATCCCTCGTTTATCGCGGTAGATGCGTTCCAGACCTGGCCGCGATAGGTGAAAATCCGCGAAGTAGGGACTCCCAGCATGCCCCTCGCGGGGATTCCCTCCACGTCGCACCTACGTCACAAACCGCGGCTATAAACGGAAGTCGCCTTTACAGCTCAGTCATCCTTTCTTCAGATTCATGATCAGAGTTTCCAACCTACCAATCAATCCAACGAACTATCAGCTCATAGTAAGTTATCTTACTTACTTCTGGAAAGCCCGGCATTTCCGTGTCACTTCGTTGACGCTCGAACGCTCGGGGGTTTCCTAGAGCAGCCGGCGTTTCACCGACGCTATCACTTCCGCGTCTGTGAAACCACGCTCCCGTAGGTACTGACACGCGATCGTTCATGTCAGTTCATTTCCTTTAATGTTTTCTGTCTTTTATTTGCGCCTGATGTGTTTCGCTGCATGCTGTGGAGCGGGGCGCTGCGGGCATCACCTTGTCCTCCGACCCACTGATCACTGATACGGCCGCCAAACAGCAAGCGCTCCGCTGTTTTTGCGGTCGGTAGATCTTTTAGAACTGCAGTTCAAAGGTAACTCATAAGGTGAATATATATGAACCCAGGCAGCAGTTTTTCTTTAGGATTGAGAGGAGATGCAGGAAGATAATAAACAGACAGGACAGAAAAATAGTCAAATAAAAACAAGTTAGTTTTTGTACCTGCTGTTGCAACATACAGACACCATTGAAGGTAATCAGAAGTGAGGAACAGAAAATGAAATAATTATTTTAATGTTTAGAGCAGCAGGAACTCCGAGAGGCTGCAGGCACATCAGTGAGTTTGCGGCTGCTGCGCAGGGGGAGGGGGGAGAGGACTGAAGCAGGAACTACCGTTGTTAAAAGAAATGTGTTTAACTTTGAAAATGTGGGCACAATTTTAATTGTCAAAAACTCCAGCGAACCATTAGTTCATTTTGCTCAAATAGAAATAGAGGCCTGCCTCTAATACTGGCCCTCCTTCCAATAAAGGCCTGGAGCTTGATGAGCTTGAGTCAAATACAAGCCCGGGCCTGTATTAGAGGATTTACGGTATACGTGTCTACAGCACGATTAGACACATATGTATGTAGTTTATCAGCAAAAAAGTTGATTTGAGGGTGACTTGCTCTTTAACATGTCAGGATTTAACGGTCGCTTCATCATCACCTTTTATCTACTCACCATAACAAGGTGGCAAAGAAGAAGATGATGCTCACTCACCTTGTGGTGAGACCCGGCCTCGGCTCTAAGACCGGCTCCATGTCCAAGCAGGAACTCGATGACATCCTTAAGTTTGGAACAGAAGAGCTGTTCAAGGATGAGGTCGGGGATGGTAAGACAACTTCAGTTGCCTTGTTTTAATTGAGGGGTGACCCGTGTTGGAATGAATCAGGAGAGAGGAGAGGTTCGAGGAAGCGGTGGGGTAAGGCAGGGCCACCGGATTTGTAGACCATCGATGATGGGCTGAACCCTTCACCGATCATTTTTTAAGATTTTAGTCTCACGGATGAGACCTTCCATACAAAAAAGTCAGTGTCTGTTTTGCAACACTCTTTCTATGTACATATGCATATCATACACCTCTATAAAGCTAGGATTCTTGTGATTACAGATGTATGCCAATGACGCATATAACCATAACGTAGACACTGTAAACACTTATGTCTAAGTAACAATCAAAGTCGCATTAGTTATCACAAACTGAAGAAGAAGAAGAAATCTTTTCTATAGCGCCTCTCAAGATAAAAATCACGAGACGTTTCACAAAAACAATGTAAAAATATAAAAAGAATTTAGAAAATGATTAAAAATATATTTAAAATGAGCAAAAAATAGACAATTGTGATTAAAAAAATGTAAAGAAAGAGAGTGAATAGGAAAGAGGGAAATCAGTGGATCCTGAGGAAGGTGGGATAGGTGGGGAGAGCAGAATAAAGAGAGAGTGGTGAAGAAGGTCATACAAAAGCCAGCCTGAACAAGTGAGTCTTCAGCTGCTTTTTAAAGGAGACCACTGAGTCCACTGATCTCAGGCTCAGGGGGAGAGTTCCAGAGTCTGGGGGCCACAGCAGCAAATGATCTGTCACCTTTGGTCTTTAGCCTGGTGCTGCACAACCAGTAGGCTTTGATCACTGGACCTCAGGGACCTGCTGGGGGTGTAGGGACTACGAAGATCACCAATGTACGATGGTGCTTGTCCATGTAAGGCCCTATAGACCAGAACCAGGATCTTGAAATGAACCCTGAAGTTGACTGGCAGCCAGTGAAGCTGGAGGAGAAGCGGGGTGATGTGGGTGTGTTTGGAGGACTTGGTCAGAAGCCGAGCACAGGCATTCTGAACCACCTGTAGACGGTTCAGGGAGGTTCTGCTCAGACACGTGAAAAGAGAGTTACAGTAGTCTAAAAACTGTAACTGGTATGTGTTCTCCAAATTTGACCCATCCCCTTGGACAGCAGTGAGCTGGAGACACGGCCACACTTCGGAACGATTTGGCAGTTTAACCCCCCAATTGAACCCCTTAATGCCGAGTGTCAAGTGGCAAGGCATTGTCCCGTTTTTAAAGTCTTTGCTATGACCCGACTGTAGATTTGAACCCACGATCTTCCAGTCTCAGGGTGGACACACATACCACTAGGCCACTGAACTGGTTGCTGCTGAATATCCACATGTACAATTTCACATGTTCATTATTTATCACACTGCTGCCACAAGAGGGCACTCTAGGCTGTGACTCTGTATTTGCTACTCCTGCACCACTAAAAATTCAGTTTTCAAAGTTTAAGCATTAGCTTAAAAGACGGAAACAAATGCCCCTACAAAGGGAATCCGATTATGCAGATTACGAGCTGTAAGTTGTGAAATATCCAGCCAAAAATGGTAATCAAGTAGCAGAAAGAAAGTTTGGAGTGAGCGAGAAACATTTGAGTCACTTGAGAAAAGCGGAGGTTACTCTGACTGCAATGAAGAAAACAAAACAGCTACCGATAGGTATACCAAACATTCAAAATGTTCTTCAGAAGTGTCCCTATCTCACCACGACATCTGCTAACATCCTCATAGTAGCTTCAGACTTTTGACCGGCATCTTACCTGATCCAATGGGTTAAAGGTCACCCCCTCTCTGCTGGGGCAAAATCTTCAACTTTTGGTCGGCAAGTCAAAAGTATCCATATTCTCACGACTGGCTCAAAACAGTTGCGATGCAGTGAGTTGTTGACTGATGCAACTAATACCCAATTAGGGATGGGTACCTTTGACATTTGAATCAATTCGGTACTAATCCCGGTACCTAGGAATCGATACCGGTACTTAACGGTACCAATTTTAGATACTTTTGAGTGTTTAATATTTTAATTCTCTTTTATAATTAAATATATATTTTTCTCAATTTATAACCATATTTGATAAATATCACGATAAATAACATACAACTGTTTGTATTTTAACATCGTCCTTGTAGTTTTATAAGCTGATAATTAAACTGAAGCAAACATCTTTACTGTGAACTAAATTTACTGTGTATCTTCATTCCTTTTACCGTCCTTTTTCTTTGAGTTTTCCTACTGGGAAGTTAGAATTTCCAAGGAGAAAGCGAACGCACCATTAGCTGATCACAATGGTGGCAATGGAAGCTAACATATCAAGCTAACGTTATCTTAAACAGTTTATTTAGCTGCTGGAGCAGATTAAAACGATGATGCCTCACACTTAGATCATTGTCGCTGGTTTCATCTTCACTCAATCGCCCGTCGCATTTAGTAAAGTGAAGCCAAACTTTAGAGCGCGTTCATGTTCTTCTAGTCGGAGATTCAGAGTTCCGAGGAGAAAGCGAATGCACCATTAGCGGAACGGAAGCTAACAAATCAAGCTAACGTTATCTTAAACATTTTATTTACCTACCGGAGCAGATTAAGATGAGGATGTCTCACTTAGATCGTTGTCTGTCGCTGGTTTCATCATCACCCAGTTACCCATCACATTTAGTGAAGTGGACCCGAGCTTTAGCGCGCGTTCTTTCTACCATGCTGCTCTGTTTACAACTGGCTTGCAGCGACCGACGACATAACGCTCTTGCGCATGCGCAGCTGCCTAGACAAGTTCTCGTTATGAAGGACGGGTACCGAAACGAGGCACCGTTTCAAATGACGTGAATCGGTGCTCATTCGGTACTATGGAATTTGGTCCGTACCTTAAAAAGTACCGAATTCGGTACCCATCGCTAGTGGTCGGCTTCAGGAAACTAATTCTGAATGATTGTGATTGGGTGAATTGCTTTGTGTCCGGGCCACAAAAAGTCTAAACAGAACCAATGTTCATACATCGCCCATCTTCATTTGTCGGACTGACGAATCGATTCGAAAAAACTGACATATTTCCCAATCTTAGAGCGGTTTATTTTTTTTTCATTGTCTTTATTTTTTACGCTTTCTGCCTTCAGGGGACAACAAAGAGGATGACAGCAGCGTGATCCACTATGACGATCCGGCGATTGAGCGTTTGCTGGACAGAAACCAGGACGCCACAGAGGACACTGAGCTCCAGAGCATGAATGAGTACCTCAGTTCCTTTAAGGTGGCCCAGTATGTGGTCAAAGATGAAGACGACGAGGTACAATTTATTTTTTTATGTGTGAAATCAAACATTGTTTCATCTGTTGGACAAATCTGTTATTTTTTAGTGTGAAAAAGTATAAACAAACTTCTGGTGTCCTGTTTTGGTGTTATTTTTCACATATCCTCTCTCAAAGGAGGAGGAGTTAGAAAGGGAGGTGATCAAGCAGGAGGAGAGCGTTGATCCTGACTACTGGGAGAAGCTGCTTCGGCATCACTATGAGCAGCAGCAAGAGGACCTTGCACGCAATTTAGGCAAAGGCAAAAGAACTAGAAAACCGGTCAACTACAATGACGGTTCCCAGGAGGATCGAGGTATACGACAGGGTACAGAACCATATAAAACATCTTCTTCTTGTGTGTGTGTGCTGTTGGTGCTTTTGTGTCTGTGGGTTGTTGTATGTTTAAATCTGTGTTTTATTTTGATTAGGCTCAAACATTGAAGGAGGTGTGAAGGTCTATTGAAACCATTTATTTTCATTCTTCTACACCTGCTTTTGTTTTTAGCTCTAAACACGCAAAGCTTCTGAAATCTTGCAAACACGTTAAAAGTGAGTGAAGATCTGCCTTATTTTTAGGATTTCAGAAGTGGCCGTGAGTAGGGCTGGGTACCTTTACGATACTTTTCAGTACCACTACTTTAAGGATTCCTTTTTTAGTACTTTTGAAGTCCAATTTTAAAAGTACTCAATGTTATTTTGTATTAGTTTACCAAACTAAGCAAAAACGGCAAAGTTTCAGTGAAAACGGTGAGAACTATAATTTAACAAGCAACTTTCTTTTTAGAGCAAGAATTAAACACAAAATTAAAATGTTTGTATACAAAAATTAAAGGTAGGATTCATCTTTCAGTTCAATACAAAAGTAAACAGTGTGAAGATAAAGTGCAAACTGTTACCTGTTTGGTGAGTCAAATGTGAAACATCCGCTCTAAAATCCTGAAAGAAAAACCGTTTCGATCCCAAATAAATAAACAAATATACAAGGGTCGTCACGGTGTGAAAATTTAACCTCACGGTTATTGTGACCAAAATTATCACGGTTTTCGTTTTTTTTTTAAACGTGTTACATTTTCAGACAACTAAATAAACCCTGTATATCAGGAAAATATTGCCCTCAGTTTGTGTCTAAATTTTGCTTAAAATTAGTTATTTAGTAATTATATTGTTTATTTGTTTACATTTTTCCCCTTTAGTTTTTAAAATACCAATATTTGCCCATAACTTCTTATTTTATGTCTGTTTGATGTCATCATTTTAAAAATATTAGATCAGATGATACTCAGTACTCAAGTAGCCTTCTAATCAGATACTTTTTTTTACCCTTACTTGAGTAATAAACCCTATATCAGGAAAATATTGTCCTCGGTTTGTGTCCTTCCAGTGAGCTTTGCAGATGTGGGAAAATGTCATCAGGCAGTAATCATTGATAAATTCATAATTATTCTCGGAGAGAGACCAACTCTTATCTGCCCCTGGGAGCCGCGTAATGCATAGCGTCATTTCAACACGGAGGTGTCCGCGACACGGTTTATATGCAGGTAGCAACACAAAACTTACGTACGGAGCTGAGCGGCTCAACGGGGACAGCCTTTTAGCAAAGTACTGAAATTTAGCACCAAAAATATTTTCTTTTTGTAAAAGTACCTACCAAATGTTTTTGGCTGGTACCTAAAGGTAGAGAGTTTCAATGCTCAGCCCTAGGCACAATCAGGCTGGAGGTTTCCAGGACCTCTTTGTCTTTATTGCATCTTGTGAGGGGATCACCTCACAGACCTACTCAGAATTAAAAATCTTTATGAATAATATGTTACTTCTCATCTTTGTAGCAGCTAGAAAAAAATGATTAGCACAGCTAACATGAGCACAAACAAAAGAAAGTTGTTGAAAACTTTCACAATAAAACTGAAGATTTTTAAAGAGGGAATATAGATTAGATTAGTCCGAGTTAAGAGTTAGATTTTGTGATGGAGGTTCATTTTCCCAGCTGAAAACACTCTAATATATTTATGATATTATTTATGTGTATATCGTTGTTTCTAGTTGGCAAGTATTTATCCCCTCGTTCCAGCCATGCTAATGTAGCGTACAGCAGAATAGAAGGATGAGTTTTTGTTTTCCTGGTAAATATATTTGATGGTAAATGAATCCTTAAGAAGTTTAGTTAAATGTCATTTCAGTTTGAGACTACTTGAATCCTCTTCACTCTGTTGCTGATGGTCTTTTTTATGTGTTTGTGTCTAGACTGGCAGGAGGATCAGTCTGATAACCAGTCTGATTACTCGGTGGCTTCAGAGGAGGGAGACGAGGACTTTGATGAACGTGCTGAAGGTAAGGGTACCTGAGCTGATTGCGGCTACACACACAGACACCGGTGTGTCTGTGTGTGTGTGTGTGAGTGAGAGAAAGGGAGAGAGAACTTTGTCTCTCAGTGAGCTGCAACTCTTGACAACAAATACCAAACGTCACCTATGACATCACCAGTGTTGGCGTGTGTTCTCCAAATCTAGAAAAATCGATTGGGTGAATTCAAGACTTTAGCTTGGTAATCCCACTGTCCTGTTTTATCAGGTATGCTTGGTATCGGTTCAGATTTCAAGGATTAACATGATTTCTTGATTCGATCCATTCTGTTCCCATCCGGTATCCATTCAGGTCAGCGATTTTTAAACCATTCATTTTTTTTAGCTGTTTCCTTAACTACATGACTTTGCAGTTGTGCAATATTTATAATATTGACATTTAATCAAATATTGGTGGTTGGTAGTAAAATTGATTTTCACAAACGGTCAGGTGTCGATACCTGTATCGGTGGATTGCTGTTGGGACATTAACCTATGGTATTATTAAAAATAAGATCATAAGAATTCAGCCAAAAGCTGTAGCTGTTAAATACAAATGCTGTTTTATTGTTATTAACATTATGGAAAAATAACATTCTTAGCCTGTTTAAATGTAAACCAACAGCTGATTTCTAGCTAAAAAAGTAACCGTTGTCATTTTACTGTGCAAAAAAACTTGATCTTTAGACGTGCAAATCAATTTAATGAATTTTCACGAGAAACAGAATAGATTTTGTTTACAACCCAGCATCACAGGACACAGCTTCCACACTATTATAGTCAGGCACTCTCTTCCTCTTATGCTGTGTTGTGTGATTGCTCCAAGATTCTCCTCATCTAGCTGTCTCCATTCTCCCGGTAGCGCTTTGAGTCGTCTGGTCATCTGCTGCTAGTTGCTTTTTGGCTGAGCAAGTCAACAAGTTGATGTCTAAGAGCCACATACGGTGTGTAAACGTGGATGCGTTTAGAATGTGACTTTGCTGCTTCCTATTTCCAATGCCTCCAGATTTCCTGGCTGTGAGTGATGTCAAATTTTGATGAGATGTGATAAGATCGGACTGAAGTTTAATTAAACATGTATCCAGTTTAGGACAAAATATGATAAAGACTTAGGTTGGATTTGAAAACAAAATCATCTGATTCATGCTGTTCAGATTGGCATGAAAAATCAGATATGAGTCACATGTGGACAAATAAAATAGTTCAAATCAATGAAATGCATTATTACATTTGTACATACCTGTTAGCCAGATGCTTAAAGCATTCTCCAGCATTGTGCTGGCTCTGGACAACCTGTAGAAGATGCCCCCTGCCCTGTGTGCATTTTCATCGTCCAGCTTATGAGGGCAAATGCATCATCGCCATCAAGGAAAAAGCTCCAGAATTGTGAACAGATTGTTATTCAGTAAACAGGAGCTACCCAGAAGTTATTCCTTATGCCCCTAAAGCCTGATTCATGCTTCTCCGTCTGCGTCAGTGCGGAGACACGCAACGTCCTTGCGGGCCTGCCGGAGAGCTCCGCAAGGACGGACGGAGTCGAGCTCTCTTTTCTAAACATCCGTCAGTCGAGACGGAGAACGCAAGCTTGTGATTGGTCAGGACGCCGCTGTCGTCTACACCGCCACCATTGCGCCCTCAAAAACAAAAAGAGAGCCGAGGATAACAAGCGGCAGACACGGAGAAGCTTGAAGAATACCTCACGAAAAAACTCTAAAAACATGAATGATTAATTCCCCCGTGACTGGAGGAGTGAAAAGATGCGCAGCAAGAGTTTTATTGGTGGACGGAAATGACAGGAAACCTGGGTTTGGAGGTGGGGAGCGCATGAAGAGGTGGAGGAGAATGAGAGACAAATTTTTCTGTGTTAAAAAGTCTCTTATATACAAAAAACACAATATAAACACACTATCTTGGACCGGATACATGACAGGATACAACAGAACAGCGCTATGCCCTCTTCTGTCCTGCCGGGGAATTGCTTTGCAACACTCTCCAGGAGACAGAGAAGTATGAGGGCAAAACGCTTCCGTCAACCCGTGCGTGTCTGTCCCTTGCGGAGCTGACGGAGAAGCATGAATCAGGCTTAAGATGCTACAGCGTTTTTCAGTTTTACTCTAATGTCTCATAAAGAAAGCAAGAGGCTAATGTTGAGCTAACAATGCTAATGGTGAATAAACAATTTTCTTAGGATCTAAGAAAAGATCAAGCTATGCTTTCAGTTACCAAGAATTCAATATTACAGTAAAATGTAGTTATCTACTTATCAACTTATTGTCTGTGGCTTGTCTTCACTCATCTAGAATCTTCTGGTGCCGAGCTGTAGCTGGCAACAGTCATAAAACACAGCATGGTAGTGGGAAAGTCTCTTTGTTTAGATAATGGGCTGCAGTAACCAAATTTCACCACAGGATGTCATTCTTACATCATGCACCTTTAACACGTCATAAGCTTCGACACTTTCTTTGACATTAGCATGTTCCAACCAACTAATAGAAAAAATGGCTAGTTTTAGTTGTGCTAACACTAGCCCAAGCTACTGCTAATGCTAGCCCTAGCTAACGTTCTTGTTGCACAAAAGAAAAACATCAAAGATTGTTGGAGGACCACTCACGTTCCAGGGTGTACTGGGAATATCCGGCGTTTGAATGAATGCCAGATAGATCCATAGCTTGTGTCCCTCATCCTCCTCCTCGTTCGTCCACATCCCCTCCGTGGACATCGGCCGACTGGACAGTCACTGACCGGCTCGTTCACAAACACGTCTCCAATAGTCTCCAATAGTCGCAGCCCACTGAGACACTGGCTTTGTTGTTGCTCCTCATTCCCACTGTGAGAGTGGAAGTTTTCCCGTGTTTGTTTTTAAGATGGATTTAAGAGGGAAGCAGCTGTCGCTCCTGTTCATAAGGTTTCATGGAAATATTTCTCCCCTTCATGAACCTTCTTGTCAACCACTAACTACCTTCCACCCACCCCTGCAGATGTTTATGCAGACTCAGACGACAGCTATGATATCCTCATTGACAACGTCAACCACTTCAAAAAGAGCAGTTGTTGCTGCATCATCTGCGTTGAGCGTAGAGAGAGAAGAGCAGACAGGAAGGAAAGAAGGAAAAGAAAGAGGGAGAAGAAAAATAAAAACACAACCAACGGTTTTATCAACTCGCTGAATCATTGACTTTAAATGTTGATAAGCTTTGTTGTTTGGGAACAAGAGGTTTTCATGTTTTTTTTTATTTCTTCTTCTATCACTTGATAAAATCTGTTGCACTTTATTTAGATAGAACCAATAGTTGTATAAAATGTTCATTGATGCACTTGTTTAATTCATTCCTGAATTAACTTTGTTTAATTAAACCAAATTAATGACGCCTCTGCAGTGCTTTTGGTTGTGAATGCTCTTCTAAGAAGCGGTGAATGTAAAAGTGTGGTGTGAGTTTTGAGAAGGGACAGCTTCAGCAAGAGCAGCACTGAGCCGTAAGTCAAGCAGCCTCACAGAGAAACTGTAGGATGATAAGAGCGCACATCATCAGCTTTCAGATTCATTATTCATTTTCATCATTTCATTGTGTTGCTTGTAGTTGCTCCTCCAGTTCAGACAAACTAACTTTTGTTGTTTCCTCGTAGCGAACGCGCGCAGGCCTAACAGGAAAGGGCTGAGGAACGACCGGGACAAACCTCTTCCTCCGCTGCTCGCCAGGGTTGGAGGTAACATTGAGGTAGGTTCTGGCCTCCTTTTGAGATGCATGTGCCCACACTGGCCACTTTATTAGGTACACTTTTCTAGTTCTGGGTAATTTTACTGGACCTTCACGGTCCAAAAGGACCACATTCTGGGCCATTTCAGGAACCAGACAATCTGGTGACCGTGGAGGTTTTAGAAGTTCAGTGAACTTGTTGTGATCTTTGACTTGATGCATCATCCTGCTGGAACTGGAAGTCACCACCAGAATGAAGAAGAAGAAGAAAATATCATTTCTATAGCGTCTCTCAAGATAAAAATCACGAGGCGCTTCACAAAAACAAAAAATGAAAAAATATAAAAAAGAATTTAGAAAATGTTTTAAAAATATATTTAAAATGAGCAAAAATAGAATTGTGATTAAAAATATGTTAAGAAAGAGAGAGTGAACAGGAAAGAGGGAAATCAGTGGATCCTGAGGAAGGTGGAATAGGTGGGGAGAGCAGAATAAAGAGAGAGTGGTGAAGAAGGTCATACAAAAGCCAGCTTGAACAGGTGAGTCTTCAGCTGCTTTTTAAAGGAGACCACTGAGTCCACTGATCTCAGGCTCAGGGGGAGAGTTCCAGAGTCTGGGGGCCACAGCAGCAAATGATCTGTCACCTTTGGTCTTTAGCCTGGTGCTGCACAACCAGTAGGCTTTGATCACTGGACCTCAGGGACCTGCTGGGGGTGTAGGGACTAAGAAGATCACCAATGTAAGATGGTGCTTGTCCATGTAAGGCTCTATAGACCAGAACCAGGATCTTGAAATGAACCCTGAAGTTGACTGGCAGCCAGTGAAGCTGGAGGAGAAGCGGGGTGATGTGGGTGTGTTTGGAGGACTTGGTCAGAAGCTGAGCACAGGCGTTCTGAACCACCTGTAGACGGTTCAGGGAGGTTCTGCTCAGACACGTGAAAAGAGAGTTACAGTAGTCTAAGCGTGAGGAGATGAAGGTGTGGAGGACTGTCTCAAGTTCAGAGCGGGACAGAATGGGACTCAGCAATGTTCCTGAGATGGAAGAACGAACAAGAGAACTGACATGAGAATCCAGGGTGAGAGCCGGGTCATAGGTCACGCCAAGATTCCTGACAGAAGGGTTGGTGTGAGAAGCAAGCTGACCAAGAGAGTCTCTGACTTTGGGAACCAGCTTGTCTGGGGCACAGATGAGGATCTCAGTCTTATCTTCATTCATTTGTAGAAAGCTCCCAGCCATCCAGGTTTTGATAGTCTAAGCAGGTGTGTAACAGCTGCAGCTTAGACATCTCATGGGGCTTAAAGGAGATGTACAGTTGGATGTTTTCTGCATAAAGATGTTAGGAGATTCCTTTGAAGGAGCTCAGGATGTGCTGAAGAGGAAGCAGATAGAGGAGGAAGAGCAGAGGGCCCGGCACAGAATCTTGTGGGACACCATGGGTAAGGGAGGTGGTGGAGGACCTAAACTTGGAGACGGCCACAGAAAAGGAGCGCTCAGAAAGATAAGAGGATATTAGAGGAAGAGGAATGTCATAATTATACAAAGTTACTGAAAAATGCACAGAAAGCTTTTTTTTTTTCTTTCTTTTTTTTTTTACTGCAAGGTTTAATTTTTGTTCCTTCAGGTTTTGGGCTTCAACGCTCGTCAGAGGAAGGCTTTCCTCAACGCGGTTATGCGTTATGGGATGCCGCCACAGGATGCTTTCACCAACCAGTGGCTGGTCAGGGATCTGCGAGGGAAGCCTGAGAAGGAGTTCAAGTAATTGTGTTTTTAGTATCTTCTGCTTGTCTCAGAACTAATCCCACTTCTGCATATCAGACCTCAGCAGTACTGGAATTTATCGTCACGTTCTCATGACCAAATACAACTCCTATGTGTTTGCAGAGCCTATGTGTCTCTGTTCATGCGCCACCTCTGTGAGCCGGGAGCCGACGGAGCTGAGACCTTTGCAGATGGCGTCCCGCGTGAGGGTCTGTCCAGGCAACATGTGCTTACTCGCATCGGTGTGATGTCACTGATAAGGAAGAAGGTGTGGATCCAGGAGATTGCACTGTAATCATTCTATGTGTGATAAGCTGCATTCACATGTTTGTTGCTATAATGACTGATGGACTGATGTCACGCCGTTGAACAGGTGCAGGAGTTTGAGCACGTGAACGGTCAGTGGTCGATGCCCTGGATGGCGGAGCTGGAGGAGAACAAACGGGCGGCAGCTTTAGCTGCAGGCGAAGACCCGAAAACTCCTTCAACTGGGACTCCTGCAGACACGCAGCCCAACACCCCCATCCCAGGTGCGAACATTAACTGTCACTGAGAGCCTAAAAGACGAATCAAAAGTTTTAGACACATTCACTTAAACTTCTAACAGTATTTTTGACTTCTGGTCTTTCAGAGGAGCTTTAACCAGACTGGTGCCCTCTTGTGGATGCAGTCAGAAAAGCTGCATTATTGAGCACTTTATAAACGTTCTTGTTTTAAGATGTAAAAATCTTTTTACAAGTGGGAAAAAAAAAACCCAAATACATCTCTTGAATATTTTTTGCTTTTTTTCAGAAGATTTTTCTAAATCAGATGAGCGAGATGACATGAAGAAAGAGGGAGAGGACAGCAAAGCTAAGAAAGATGATCCAGAGGTGTGTGTGTTTCCTAGTGCCACTGTAATATGTTTATTAATGATACGATGTTTTAATTAATGTCAAAACTTACTTCTCTTACCCAGGTTATTGAAATCCCAGATGAGTCTGAAAAGTCCCCCGTTGTTAACAAGAAAGATGCTGCTGTGGAGAAGGAAGACAAGGAGGATGGAGAGGAAGGAAAGGAGAAGGAAGCTGAAGACCTGAGCAGAGAGAAAGAAGAGAAGTCTTCAGCAGCGATGGTTGCTTCTGTAAACAATAAGGGGGGAGGTTCAGATGGAAGGATGGATTCAGAGGACAAGTGTAAAGGTGAGAAGGTTATGATACAATCATTAAAAACGAGACATTCACAATAATTGTGTGAGGTTTTTTTCAGGATTGTGTGTTTCAGGGGTGGCTAAAATTATTACTTTTATAAACAAAACATTTAATATATTAGTTGGCATCAATATGTGATGAGCATTTCAACCAATATGGCATAAAAAAGAAAAGCATCTCGTACTAAACCGTAGCAGTAGCAAAAGATTTTGCTCTTCAGGTCAGTTTAGCCACACTATTTGTAGCCTGAGCAGGTCTACCACTGGCTGGACAACATAGAAACGTTGTTTGTTGCCCTGATTGGTCCTAGCACTTCGTGCGGAGATGGCTTGGAAGACAACCATAGATTCTGCTCCACAACTGAGCTCTGTGTGTGGGTCTTGTCCAGATTATAGGATGACTAGCTAGCCTATCTCATATTGCACCTTTAAATCTAACAAATTAACAGATGTTATGATGGAATTGCAATAAACTAGATAAAATACATCTATATCATGTTATTCTCAGAATAATGGCCTTATGCCAGTCTCCATTTCTCTTCTTTCAGCTGAGGACGGCAAATACGAGAAGATGGACACCTCACCACCAGAGGAGAGAAAAGGTTCAGACTAAGTTTAGGTCGTCTTTATGTTTGAATAAAAGTTTTCTCCACACGACTGAATCTGTGAGATGGTTAATATTATAGTAAAGGTCATCTTAAAGGTCCAGGAAACGTTGCAAAATGAAACATTTCGTTGCAGATCCAAAGGAGGAGAAGGACGGCGTGAAAACAGAGGAGCCCGGAAAGCTGCAGAATGGAGAGAATGCCAAAGATGGAGGAGCAGCTGCGGTTAACATCAGCGAAGAGAAGAAGAAAGCCACCAAGCAGAGATTCATGTTCAACATCGCAGACGGGGGCTTCACAGGTGAACATGCTCTCCTTTCTCTCCTCGTTTCAACGCCGTTGACCTCTGTTCTGACCTTTCTGCCCTCCCACTCAGAGCTCCACTCCCTGTGGCAGAACGAAGAGAGGGCCGCCACTGTCACGAAGAAGACCTATGAGATCTGGCACCGTCGTCATGACTACTGGCTGTTGGCTGGAATCATACAGTATCTTTTCTAACTGATGGGGTGGTCATTTTTTTTCTTTGATGACTTTATTATTATTATTCTGAGCTACTACAGCAATCAATTTCCCTCTGGGATTAATAAAGTATTTTTGAATTGAATTTTATCATTTCCTTACAGATTAACATCCTAAACGAGCTGTGGATTTAAGTTTACAAGTTAGTTTTACTTACAAGCTACAACAGTTTGATTAAATGGGTCTCAAAGGAAAAAGAGTAAACGATTCGCATGCAACCTTGTTTTTGCTCCTTTAGAAAGTAAGCTACCGGGTTGTGAGACATGACATCACCTGGAATGTTTTGTCTCTGGAGTCCAGAAATGGCAGCGCTGTTGTTCTTGACAGTGTTGTCTCAGACACGGGTACGCTCGATGGCAGGATGTGCAGAACGATGTGAGGTTTGCTATTATCAACGAGCCCTTCAAAGGAGAGATGAGCAGAGGAAACTTCCTGGAAATCAAGAACAAGTTTCTGGCTCGCAGGTTCAAGGTGAATCCGGCGCCTCGGTTCTGCAGAATCCAGCTGTGTGCGTGTCTGCTTGCGTCATGTCTCACTGGTTAATTTTGGTCTGTCCGTGGCTTCCTGAAGTTGCTGGAGCAGGCTTTGGTGATCGAGGAGCAGCTGCGTAGGGCGGCCTACCTGAACATGACAGAGGACCCGGCCCACCCCTCCATGGCCCTCAACACTCGCTTCAGTGAGGTAGAGTGTCTCGCCGAGTCCCATCAGCACCTCAGCAAGGAGTCCATGTCTGGAAACAAGCCTGCCAACGCGGTGCTCCATAAAGGTGTGGTTAATAAAGAAAGCACAAGGTTCTCATGGACTTCAAAAGAACAGATCTGTGATGTCATCACTAGTAAACTATATACACCACAGGTCAATTTACTTTTTAAAGGTCCTATATTATGCAAAGTCCACTTTTTGGAGCTTTTGTCCATGTTTTATTATTTCCTCATGAAAAATACCCCCGTACAGGTTTTTGTTTGACACTTGCGTTTTCCTGTCTCGTCTGCTTCTTCCCTTCAGCTCTGCAAATTTTTGCTGAGCCATTTTTTTTTCCCAGCTATAATAGGGAGCCTAAGTGACGCCCATCTACTTCCGGACCACGGGTCCCCGGAAGAAAGAAAAAAATGAATGCAAGTCAACGAGGCTAAAAATGCTATTTTCTAATCCCGTTTAGCATGTGCCATGGATTTCACATATGATGTCAGTGAATTTTAAAGATGCATTCTGATGCCAAGAAAGAGCTTATTTTCAAAAAAGGGCAAAAGTTATTTTAGGGTTTGTGTGAAATACATCAAGGACTACAAATGCGCATCACCAAATTGATGTCATCAATCCAGACATGGAGTAAAGCAGAGGTAAAGTGGTTTTAAGTTCAGCAATCTTCAAATCCTTCCTTCGGGGGGAAAGATCCACCATAAATCTGGCCATTTGGTAAGTAGCAGCTACGCTAGGGGAGAGGAGATTCTGTGGTGACGTCATTTATGCGACGTCTGATTTGTAGTCAAGCTGATAAATCTCAAAGTACGTGACTAGCGTGGCTGAAACACACCATTACTTTTCATTTAAATTGAAATTTAACATATGTGCGATCCACGGCGTAAGGCAAAGCGGATGAGACAATAGCTCTTAGCCCCGTTGACTTGCATTCATTTTTTTTCGTTCTTCCGGGGACCCGTGAGCCGACTGGAATGGGAGGAGACCTGGGCTCCCTGTAGGTTGTTACTGCATTACAAAGGCCCACTCCTCACCATCCAGGTAGTCTCTTGAGTCCTGATCCCCCCCTGGACTGTTAACACTAATGCCCAGTGTTTCTGTGTAGCTAGCGGGGAGTTTAATCCACAGTTGTGAAGGAGTGACTTTTTTTCTCATCTAGTCTGAACTTTAAATAATGTTTAAAACCCAAAATGTATTGTAGTCTGTGAGAGGTACAGAATCCTTGTCCAGACTTTCTGAAGAAGAGTTTAATCAGCTGAAATGGTTGGATTTTATCTTCAGGAGCTCTCAGAAACTGAGCCAGAATGTAACCGTAGTTTCACAGACTGCTTGTTGAACCTTCGCCATTACCAGAGTTGGTTTTCCAGGGTATCCGCGGGTCCTTAAAAAGTCTTAATAAGTCTTAAATTTGCTTTTCCAAATTTAAGGCCTTAAAAATCCTTAAAAATGACAAATAATCCTTAAATACAGTTTCCAAAGGTCTTAAATTACCAAAGAACCAATCAACAAGATTCTTTTATTTCTATAAAATTTTCATAAATTTCTAGTTAGTGTTCAGCATTTTTTGTGTACGATGTTGGCGTAAGCGGAACCGTACACATTCAGTTGGTTGTGAAAGGGGGCTATTTTTAGATGAGCGCATTAGCTGGTTAAGCTAGTGGGAGCTTGCGCCATGGGGAAGTGCAAATTAAATAGTAACTGGATGGCTAATCCCACGTTCGCGACATTCCAGGCAATAGCTAGAAATTATAGCTTAAATTTAATTTTAAAAAAAATTGCTTAAATTTGGTCAAAATGGCCTTAAAAAAGGTCTTAAAAAGTCTTAAATTTGGCTCCCTTAAACCTGCAGATACCCTGTTTTCAGATGGATTACATCTTCAAACTGGTGCCATTCCAACAGAAAACCACCCAATGTAGAGCAAAAAGAAACATGTAAAGCTAGAGCTGTGAGTTAGTCAGCGGTCTCCGGGTCAGCAGCTTTGTGTTACTCTGGAATTCACTCTGTGGGAGGCGGGGTTTCACCAAATCCTGGCATCTTATTTCTGGGTTGAAGGAATGGGTCATTAAAATAACTTTAATTTTATTATATATTTTGTATATAAATTTTAAAATAAATCAGCTCCTCTAAGTCTGAGACCATGGCCTTGAGCTGGGAAAAGGTAGAATGCGTTCTCCAGGTCCGGGATGAGGTCCTGCCCCAAGTGGAGGAGTTGAAGTATCTTGGGGTCTTGTTCAGGAGTGAGGGGAAAGATGGAACACCAGATCAACAGGCGGATTGGTGCTGCATCTGCAGTGATGCGGACGCTGTACCGATCTATTGTGGTGAAGAGAGAGCTGAGCTGGAAAGCAAAGCTCTTGATTTACCAGTCGATCTATGTTCCCACCCTCACCTATGGTCAGAGCTTTGGGTAGAGAGCGAAAGAATGAGATCTTGGATGCAATCGGCCAAAATGAGTTTTCTCCGCGGGGTGGCTGAGCTCTCTCTTAGAGATGGGGTGAGAAGCTTGATCATCCGGGAGGGGCTCTGAGTAGACCCGCTGCTCCTCCACATCGAGAGGAGCCAGTTTAGTGGCTTGGGTATCAGGCTAGGATGCATCCAGGACACCTCCCTGGTGAGGTTTTCCAGGCATGTCCAACCGGGAGAAGACCTAAAGGAAGACCCAGGACACGCTGGAGGGACTACGTCTCTCAGCTGGCCACCTTGGGATTCCCCTGGAGGAGCTGGCCCAAGTGGCTGGGGAGAGGGAATTCTGAGCCTCCCTACTTAGGCTGCTGCCCCCACGACCCGAAAAAGGATGGATGATACGTGACCTTTAAGTTACCTTATTTAGTTGACTTATTTACAGTGTTTTATAATCGACTAGAGCTAATCTGTAGCTTGTACAAGTGTGCAAATCGTGTTTCGTCTGTCCCTGTCTGCTGTCATGCCCTGCTCTTGTACTTTAAAATAACTGTAGAAGGAGACCAGGAGGACAGATGTACCAAAAAAAACCAGATGGTCCAAAAAAGAAAGAAATAGACTTTCTAGCGTCTTAAGATGACCTTTTTGGTGTAGATTAATTCTGCTGGTGAAAATATGCCTTCAGGCGTTGATAAAGTAAGGAAATCCTCACATATGAGCAACTTACAGTATTTTTACTGGTCAGGTTTGGTATCATGTCAACATGAGGGTGTCTTTGTTGCCACAGTGAGCGTTTGTGGCAGCAGTAGCTCAGAAGGTTGAGCGGGTTGTCCAGTAATCGGAAGGTTGCAGGTTTGATCCCGGCTCCGGACAGAGAATTCTGCTGTTGTGTACTTGGGCAAGACACTTAACCCACGTTGCCTGCTGGTGGTGGTCGGAGGGACCGGTGGTGCCTGTGCTCGGCAGCCTCGTCTGTCAGTGTGCCCCAGGGCAGCTGTAGCTACATCGTAGCTCATCCCCATCAGTGTGTGAATGGGTGAATGATACACTGTAGTGTAAAGCGCTTTGGAGTCCTTACTCTGAGAGGCGCTATACAAGTGCGTGTCATTTATCATTTATCATTTGTGATGAAACAGGAGGAGAGACATTAAAAATAGGGATGTCCCGATCCGATCACATGCTCGGAAATCGGCCCCGATCACGTGGTTTCAGACTCTATCGGGACTCGGGCTTTACTTCCCGATCCAAGCCCCGATCCGGACTCGGAGACTGGGTTCAAATTACAGGAGAGCAACTTGGTTCTCCTTAAAGGTTGTCAGGCTCCCCTGATGCCCTTAACTTACACACCCAGACGGAGCACAAAAGAGATCCAGTTTCTACCTTTATTATATTATTTACATGGACTCAGCGTTGTGGGGATTCTTTTGAGCAGAGATGCAGGCAGACCGCTGATTATTCATGAACTCCAGCTGCGTTCTGCACACGGCCACAGTAAGATTTACTACGTTTTTAAGTGGCGTCACCAAAAATATATAATTAACACACAGTCATTCGTGTCCGTTCATTTTCTCTCTGGTAAGTTCTGTCTGTATTTGAGCACGACGTGTGGACGCGCTCGTGCTGCAGCGCTCGTCACTGGCGCAGCCGGGCAGCGCCGCGCACACTCCGCTTTTTTTGCGGTCAATGGATCAATTTGATCTGCTAGTTAAAAAGTTACTTGTGAGGTGAAAAAGAAGGCAGCAGGCAAGAGTTTGTCTGGAGGACTGGGAGATGCAGGAAAATCGGAGACAGACAGGACAGGAAGATGGGAAAATAAAAACCAAGAAAACAAAACAAAGTTCTTATAAAAATAAAATGTAGGTAGATTGATCCCACTTCACGTTTGTACCTGTATAAAGCAATAATTTATCAGCATGTAGTATTTATCATAGGCGTCATTTTAACCGGGGACACCGGGGACATGTCCCCGGCAAAATTTGTGATTGGCAGCTGTGTCCCCCCACTTTCAAAAACACCTGCTGATGAGGATTTTTGTTTTTCCAGCTCAGATCTTATACCGGGGTCGGCAACCTGTTCCCATCAAAGAGCCATTATTACCCATTTCCCACAGTAATTCTGGACGGAACTTAATAAGCAGTGGCTTAAGTGAAGCAGGCAGGTCGCGCTAGAAAATTTAGTTTAAAAAGACGTCATAAATGTTTTCCCCCGTCCTTTTTATTTTTAAAATATGAAGTAAAAACTCACAATTTAATTTTCATTCATTTGTCATTAATATGTAGTCTACACCCGTGCGTTAAGTGGACCATCTTCCAGTAAACGCACAGCATCCAGCCCACCTCTCCAAATGCGTAAAATGTGCATCAGCCGCTAGTTAGGCGCGTCGCGCGCACCGTCAGCTACGTCAGCCCAGACAAGAGCAGAGCAAATAAAGAATAGAGGATAATTGTGTCTGGATGTGGACGGAGATTACATTTTACAGCAGCCTGATCATCATTTAAATACGTAACCCATCACCTGGCTTCTAGTCCACGCTATCAGCATTATTTTAATTGGTGTGTGTGCGTGTGCGTGTGTGTGTGTGCGTGCGTGCGTGTGTGTGTTTTCCACTTCAAACACTGGTCTAACCAACCAGACCAGTGTGTCCAGTAACATATTAATGTTACAATTAAACTGTTTCCCTTCATGTAGGCTATAGGAACATTTCACCTGCCGTGGCCCGACCGCTTCTGCTCCACATAAACTTTGTGCGTGATCAAATGTCTCTACGCGTCATGCGTCTCCATATTAGAGACGGGAACAAGCGCTGTTCAGCCAAAGTTTCATAATTTCATTAAAAGAACATTTTTCCAAGTGACATCCCTCAGAGAGACCGGGTTTCCAGACTGTTTCAGTGGGAGGAAATCTTATCGCATGCGCCGTTCTGCACTGCGCTGCGAACCCCAGATCTTCAGCTCACTGTCCACCGTGGGCGCTCCGAGCCACGCTGAACACAGTGTCCAGTATAAAGCTCTGATGTTCTGATGGGAATATTTTACCTCCGCGATGTGCGTTAACAATTAAAATGTCAGCTCATCCATGCGCATTCGTGTGCGTCGGGGTAATTCTTTCAAACCAAGCAACATCCTTGAGTTCATCTGTCAAAATAAACAGTCAAATGAAACGAGGGCCCGGGTGCGTTTCGATCCCCAGACTCCAGGGTGAGAGTCATACGCTCTAACCAGTCAGCCAAAGGGACATCCCCTTGGCCAAGTAGCCAGGGCGCATTATCTATCGGGACACTGTGACAGGACACTCACACTGCCAAACCTGATTATGAAACTTTGGCTGAATAGTGCTTGTTCCTGTCTCCAATGTGGCGACGCATCCATGAGCCGTCTGAGGAGAAGCCCAGAATCTCACATCCTCTTCAGCTCATAAAGTGCCCATATGATTACGCTCAAGCGTGACCCGTCAACCCGGTCTCACAGTAAGACCGGGTTGGACCTGTTCAGGTTTACGCAGACAATCTTTACATTTAGAATTGGCATACAGATGTAAAATTAATGCAGTAAAATATAAAGCTTTTTATTTAAATATCCATTCATTATTTTACAAGCACAGATGGATGGAAGAGCCGCATGCGTCTCCAGAGCCGCGGATTGCCGACCCCTGTGCTAGCCTACTTTATTGTCCCCAGCAATTTTTAAACCCCACTCAAGTGTATGGTTATTGTCCCCAGCAATTCTGAAAACAAACTGACGCCCTTGGTATTTATGTAGTTGATACAATTCAGATCATCTTCAAAACTCCGTCCCATGCCCACGGACGTATCTAAGCATTTTGGGGGCCGAGGCAAAATAGCCCCCTGCCAGGTATTTTAAGTTGAAGTGCTATCTGTTTTTATATTAGACTTTTTATATTTGCAATAAAGTCCAAAAATGAAGAATTTATGTTATTTATTACTTTATTGTTCAAGCTACCTCACAGAAGTGATCTGTTGTTAAAAATGAAAATAAAAAGGCAATTAAATAAAAAATAAGGAACATTCTGGAACAGTTTCTTCCTTTTCTTTATTTTTGTATGTATCAAAAATATCGGCTCGGACTCGGTGTCGGCAGATTCTCAAAATCAAGTGACTCTGACTCGGACTCAAGGGCAAAAAAAACCTGATCGGGACATCCCTAATTAAAAAACTTCTCCATTTCCCCTGATGAAATAGGATAAGGGTTAAAATAAATGATTATGGGAAATTAATTTCGTGTTTACAAAAATAATATAAAGGAACCTTTTTAAATACCACAAATATGCTGTTTAATGCTAGTGGGCAAAGTGCTGAGTGAGTTTAATCCAACGTTTACTAAGCTTAAAGAGTAAACTCCAAAATTACATTTTTTTGCTTATTAACTGTAAAATTGAGTCTTTACCAATGCAATCTTTCAGTTTCTGTGCATTTTTTGACATGTTTGTGAAAACTTGATTAAATCTAGAATCTAGGTCTGAAAACGTCGTAGTGCTGCCGCCTGTGGGTTGAACTGTGGCTACTGCATTTTAAACTTGTGATTGGGGCTGGCACAAGTTTGCGTCATTGGTACAGTCTCCTCCCACTCCCTCCTGGGATGGAAATTCCCCACACTTGGCCATGCCACTCTGTGCCTCCTGGCAACGCCTACTTTCATAGCATTTTAAAAATCTTAACTAGGGGTGGAGTTGCGTTTTCTGATGGCGTGCAGTCCGTCTTTAACTGTTTTGGTTTCTAGAATTGTTGCTAAAAAAAAAAAAAAAAACGTCTTGCTGATTCGATCTCTTTCCTGTTTTGTGTTTCCAGTCCTCAAACAGCTGGAGGAACTGCTGAGTGACATGAAGGCTGACGTCACTCGTCTCCCAGCAACCATCGCCAGGATCCCCCCCGTGGCCGTACGGCTGCAGATGTCTGAGAGGAACATCCTCAGCCGATTGGCCAGCCGGGGTCCCGAGGTCGGGCTCCAGAATCCATCACAAACCTCACAGCAAATGCAGGTGCCGCGCTGACCAATCACATTGCAGCTTTGAAGCTAGGCGGTCTCACCTCACCACCACGTAGCAGATGTTCTCCCCTCCAAACACCGTGTACAGAACAGTCAGGTTAGTTCCTCCCCCTCGCTCTGTGCCGACAACTCATCTCCAGACTCAGACGCTGTGCAGCTTGACTTTGTTTCTAAAAGACGGGAGTCGATAGAATAATCACTTGCCTCTCCGCGGCAGAATAAATACGAGCATTTCTCTTTCTGGGATCAGATTCAGCTCCTCAGCTCTCACCTGTCCTGACAGCAGGGTCAACCGTGTGCTTGTGACATATGTACCATGGAACAGGTGTGGAGTTTCCTGATGCTTTACATTAACTTTTAGTTCCCTGAAGAATTCAAGGGATTGGATTGTGCTTCTTTCCACCTTTAGGGACTTGTGAAAACACCGACGTTTTGTTAGGAGTCATTGAGCAGGAATTTTGTGGCCGATAGGGTACCGGTCTGTGTGTAAAGAGAAAGTGTTTCATGTTTGTGATGAACATAAAAATGTGCGTCTCTACTGCAGCGAGCCTCTCCCCTGAGACTGTTACCGTCATTTCTGCGTCAGTCTTATCCGTCTGTTACCTCTTCCTGTGTTCGTCCTGCCACCTGCACCGCAGGTAAGCTGATCTGAGATTAGCTCTTTGTACCCCCCCCCCCCAACTAGTACCTTGACATTCCTAACTGCACCAAAAATCTGCTTAACTGGGAACTTCCCCTAAAATACTAAAGTAGGACATGTTTTTGGTACATGTGAATTTTACAAATGACGGCAACCTTTAAGTTTATTTAATTTCTTATTGTCTGTTTGTTTTATGTCATTGAATATTGTTATTGTCACCACCTTGTTTTTATTGATGCCGTTCGTTTTTATGGACTACAATAAAATGTCAGACGTTTATCTGTCTTCTTTATTTCCTGCATTATGTTTTTATTTGGCAAATTCCTTCTTTCTGTTCAAGTAGGTGACAGATTTAAGAGAAAAGCTTGTAAACGTTCGTGTCAGGTGTTGGCCTGAGCACGGATGAAGAAGGACCACTACCCTAAAGGTATCATTGGTTACATAATGGTCTCGTGTGTGGAAGTCCATTTCTGCCACATGAGAGAAAAAAATGTTACTACTGTCAAAGTTGGAACTGAGCTTCGGTGAAAATTATGAGTTTTTAATTCATGAAACAAAAATCAAAATAAATGCATTCTCATAAATATGATTTTAAAAGTTGTAACTTTGCTTTTATAACTCAATAATAATTTAGTTTCTCATAATCATGATTTTGTACCATAATTATGATTTGAATCACATAATTTAAAATTTCATATTTATTATTTCTCATGGTTACATATTTGCTTCTCATTTTAGGATTCTGTATCATAAATATGATTTAATATCTAATGATTTTGTATCAGTTATTTCAAATGTCAAAATTATGAATTCAAATCTCGTAATTATTGTTTTATCGCTGACAATATTATTGTATATCCCATAATTGCTGTTGTATATAATTTATGATAGTAATTCTCATAATTTTATATCATTATGATTTTGTACAATTAAATCTCATAAATGGATATTTTGTATCAATATTATAATTGTGAATCTTGCAATTATGCTTTTGTATCATAATTTGAATTTTTAATCTCATAATTTTGATTTTTACTCTCATAATTACTATATTTAACCCATAAACTCAAAATTATGACTATTGTGACTTTATTGACCTTCCACATTTTAAAAATCTTAATGGATTTTTCACTACATTAACATAGTTTTAACGATGAAAGCCATAGTTTGAAATAAAATCCATAATTCAAATGTAAACCACCCATTTGACATTCAAACCTCCCTTTACGAGAGCCTGAAAATGTCCTGCCTGTTTTATTAAACATTTTCCATTTTATTTAACATCCTTTCCTGCATCTGTCACGTAGCTGGAGCTGCAACATGCTCTGCTAAGCATAACAACAAACAGCCGTAGCAGCCTGGCATAGTTTGCATACAAGCCTAGAAGGATGAGGTGGAATTTACATAGGAGCTAATGTAGATTTGTTGGAGAGATAAAAACAATGAGCTCTTCTTTGTGCAGCAGATCGGGAGGGGAAGATTGGGGGCAGGATGCATTTTGCCCCACAAATAGCTCGATAATTAGGCATAAATTGAGTTAATTACAGGGCGGGATGATTGCCTTGGCTTGTTATCTTATGAAAGAGTTGGGAGGCTTTGGCATGAGCTGGCCTGTGTGCTCAGAAAGGCAAATAAGGACAAAGGCTGTTAACCTACACTAAAAGGCATACCTAGACTTATTTGTGTAACCTGACACCAGATCTGATTGCGGATGGAAGAGGAGAACCCCTAAAAATTACCTCATTCAGCAGCTCTCGCTGGAATTAAGTTGTTACTTCCTGGTGCGAACAAATCTAACGTCCCATTTGTCCGGAGAGCAGAGAGGAGTCAACAGCATGACTTGTGGGTGAGTTATTGTTCATTTTATATCTAAACATATTTTTTTCTGGCATATTTTGTTCTTGCCGCTGCCTCTTCTTTAAATTCTATCCTTTAAATTGACTTTATTCTTTTTATTTACCCTACCATCAGAAAAATCATTTATTTTTGTGTGTAGTGTAATAAAAACACCAGTATTACATATCTGGAAGAAGAAAAATGTAAAGTTTTTGTGGTATTCTAGATTTTTTTAATGTTTTGGGAAAAAGTACAAATAAGATATTTTCGGTAAAGCCTCCTGTAGATTAAAAAAGTCATGTTAAAATGTTATATTGTGTTAGAATAACCTAAAATACGCGGAAAATAAAAAATTTTTGTGCTTCTATGTGATTCTTATCAAGTATGTGACATGTAACAAAATAAACTCCATAAATGCTGAAGCAAGCCATCCACGTTGGATCACTAGGGGACATTTGTATTATAGGAATATTTTTAACGTGCTCCAAAAAGGAACTTTTGGTTTCGTACTAAATATAATTTATTTATTTTTGTTGTGGTTTGAATTTGACGTAATGGCATTTGTTTCTGGCAAAGTTTCCACATGCGAACTAGACAATGTTTAATATTTGCTGCAAGTTCTTGCCTTAATTAGTTTTATTTAAAGGTGTGGTTCACTGAAAACCCATTTTTAAATGAATATTTCTGATTCTAATTGGTCCCTCTGAGTTTTTCATGCAAGCTGAATATGATAATAGTCTCCTTCACCTATCTCCTGCATTAGCATCTGATAGAAAATAGACGGTGAAACTCTAGAATTTGAAAGCAGTGACAGCGCCCTGGATTAGTCATAGCACCCCCAAGTAATTAGATTTTTTTTTTTTTTTTTACAATTAAATTTTAATTTAAGGTGTGGATGTGATAATATTTAACATAAAAACAAAAATAATCAGTAAATTATCATATAGATAGTAAAAACTTAAACCAAAACAGGAAATTGTTGTTAACCTTTGACCTCATTTTCCAAGTGAAAGGTGGAGCTAGTGGTAAAATGGATCGGTTTTTGTTGCCCAAATTTCCACGGGTTCAGTCAGAAACGAATGAATCTTTGGAAGTGATCTCAGACCCACAAAAACCTACAGATCAGGATGAAGAGAGTCAACCCTCAACCGCCGCAGCAGTCGAGGGTTTTGCCACTGGAAATGCTAACACTAACGTTAGCTAACCTTGCAACACTATAGATGGTTTTCTGTGTGGCTGTATGTGTTTATGATTTCATGGAAATGTCAGCGATTGTTCAATTCAATTCAAGTTTATTTATAAAGCGCCAAATCACGACAAGAGTCGTCTCAAGGCACTTCACATAATAAACATTCCAATTCAGGTCAGTTCATTAAGCCAATCAGAAATAATGTTTCCTATATAAGGAACCCAGCAAATTGCATCAAGTCACTGACTAGTGTCACTGACTAGTGTCAGTGACTATACAGCAATCCTCAATGCTTGTTTATATGTTTATGATGTATATTAGATTAATTATTGTTTCAGGTGTTGTTGAGGTTTTGTGCACACGTGTGTATCTGCTAGTGTTGAAGGTGTTTTAGAGAACAATAGGTACGCATGACCTCTCCTTCATAGCACCCTCAATAAAAAGACTAGCTCCTTCATAGCACCTGCAGAAAAACATTTCTGGACCTGCCACTGTTTGAAAGGCCTGACAAGTACTCTCCCATTTTGACTTGCAACAAGGAAGGCTGTTGTTTTAGCATTCAAGAATCAACATTCCCAACTAGATTAAGCTAACCTTTAGCATTAGCAACATCACCTCACAGCAGAACTCCTCCATGCTTTTGTTATTTGTGGAGATAATAGTCACATTTTTGTTATCCAATCTGAGGCAAGATTTCCAAATTTCAGGAAATATGACTCCAAAACCTGCAAGACAGGACACCCAACTGAAGCTTAGTGGCGTTTATGCTGTCCAGTGTAGTGAGGACTGTCCAGACCTTTCACTGGGGAAACTAAACAGCATGGCACTATACAGGAAAGCTACCTCTTCAGGTCAAGACTCTGCAGTCCACTTACACCTGAAAGACAAGATCACACTTTTTGAAGATGTCAAAGTACACATTCTGGACAGAAAAAACCCAGCATTAAACGGAGGGGGAGGTCTCAGGTTTCACATTTCCAGCACCTATAATGCAGCTTTACACCTAATTCCAAAACACTTTCAGTCCAGACCAAACCCTCCTGCATCTAATCAAAACAACCATTCCCACACAATAGAGCCTAATGACTCAAACAACTCCTCAGGGGTAGACGGCTACAGTTAATGTGCTTGACCCTCCCGTATGATGTCAGAGTTGCTGATGATGATATCTTCAATTGGTATTGGCCTTCAAAACTACAATTGGTGCATTTCTAGATGAAACCAATCTTCATGTTTAGGAAGTAGGGAAATCTAGATCCATAAATGTACCTTATTAATCCCAGGCTGGGAAATTGCAGAGAAGCAGCAGCGTTCCACAGATTAAGACAGTTTAAGCAAAAGCAATATAAAAAAGGCTGATATATTTAAAACCTGAAAATCTGTAGGTTTATTAAACTTTTTTAGGAATCACTACTCTAGAGGAGGTAATGCTGTCATTCTAAGTAGCATATCTATGTTAAAGTACAATGTTACAAGTTTTAGTCACACAATTCAAATATTAATTGCTAAATGTATTTAAAGTGAGAGCAGAATGCCGATTAAAGGTCCTTTTGGATATCTGTTAAAGTAGTATGTTGTAGCCGCTGCAAGTACAGCTACTCTGAACTGCTTTAAAACACATCACCTAAATATTTCTGCTTATTTTCTTCCAAAAAAGTTTCAGAGGTTTAACAAAGTATCCACACGGCCGTGCATTAAAATCATCTAAACAGAAACCGTTTGCAACACTCAACCAAATCAGGGAAACATCATCCTTTTGCTCTGTCAGTGAGAACAAGGGAACCTCTGTGTGTGTGTGCATGTGTGTGTGTGTGTATGTGTGTGCTGTATGGCAGATGCATTTGCCTATTATGTAACGCTCTGCAGAGGCAGAAGGGAAGAGAAGTCAAACCTGCTCTAACTGTAAAACATGAGATTCTGACAGGAGTATAATGAGTGCAATAGCTGGCGTTAACCACGACAACACCTGCAATTGTGTGTGTGTGGCTCCAGAGAGCTATATATAATAGTGTTCTCCTCCATACAATTTATTTATCGTTTTACGTTGTTTAACCCAATATTTTCCACTAGAACTGTCTTCTTTAGCATTTCAAAACAAAAAGTGGGATAATTGGCAAGTTAAATGCAGGAAATCACGTAAATGATTCTTGTTTACATGCTTAAAAAAGGAATGGAAGAGTTTGTGTTTGCAGTTTAACCAAATGTGTGTGTGTGTGTGTGTGTGTGTGTGTGTGTGTGTGTGTGTGTGTGTGTGTGTGCGCCTTGTTTGTACTACATTTTGGGGACATGTCACGTTTAACCTGTAACGTGGGGACATTTGGCTGGTCCCCACTGTGTAAAAAGTCCTTCTTACTTGCTTTTAGAGGTATTGTGTGAATTAAGTGTTATTTAGGGTTAAGGTTAAGAATACACCAGTAATGGTTATGGTTAGGGATAGGCCCCATACGGTCTCTAAAAAGCTAGGTCCCCACAAGTATAGAAATATAAACGTGTGTTTGTGGAACTTTTACTTTAAATGGACAGATCACTATTTATCACCAGTTTAACCTTCTTTAAATGCCATCTATGTTTGCTGTTGCAGTGGTTAATTAGATGAAAAGCAACACACACACACACACACTCACACACACACACACACACACACACACACACACACACGAGGGGGGGAAGGTCAAACTTCAAATAAGGAAGTGTTCTGTGACTCTGACCTTTGTGTGTTACATGCACACACCGGTACACACCTGGAAGTAAAGAACAAACAGCACTGACAGCAGACAGGTGGGCTGGCTGAGGAGACAACGTTTGCCTGTGATTTTTGTTAGACCAAGCGTGCTCTCGCTGGTGACGTCTCCAGGAACTTAAACTCTCTGTTTTGGACTCTGACCGTGATGGGATGGCTGCTCGCTGAGCAGAGTCACCAGACCTACATCTGCTGCTGCTGCTTCTGCTGCAGAGATCCGACACAGGAAACTTAGAGTGATGGAGCTGAAACCTTCTCTGCTCTCGCACACAACTTTTTGTTGTGGTCATTATTAGAAGAAGAAAAACGGCATCTTCTCCATCTACTTGAGGAATTCCGGCCTGTTGGCTATTTTTGTTCTTGTGTTTGCTTTCACTATTTTGTGAAAGGACACGTAAAAAGGAAGGAAGGGGAGTGACAGAGAGAAAGAGAGAACAACGCAGGGGGTAAGACGCAGACGACTACAGTGTGAGCGTCTTCCTGAGTGACAGTTGTTGACTGGAGCAGCTGAGAGGAGTAAGTGTTTGCCTGTTTTTGTACTTGAGCTGTCAGATAGAGGAGGAGAGCTGAGGGCGGATGATTTTGACGGGATGGTGTCTGGTTAGTGTGCGAACGAACAAACACATGATTCATTTGAAGTCAGCACAAAGTGAGGAAGTAGTGCAACAACAAAGCGTTTTGTCTTCCATGAGATTAACAATCAACTAACAAGAGAAAATATCCTCGAACTTGTGCTTTTGAATCGGCACGTGTGGCGCAGGTACAAGTGGCTCTTCATCGATAGCTCTTCATCTCTTTTGTCCCAGAAAACGTCGGGAGACGACATGGTTCGGTGAGTCAAGCCTCTGCCGAACACCACAACGCTGCGTTAGTCAACTCTGCTTGTGTTTTTTTTTACATTTTTTTGTGCTTTTTGCAAAACATTATGACAACTTCTCTGTTTCCATTCCTCCTTCTCTATCTTTCGCCAGCCGTTCGCTCATCCTGCTCTGTTCTTCTGTCATATGACCCCTAATGTGCTGCACGCTTTGTTTAAAAAAAGTGACAGAAGTAAAACATTTAATTCACTTTACCTATTGGTGCATCTTCAACCTTCTAGCTCTTTAACCCAGCGCTAATTTAGCTTCCAGACGTCACGACTTTGCTGCTTTTGCTGAATTTCACAACTAAATCATAACCTAGAAGCAAATTAAAATGCATGTTTTCATTTTGAAAGCTACTTTTCGTTATTTCTTTAAAACGCAACCACACTTGTGTCATGAAACTTAAGAATAAGTCGTTTTTAAACATTTAGAAGTCAATAATCTATAAAATTCAGATTAAATCCTTCGACATATTTGCAGGTAAGAAGAAATAATATAAAGTAATTTAAATTCTGGTTTATTTTTTTGGAACTGGTAGCTTTTAAACAACAATTAAGACATTTTACTTTAAATATGTTAATTTAATGTGCATGAAAATTGTTAGATTACACAGGTGAGGACGATCCACTGCTTTATTATTATTATTATTATTATATTGCTATATTAGAGCTTTATTATTGACCTTTTTCATATCTCAGGGCTATATTTAGCATTAAAATGCAGTCTGATCTCATTATCTTAGCTGCTGAGAGATAAATGAAGGATATAATTATAGAAAACATCAGAATATTTATTTCCTGACAAATTCATAAATAACTGAGTCAAACTGAGCTTTAGTCAGAAAAAAATTAAGATTTTTGGGTCTAACAGCATCTCAAAACATCTAAAACGGAAATGCAGTAATCCAGCTCTTTCAACTTACTAAACACAATTCTCCCATTCATCCTAACGAGTGATCTAATCCTGCAGCGCTAATTTCATTTCTAACCTGAATTATTTGTGTTTTCTTGGTCCTGGCGCAGGTGGTTCCACAGAGACATCACTGGTCTGGAAGCCGAGGAGGTCCTGAAGTCTCGGGGCATCCCTGGCAGCTTTTTGGCTCGACCCAGCAAGAAAAATGTTGGTGATTTCTCCCTGTCGGTCAGGTAACAACCCAACGACTTCTATAGAAGCTCCTATTTTATTGGAGAAAACTGGAGGACTTTATATTCTTCCCAAATTTATCTGCAGGCTAGAAATGGCACGATTATTACAAATCTGAAGGGTTTTGATGAGCGAGAGCAACTGAAATCATGGGTCAGCTGCCTCTGTCTGATTTTAATAAATGTTGAAGCTTCTTTTTAACGTTTGATGAACAGAAAGTGAAATGCTCAACAAGAACGCCACAGAGAGAAACGATCACAGAGAAATCTGGTGTCTGTATATCTAACATCCTGAAACCTTTGCTCTTTAGACCTAACTGATACACTTGAGATTTTCTTGATCGTAAACCATGTTATACAGTATCGGAGCCTTTTATTATAAGAGGTTGATATTTAATGCTTTCTCCGTGCTACGGCCTTTATTTTTTTTTAGCTATATTCAATAGCTGTTTATTTAAAAGAGGTCAGCTCGCAGAAATCTGTGTTGTGTCACTTTCAGACATAGAAACACTGGAAACTTATTTGCCGTACAAAAATGGGTCACACACTTATTAAGTGTTTGGTAGTCTGATTTGTGGTTTCTTCTGCTTCAGCATCTCAAAGTGCATCTCAGCAAAACATTAAACTGGTAAAAGCGGAATCCTTTGAAACTGCTGAATAGATGCAGATTGTTTAAAATGTTTCAGTTTTTCAAATATTCTGTAACAATTTACAAAATGGGTCTCTTTATTAACATCACTTAGTGCATTATTAAGTATTAATAAACAATTAAAGTAATAACTGCATAACCATATTATGTAATGCATTACTAAACAGACATCCCCGACCCTTTGTTCTAACCTTAAGGACAACTAATAGTTGACAAAAACATTAGTGTTAATAAAGGGACCCTTTGTATATTGATACTTGATAATGCACTATGTAACGTTAATAAAGAGACCCTTTGTTTATTGATGATTAATAATGCACTATGTAACAGTAATAAAGATACCCTTTGTTTATTGATGCTTATTAATGCACAAAATAACGTTTTAAAGGGACTCTTTGTTTATTGATGCCTAATATTGCAGTAAGTAACGTTAATAAAGGGACTCTGTTTATTGATGCTTAATAATGCACAAAGTAACATTATAAAGGGACCTTTTGTATATTGATGCCTAATATTGCAGTAAGTAACGTTAATAAAGGGACTCTTTGTTTATTGATACTTAATTGATACTTAACTTTAATAAAGGGACTCTTTGTTTGATACTTAATTGATACTTAACGTTAATAAAGGGACTCTTTGTTTATTGATACTTAATAATGCACTAAGTAAAGTTAATAAAGGGACCCTTTGTTTATTGATGATTAATAATTCACTATGTAACAGTAATAAAGATACCCTTTGTTTATTGATGCTTATTAATGCACAAAGTAACGTTATAAAGGGACTCTTTGTTTATTGATGCCTAATATTGCAGTAAGTAACGTTAATAAAGGGACTCTGTTTATTGATGCTTATTAATGCACAAAGTAACGTTATAAAGGGACTCTTTGTTTATTGATGCCTAATATTGCAGTAAGTAACGTTAATAAAGGGACTCTGTTTATTGATGCTTAATAATGCACAAAGTAACGTTATAAAGGGACCTTTTGTATATTGATGCCTAATATTGCAGTAAGTAAAGTTAATAAAGGGACTCTTTGTTTATTGATACTTAATTGATACTTAACTTTAATAAAGGGACTCTTTGTTTATTGATACTTAATTGATACTTAACGTTAATAAAGGGACTCTTTGTTTATTGATACTTAAAATAATTAATAATGCACTAATCCATCCATCCATTTTTTGAACCCCCTTTGTCCACGCAGGGTCGCGGGGGGCTGGTGCCTATCTCCAGCAGTCAACGGGCAAGTAGGCGGGGTACACCCTGGACAGAGAGCCAGTCCAACACAGGGCAACACAGAGACACACACAGGACAAACAACCATGCACACACACACTCACACCTAAGGACAATTTAGACAGATTGATCAACCTAACAGCCATGCTTTTGGAGAACCCATGCATGCACAGGGAGAACATTTAAACTCCATGCAGGAAGATCCCAGGCCGGGAATTGAACCCGGGACCATCTCGCTGCAAGGCAACAGTTCTAACCACTGTGTCACTGCGCAGCATAATGCACTAAGTAAAATTAATAAAGGGATCCTTTGTGTATTGATGCTTAATAACGCACAAAGTAACGTTAAAAGCAACCCTTTGTTTATTGATGCTTAATAATGCACAAAGTAACGTTAATAAAGGGATCCTCAGTTTTTTGATGCCTAATATTGCAGTAAGTAACGTTAATAAAAGGGACCCTTATTTATTGATGCTTAATAATGCATAAAGTGACATTAAAAAGGGACCCTTTGTTTATTGATGCTTAATAATAGACAAAGTAACATTAAAAAGGGACCCTTTGTTTATTGATGCTTAATAATAGACAAAGTAACGTTAAAAAAGGACCCTTTGTTTATTGATGCTTAATAATGCACAAAGTAATGTTAAAAAGGGACCCTTTGTTTATTGATGCCTAATAATGCAGTAAGTAACCTTAATAAAGAGACTATGTTTATTGATACTTTATAATGCACTATGTAATGTTAATAAAGGGACCCTTTGTTTATTGATGCCTAATATTGCAGTAACGTTAATAAAGGGACCCTTTGTGTATTGTTCCTAATAATGTACTAAATAACGATAGTAAAGGGATCCTTTATTTATTGATGCTTAATAATGCACAAAGTAACGTTAAAAGGGACCCTTTGTTTATTTATGCTTAATAATGCACTAAGTAACTTTAAAAAGGGACCCTTTGTTTGTTGATGCTTAATAATGTGCAAAGTAACGTTAAAAAGGGACCCTTTGTTTATTGATGCCTAATATTGCAGTAAGTAACGTTGATAAAGGGTCTCTTTGTTTATTGATGCTTAATGCACTATGTAACATTAATAAAGGGATCCTTTGTGTATTGTTCCTAATAATGCACTAAATAACGATAATAAAGGGATCCTTTGTGTATTTATGCTTAATAATGCACAAAGTAACATTAAAAAGGGACCCTTTGTTTAGTGATGCTTAATAATGCACAAAGTAACATTAAAAAGGAACACTTTGTTTATTGATATTTAATAATGCGCAAAGTAATGTTAAAACGGGGCCCTTTGTTTTTTGATGCCTAATATTGCAGTAAGTAACATTGATAAAGGGACTCTTTGTTTATTGATACTTAATGCACGATGTAACGTTAATAAAGGGATCCTTTGTTTATTGTTCCTAATAATGCACTAAATAACGAAAATAAAGGGATCCTTTATTTATTGATGCTTAATAATGCACAAAGTAACGTTAAAAAGGGACCCTTTGTTTATTGATGCTTAATAATGCAGTAAGTAACCTTAATAAAGAGACTATGTTTATTGATACTTTATAATGCACTATGTAATGTTAATAAAGGGACCCTTTGTTTATTGATGCCTAATATTGCAGTAACGTTAATAAAGGGACCCTTTGTGTATTGTTCCTAATAATGTACTAAATAACGATAGTAAAGGGATCCTTTATTTATTGATGCTTAATAATGCACAAAGTAACGTTAAAAGGGACCCTTTGTTTATTTATGCTTAATAATGCACTAAGTAACTTTAAAAAGGGACCCTTTGTTTGTTGATGCTTAATAATGTGCAAAGTAACGTTAAAAAGGGACCCTTTGTTTATTGATGCCTAATATTGCAGTAAGTAACGTTGATAAAGGGTCTCTTTGTTTATTGATGCTTAATGCACTATGTAACATTAATAAAGGGATCCTTTGTGTATTGTTCCTAATAATGCACTAAATAACGATAATAAAGGGATCCTTTGTGTATTTATGCTTAATAATGCACAAAGTAACATTAAAAAGGGACCCTTTGTTTAGTGATGCTTAATAATGCACAAAGTAACATTAAAAAGGAACACTTTGTTTATTGATATTTAATAATGCGCAAAGTAATGTTAAAACGGGGCCCTTTGTTTTTTGATGCCTAATATTGCAGTAAGTAACATTGATAAAGGGACTCTTTGTTTATTGATACTTAATGCACGATGTAACGTTAATAAAGGGATCCTTTGTTTATTGTTCCTAATAATGCACTAAATAACGAAAATAAAGGGATCCTTTATTTATTGATGCTTAATAATGCACAAAGTAACGTTAAAAAGGGACCCTTTGTTTATTGATGCTTAATAATGCACAAAGTAACGTTAAAAAGGGACCCTTTGTTTATTGATGCTTAATAATGCGCAAAGTAACGTTAAAAAGGGACCCTTTGTTTATTGATGCTTAATAATGCACAAAGTAACGTTAAAATTGACCCTTTGTTTATTGATGCTTAATAATGTGCAAAGTTATGTTAAAAAGGGACCCTTTGTTTATTGATACTTGTTAATGAACTATGTAATGTTAATAAAGAGACCGTTTGTTTATTGATGCCTAATATTGCAGTAAGTAATGTTAATAAAGGGACCCTTTGTTTATTGATACTTGTTAATGCACTATGTAATGTTAATAAAGAGACCCTTTGTTTATTGATGCTTAATAATGCACTAAATAATGATAATAAAGGGATCCTTTATTTATTGATGCTTAATAATGCACTAAGTAATGTTAAGACATGGACCCTTATTGTAAAGTGTTACCAGATATTCAGATTTTACCTTTCAGATTCTATTTTAACAATTGGTGTTCGGCAAGTTTAATGCATAAAAGTCAACCAAAGGAAAAAAATCAAATGTTTTTCATAACTGCTGTTCACAGGAAGTTTGTCTGTTTGGTGTGGCCTGACTGTTTAATTTTTTATTTTATTTTTTCATTGCAGGGTGGGTGATTTGGTTACCCACATCCGCATCCAAAACACTGGAGACTATTATGACCTGTATGGTGGGGAGAAGTTCGCCACCCTGTCAGAGCTGGTGGAATACTACACAGCAGAGAACGGCATCCTTCAGGACAAAGACGGCACAATCATTGAGCTGAAATACCCGCTGAACTGCTCCGACCCCACCACCGAGAGGTGCGTGCTAATCTTTGTCCCCTCCCTCGGCTTCCAGTAGGTCAAATGCCCCCTGATCATCTCCCTCGCCTCCGCGTGGTCCGCGGCGAGTCTTGGGGGATGGTGTGCTGACTGGTTTGGTGGTTGAGTCGACTGTGACCAAACAAGTTTCCCCAACATTTGATTACATTTTAGTTTCCTCTGAGTTGCACTGAAATTAAACCTCCTTCAATCATGTTATTTCTTCCAGCTTTAACATTTTCCTCTGTAGGGGGAAAAGAGGAGAGTTACGGTATTTGAGGTGTAGCAGCATGTTCAATTTCACAGCGAATCCGTATTAATCAAAAATAGTCTTCATTCCTACATTTTCTGCCTCGCTGTTACAGGTTCACATGAGTATCAGCATTAGGTGGTAATAAACAATCTTTTTACTGCTTTAAATGCACCAATACAGACTATCTATTATCTGATTCATGTTTTTATCGAAGATCCTTATCTCGCATTGTTTAAGATAAACTAAATGTAAGAAACAGTTCTGTGAAAATCTATTTCTAGACCTCCTACTATGTTTTGTACAAAATGTGAGAATTCTCATTAGCCTTCTTTTTAAAATTAGACTTCATATGTGTGCAAAACCTTTCCATCAAAGGGAAAACCCAGTAACCTTTGTGCAAAGTGACAGCGAACATTAGAACTTAATGCCAAAACAGGAAATACAAAATAAGAGGAGAAAAGTGACATTCCCTTGGTTTAACAACATATCAGGATTATTCTTTTTCTGTCAGGATTATTACAATATCTGCAACAATATTATGCAAATTTAAATACAATACTAAAGATGTGGTTCATAGGAAAAACTTTTTAAATGAGTATTTCTGATTATGTTCAGTCACTCTGAGTTTTGCATGCAGGCTGAACATGAAAATAGTCTCCTACACCTATCTCCTGCATCAGTGTCTGGTGGACGGTGAAACGTTGACATTGAAAAGCCTGACAGATCTATGTTGCTTGGACCCACCCGTACTGGGTCGCAGATGAAAGTGGAATTACAACTGTCGTAAGCAACCCGCCTGCAGTCTGCTTTAGCTAGCGCAAACAAGCTAACCCTAACATGAGCCAACTAATACAAAATAAACCACAAAGTAAAAAGATCCACACTGTTGGACAAAAAATATTATTGCTTACAAGTCCGGAAGAAACAAAGCCAGGTCACCATCAGTCTGGGATTTTGTAACCTCCTTTAGCTCCCTTAAACTAGCGTAGGCTGTGCCGATGTTCACTCTGGTTTAGAGATTTGCTTTGCCTCCAAATACATTACTCTCTTACTTTTACTTCCAGGCTCTGTCATGATGCCAACAGTACAAGCAAACTTCTTCTTTTTCTCCTTCTCATGCTTTTTGTTGACAAGCTGCAAACTGAAAATGCTAATCGCTAGCATTAGAGCTAACAGCAGTAAAGCAGGTAGAGGGCATCCCCTAAGACAACTACCCCCTCCACAAAATTATCAAGTGCTGTTTCTGGTCAGCAGAGGCTGCCAGAATGGTGTCAAATATAAGCTGGTCAAGTTTATAACTCAACAGTCTCTGAGATCAGCATCAAAGCTCTAGCTTAAAGTTAAAAAAAAGTTTTTTGTCTTACTTCAAAGTCAGCAAATTAATTTGAATAATTATTGAGTAATTTTCATGACTATTTCACACCAAATGCTAGCTGATGCAAGAACGTTGTTTATGCTACGCTAAACGAAATACTGCCAGATTAAAATTACTAAGCTGGCTACAGAATGTTTTTTCCTGCTTTTCTAACTCTGGGCAACAGACTAAAATTCACTAGAAAGGCCATGGCAGTTCATCTGTTTTGCAATTATCATGTTTTTTAGGGGTAAGACGGTACGCTAAAATCGAGTTTGGTTCAATTAATTTTCGGTATATTATTATATTTATTTAATATCTAAAGCGGCTCCTATAGTGAGCAGAACCAGGGGTCATCACAGGCTGCTGACCTAGCATGATGTCTTTAATTATTTCACAGGCTGTTTGCGCAGCTATGAGTGTCACACTCATGCAGACAAGTGTTGTGTTTGTTGTTGCTCTGTGTTTTTATTTCTGCAGCGAGCCTTAAAAACTCACCGCCCAGAGTTTCTTCTTTAAAACTCATATTAAATAACAAGCTTACTATACACCATATTTTTAGAGTAGGATGAGAACTTTACATCACTTGTACCAGGGGGAATATAGTTCAGCAGCCATATTTGTTTACATTTTTGCTGCTGCGTGTCTGCACAGTGTGAGAAGGGAGGGAGGGGTGAAGCGACACTTCACTCAGCGTCTCCACAGGCTCCAGTAGCAGCAACAGCCAGCTGGTTTCATCCGCCCGGAATGGCGTTAATCCCAATTTGCACATCACATTTTTAAACGAGATTGGGCGCGTGCAGCCATCATGCGTCACTCAATACAGCGTCCATGCGGAAACTCGCCTAGGAATCTGCTGCACTTAAATCACGCCAATAAAAATTCATTATTTAACGGAAAAAATAAACTGAAACGGTTCAACACTCCCCCGTGAAGCGTTACACCCCTAATGTTAAGGAGGGCTTGGGATCACACGTGATTATGCATTACATTCTGGGATGTGCGCAGATATGTTGATGGCCCTACGAGTGTAAACAAACCGTGAAAACAGAGAAGAAGCAGATTTGGGAGAAAGGAAATGTGAATCAACATGTTAAAATCCCAAAAAGGATGCGGAATATACAGGAATGCGTAAAATGAAGAGGTTGGGGACCGGTTTATGGACAAATGTAGCATCCTAAACGGTTTGGATATTTCCATATGAAAGACCCAAGAGTGGAGCACTGATGGCAGCCTTTTGCCACCACAACTCTGCACAACGGACATTTTCGGCCATCTTGTTTGTGGTGTGAGGAGATGTAAACTTATGAACAAGAGGTAAATGTTTCATTTGCTGGTTTTTCTAGTAAAACAATCAAAATTGTCATCTCACAGAAGGAGACACTGTGTTGTGTGTGTCAGTGTGCCCGCATTAGCTTAGCAGCGTGTGTGTGTGTGTGTGTGTGTGTGTGTGAATGTTGCAATTGAAGGAAAGAAATGATGTATACAAATGTACACCATCTGTAACTTACCAGAATGAAAATACTTGGAAGGTGATGTTTGGTTGCCTTATAGCTGCGATCCAAGCGAGCCAACGATACTTTATGTTAGATACTCGGAAAATTGTGAAAAATTAGCCAGTTTCCACCTTCATTCTCTTGGCGATCACGTGTTGCACCCCACAACACAGCGACGATTTACCATGGTTGTGGAATATAACTGATCAAACAAATGATAGATCTACTTAAGCCGCAAGAACAAGAGTGAGTGCGCTGTTGTCTGCATTAATAAGCAACGAGTAAGGACTCGCTGGCTGCCAACGGGGCGGCTGCATCGGTGATGACGTCACGATCCCAAGTGCTATTCCCCTGTCAAATAAAAACATACAGCCTTTCTTGTTCCCAACGTTTCCTAAACCAATGTATATTCAATTTAAAAGGGTGTTTCATGTTGTGCGAAAGACAGACAAAATATAATCACTTCTACCTATTTTGGTCAAAGGCAGTCATTTTGACTGCCAGAAAACATTATTTAGCAAATTAAATAAATATTTATATAATTTAATTATCAGAGGTAAACCGAGTGTTTTCAGTGCTTGCCGGCCCACGTCTAATTCCATGACCTTTGTGATGGAGGAGTTCTCCTACTGGTGGAGTTTTCCTCCCAGCTGGAAACACTGAGCTGCTCTGTAGGCTGATGAAAGCAGGCTGGTGTCCGACTGACTAGTTTGAGTTGACTTGTTTTATGAGTCAAGAAGGACACGGTTTTCTACTTTTCATTGTGTGACAACTTAAGCTGGAAGTTGTACCCTCTGCCCCCCCCCCCCTCTCTCTCTCTGTCTGTCAGTTGTCTAACTTCCCTTTTGTTTCTGCGGTTGGAAACTTTAAGTTTTGACACTTTTGAAAGCGATGGCCAGACCTTGCTCGTCTTCCTCTATTGCACACTCTATCATGCTCTTTCTCACTCGCTATCTTCCTCATCTGTGTCCTTTCAGCAAAGTGCGATGGCACTTCCCTTCAGCCGGTCACTCTTTGGTGCTTGGTTCCACGAAAATACCTGAAACGATTAGGAGAATGCACATCAAGCTAAATTTATCTGCTAACTGGCAAAGTCCTGCATCAGCCTCACGCAGAACTGCACAAGAATCTTTCTGCATTACACTTTGTTCTTGCATCCTCCTGCTGAAATACGAATTCAGCTGTTAACTGAATCCAGAGCAGGTCAACAATCACCAAGCTGCTAAAAGCATGCGCTGAATTCGTCAATAGAGCAGCTGCAGGTTAGCGTGCTGCAGCGGGAGGTTACAGGAGGGGTATTAGTGGATGCCACATATCAGAAGAGGGCCAGGCTATAAATACTTTGTCCTGTTCAGCCACTAAATCTGTCATCAGAATTTTTCCGACCGCAGCGCAGGAAGTTTCGAAAAAAAAAATCAAGAACTGTGCCTAAAATTAAGTCACACTCAGCCCGACTCGAGCAGCCATTCTTGAGCATGCGCACGCACACGCACACACACACACACACACACACACACACACACACACACACACACACACACACACACACACACACACACACTTATTACAGTTATAGACATGAATAAATATAACCTGCTTATGACAGCAAAATCTGCATTTGATGTTTAACCAGTAAACAATTCTATGAGATATGTGCTGCTGTGCCATGTGCACAGGAGCCCAGCGAACCACATCACGTGTCTGACAGCTGCAGAGCTTCAAATAAACTGATTTCTGTCCTTTACTCTGCACACAAAAAATACTTGAACAGTCCTCGGCTCACACACAGCATGCAGAAGGTGAGTTTTTAGCACCAAAATTCAGATTTTGCACTTTTCTTGCAGGGTGGATCTAGTTTAGTTTGTTTGGTGCCACAAACTTTAACTGAAATGTGACTTGATATAAAGTTTTATCGTGTAGAAAATGCTGCGGTGAAAAGCATCAAGAGAAATTCACATTTTGTGTATTTCGTGTGGAGCAAACAGGAGGGGCCACAATTAAAAGCCTGCTAATGGCAGCAAGAATTTCAAAAGAAAAAGGAAGACTCAGTTTTTATGGGTTTTCAGATGATATGTGTGAAGATGATGAAACAGGGATTTCAACCTTCCCTCACATATTTATTATTTAGACCTTTGATTTAGTTTATTTGTCATTATTATTTCAAGATAAATTTTTAAGAGACGGTGTGCATTTTTACCATTAATCTTTGAAAATATCAATCGAAAAGTTGCTGAAAATAAATAAAATTATGAAAAATGTAAAATATTGGTATCTTCGTACCAAATAACCATAAAAATGTGGCCTAAAGTTCATAGGGCATGGGTCTAGCATCTTTGGGGGGTGCCATATTAGATGCCATGTTTCCTTCTGGCAGGCTCCAGGTCTCGCGCGTTTCGATGACATCACACTAGATGATTGGCTGGACGTACGATTTACAGAAGTCGCGTTACCACGTTCACAATCATTTAGGCAGTAAGAAACACAAATTTATGAACAAAACTGCTAAACTCTTTCCAAAACATACGTGAACGAACAGAATCGAAAGAGGTGCAATATATTTTGGCCCAGCTGTATTGCCGTAGTATGATGACAGCAGGCGCAGGACCCTGAGCAGATCCTGAAAGTAGCGTCAGCATTGCATTTTTTCGATGGAATCAGAGTTTGAGTCACGCTGAGGTCGCATGCTTTCTGCTCCACAGGTAACATTTACCGTAATGTTTGTTTTAACGAGCAACAGTCACTGTGATACGGTGTAAATCTACCCTCAAATGTCTGTACTGCCCCCTAGCGCCAGGACACATAGCCACTTTAAAATATGCTAATAAATGTTTATTATTTACATAAACATTTTACTGATGTTTTCTTATGATAAATATTTTTACCATAAAAACTGTAAAAAGAATCTCTTAAAGGAAGTTCAACAAACTTGGCCAAATGGAAAAAAAATCACATTTCAAACTAAATTTAAAAAAAAAGAAGCTCAGCCTCATTTTGAGAAAGCTCCACGTCGGTTGCCTTCGGATTCTCACCGCCACGGTTTGACGCTTTTATCAGATTTTATTTTACGACGGAGCATCTCATCTGTGGCACAGAACATTTTTAACGTATCTGCTCCGTCTTCTCCAACCCCCAGTCGACTGTCGCAGACGGCTTCTCACGCTGAGCCAGATTCTGTTGGAGGTTTCTTCCTGTTTAACGTAGTTTTCCTCTCCACTGTCGCTACGTGCTTGCTCAATATGAAAGATTGCTGTAAAGTCACAACGCAAGTCAGTGACTCGAAGCAATTTGCTGGGTTTCTTTAACTAATTGGAATAAGGATTTAAACTCAATCTCATCTCTTCAGGTGGTACCATGGTCACCTGTCCGGCCCGAACGCAGAGAAACTTCTCACTGCCCGAGACGAGCCGGGAACCTTCCTGGTCAGGGAGTCGTTGTCCAAGCCCGGAGACTTTGTCCTCTCTGTACTTACGGATGAAATAAACAAAAATGGAGGAAAAAGAGTTTCCCACATCAAGATAATGTGTCAGGTGCGTTTCTTCCTCTTCTTTTTTAATTCTCTTAATTTTTTACAGTAAATCTGCAGGAGCAGAAGTCTACTCACACACAGAGCGGGTTATTCCCAGAGTTGTGCAGCACTCTCCGAAATAAACTCTCATTTCCCGTTCTTACAAAATAACAGACTTTTGCTCATATTTCAACTGTCAGGTGTTCACCAGCAGTTTTTCATGGGTGTGAAAACATTTTATGTACATTTCCTGACTAAGATGACTAAATCGAAACAGTTTCCTGACGTTTTCGTGTTTTTAGATGTTAGAATAACCGGTTAGAGAGCGTAAGAACGTCAGCTCTTGTTTGTCACCAGTCACGATCAGGGCTTTGTGTTTTATTTTTAGCTGTGGTTAGCCTTTTGGAGCTCTTTAAATGCAAGGCACTGTTCGTATTACACCATCAGGTGTAAAAGGTTTATCTGGAATTTACTCAAGAGGTCACCCAAATGTTTTATCCACACATGAAGCTGAGATCAGGACCAGTTTCCTGGTCATACTGGGTAATAATTCCTCATGTTTTAAATAACCTGTTACGTGTGTGATAATGTTAGTCAGACTTTATATCTTTAATTCAGTGTAAATAAATTTTATGCTCATTTTTGCAATTTAAGCACATTAAATCTTCTTTAAATAGCTGTTTCATAGCTCTAAAGGTGCGGAACACTGAAAAAACATTTTTGAATTATTATTTCTGATTATAATCAGTCACTGAAGAGTTTTTCATGCAGGTTAAACATGAAAAATGTCTCCTACACCTATGTCCTGCATTAGCTTCTAATAGAAAATAGTCAGTGAAAGTTTAGGATTTAAAAAGCCTGACAGATCCACTTCACACAGTCACTTAACAGTCATGGACTCATCCATCTTGACTTGCAATGGGGAAGGCTGATTTATTTATTTATTTCAGCGTCCAGGAAACGGCAGACACCGTCTTGGCTAATAGGAGCTAACCATTAGCCTTAGCAACTCCACCGCACAGCAGAACTCCTCCAGGCTTGTGTTATTTGTGGAGATAAAACATAAATGTGTGCTGCATGGTGGTGCAGTGGTTAGCACTGTTGCCTCGCAGCACAAGGGTTGCAGGTTCGAAACTCGGCTCGGCTGCGGCCTTTCTGCGTGGGGTTGCGTGTTCTCCCCATGCATGCGTGGGTTTCCTCCGGGTACTCCGGTTTCCCCCACAGATCACAACATGCCTGATAGGTTATAAATTGTAAGTCGCTTTGGATAAAAGCGTCTGCCAAATAAATAAACATAAATGTTGCAGAACAAAGTCAGTGGTAGAGTTGTGTTGCTGTTAGCCAGTCAGAGGTGAGATGTCCAAATATCAGGAAATAAGACTCCAAATCCTGCCGTCTGAAGCTACTTTCTCCTCCAGCTGACTTGTACTTCCTGGTTTAGATGCACCTGAGATTATTATATTATTTTAATTTTGATTAATCTGTAATGTCTTCAGGTAAGCCTTCGTTTTAATAGCGTTAAATTGAAAGTGTGACATTGAAGTGTTTTGTTTTTTCCCAGAACGACCGGTATACGGTAGGAGGCTCGAAACTGTTCGACACTCTGACAGATCTAGTGGACTTCTATAAACTTGAAGGGATCGAGGAGATCTCTGGAAACTGGGTTCGTTTCAGACAGGTGAACTGGACACACACACACACACACACACACACACACACACACACACACACACACACACACACACACACACACACACACAAATCTTCAAGTGGTCGGATGTCAGCAACCTAAGTACTGTCACCTATCATTATGTCTTTAACGCCCTCATGATGCACACACACACACACACACACACAAACAGGAACTCTTGAGTTGTAGCTCAAAAGACAAACAGCACAGTTAGGAAAGTTTGTCTTAATTCTGAGGTTGTGTAACACTCTCCGCTTTCATCGTACGCCGCTCTGCCTCTCCAGCCGTACTACTCCACCAGAGTGAACGCCGCAGACATCGACAGCAGAGTGAGGCAGCTGGACCTGACATCAGCCAGCGGACAGCAACAGGAGGGCGAAGGCGAGAAGAGCAAAGCGGGCTTCTGGGAAGAATTTGACGTAAGATAAAACCCGCCCTTGTCTCAGATTCACACCGAGTGTGTTTTTGTCTTTTCTAAAAAAAAAGAAAAAAAAAAAGAGTTCAATCAAATCAAACCTCAGATTTTTTTTATCAGACTTTCTCTTCTTAGCGGTGAGAGCAGGAAACGTGTGTGTCGGTGGTTTGCTACCATCTGGTGGGGGAAAAAGTTAAAGTCCCATCAGTTGTCACACACACCAGTGTGTGTGAAATTTTTTCTCCGCATTTGACCCATCCCCTGGGGGAGCGGTGAGCTGCAGACACAGCCGCGCTCGCGAACCATTTGATGGTTTAACCCCCAATCCAACCCCTTAATGCTGAGTGTCAAGCAGGGAGGCATTGGGTCCCATTTTTCTAAGTCTTTGGTATGACCCGACCTAATATCTATCTATCTATCTATCTATCTATCTATCTATCTATCTATCTATCTGTCTATCTGTCTGTCTGTCTGTCTGTCTGTATCTCTCCATCTCTATATCTCTCTCCCTATCTCTCTCTCTCTCTCTCTCTCTCTCTCTCTATCTCTATATGTATCTCTCTAGGGCTGCACGATATTAGGAAAACCTGCGATATTCGATAACGGTGCTTAATATTGTGATATCGATATTACTCACGATAAATGAACAAATACTAAAGTATGCGGTGTTGATGTCGTCTGGCGTGTGACGTCTGCTCTGGGTTCAAAGCAAACAAAAGCTAATGCATGAATTCCATTACAGCATACCATTTTTATTGCAAACATATGCAGCTGCACCTGCTGCTGTATTAGCAGCAAAACAACAAACTGCATGCATGCAGTTTCTCAGTGACTTTAAAACATCACCTCCACCTTAAAACTTTTTCTGATGCTCCAAATACAGAAAAACATCCCTTACCAGGGTTCTTAGAATAAATAAAAATATCAGAAATTAAGTTTAAATGTTAAATAATAGTTAACATCACTTAAATGCAACAGCAAATTCTCTCATTGCTACTGAACATTTTCTCCACTTATGTGGTTATGATATAAGGCTGTCGCTGCTATTGGGAAGTGAACTGTGCCGGGCCAAACTAGGAGAATATTAAGATTTTCTGAGGGAAAGAGAAAAACAATTGTCTACCTTTCAGAAGAGGAACTGGCAAAAAACTACATGGAAAATATGTGAAAACGTTTGTTTTTAACCCCAAATTGAACAAGTTTACCTGGATCTTAAAAAGCAGCTCAGATGATGAAACTGCAACTATGATTCTGATAACAAGCTAACAAATTGAACTAGCTCCTCTAAGATAACCGGCTAGCAGAGCTTCTGACTGACAGTTTATGTGCAGCAGCAAATCAACTATCCTGATTAACAAGGTTATAAAAGCTCACAAATGAAAAATCACTTTGATGTGTGGGGGAACTTTTCCAGGCCCTCTTTAGCAGGGTGGGACTGGGAGGAGAGTGCTGTAGCCTTTTAGCTGGAAGCTAACCGGAGCCTGGGGCTAACATCACCACCCGTGGAACACTAGCGACATATAGGTGGGTTGGTTCACCAGCACGTGTCGGAGTCAGCCCGGTAAAAATGATTAACGACACCGAGCGGACTCACGTTCATGTTTGAAAGCAGCGCTGATTCCAGAAACCTCAGCACAAAGTGTGTTCGTTGCTCTGCGCCAGCATGACGAACAAGGGAACGGCGCCGCTAACTCAGTTCGGGTGTTGCTTTCCATCCTAAGGGTCTATGTAGGGGGCGGGCGTATTACGTGAACGGACCCATCTGATTGGCCGCATATCAGAAGGGCTACATTTGATTGGTCAAATAATACTTGCACGTAAAAAACAGAGCTGGTTTACAAAAAGTTGATGTATGACACTGATGGAAATGTTGAACCAAACATTTATTGCCATTTTTGACGTGCTTTGCGATGGGCCTATCGCACGTCCTGTTATCCCGATGACGATAATTTTTCGATATATTGTGCAGCCCCCCCCCCCCCCCCCTCTCTATACATATATATTTATATATAATCAAGTTATCTTTGAGTATTTCAACATCAACAGTTTTTGTGAACAAAGATTCAGCAAAAAATATAAAAAAGATTAAAAAATTTGCTTGGCTAGAAATCTTAAAACTAGCGAAATAGTCTCATTTTAAGTTTATTTGCTAATTTTAAGATTTCTAGCCAAGCAAATTTAGCTTACCCCATTGGCAGATTTGTTTTTAGTAAACAAAAAGGACATTTTGATGATATTTAAGAATATTTACCTTATTTTAAGTAGTTTTATTTTTCTCGAGAATTTATTTTCGTTTAGATAAAATGTTTAAAAAAATTGAATTTTTTTCTTTTTTAGAACTCATTTTTTGCAGTGTAGCTGTAAAATCTACTTAACCTTCACGATCCTCATGCATTATGTTATATAGCTATAGAGCACAGCTTTAAATTAAACATTCTCCTGTAAACTAGAACAACAGGTTCCTTGATCGTTTTTTTTTTTGCCTTTTATTTTAATTCTAGTTTTTTCTCCTGATCTTTCGTTCTTCCTTACACAGGATCAGCTTTCCATTTAGACCTCCAAACCTTGACCGATGAATCAATAATGCTAAAGAAAATGAATAAAACATCCTGAGCTCAACACATAACAAGCAGCTGAACAAAGAAACTGGTTTTGAAATACGGATCTCCAGGATGTTTGTTACCAGCAGCTGGACACAGACACCAAATCTTTTTATTTGTTAACATCAGTTCTTCTAAACCTTTTTCATTTAGGACTTTTTTCCCAAAGCTCACACATCAAGTTGCCTCAGTTTTTTCTGACACACTGCACAGATATTTTGACTGAACTGGACAGAAAATGGGTGAAAAATCTGCCAAAATATAAAAAGGATTACAGAAAAATCAAAGTGAAAATGTTTGGTCATCCTTTTATGAGACCTACAAAGGTTTAAATAGAGGACCAGAACAAAAACAAACAAGGTCATTTAGAGAATAGCTAGGAGGAATTAGGAGTTTTTCTTGTTCCTGCATATAGGAAATTGCAAAAATACATTTATTTTGATGAGTTTGTCTCAATAAAATCGTATGTAATTCCCAGTATCTGACACAAATATCTCTTCTCTTGCAGGCTCTTCAAAAATTGGAGACGAAGGTGAAAAAGAGCAGAGAGGAAGGTCAAAGACCAGAGAATAAGAGCAAAAACAGATACAAGAACATTCTTCCCTGTGAGTTTTAACCTTCTGGTTCTCGCTCTGTAAACAAAAACCCGGTTCTGTGACCAATCCTGTCTCCCTCTTCTTGTCTTCTCTCACAAGTCAACGACACCAGAGTCATCCTGAAGAACGCTTCTCCTGATGTCGTCGGCTCCGATTACATCAATGCTAACTACGTGAAAGTAAGTGGTGGAACGCTCTGGACGAGCAGCGCCGCCGTCTGAAAACCGTCTGGGCCTTTAGCGTGTTTGTGTGTTGGTTGCAGAACAAGCTGTGGGAGTCTGTTGGACAGAAAAAGTACATCGCCACTCAGGGATGCCTCGCAACAACCGTCAACGATTTCTGGCAGATGGTGTGGCAGGAGAACACAACTGTGATTGTCATGACAACGAGAGAGGTGGAGAAAGGACGGGTCAGTATCCAAAATGACAGGAACAGACACTTAAAAAAATCCAAACATTCCTACTGAATAAAGATTAACTTTATTGGCTGAGATGCAATAATCTACATTTGCTGATGATATTAGAGATTATCTGAGTGTCTTTTTTTGCTTTTCTGCAGAATAAATGCGTACCATACTGGCCGGAAAGTCAGACTTCCAAGAACGTGGGAGACTACGTGGTAACCTGTGAGTCGGAGCGGGAAGCTTCTGATTACAAAGTTCGACATCTGAAGATCGCTCCCGTGGCTAAGGTCACTTTCAAACCTCTGACATCATCAACTCTGTGCACTTTAGTCGTCCCTCCTTCTTTTAGATTTTCTTCGTTGTGATCCTTAAAGCAACACTAAATACATTTCCTGCTTCTGCTGGTTGAAAGCAGAAATACAACTGTTATAAACAACCTTGTAGCAGCCTGTCGTAGCTAGCACTAACAAGCTAGTGCTAGCCAACTGATACTGAATAAACCACAAAGTAAAAAGTTCCACACTGTTGGAGAAAGGATATTATTACTTACACGTCCAGTAGCAACAAAGCCAGGTCACCATCAGGCCGTGATTTTGCAGCCTCGTTTAGCTCCCTCAAACTAGCGTAGGGCGTGCCGATGTTCACTCAGGTTTTAGCTCTTTGCTTCTGCTCCAAAGACATTACTCTCTTACTCGAATTCTCTGCCATGATGCCAACAAAAAAAGCAAAAGTCGTCTTCTTCTTGACAGTAAGTGAACCAAAAAAAGCTAACTAGCCTTTTTAGCTAACTGCTAGTAGCACAATAAACAACTAACAGCTATAGAACAGGGTAGAGATCTCCCACCAGTGTTCCTACCCAAACCATAGAACTGTTTGGTCCAGTTTCTGGTCAGCAGGGGGAAACTGAGTGCTGTCCAATGTGAAGTCGGTCAAATTTATGGCTCAAAAACCACTGAAACCAGTTTGAAAGCAATAGCTTAAAGTATCTTCAGCCTTTGTGGTGGTTTTTCAGATCACTTTAGTCCAGAACTATAACATTTTGGAGGAAACATTTGCATTTATGTAATAGATTAGAATAAGAACATCCTTTATAGTCCCCTGATGGGGAAATTTAGGTGTAACAGCATCAAAGTACATTCACAAGAAGATTAAAAGGCTGTAAAGTAAAAAATATATATCTGAAACCATTTTTTTCTCACTCCCAGCCCAATTTTTCCCGTCCAGTATGGCACTACCAGTACCTCAGCTGGCCCGATCACGGCGTCCCTCAGGAACCAGGCGGAGTCCTCAGCTTCCTCACCCAAGTCAACGCTAAGCAGGACGAATTTAACACTGGTCCTATGATCATCCACTGCAGGTACCGAGTGCCTCGGGTCACTGCTGAGTCACTGTATTACAGAATAAATATCACCATAGATGTGCCTTTTTAATTTCCTAATCCTGTTTTTTTTTGTACATAATTCTTTGAGGGTTTAAGAAACAAAAAAATTAAGATTATTAGGTGAACAACGGGTTTTTATTCCACTGATTGTAGGATTTAGTTCTTGTGATTGAAGGAATTCTGAAGCAGCTTGATCAGATGATCTTGTGTTGGTATTTTTAGTTTACTTCCTAATAGTACTAACAAGGATTTACATACTTTCTCATACTCAGCAGTTCTCTGCCCTTCTGAACTGACCTGCTCCCAGATTTATCCTCAGATTATCAGAATTAATCCTCCACAGGAGAAAAAAGATTTCAACTAATCATGAGAAGTTAAATCTGCACTGAATACGCTTTACTTCTCTTTTTAATCTAAATACTTTTAAATTATTAGCTCTGAAACAATGATATAACGTTGATACTCTGATAAATTTGTTTGCTAATTAATCCAGAAACATTAGAGATTATCTGCATTATCTAATTATTTAATGAGTGCACCATTAGAAACTAAATAACTAAAAAAAAAGCAGATTTAAAGTGTTCAGATGGTGCTAATAAAGAATAGAAGTGCTTTTCCAGTGTCAGCCAGTCTAACAAATACAACCCTTCTAAGGATTTAAAAGGTTATATCTATTAAAAAATGTCATTTTAATTTAATTAAATTATCTGCAGCATTTAAAACGTACAAAGTATATTTAAAACTAGCTGAGTGAGTTTAGGCTGAGGATAATCAGCGTTTGTTGACGCTAAACTGACTGAAATGACAAAATGTGGATTAAATTATCTTTAGAGATTCTGATTGTAAAATTGTTTTAGATGGATTCAAGGATGGAGGAAAAGGAACCAAACTTATGTAAACAATTGTAAAATGAGAGACTAATCCTTATCACGAGGGATATGTGGTATCAGCTTTTTCATCGATGTTCGATATACCGACGTAGTCCAACTCTTAATTTCCTCTCTAATATATCCTATATATTATTCCCCCCCCCCCACACACACACATTTAAAAAAGAAAAACTAAATAATTTTAGGTAAAAAAAAAACTAACACATTATGTAACTCCTATTACTTAAACTTTAAAGACGTGGAACACTGAAAAAAAAAGTTTAAATCCTATTTCTGATTATAATGGGTCACTTTGAGTTTTCATACAGGCTGAACATGAAAATAGTCTCCTACACCTATCTCCTGCATCAGCTTCTGATAGAAAAGACGGTGAAACTCTAGGATTAGAAAATCCTGACAGATCTACGTCACCCTGTCACTTATCATTCATGGACTCACCCATCTGAAAAACCTGCTGTCTGAAGCTCAGCTGTGTTGTCACTTCAGGTGTTTCTCAACAGCAAGGCGCCTGGCCTTGCGAGGCGATGTCTTGCGAGGCCAGGTGCCTTGCTTACAAGGACACTGTCCTTCCTTGATCAAAGAAAATGGTTAAATGGAACAGACTTGCATCACGTGACCGCGGCTTCCACGGCGGTCGCGTAATGTCACGTGACACGGGAGACAACGTTATATTTTATATGTATTAGTTTCAATATAAATATATAACAAGCCTTTTACTTTTTGAATTGTGTATATATTTGTTAAATTAAATATATAAGTGAGTTACTACCCGCTAGCGACCGAAGCTGCAACTACTAAGCAACCAACCAACAATAGATAACTTCTTTTGATCTAAAAAAACATTTTAAATTAGCTGACTTACTTTTAAACTTGAAAATTGTCCCGGAAGTTGCTGCCGGCTTCAGATCCGCCGTCCTTTTGAAAATACTGCGGTGTATTGTGGGTAATTTTTGACCAAGGCTAGGCTACAAGACACCTCCCGTGTATCCTTGCTCAGCTAGCTAAACGGCTAACAAACGGAGAACACACGCCTCGGTAGAACATGAACATTGGAACTCGTCTTGGCGGCTCCCGATGACGTATCTCCTAGGCAACCGGGGCGGGGCCAAGACATCAAGGCAAGGTTCCTTGGCATTGAGAAACACCCTTCTAGTTCCTGAAACAGGTAGCCTGGCAAGCCAGACTAAATAAATGTATTATTTAGTCTGGCCACGCTCCATTGACGGCTCTCGGTTGTGGGGCGGGTTCTACCGTTGTCTTTCAGATGATCTCTGCATGCTACTGGACAATGAATGTGACATACTCTTGTTTCACTCTGTTGCATCATCCCACCCACCAGGCATATAGAGTGCCCTGATTGTCCCACAAAGTGGATAAAGCTCTGTGATTTGTTCACTAAGCAGATAGAGCACTATGATTGGCCCACCATTATGGACCAATCACAGCTCTTTATGTGTTTGAAAGCCCTCTAGAGAGCTGTGATTGGCTAGCCAGAGTCCTGGTAGGAGCTGCGGAGGTTCCAATGGAGTGTGCCTAGACCAAACTTTGCAAAGCAAGAATTTGGTCTAGTTCAGTAGGCTATGAAACAGGCGCACACCGGTGATTTTCTTCCCCAGAGTACCACTCACAAGGTATTAGAGGTTCACTATGGAACAAGGACAATCTGGCGAACTCTGGTGTTCAGAGGTGGTATTGCAACAACAGGACTAATTTTCCAGCCGTTAGGATGATGGTTCACTGCTGATATGTTCCAGCACCATGTTCAGAGACAAATCGAACAGGATAAGGACTAAATTCTACTATTAGGTTTATTTTACAACCGTATTTACCGTTAGAACATCTTCTGGGCTCAGAATCAGGTGCCTGACTTGTCAAGTCTGCCATTTTACACAGTCCTAACCTCGCCTTGCTGAGTGGACTTTTTAGTGCAACAGTGCCCTCCAGTGGCTAGTAGATGTAAGCATAAACACATTGTCGTGCCTGACAGAATAAAACTTTTATTATTTATCTTTTTAAATGTAGCTTTAAAAGGAGAATCTGTACATTAATTCTGCACACCCCTGACCGCCCAGTGGAGGTATAATATTTTTTAATATAACTTTTTATTAAAATGTTCCATATTCTAACTTTTATTTGAACTAGAGACCCCTGCAATTGATCTGCTTAAACAAGAGTTCAAAACCTTTAAACATTATCTGTGCAAAATGTGACAACTATTTCAATTTAAGTTAGGACAGTTGGGCCAAACAGACAAAAATATCCCAAATTCCAGACCTCAGATCTTTCATAGTTTGGCATTTTGAGTGAGAGGAGAAGCAGCTGAAGAGTTTCTAAGTTGTCATTAAAAGAGGAAACACCGATACCCATCATTTCTTATGTTATCAATATCTGCCGATAACATCGGACATCCCTGCTCATCCCAGCGATGACGTTCTAGATTATCTTCTCGGATCTTAAAAACTGATGATAATAACAAACATCAGCTGATTACAATCGTTAACGATCTGATGGCGTTCAACATCTCATCTCTGCAAGGGCGTCAGTTTGTTTTCAGAATTGCTGGGGACAATAACCATACACTTGAGTGGGGTTTAAAAATTGCTGGGGACAATAAAGTAGGCTAGCACAGGGGTCGGCAATCCGCGGCTCTGGAGCCGCATGCGGCTCTTCCATCCATCTGATGCAACTCTCTGTGCTTGTAAAATAATAAATGGATATTTAAATAAAATGCTTTATATTTTACTGCATTAATTTTACACCTGTATGCCAATTCTAAATGTAGATTGTCTGCGTAAACCTGAACAGGTCCAACCCGGTCTGCGGTGGTTGACGGGTCACGCTTGTGCGTAATCATATGGGCACTTTATGAGCTGAAGAGGATGTGAGATTCTGGGCTTCTCCTCAGACGGCTCCTGGATGTGTCGCCACATTGGAGACAGGAACAAGCACTATTCAGCCAAAGTTTCATAATCAGGGAACATTTTCTAAGTGACAAGTCTCTCTGAGAGACAGGGTTTGGAAAACACTCGCTTCAGTGGGAGGAATCTTCCCGCATGCGCACTGCATGGTTCTCTGCGTGGCTCTAGGGTTAATCAAGTTTAATTGTTTCTCTTTGCAACAATCTTCACAAGAAGGCAAAACAGTTAAACGGCAGGTTTCAGATATTTCCATTTGATTGTTTATTTTGACAGATGAACTCAAGGATGTTGCTTGGTTTGAAAAAATTACCCCGACGCACACGAATGCGCATGGATGAGCTGACATTTTAATCGTTAACGCACACGCGGAGGTAAAATATTCCCATCAGAACATCAGAGCTCTTTATACTGGACACTGTGTTCAGCGCGGCTCGGAGCGCCCACGGTGGACAGTGAGCTGAAGATCTGAGGTTCCAGCGCAGTGCAGAACCACGCGCATGCGATGATTTCCTCCCACTGAAGCGTTCTGGAAACCCGGTCTCTCTGAGGGATGTCACTTGGAAAATGTTCTTTTTATGAAATTATGAAACTTTGGCTGAACAGCGCTTGTTCCCGTCTAGTTCCGCATGAAGCGTAGAGACATTTGATCACGCACAAAGTTTATGTGGAGCAGAAGCGGTCGGGCCACGGCAGGTGAAACGTTCCTAGCCTACATGAAGTGAAACTGTTTAATTGTAACATTAATATGTTACTGGACACGTTGGTCTGGTTGGTTAGACCAGTGTTTGAAGTGGAAAACACACACACACACCAATTAAAATATAAAATAATGTTGATAGCGTGGACTAGAAGACAGGTGATGGGTTACGTATTTAAATGATGATCAGGCTGCTGTAAAATGTAATCTCCATCCACATCCAGACACAATTATCCTCTATTCTTTCTCTAGTTGCTCTGCTCTTGTCTGGGCTGATCAGCTGATGGTGCGCGCGACGCGCCTAACTAGCGGCTGATGCACATTTTATGCATTTGGAGAGGTGGACTGGATGCTGTGCGTTTACTGGAAGATGGTCCACTTAACGCACGGGTGTAGACTACATATTAATGACAAATGAATGAAAATTAAATTGTGAGTTTTTACTTCATATTTTATAAATAAAAATGACGGGGGAAAACATTTATGACGTCTTTTTAAATGAAATTTTCTAGCGCGACCTGCCTGCTTCACTTAAGTCACTGCTTATTAAGGTCCGTCCAGAATTACCGTGGGAAACGGGTAATAATGGTTCTTTGATGGGAACAGGGTGCCGACCCCTGGATAAGATCTGAGCTGGTAAAACAAAAATCCTCATCAGCAGGCGTTTTTGAAAGTGGGGGGACACAGCTGCCAATCACAAATTTTGCCGGGGACATGTCCCCGGCGTCCCCGGTTAAAATGACGCCTATGCATCTCTGTCATGTATTAACTTTCTCTGAATTTGCAGCGCTGGAATCGGTCGAACGGGAACCTTTGTGGTTGTGGACATGATCCTCGAGACTATCGACACTCTAGGTATAAAAACACAGTTAAGATTCTCAGAAAGGACAAAATCGTGGTTTTCTTCATTCTCACAACCATCCCATGTCATTTATCTCATTTCTTTTAGGTCTAGACTGTGATATCGACATCCCAAAATACATCCAGATGGTTCGGGAGCAGCGCTCCGGTATGGTGCAGACTGAGGCTCAGTATAAATTCATCTACCTGGCTGTTTCTGAGTACATACAGACCACCAAAGCTAAAGAAAATGCCTTAAAGGTGAGGAGAAGTCATTTATTCGTCATAATTCAGCCAAAGTGGCCTCAACAACCCGATTAATGTATTTTTCATGGGGTATTTCCCCTTTAAGCTGATATTTTAGACTCACTGCCAGCCAGGTGTGACACTATCTATCAGAGCGTCTGAATATTGACCGAGAGAGACAAAACAGTCAACAACAGAGACTAAACCAAACACACAGCCTCCTTCTCTGTTCGAGTGATTCTTTACCAGGCGTGTGAAATTCCCCAGTGTGTTTTTCTTCTTTAGGAAACGGAAACCGAGTATGGAAATCTTCAACTCAAACACCAACCAGCGAGCAGGAAGGTGTCAAAGTGAGTGAACAAATGTGTGTGGCTTAGATGTCCTCAGAGAGGTTCACATCAGTCCTCTAAATGTCACACTGCTGCTGATGTCAGCCGTCGGTGGGAGGAGCTGAGCTGCAGATCAGGCAGGGAGCTGTGAGAGGGGGAGGAGGAGGAAGAGGAGGAGGACTGCTGCCGGACTTTGATTTTAGGCTCTTCTTTCTGGGAACTACAACACAACACACGCTTATCTTTGGTTTTAGTGGATGTGCTGTGTTTGTCGTATCTAAACAAACAATTTGCACTCCAGTTCAAACAACAAGATGGATTTGATGAACTTTTCCTGGTTTAGATGACAGAGATCCGTGTTTAGAGATTATTTTATTGCATCACTGCTTTTGTGCAACAGTGACAGAGTTACCAGAGAGAAGATATGTCGGAGAAGGACGTGCGTTTAGGCTGCTATGAATGTCAGAGAGTCAAATCATGGGATGGGATGCCCCTTTAATCAACAGGCTACTGGGCTGACCTCTAAAAGCCTTAAAGCCATACTATGCAACTTTGCCATATTTTTAAATCATCTTCTTTAGCCGGTATGTGGTAAAATGACTCTTTATGAGGTTAATGAAATGTCACTCAGACCCCCACTGGTCTCTGTGGCCAGAATACTGCATTTGCAACTTCAGAGTGCCGGTTCGGTACGTTGGAGCTGACGTATCTGGAGCTGCAGTCTGGTTCCAGCACGTTTCCTGCATGATTTAGATCGTGAACACAGCTGATTTGCGTGATTTAGTGATGAACCACTTCTGTAGACAGTAATAAAGGCTGGGGAGACATTTCGGCTATTTGATTAAGATGTTAAAAAGATAAAACGCACAGCAAGGAGACAAATTTAGCTTTTGGTTCTACTAAACACTGGGGGTGCTAAAAGCAAGCAAAATGCCAAAGGTGCCTTTAAATATGAAGCAAAACTGATTAAAAAGGGTTTTAAACTGATCTTTATATTGAGTAATGTTAATAAATCAATAATTGAATTGATTATTAGGGATGTAAGAAGATACTGATACACTGAAATATCACAAGTATTGGTGATATGATGCTGAAGTGATATTGAAAGCTTTTCATCGATTTTTATTGAGAATTTCATGCAAACATTTACTATTTTTCTTCTTTGTGGTGTAATTAAAACTCCGACTGCTAGGTGGCAGCATTTTTTAACCAGCTTCATTCTGACAGAACAACGAAATCTCTCGATAACACGGAAATTGTCTTGGAAGCGTCTGGCTTGAGTTTTCCAATTAAATCCAGTCTTAAAAGTTACAAATATCATCTGGCATTTAGCAGTGTTAAATTCATTGACTAAATATTTTTGGGGTTTTTTCCGTGACGAATTAATTTTCACGGACTTAAACAAAACGATAACATACACCCCAACAATGGCCAAATTATGACGAATAGCGACTGGCATTTTCGTTGGCGAATAAGACGACAACGAAAATCGACAGAAACGAAAATCCAAACAGAAAACGGAAAAAACGGTCAACTGGAAAAAGGAACCAATCAGCAAATAAAAAAGGCGGGACTAGATGAGAAAAGAACCAATCAGAGTTTGGAGCCGGCCGCTGTTTGAACAAGCTACCGCTAACTTTGATCAATATGTCTAATAACAACTAATAAATACACCTGGAAACATTTCTTACCTTTAGAGTAATTTTAATGTTTTTTATGGTATGATGTCACTTCCTCCCATGTTTACAAATATTACGGCACATTATACAGGCTTTTATTGTATTAATATTGGGAGACACAATTTCAAACTATTAATGTTCATTTAGGCATTTTCCAATTATTATTGTTATAGAAACAATTATAAATATAGTTGTATTGATCCAAAGTGGGAAATGTGAATTTTTCATATTTCTTCACAGTTTCAAGTAGGTGTAGTTAACATTTCTTTAAACAAGTTTAAAATTATTGCATCAAAAGAAAAATACATATGTTTTAATTGATTAAAACAAAACGAAAACAAATTGTATGACTAAATTGTGACTAAAATTAAAAAGAAATTTATTCTAAGACTAAAACTAAATTAAAATTTCTTGTCAAAATGACAATTGGCTTTTAGTATTGCCAAATGTCAGAATCTCCCTTGTACTGTGAGGCAATATGCTGCTTTAAAATTGTTATAAAACTCCCAACGCCAAGAAATGAAGCAGAAATTGCCCCACAACAGTATCAGTCACAGGGCTTAGTTATCTCACAGAGCACTGTAAAAAACAGCTCTTCTTCTGGTCATTGAACGCCACATTTTACATCGCACAGCAGCTCTCCCTCCCGGTTCTCCAAATAGATGAAATGGCCATTATTTGACAGAATAAAATTTGTAAAATTACTCTGGACGCTTTTTGGAACTTATCAGTGACATCACTCGAGGCAGTCGCGATGTTCTGACATCTGTGCAAAGTCCAGACAGGCCGAATTTGGATGGAGATATGGCAGCTGAGAGGACCAGGCCTTTGAATCTCCTGGTCAATTTCCCCCTCCAAGAAATATTCCTGAAGTTCCGACAATGAAAACACGCCATCGTCACAAGAATGATTTTTAGGACCGTCAGTGTGGATGTTAGATTTTTCTGGCTTTACACTTAATAAAATGTTTTTTACAGTGTAGAAATAACGCAAACTTTTTTTTTTTGTTTTTGGCTTTCATTGTCTGAAAATGAAGTCCAGGTTTTCCCCAGACAAAATGATGAATGTTCTAATTATAAGCATGAAAAAGGGGCCAAAGCTATAAACCGTGTTGGCCGGTGGCTTTGATCGCCTGATGGTTTAGTCTGTTTTCCCCCTTTGCAGCAGCTCCTCTCGTTCGTCCTGATTAATGACACATCTGTGTCCTTATCTCTACTGGTGTGTAACATTTTATTTGTTTTAATCTGAGAGGAAATCCCTAATGAGCTTTGACTTTTTCACTTTGCAGGAGCAAGGAGGATGTTTATGAGAATCTGTCAAAAGGAAAGAAAGACGTGAAAAAATCGAAGACTGAGAAGAAACCCAGCTCAGTGAGGAAAAGATAAAAGACACAGATGTTTCATTTGGTCGTATTTATGCAGGCTGTGAGTGTCTCTTGGTTGAGATTCTTCTAAAATAACGGTTAAAAATTATGAGAAGAAAACTGGTTGTCTTAAATATCCACATGAATGTTTGAATTTACATGTTTGCTAAAAATAAAGATGGAAAGGGGGGATGAACAATCAATGTATAGTGACTGAAATTTGTGTTAAACATAATAAACTTTATGGCACATTGACAAGAGGCTTCCTTTATCCTTTAGTTTCAAACTAGTTGTTTTTTTTTTGTCCATTTTGGTGTGTTTTGTGACACCCCCCCCCCCCTTTTTTCCCCCCCAAAGTAAATTTTGGTCCCCTGCACTTTTTACCATTGAAAACAATATTGCTCTTTATTAAATAAACACTGGTTGACCACCAGCACCAAGCAGAAAACAACCGCTTGTGTTGAAACCTGTTTCCGAACCGTCCATAAGCTCATCTGTTGGCTCTGATGATACTTGCTAATGTGTGATTGGCCGTTCCTGCCACCTGTGTACTCGACAGCTCAGCATTGCTGACATTTCATCGAAGAACCTCTAGGCTGTGTTTTTATACATATATTCTGTATATTTACCATAAAGACACCACCCAACCCCCACTTCTAAAGTCAAAACTATGTCCATGTCAGCAGGTCTCAACTCCCTTCAATCCTTCACAATAAGAGTCTAAAATATACACACAAAACACCTGGAATAGTTTATGTCATTCTCTAGTAAAACTCAATTTGGGAAGGAACTTATTTTAGTCCTGTGGTTGACATAAATAACAACAAAAAACCTCATAGTCTACAAATAGTCTGTATTTGAAACAAAAAGGTTAATTGAAAAAAAGTGGAATTTACATTTTTCTAAAATACGGACTTTTTCTCCAAAGATTTTACCTTAATCTGCAACGTATTTTCATAAGTGTCACTAATAATGTTAGTTTTTCTTTGAAAACGACCATTGTGCAAATAAAGTAAATGCGTAGCTTTTAGATGAATAATTGTAAGTAACAGATGAACATCTGGAGCTGAAGATTTCTGCTGATTCATTAAAAAAAGCTACTTTCAACGTGGTGCGTTCAAGTTAACTCGTAAACCGAAGCATCTCAACATGCTTTACAAGGAACTCCAGCTATGAGGACGTGTATGCCCTAATAAGCCACAAGTTTTCTGTTGTACCAAAATATGTTTTTAGAAACACAAAATTTTGCTGTTTATTTATAAATCTGTAATATTTAGTACATTTTTTGACATACAAGTTAAACTATTGTTACAAATTTTATAAAAATTAAGAAGTTTTTTTTTACACCACTTTAATATAACTGATACTAACATTTATCTTTTAAGAACCACAAAGTTTTGTAACCTGGGTTCCTTAAGAAAGAAAATAAAGGCTTAAGCTCATCTCATTTTCTAATTTCAGCCTCGTCTCTTCCCACGTGTCCTCGAATCACACCTCCGCTTAGGTGACTTGTGACAATTAGAAAACGAGATAAGGGATAAATCCGCTTCGGACTGGGAAGTCGAAGGACCGACACGACTTCAAACTCAACCTCCGAGTCGGAGATGCGTTCATACTACCGCAAATAAACGGTTTATTAGGTTTTCTGTAATGTTATATTAGTCGTGTGTTTTGGTTTTTTCCTGTTCGATCTCCAACAGGTAACATGTTGCTAATTAATTATATGCGCAAAATTCAGCGTATTGTTTTGCTAATCGTTGCTTCCTAGCAAAATAAAAAATAAAAAATAAAAGCTAATTTTGAAACGTTTTGAAACGGAACACGACCCATCTCAGTTCTATATGATTTCCAGATCGGAGTTCTAGTTTCCAGAAAGGTCTTGAACGCAGCACGACCCCTTTAAGGGCAGCTTTAGATAAAAGAAAAAAAGAAAAGTGAGAACCCTCCTCCTTTATTCGGTGCTGCACAGATAACTCCGTGCCCAACTCGGTTAGTTACACTTGACTCGACCGGATTCTTGCTCACATCAAGAGGAAAAGAAGAGCTGCAAACTTTAACTGTAGGTCCGGCTGCAGAGTCGAGTTTTCAACTTTAAGGAAGGAAGGCAGCTGCATCATTTCTATTCAGATCCGTGTGATTCTGAGGGCTTTGTTCCTGAAAAGGTTACGCAAGAGAAAGTGATCTCAAAGTTCAAAGGAGGAAAGCACCGATTCCTGTCTTTCTGTGGGGAAAAAGGAGCCGAAGAAGAAGAAGATGTCTAAACCTAATTACTCTGGGACGTTTCATATGATAGAGCAGGAAAACATGGACGAGTATCTCGCTGCTTTAGGTGGGATCTGTTTCATTTAAAATTTTGCACACTGAATGCAAATTAAACCGTGTCTTTTTAAACTTCTGTTGCTGTAAATTGTAATTATCTCAGTGTGTGTGCGTGCGTGTGTGTGTGCGTGTGTGTGTGTTCCCTCCGGGATCATTTATTAGATTCATTTTAAATGGGGGATTTGATAAAGTAGACAGTCTTCATTCACAGCTGCACATTAGTGGGATGAAATCACTGCCTCGTCCTCTATATGACCCCAGACACACACACACACACACACACACACACACACACACACACACACACAGTCTAAATGTCCCTCTTCCACCTCTTAGACATAAATTTCGCCTTGAGGAAGATTGTGTGCCTGCTGAAGCCCACCAAGGAGATCACCCACGACCCTGCCTCGGGAGCCATGAGGATTCGTACCCTCACCACCTTCAAGAACTTCAACATGGACTTCACTATAGGAAAAGAATTCACCGAAGACCTGGGGCCTGTGGACGGCCGTACCTGTCAGGTGTGTCTCTTACGAAGTCACTTAAGTTTGGCTTTGTGTCTCTAATTCACCCGATTTGTGTTATGAAACCATGATCTTCACTCTGATTTGAAACGGAAGGAAATAAATGAGCTAATTCGTGTAAGCAGCGTTAAATGCATCCCTGAAAAACATGAATAACTTGTCTCTGTGCAGACCACGGTGGACTGGGCAGGAGACAAGCTGGTTTGTGTGCAGAGAGGAGAGAAGGAAGGACGAGGCTGGACTCACTGGCTGGAAGGAGACAAGCTCCACCTGGTGAGGATGCACGGCTAAAGAGGGAGAACAGTTCGAAGCAGAGGAAGGGAGGCGGAACAAGGATGCGCTTCATGCAAAATGAGAAAGTTATTCCTTCCTTTTCCCTGTTGCAGTTAGCAGGAAGATGGGTTTTGTTTTAATCCATTAGGCCGTTGTCACATGCAGCTCAAATTCAGGTTAAAGCTTTTAAAACGATTGAAAGGTCAGCATTGTTCTGCTAAGACCCTTGTTGCTGCAGGAACAAAACAAGGTGTTGTGTTGATGCAAAACTCGGGAGAGAATTGGGAAAGAAATGCCAGCGAGGATCAAGATTTAAGTTGGTGTGTATGAGAGGAGAAGGGGAGCAGTGTAGGACGAAGCGTTAACATGAGGGAGGTGAGGGTGGAAAAGGAAGCAAACGTGTGGAGTTCACACGTTTAGCTGTTCTTTGATCTGCCAAATGGATTTTAACATGTTTTAATTTTCCTCATCGCCTCTTCTCTGCAGGAGATGAGAGTTCAAGACATCGTCGCCAAGCAAGTCTTCAAAAAGGCTGATTGAAGTTTCTGCAGATGCGCTGCAGCCATCTGCTAAGCAGTCAGTACCAGAACTGAATCATAGCATTTTTATTATAGTCCCTAACAAATGATACCGATACCATAAAAGAAGGTTTGTTTTTTGGAGAGTGTTCTGATTAATTGTAATAAAATAGCAAAAATGACTAAACATCCCCAAGTTGTTTCCTTATATTCCACAAGCTTTACAAAGTTAGAAACAAACCAGACACGGGTCACGTTTTGCTTCTGCCTCTTCCGTAACCACAACTGCACATCTACATTTTTACAGAGTTGTAAAAAGTGAAATTGTGCAGGAAGGAACTTTTTTTACTTGTAAAGATTCACATTTATTATTCACAACTGGCTGAGATAAAAATATGAGTCAAACCTGACACATCGGAAGATAAATACCTGGTACTTTAATCTCTTTATAAAAGAAACAGCATAAACATAACAAATGTTGAGATATTCTGAACAAAGTAGAAATAAAAAACAGCATCTCTTCTTCATCTGATTAGGTCTCTTGAGTCCATAAATATGAGTAAAATGTCATTTATCATGTTTGCTTTCTAGTGGGAATCACTCACAAGCCTGAGTAACTCATCAGTCATCATTTTGTTTTACTACAGAAATGTTTTCCAGTTTCTTAAAGGCAGCATATTATGACATTTTTCTTAAGTTATAATAGTCCTGTGGTCGATACTGAACACATTTATGAAGTCCTTTGCACTGATTCCCTCTCACATGAAACCATTTCAGCTATTTTATTCTTGAAATTTTCAGTACCTTCCAGAATGAGCCATTACAGTGCTCTATCAAAATAAGCTGGAGTTGGCCACGCCCACCCACTCCCCACTCAGCCTGCTATTGACCCTTTGCACATGACATGTTTACACATGTTGCATCCCTTGTGAAGCTAGTGAAAACAAGCTAGTTTGAGCCTTAAATTGCTTTTATTTAGCTGATTTCACAGTTTTCGGGTAATTGCTGCGTGGCTGGCTGCACTAAGAGACAAGGGTGTAAACTCAACTTGTCTTATCTTTAATAAATTTGATGGAGACAGAAAACTGGAATGAACCACTACAGTCAATCAGGATTATGTGTGTTAAAATTACGTTATTTATTTAGCACGATGAGCTAGCCATTATGAGACGTCTTGCCTCGCCCCTGTGTGAGAGTAGCAGCTGAGCCTGGTGACCCGGCTAGTGGCAAAAACTGGTATGGATCCAGACTTTCTTTAGTTTTTTAGTTTTTTAATCAGCACAAGTGCAAAGTGAAACTCTGTTTATCACGTAATGTTTTAAGTCTAGCAGGGTGAATTCTGGAAAAGTCACAAACCTCTCTGGTTAACAGCAGCAGAGAGGGTGAAAGCTAACATTTGTAAGCTAGCTGACACACAGCTCTCTGTGAGTCCCACCTAAGTGTGAAAATTCTATAAGTGAACAGCGCTTGAACTAATAGAAGCCAGGCTTGGCCGCCATGTTCGCCCACCATGTAATACTCCCATAATTCACCGTTGCAGTTTGATATGGTGGACCCACGTGATCAAGTGACGTAGGTGCAAAGGGTCAATAAACTGAGAAGCTCAGATTTCTGGGAGGGGCTCGGAGTAGAGCTGCTGTTCCTACAGCTTTAGCTCTCTCTTGCACTTGAGAGGTGGTTCTATGGCAATTTCCCCGTTTGTGACATCACAAATTGGACTTTTTGAAACGGCATGTTTTAGGCACGTACTTCCTAAATCCATACAGACAGAAAATGGATAGAAATAATTTTTTTCATGTTTGGAGTGTTTATAGAGGCAGTGGAGACCCACATGGCAGTACAAAAGGTGAGATTTGCACAATATGTCCCCTTTAAACAATTAAGGAGGTAAGCAGCAAGTTGATGCTGATATATGAAATACACAAGTGAATATAAAAAAACTATTAACTGACAACAAGTTCATCATTTGACATTTATATAAGTCAATATAAGTCATATATAATACATGCATATCATTAAAAATCTCTATTTACAGTTTTCACGTAACTTTTTTTGGTCTTACTTGGAAAAGAGGTGGAATGGTTTACAGCATAAAGCTGCTTTTATTCTAATAAATCCTAATCTTATTTAGACTCTCTGCCATTTATGATTTTGAATCCCTTCTGATGCTGACGTCGTCTTACATATGAAGGATTGGTGAGGCATTTTCAGCTTATAAATAACCAGATCATGTGACTGCCTGGAGGTAATAACGGAGGAAACCCATGACTCATAAGAGCAGTGTTTTTTATAATTTAACTAAAAAAAAGCTTTCAGTGAGGTGAATAGCCTCACCCGTGTGGTTTTTACCCAACCGCCTGCAGGTGGCAGCAAACACCCAGCCATCCTAAACTCCCCTGAGTTTAGCATCTTTGTTTTTTAGGGGGGTTGATGCAGTTGATCAGTTCTGAACAATATTTGCAGAATCTCTGCGTTAAAAAGCCCCACACCACTCGTCCTCCTGTGGCTGTGAAATCAACCTGCAGAAGTTACCGGTGCTGCATTTGATGCTGCCGTCGCCGCTGGGGGACTCAACAAAAGAAACGGATGCTTTCAGGGGCGTTATGGGACAGCTGCTGTCTTCAGTGCTGCAGATGATCGTTGGACCGTCTGAGGAGGACGGAGGGAAACAAAACCAGCTCTTCAGGATCATGCTTTCATTCTCAATTCACTTTGACCTGATTCTCTAAAGTTCACCAGTTTAAAAGGATGTTTTTATTTACCTGTGTTAAAAAGTGATAGTGTGTAGCTGTCCTTGATGCAGGTCTCTTGGCAGTGAGAAATCGGCTTTGGCGGAGTGACAGCTGGAGGAAGAGGCACCCTGACGGGATCAACGGGGCAGGCTGTCACAGAAAACACAAACATCACATCACTTAACCTCAGGAGCAGGTTCACAGCTGAACTCGCCGGCTCTTGGGTGGCACCAGAAAACCACCATTGTAGCTGTTGTTCTGGGGAAAGCGACACAAATGAGAAGTAACCAAACAGGAAGTTGGCGGCCACTGTATCTGTGCTGATGCTGAGATAGTTAACCATCAGCAGAGATGCTCAACATTACTTTTAAAGGTTTATTTCTTTAAATAACTCCGTTTTCCTTCATGCGTTTTGCTTTAACAGTTCTTAAACACCGAGCTGTTCTCCCGCCACTTCATTTTTAAGTTCACATAGATTTTTTTATACTTCTGTAGAAATGTGATCTAAATATTTACGGGAAATGCAGCCCCGGCGTTCTGATTGTCAGGTTTTCAGGGGTTTACATCCGGTAGTGAAACCCCCTTCCTGGGGTTACTGGCATTAAGTGTTTTGCCGACTGTCGACGAGGAAATCTTCACACATCCTGTGGTGGGTTCTCAATTTACTGCGCAACTTTGTCTTTAATATGCAAATTATTTTATACTTCTCGACTCGATGTGTGCTTCCCCCACTTTCCCCAAACAGACGCTGTTTTAAGAGTCGACCCGGCAGCTGGTTTTGGAGATAACCAACTGTTGTGAGTTCTAGGCCCGTAAATAAGATGCTTAACTATACTTCTTTACCACAAAAACACGCAGCTTTCAGAGAAAAAGCAGTTTGTTGTCAATCAACATTAAACTGATGCAAGCTCCAAAAGCAGCAGGATTATACCGGTCTCACACACTAGGGATGGAAAAATGAACAAATAATAAAGTCACGTCAACTCGAGTAAAACATGGTTTTTATAAGCTAACAGTCTTTTATGCCGCCATCATAAAAAACACTTCAAATGGAAATAAAGGGGAAGTTTTTGTAAACTAAAACAAAGTTTTCATTCAATTGTTTTAGATGATTTGTTTGATATGCAGCGATAAATAATAAATACTTTCTATTACTTTGTGATGACTAAAAAGCAACACATTTAATATGTTGTTGCCATAGCTGTGTTGTACTATATCTGCTTAGAATAAAACAGAAAGTAATAGATTTATAGTACGATGTGAGGTAACACTTTACAAAAGTCACTTTATTAATGTTAGTGCATTATTAAGCATTAGTAAACTATTAAATAAAGTATTAATACTGGCTTAACCATATTATGTAATGCATTACTAAACAGACCCCCCAGCCCTTTGTCCTAACCTTAAGGAGACTTACTAGTTAATGTCGGCAATGTTAATAAAAGGAACCCTTTGTTCATTAATGCTTAATAAAGCACTAAGTGATGTTAATAAAAGGAACCCTTTGTTTATTAATGCTTAAAACACTAAGTGATGTTAATAAAGGGACCCTTTGTTTAATGCTTAGTAAAGCACTAAGTGATGTTAATAAAAGGAACCCTTTGTTCATTAATGCTTAATAAAGCACTAAGTGATGTTAATAAAGGAACCATTTGTTTATTAATGCTTAATAAAGCACTACGTGATGTTAATAAAAGGAACCCTTTGTTTATTAACGCTTAATAAAGCACTAAGTGATGTTAATAAAAGGAACTATTTGTTTATTAATGCTTAATAAAGCACTAACTGATGTTAATAAAGGGATTATTGTTGTAAAGTGTTGCCGGGTGTGAGAGTTTTTTAGTTTCCCTAAAAGATGGGTGACGGTGGCACAGGAGTTAAGCGCTTGCTTCATAGTGAAGAGGTTGCAGGTTTGAGCCCCGCTGAGTCTGTTTCTGTTGTGTCCTTGGGCAAGACACTTAACTCACCTTGCCTACTGGTGGTGTTTGAAGGGACCGGTGGCAGCTGCGTACGGCAGACTTGCCTCTGTCAGTGGCTGTGGCTGCAATGCAGCTCATCACCACCAGGATGTGAATGGGTGAATGACTGATTGTGTTGTAAAGCACCTTGGGGGGTCCCAGGGCTCTAGAAGGTGTTATATCATATACAAGCCATTTACCAATTTTGGTAATTGTGAGCTATGTTGGTACGCTCTAAGAAATGAAACAATGAATTTACTATTTACTTATAAAAGTTATGTCAAACGATTCCACTGAACCTAGTTGCTCACATTTAAAAAGTCGTGTACATCTACTTTTAGCATAACCACATAAAACAATGCATAACACAAAAGTTTTTAACATAAGCTACTGCTTTTAAGCATGTTTCAATGGTCATCGAGCCATAAATTTGAGCAACTTCACAGGAGACAGCACTCTGTCACCATCTGCTGACCAAAAACAAGACTTAACAGTTTTGTTGTTCAGGTAGAAACACTAGTGGAAGGTTTCTGCCTGTTTCACAGCAATAGTTGTTTACTGTGGCGATAGCGAATAGCCTATAAATGCTAGTAGTTCATTTATTCAGTTCACTGACTGTCAATAAAAAGGACAAAAAAAGAAGAATTTAGCTTTTTTTTTTGTTGGCATCGTGGCGGATCCTGGAATTAAAAGTAAGAAAATAATGTTTCATTGCTTGGTTCTTTTAAAAGAACCAATCAATTCAAGTTGACAAAATACACAGAATGAATGTACAGAAGAGAATAATGTCTTTGAAGGTGAAGCAAAGAGCTAAAACCGGAGTAAAGATTGTCGTGAACTACGCTAGTTTGAAGGAGCTAAAGGAGGCTATCACAGCTGATGGTGACCTGGCTTTGTTGCAACTGGACTTGTAAATAATAATGATTTTTTGTCCAACAGTGACTTTTTACTTTGTGGTTTATTTAGTATCAGCTGGCTCTTGTTAGCGTTAGCTTGTTGCTGGTGCTAAGCAACAACAGGATGTGGCAGGGTTGATTATTAATGTTAATATTAATAATAAATTTGCAAAGTATAGCACTTTTTTAGGCACTCAAATCTCTTTCCACTAATGCACTTGCACATTCACACACTGCTGGTGATGGTAGCCACAGCCACCCTGGGATGGTCTAACAGAGGTGGGGCTGCCGTTTTGTGTCATCAGCCCTTCTGACCACCACTGACGTGGGCAAGTTGGGTGAGGTGTCTTGCCCAAGGACACCACAGCAGAGCGTCCCAGCGTGAGCTGGGATCAATCCTGCGAACACTGGGCAACCTGCTCTGCCTCCTGAGCTCCTGCTGCCCCAGCTGAAATAACTTGGTTAAGTAAGCTCAACATCTCATTTTTTATAGTGCAGTTTGATATTTGTGTGTTGGCTCAAAACAAGCCGTAATGTAAAAAATAAAACAGCTAAATTTGTCCTTCATCTACTAAAATTAATTAAACTTTATCTGTTGAAGCAGATTCATGAAAAAACCTAAAGACAATCTGCACACATATTGACTCTAAAACATCAAAATGAACATATATGTATAAAAAAAATCATATTCTCATCAGCCTAAATGGGACATTCAAACAGAACCTAACAATCCCCTAAAATTGGAAGTTTTGCATTTCTGTCATTTCTCCTGAAACAACTGAATATTTTAGCGTGAGTGCTGATGCGGAGATCACAGCTGTGCTGACAGATAAAGATGAAAACACAGATAACAGAGCGACACACGACATTCTTACTGCACAACACCGAATATCAGGCTAGAGTTTTACGACATTTTCTGCGTTTCATCACACAGAACTTCAGTGGAAAATGAGCAAATGTCAAATGAGATCTGGTTGTCAGCCAAAACAATGTGTAAGAGCAACTCGTGTACGTAGGACTGGTTTTCAGTATGAGTTGGTAGTCTGTGAAGTGTGCGTCACACCATACAAAATAACCGTGTCAGGCTGAGACTGTACAGGACGCGGTTTCGCCATTCAGTATGTCATCCTCGCTGCAGACTATTTAACCTGCCTCCATGTTCAGCTACTTCTGCTTTTGTTCAACACAACAAAGGTTGCTGTTGGGTTTAGCATCAGGCTGTTTTATGTTTGTTCTGTTTATTAACACCAAAGCAACAGATAGCTGAAACTTAAACAAAGGTGTTCTTTTTCTTCCTAAATTCACCAAAATTAAACCGTGGGAGGGAACGCTGAAGAGATGATCTGCAATGACCTTCAACTGTACGACTTCAAAGCAAAAAGATCTTAGTTGTGGTCACCAGCATGAATATTTTCTTCCAGCAATTGCAGGAACTTCGCTGTAACGCTTGCTCGTGATGCTGTTTCAGTTGTTTCGACAGTTTTAGAGCAGAAAATGTGAGAAGAACATTGAAGCCCGCCCACACGTGCATCAGAGCTCTACCTGTTCTGTGTGATCTGCGTTTTGTTCTCCAGAAGATGAAAGCAGCCACAATGATAATGGTCAACACCAGTCCAGCCCACAAGCCTGCTGGAAGAACCCAGGAACAATCTGGAGAGAGAGAGAGAGAGAGAGAGAGAGAGAGAGAGAGAGAGAGAGAGAGAGAGAGAGAGAGATTAGATCAGGTCTCCTGGTTACACGAGTTGAATGACATCATTTATGGTCATTTCTGACAAACAGGAAGTGGGTGTCAGTATCATTATTAATGTCATTAATGTAACGAGATCATGAAGTAATGAATAAAGTTATTTGAATTTCCTCTTTGGTTGTTGGTAATTTGATCCCATGGCAGACGGACCCATTCCTTTGATGTTTAGCTGATGACAAGTTGATGTTGAACCAAAACACAGAAGTCATCCGCAAAAGACTTAAGACTCACAGAGCCGGCCCTAAGCATACTCATGTTAGGTGACTGCTTGGGGCCCCCACACCATGAAGGCCCCCCCAAGAGAACCAAGATGGTGCGTACATTTTAATAACTTTAATAAAAACTAAATTATATTAAACATGGAGAAATAATTTATATATTATGTTCTATAGCATAATTTATATAATGCTTTTGGTTTTATGTTGTTGTGTTTGCGCATTTTATTCACATCTGTTCCAATTTTAAGAACAAAAAATAGTAAACTTTGCTTTTTTACTGAAAATTCAGTGTTTTTCTGCTGATGTTACCCTCATATAGTTTAATATAACGCCCGTAGGAAAATGTGCTAAGGGCCCCTCGAACGCTTGGGCCGGCCATGGAGATTCGTCTCTTTGTATTGCACAAAGGGCTAAACTTTTATTTTCGTTAATAATTCCTGTCGACTTCTTGTATATTTGGAAAACTCTGGCGCCTTGGTTGCCACTATAAAAAAAATGGCTGATTAAAACTTTGACACCTGTTACAAAAATGAATGGTTTCGAATCAAATCAAATCAATCAAATCAAAGATACTTTATTAATCCCAGAAGGAAATTAGAGTTTCAGTACACACAATTCAGAGATCAGACATACTGGGCAAGACACATGACAAGAATTGGTGACTGTGGTCATTCGCAACCCTGAGTCGCGCTACCTTAATAGAGATAAGAGCATAACATGAGGATTGATTTGGGAGGAGGGAAAAAAGGCACTTCATAGCTACTCTCCCACCAGGAGGGCAGCTTTGCTCTGCAAAAAAACACCTCAAACAGATAAGCAACAGACAACACAACATAACATGATAATATGAAAGCAGGGGGGGGGGGGGCTGGGATCCTGTTTCCCCAGCGAGAGCAGCCATGTACGGCGCTCAGCCACTGTAGCCACAGGTGGGAGGGAGATCTTGGGAGGAGGGCAGAGCACATTGACTCCTGCAGGTTGATGACCTCGCCAGGCTGAAGTCCACCAATTCGAAGGCGGGGCGGGGTGGGGGTGGGGGGGTAGGTCGGGTTTTCATAGCTTCTGTCTGCATTCCTTCGTGGGGGTTTGTTGTTGGCATCTCGAAGGCTGCTATGGCGTCAGATTCGGATAACAAGACTTTGTTTGGGTCAGGCTGAGATAATTTTCCTCTCTGCCTTCAGTCTTTAAACTGATCATTCCAGTCCTCCAGTGAAGCCAATTTAGGTTTTTAAACTTGTCCATACCGTCCAGTGACCCTCTCTGAGATGACATCCATTTTGCCCACTAATACCGGTATCGCAGCCAGAACATTGTCCAGCTTGTGATTCACCTCGAGTAGCGTCCCAGTCTGTGAGGTCTCCACACGGACGGTGCTTTCCGTGGGTGCGGGTCGCCCTCCAATCGCTCCCGTCTTCCCAAATTTACAGAAAACCAAATATCCTCCCACTCCAATCAGAAGAAATCCAGTGATCATCAGGCCAAACATCCACACGTCTTCGACGTCCTCAATGGACAGCTGGGAGAGGCATATGATCTTCCACTCTTTCCAGGAATCCATCATGTACCCCGCCAGGTGTGTCCCTTGCGGGCAAGTGGGAGCCCCCTGCTCCATTCTCATTGCTGAAAAAATCTTATCAATCGCACTGAATGACGAATCTATCAAATTCATTGTTAAAAAATAGGGTTTTTCAGAAGAAATGCAGAGAAGCGCTCTGTGGGCAGACAGGACAAAGAGCCTTGGGAAAAAAGATAAGGGAGCAAAAAGAGAAGCGTCTGTTCTCTGCGAGTGCCAGAAGAAGAAGGCTACATCCCAACCACGACAACAGTTCTGCTAAGTTTTTAAACCAACGTTTCTCTGAGTTTCTGCAAAGGTGTGAGTGAGATGAATATGTAGCCTTTTTAGAGTTTCCAGCTAACTGTTAACAGGAACCATGACTCGAGCTAAACCCTAAAAACATAAAGGTGTGCATACTTGATAATTCTTCTCTTGAAGATGTGTTACTTTTCCCGTGTAAATACAAACTTTGTTGGTATTTTTAAAACACACTCTCAAATAATCTCTAAATTAAAATCCCCTGGGATAGATGTGGTAAATGCCAACAAATTCCCATTGAATTAAGCAGCACCCAATGCTATTTTTTTTCCAATGTGTAAAGTTTGGTGTACCATCCATTCATCCATACTCGCTTGTCCATGAGAGGTCATGCGGGGCTGGAGCCTATCTCCAGCAGTCTTTGGACTAACAGACGGGGTGTTTGGTGTACCATTCCATAAATTCTAATTGAGAATCCTCTTGCAACCAATGGTGCCCCCAAGGGGTGGCCAGGGGTGGCCATGGCGACCCCTAGAAAATTGCTGGCCTCCCCAGGAAAAGCCGTTAATAAATCATATTAATGTTCACTCAAACAATAAATTAATCTTATTTATTCAAGACATAAATGTAAAACACAATAAAATTGTAACATTTATGAGTAAAAAAATAACCAGAATGTTTCTGCTGCTCACCATTAAAAAATAAGTTTTTTCCCCCCATAGTTTTCTGTAAACACAGTAACAGATGAATTAAACAAACAAAAAAAGAAATGCATTTGGAAATAATATTTTAAATAACTGAAATGTTTTTTTCTGAAATGTTTGTGTTTGTAACATTTGAGTTAAGTGTTTTGGAAACATACAGTTTTTTAAATAACAAATAAAGGAGCAATGCAGTGCATCACCACAGGCTACGCTCTCGCAGCGTTACCACAAGGACCAATTTGGTGTGCCACCCCAAAAATTTCTGTGCCCCCATCTGGCCACCCTTATCAAAATTCTCTGGAGGCACCCCTGCCTGCAACCGCCCCATAAACCCAACAAGAAACCATCACCTTTAGTTCAAACTGTACAAGCAATTATTGCAATTTTTTGATGAATTTTCACAGATTTTTTTTACTTTCAGTAACAAAACCTGGAAACTGATGTCAAAACAAACCACTACCCACAGCCAGTGGCTGGTTCCAGTACAAGTTTCAGGTCCCACTCTGTCTTAGTAAACAAATGGGACATTATCTTGACTAAAAAAACTAAAAAACACTATTTAAAAAATACATTTAATACTTTTAAACTGATTTTGCTGGCAGAAATTTCACACTCTACCTTCCATTTGAACGTTCAGTCATATGTGAGGCCTGTGTTGCATGTAGTCTAACCCCCCAAGGCACGTCACAGCACAACCCATGCACACACTGGTGGGGATGAGCTACAACAGGGCGCACAGACAAAAGCGAGGCTGCTGAGCACAGGCGCCACTGGTCCCTCCGACCACCGTCAGCAGGGAAAGTGGGTTGAGTGTCTTGCCCAAGGACACAGCGACAGACTGAGCAGGGCCCAAACCTGCAACCTTCCGATCATGAGGCAGACATATCACGTCTCTGCCACTGTTGCCAACTGTATTTGATACCAGGCCAGACTGTGGTCGACTGCATGCAGACCACAGTTTTGTGTCGACAATGCTTTTGTGATGAGCGGGTGTGAAATGAAGGGGCGGAGCCTGCAGTAAGATGCATTCACAAAACGGTGGTGCATTGATGATGGATTTGATTTTCTACACACTCATTGTCACTGGACTTGGTCAATTGGTGTATTTGTGAATGACCATAGACGGCTTGATCGGTGATGAAATCACAGAAGTGTGTTGAAGCCTGTGTGTTACACATAGCTTCATCATCCTCATCATCATTTTATTTATAAAGCACTTTACAGCAGACTCAAGGACGCTCCAAAGCGTTGTATGCAGCATACGTACAATGTTCTGAAAAAGCAAAACCTTAAAATAATGATGACAGGAAAGGATAAAAGAGGAAACCCATCCAAAAAACCTCTTTGTGTTTCAGTTAATACCAAAGGGAAAAAAAGTGACTTCAGGTTTGATTTATAAACCGCAAGGGAAGAGGCGAGCCGCCCTAGCACAGACCCTAACCCTAGACCCAAGATTAAACCCTGGAGCAAACAACAGACATCCGGGAGCATGACAACATGAAAGGTCCTGTAAGCTGGATTTTGTCCTGACAAGACATGAAAAATAAATACAAGAACTAAATCTATTCTAAAACAGACAAAGAGTCAGTGTAGGGGGCCAGGACTGGGGTGTCATGGTTGATTTGTTTTGTACCAGTCAAATACCTTGCTGCTGATGCTGTGCACCACTTGTGATCCATTTCTGTACACCCATCAGTAAGTTTTGAATAAGGACTTTAAATCTATTCGTGCAGAGAGAGCTAAACTCAACAACTAACAGAAACTTGATAAAGAAAACTGTTTGTACGTAGTCATGGTTATGCTTTTTTTATTCATACTTCCTTTTCATCTTGTCACAACGTTACGATTCCTTATCTCATGTTAGCGACACACAAACTGCAGCTGCTGCATGAAACGATTTCCCGTCACTTCCTTTCTTACTTTAAGGTCAATCGGAACTGAGTGAGTCAGAGTTTAGCGCATCAACCGAGTTCATTTTAAAATGAAAAAAGTCTTCACAGAAAAAAGTTACACTGATTTAATCTGATTTCCTGGAGGACCTACCGCTTCTGAAGTTCCCGCAGACGGCATCGGTTGTTGAATTTCCTCGAGTTTTCGGCTCTTTTCCGATGTCCTCACACCTGAGATCAACACATGAGATTGAAAACAATACTAGATGTTACTGCATGGTTACCAAAGTGTGAATGAAATATAGTTACAGCAGGTCAGTGTAAGACGATTAAAGCTAGCCTAGCAAGCCATCCTATATACGTGAATATATAGTCCGGCAACAACCCATAGACAGAGCTCAATCGTGGGTCAGAATCTACATTTGTGTTTCAAACGACCTAACGCGTTTGGACAATGAACAACGTGATGTACTCTATGGATGTCAGTCAACTAGAAAGTCTGCCGTACATGGTCTACGAAGTCACAAATACATCCTTTTTCTAAATAAAGAATTTACCCCTCCCGCTGTCCTAATGGGCGTGACCCCGTGAGGAAAGTTGACCATTGAGCAGGGTTGATGGTTTATCCCTTGAGTCCATGTGGCAGGGGTGAGGAGTGAGCACCACCTCACCCCTGCCACGGGGACCTCAAGGGATAAACCACCAATCCTGCTCAATGGTCAACTTTCTTTGCGGGGTCACCCATGACGACAGTGGGAGGGTTAACACAACTTGGTTAAAGAGCAAGTCACCCCAAAATCTACTTATTTTTCTGATAAACTATGTAAATGTGTGTCTAATCGTGCTGCAGACATGTGTAGTCAATAGTTTTGCACTTTAGTGCATTTTAGTTAAAATTTAAAAATTTCTGCCTGAAACTGTCAGTGTTGTGCCGTTGTCAGGTAAAAACTGCACTGCATTTGAATTTAAATCTGCCATCGCTATTGGCTAAGAGGTACCCTAGAACATTAGCTGGTACCATATGATGTCACAATGTCATTGTGAGCCTGCGTGTGTGTATTTGTTTGCAGCTCCGCCCTCTCGGTCTGCTAGGCAACGGCATTTGCTGCATTTTTCAAACAGGAAGTGGGAGTGGAGTACGACTCTGGTAGGGGGTGACTTGCTCTTTAAGTAAATTCAAAATTTCATTTCTTACAGTGTAATTCAGTCACTTTTAGCAGTGTTTTAAAAACACGAACCTTATCACTATGAGTATAAAAGGAACTAATCTTGCCTGGTGTGTGGCACACAGGGAGAACGGTAATCTGTGACGTTGCTGTAGGTCCCAACTTCACACAGAGCACAGACTGCATCACTTGTGCGACTGGCTGCAGGAATCAATCACGTAGAGCAAGTTAGGTTATTTTGTACAGCAGGGCAGCTGAGCAGGATTATTTATGTTTATGTTAGATGTGACATGTGAAGCCTACCTGGGATTTTAACTCCCTGACCCAAAGGACATGTTGTCAGTTTCTGGCAGTGGCTGCAGGCATCGTCACTGCAGTAGTACCCTGACACACACTCACAAACTGTGTCTTCTTTGGATGTACACTCCCTTAGTTGTTTCCTATTTGAAACTGTAAAAAAAATGAGATTTAATTTTACTATTTTTAATAAAGAATGTTCTCGCTCTCTCTCTGTGTGTGTGTGTGTGTGTGTGTGTGTGTGTGTGTGTGTGTGTGTGTGTGTGTGTGTGTGTGTGTGTGTGTGTGTGTGTGGTTGGTTAGACTACAGCCAAAAATAGAAGTCACCTACTTTTGTAAACCATCACAAATTTGAATAATTAAGGTGGTACTTCACTGAAAAACCGATATAATGGGTTACTCTGGGGTTTTCATGCAGGCTGAACATTAAAATAGTCTCCTACACCTATCTCCTGCGTTAGCTTCTGATAGAAAATCCTGACAGATCTATGTCACACTGTCACTTAACATTCACGGACTCACCCATCTTGACTCACGACGGGGACGACTGTTGTTGGTTTAGCATCCAGGTTAAGCAGAGAACTTCTCGGCTAGCAGATACTAACCGTTAGCATTAGCAACTCTACACCACGGCAGAACTCCTTTAGGCTTGTGTTATTTGTGGAGATAAAACATCGACGTTGCAAAGCAAACGGAGTCATCGGTAGAGTCGTGTTGCTGTCAGCCAATCAAAAGCGAGATGCCCAAATATCAGGTAATAAGAATCCAAAGCCTGTCTTCTGAAGCTCAACTCTGGTCTGGTTCCCTTCTAGTTACTGAAACAGGTGCACCGGAGCTTTTTTCCCCTAAGGCACAACTTACAAGGCATTCATTCCTTCTAGAGATGACTGCAACTGTATTAAAGGTGCATTGTGTATGTGCCGCCCCTTTAAGGCAGACATGTAAATTTAGCTCTGTGTGTGTGTGCGCGCGCATGTGCGTGCGTACGTATGTAATTTGTACCGGTAGACTTGCCATAGTTATTCTCAACTGGAGATGACCGTTAAGCTAACTGTTATATTTTTTGCATATTGGTTCATCTTTTCTTGCTAAGCCTGAAAGAGCACATGCCTGTAAGTCATACATGTTTGTTCCGTTGAGCGTATTTATTATAGTTTTATGTAACAGTTGAGAATCTTGTGTGTGAAAGTTTTTATCTCTAGTAAAAACGGTTGTGATGCTAATGCGTTAGCCCGTCTATGGAATTTTACATATATTCTTAGCATTGAGCTAACCGCTAGGTTCTTGGGGAAAAACTTCTGATTGTGTTATTATATCTTTATGAAATACCCATAAAGTACATGAAAGTTTATTATTAAGTGTTTATTAATACAAAATACATATGAATACATCATAAATGTAACATTATTCATTTATTGTTTTTCTGTATTGCAGTTTTACAGTGCCTTCTACAGTAAATATCTAAAACGTCCCTGCTGACTCCTGGATGTTTATCGTGGACCTGTTAAGCTATCTGCCAAGCTAGAACCCAGCTTCATCCTCTAGTGAGGGCAGAATAGTAAAAAGGCATCTTCCCAACGGGTCGTTTACAGAAAAGTGAATCCCTGTGGAAACAGTTCTTCTGCCATTCAAGCTACAATGAACAGTAATGATGACACGCTTGAGACACGGTCAGTATGCTCCAACATTTCACGTGCCAGTCGACGTTCTTCAGCCAGTGCAATTGCAGCCAGAGCACGTGCAAAAGCAGAGGCTGCACGTGCGCAAGCATTATTTGCACAAAAAGAAGCAGAAATGATGAAAGCACAAGCACATATTGAAGAGGAGCAACAAAAAGCAGTAGCCTCAGCTGCTAGAAAGAAAGCAGAACTGCAAGCTAGTTTGCATACATTGAGACTGGAGAGTGAAGCTGCAGCAGCCATAGCTGAAGCCAATGTTCTAGAAGCAGCTGCTGAGAACGAGGTGGAGGAGTTAAGTCAAGCTAGCCAGAGAAATGAATTTGCTGAGCATAAAATTACTGAGCTTTACCCTGATTCTAGGCTGCATGAGCCCACATCAAAACTCATTTGCCAAATACCAATCGACAATGCTAATACGGCTGAAAACAATATTGAAGAAGGAAAAGAAAAGCTGCAAAAAGGTGGTAACTTTGACTTACCTATCTTACAATCATCCAATCTGAATGAAAATGCTGCTCCATACTACCCTGATACTCACCGCTCACGCAGGACAGGCTTCTTTGAACAGGAACATCAACATGGCTTAAACCCATTCAAAGATTCATGCAGTCATAAAATACAGTCATGTAACAGGAATCAGTTCAACAGCAACTACCAACCCCCTCAGCGTCAAACTGGTACTGTTGCCGGACCTAGTGAGCCCACTTCATCATCTACGACAGACTTGACAAAGTATCTAATTCGTCGGGAGATGATAAGCTCTGGGTTGTTGAGGTTCGATGATCAACCTGAAAATTATTGGGCCTGGAAACAATCTTTCCACAGCTCTACAGAAGACCTAAACCTAACATCAAGAGAGGAGCTTGACCTCTTATGTAAATGGCTAGGACCAAAATCATCCGAGCATGCTAGAAGGATACGAGCAGTTCACATCAATGATGCAACGGCTGGCGTGCACATGATATGGCAAAGATTGGAAGAATGTTATGGATCACCTGAAGCAATTGAAGATGCACTTTTAAAGAAAGTGGATGAATTTCCAAGAATCTCAAGTCGAGAAAATCAAAAGCTGAGAGAACTAGGAGATATTCTCTTGGAGCTTGAGGCTGCCAGAGCAGACGGTTTTTTACCAGGACTCAGTTACCTGGATACGTCTCGAGGCATCACTCCAATTGTCCAGAAGCTGCCATACTCATTGCACGACAAGTGGGTCTCTCTGGCATCTCGTTACAAGGAAACAAACCAGATATCTTATCCCCCATTCTCATTTTTTGCAAAGTTTGTTTGTGATCAAGCCAAAATACTCAACGACCCAAGCTTTGCCTCACTCACAGGTAATTCAAGGTCAGGGAGACCAGAACCCTCCCTTAAACATAACATGAAAATTCCCATCTCTGTCAAAAAGACAGAAATCTCAACACAATTGAACAGCAGTCATAGCAAACCCTCAGAGAAAAGAATGGCTGACCCAGACCAGCAGTGTCCGCTCCACAACAAACCACACCCTCTCAGGAACTGCCGCGGTTTCAGGAACAAACCTTTGGATGAGAGAAAAACTTACCTTAAAGAAAATAATATCTGTTTTAAGTGCTGTGCATCAACCTCTCACCTAGCAAAGGACTGTTCAAAAAACGTACAGTGCAGAGAGTGTAAAAGCGAGAACCACCCTACTGCATTACACCCAGGAGCACCCCCCTGGATTACAGAGACTTCCGGGAGTACAAGAGATCAAGGCGGGGAGCAAGAAAAAGAAACTCCTTCAGCTGTCATATCAAAATGTACTGAAATATGTGGAAGTACACTCAGAGCAAGGTCATGCTCTAAAATTTGTCTTGTCAGACTTTATCCAGCTGGCCAGATGGAGAAAGCGGTTAAGGCTTATGTTGTTCTTGACGAGCAGAGCAATAAGTCCCTGGCAAGATCAGAGTTTTTTGAACTCTTTGGTGTTACAGCGGGCACAGCAGCATACACATTAAAGACTTGCTCAGGAGTTATCGAAACCATGGGGCGACGAGCTAACAATTTTGTAATGGAGTCATTGGATGGACGGAATCAAATTCCACTTCCCACCTTAATTGAATGTGACATGCTCCCTGATGACAGGTCTGAAATCCCCACGCCTGAAATCGCCAAACATTATACACATCTGAAGCGGGTCATGGATAAAATCCCAGCTCTAGACCCCTCAGCAGGCATCCTCATCCTGCTCGGTCGTGACGTACCAAGGGCACACAAGGTTCGGGAGTATTGCAATGGACCTCACAATGCCCCCTATGCACAACGCCTCGACTTGGGATGGGTGATTGTAGGAGAGGTTTGTGTTGGAAGAGCGCACAAACCAGAGCTCGTAAATGTCTACCGCAGCAATGTGCTGAGCAATGGACGTGCATCTCTGTTCGAGCCTTGTTCTAACAGTCTTCACATTAAAGAGAAATTAGACACAGCAATCCATCACATTCATTTTCCTGTAGCTAACCCATCTCAAGACCTGCTTGAAGAGAAAGGTAACATCGGGGAAGGAGTCTTCCATCAAACCCCACATGATGACAAGCCTGCCTTGTCTGTAGAAGACAAAGTTTTTCTAGAAATAATGGATAAGGAGGTCTTCATGGATGATGCAAACAATTGGGTGGCACCATTGCCCTTCAAACAACCAAGGCGCAAACTCCCCAACAACCGTGCACAAGCGGTCAAACGTCTTTCAGCCTTACTACACATGTTCAAAAAAAGGCCAGACCTGAAAATGCATATGATTACCTTCATGCAGGGGATCTTTGAGGCAGGCCATGCTGAACCTGTTTCATCACCCACTGATGGACAAGAGTGCTGGTACCTACCGATCTTTGGGGTTTACCATCCACGTAAACCAGGCCGAGTACGAGCAGTCTTTGACTCCAGCGCTAAACATGAAGGTGTCTCTCTTAACGACATCTTGTTGAGTGGCCCTGATTTAAATAACACACTATTAGGAGTGCTCACTCGCTTTCGCAAGGAACCAGTGGCAGTGGCAGCAGACATAGAACAAATGTTCTATTGCTTCAAAGTCCGCCATGATCACAGAGACTTCCTACGTTTCCTTTGGTTCAAGGACAATGACCCCACCAAAAATATCACAGAGTACAGAATGACGGTGCACGTTTTTGGCAACAGCCCGTCTCCCGCTGTTGCAATATATGGCTTAAGGAAGGCTGCTCTGCAAGAGCAAGGAGAAAACAGCACGGAGGCTAAACAATTCGTTCTGAAGAATTTTTATGTGGATGATGGTCTTGCCTCATTTCCCACTGATGCTGAAGCCATCCAAGTCCTGAAAGAGACCAAGGAAATGTTAGCAGACTCAAATATACGGCTGCATAAAATAGCTTCCAATCACAATAAAGTAGTGGAAGAATTCCCATCTGAAGAGCGTGCGAAAGAACTGAAAGATCTAGAGCTCGGTGTAGATCCCTTGCCCATGCAAAGAAGCTTAGGTCTCAACTGGAATTTGCAAACTGACTGTTTTACCTTCCTCGTCTCTCAAGAGGAGAAACCCTTTACCCGCCGTGGCATTCTCTCCACTGTTAACAGCATATTTGACCCAATAGGATTTGTAGCTCCAGTAACAATACAGGGCAAGGCTATAGTCAGAGAGCTAAGCATCGAACATTGTGAATGGGATGCCCCGATACCTGCCAAAAAGGCAACCCAGTGGAAATCCTGGCGAGACTCTCTCAAATCTCTCGAGCAGCTCCACGTACCAAGACCATACTTACCAATGTCCTTGCTCTCTGCGCCACATAGAGAACTGTGTGTTTTTTCTGACGCATCCACCATGGCTATCTGTGCAGTCGCCTACCTCAGAGTAGTTGATGAAGACGGACACAGTCTTGTAGGATTCTGCATGGGAAAATCTAAAGTAGCTCCCCATCACACCACTACTGTGCCCCGTCTAGAGCTTTGTGCAGCTGTACTTGCAGTTGAACTAGCTGATACTCTGATTGACGAGCTAGATACCAACATCCATGCAGTAAAGTTTTACACAGATTCCAGAGTAGTGTTGGGATACATATACAACAGCAACCGCAGATTTTACGTATATGTTGCTAACAGAGTAGCACGTATCCGGAAATCATCACAGCCTGGGCAGTGGCATTTTATCAGCTCAGAAAACAATCCTGCAGACCATGGTACCAGACCAGTTCCAGCAAATCTTTTGGGAGAAACAAACTGGCTTTCTGGTCCATCTATTCTCAAAAATGATAAGGAAGTTGCACTTACCCAGACAGAGCCCTTTGAGCTAGTAGAACCTGATGATGATGTTGACGTGCGTCCACTAATTACAACCTTTTCAACAATGACTTCTAAAACATTGCTTGGCTCACATAGGTTTGAGCGCTTTTCCAGCTGGAAGACACTTGTATGTGGCATAGCTAAACTCATCCAGAAAATCAGATCTTGTGCTACATCCTCAAGGAGAGATACACCAAAGGCGGATGAGTTTATACAGGCAAGAACAGTAATCATACGAGCTGTACAACAAGAAGCCTTTAAAGAAGACATCAAAAGCCTATCAAAAGGAGAGATTGTCTCAAAACACAGTCCTCTCTGGAAACTTGACCCATTTCTAGATTCAGATGATGTACTGAGGATAGGGGGTCGTGCAGCATTAGCGACAGTCTCCTGGGAAGAGAAGCATCCCATAATCATCCCCAAAAATACTCATGTTGCAACATTGCTGGTTCGATATTATCACGAACGAGTAGCACACCAGGGCAGACACTTCACTGAAGGGGCAATCAGGTCTGCTGGGTTGTGGATCCTGGGAGGAAAAAGACTCATATCAAGCACCATACATAAATGTGTCTCCTGCAGACGGTTGAGGGGAAGTATGGAAAAACAAAAGATGTCCAACTTACCTGCTGACCGGCTGGTTCAAGCTCCTCCATTCACACAAGTTGGATTAGATGTTTTTGGACCATGGACTGTCTCTGCCCGTCGTACCAGAGGAGGTCTATTCGAAAGTAAACGTTGGGCGGTGATGTTTACTTGTTTGGTAACAAGAGCAGTCCACATGGAAGTGATAGACTCTCTGTCAACATCAAGCTTCATAAATGCTCTCAGGCGGTTCACAGCCATCAGGGGACCAGCAAAGCTTTTTCGTTCTGACAGAGGCACAAACTTTGTTGGTGCGTGTAAAGAACTTGGAATAACTTCAGATGATGCAGCACTTCAGTCATACCTCAAAGACCAAGGCTGTACTTGGGACTTCAATCTTCCACACTCCTCTCATATGGGAGGAGCGTGGGAAAGAATGATAGGGATCGCTCGACGCATATTGGACGGCATGTTGCTCAAGATGCATTCTCCTACTCTTTCACACGAAGTACTCACTACGCTGATAGCGGAAGTAGTTGCCATAATGAATTCCCGGCCGATTGTTCCTGTGTCTTCAGATCCAGATGCGCCAACCGTACTTACACCTTCTATGCTTTTGACTCAGAAACTGGACTCTGCATCCTTTCCTTCAGGAGACCTTGATCTTAAAGATCTGTACCGGAGTCAATGGAAGCAAGTTCAAGGTCTTGCTGACTCATTCTGGAAACGATGGCGCCAAGAGTACTTGGCTACTCTCCAGCCAAGAAGAAAGTGGCAAGCAGAACAAACTAACTTACAAGTTGGAGATCTTGTCCTTTTAAAGGACAAACAGGCTAAACGGAATGAGTGGCCTACAGGTCTCATTGTAAATACCTTCCCAGGTCAAGATAGCAAAGTTCGTAAAGTGGAGGTGAGAGTTGTCAAAGGTGGCTCACCCAGAGTGTATTTGAGACCTGCTACAGAAGTAGTACTGTTACTTAGAGGGACATAGTGGTGTGCGCGCGCATGTGCGTGCGTACGTATGTAATTTGTACCGGTAGACTTGCCATAGTTATTCTCAACTGGAGATGACCGTTAAGCTAACTGTTATATTTTTTGCATATTGGTTCATCTTTTCTTGCTAAGCCTGAAAGAGCACATGCCTGTAAGTCATACATGTTTGTTCCGTTGAGCGTATTTATTATAGTTTTATGTAACAGTTGAGAATCTTGTGTGTGAAAGTTTTTATCTCTAGTAAAAACGGTTGTGATGCTAATGCGTTAGCCCGTCTATGGAATTTTACATATATTCTTAGCATTGAGCTAACCGCTAGGTTCTTGGGGAAAAACTTCTGATTGTGTTATTATATCTTTATGAAATACCCATAAAGTACATGAAAGTTTATTATTAAGTGTTTATTAATACAAAATACATATGAATACATCATAAATGTAACATTATTCATTTATTGTTTTTCTGTATTGCAGTTTTACAGTGCCTTCTACAGTAAATATCTAAAACGTCCCTGCTGACTCCTGGATGTTTATCGTGGACCTGTTAAGCTATCTGCCAAGCTAGAACCCAGCTTCATCCTCTAGTGAGGGCAGAATAGTGTAGAAACGACGTAAAAAAATACACCCTGTGGTTAAATTTGGTTACTGTAACCACTTTAAACAACTCTGGAGCTTTTTTCCAGCCCTTCGTCAAATTACAGTTGTCGGCGCTGCAGTATTCGCTCACAGGAGATACCCACACTCACTGATGGTAAACAGTAGTTACATACGTCCCTCCTTCTTTTGTTTTGAAAGGAGAAAAACGGACAATCCCTGCAGCCAGCTGGACACGAAATATGTTTCACTAGAACCTTTCTTCCAAAATGACTATTTTGGGATTTTCTCACTGTAAAATTTTCACTATATTCTTACACACCGCACCTTTAACATTCATGGACTCACTCGTCTTGACCGGCGACGGGGAATGCTGTTGACGGTTTAGCATGCAGGAAACGGCAGAGACCGTCTCGGCTAGCTGAAGCTAACTGTTAGCAACTCCACACCACGGCAGAACTCCATTAGGCTTGCGTGGAGGTAAAACATCAACGTTGCAAAGCAAACTGAGACAGCGGTTGTGTTGCTGTCATCCAATCAGAGGCGAAATGTCAAGAAATGAGATTCTAAATCCCGTCGTCTGAAGCTCAACTCTGATCTGGCTCAGGTCTAGTTCCTGTAACAGGCACACCAGTGCTTTCCCCCCAAAGAAGGGGGAACAAGGCATTCATTTATACAGAGACCACTGCAAATGTATTAAAATACAAGTAAAGTACCACTTTAAAGGGTATTGTTACTCTAGAAATGTGATGTTTGAGTGACTTACATGTAAACGAAGTTGAGGTTTACCAAAAAGATGGTTAGGGTTGGAAAACTGAAACTATGGTGATGTAAGGAAAGTAACTAAATCCTTCAGTGATCTGTTTGATCGTGTAGTTGACTTACTGGTAATGCACTTTGTGCAGGGTCTGCATTCTTTCAGGGCGTTTTGAGTGGCTGTGAAGGACCCCTCTGTACAATCGCCACACACCGTCCTCTGTGTGCCCTTACATTCAGCTTCCATGTACTTCCCTGATCGCAGGTAAAGAAAAACAACAACAAAACCAGGAACAGAACAGACGTACGTATTAGACGCCTGCCAGGATCAATGAAATAGAGGAATGCAAATCTTTTCAAATCTAACGAGGAAGTTGAACAGAAATGTTGAAACCGTGAGGTTTACCGACCTGCAGGACAGAGCTGATCCTTTGAGCAAAGCGTATTTGTCATTTTGTAGAGCCTTCGATTACGGTCCTTCACTTGAGTGAAATAAGCTTTTAGGTTTCCTTTCACTGAGCAGAACCTCCAAATGACAGCTTGAACCCAGCCCGGAGGGCACGACCTTCCCTGACACTTGTGTCACGCTCTCCTCTGCGATCGCTCTCAGTTTGATCTGTTTATGACAGACTTCTTCCCTCTTCTCACTCTTTCTCACTCGATTCTGATGTCTTTTCTGATCCTACACAGTGGAAAGCCCCGTTGACCCTCATCTGCTGATTTCCCCTCCGTCTCTCTACGTCTCTCCTTGTTTCCTTCCTGTCCTATAGCCCCCCCCCCCTCTCTGTGAGGTGTGCATGTGTTTCCGTACAAAACCAACAGGCTGATGCTGCCAGTTTAACTAACTCAGAGAAAAGTGATACAAATCAAGATTTCCTTCCTATGATTTTTTTCCCTCCATTGTTTAAAGCGAACCTCGGTCCAAACTTTCACAGGAGTGCCTCACAGTGTTTAGCTCAGTGTGTCTTCCTCACGCCCTCATTACCAAAACTCACTGACATTTACTGCAAACATGAAAGCAGTAGTCTACAAATAGAGACATAAATGCAAACAGCTGCAAAATCTGACAAACAGAGGAAGAAGGCTGCAGGAGGAGGGTGAGAAAAGAAAGGAAATCAACCAGAAAAGGGAAGAATAAATGATAGGAGTTCATTTGAGGAAAGACTTGATCTGATAACAATGTTGAGGCTAAGGTGGGGTGAGACGTTTACGTTATTATAACACCGTATTTTAAGACTTAATCTGAAGTTTTGCTGTTTTATCCTTACAGGTTTTCAGTCAGATTATAGATTATCTGAATTATTTAGTTAAAACACTTTTTTCGCGGTAAAAATGGCTTCAGTGCATTCAGGATGAATAGTGGGTTCATAAAGCTTAGCGTGGAAATCTGCACTAATTGGTCAGCAGCTGCTCACCCAGAAATGACAAATTTTCTTTAGAAACAACGCGGGCAGCACTCGAGTCAGGCGAGGATGACGGGGCACTTCTCTGGGAATTTGCCGAAGAAGAAATAGTTTCGAACAAGCAAAAACCAACAGATGATTCATCGCAGAAGAGAACTTTATTCTACTGGAATTTTTCTTCTGAATGTGCGTCGGATCAGATTAATAACGGAGCTGACGTGATGATGCGTTATCTCGGCAGCTCTGCTTCAGACTGTTTGTGTGTTACATAAACATGTATGCTCGTGTTCTGTTGCAGCATATGTCTCCTTTTTCCTGTCACTAATCTCTTATTTCCCTTTACTTTTTCTTCACTTCCTGTTAGTTTCCTACTTCTCTTGATTTCCTGCTCTGCATATTCGGTGCTTTTGGGATGGGTGGAGTCTCCGGGGTATCCCACGGGATATTCGCCTCATGACAGTGTGAACTGGACTCGATGTGCCCCCAAAGGTCACAGCCTGTTCATCAGGCTCATCCACCTGGACCTGGAGGACAGCCAAGACTGTGCAAATGATGCAGTGAAGGTCAGATTCAATAAGGAACAGGAATGTATCACAATGTGGATTTAAGATTAGCAATATTTACATTTTCTCTAAATATTTTGCACAGGTTTTCTCAAACGGAACCTTAATATCGATCCTGTGTGGTAAAAAGGAATTTGAGGAGCTGGAGGAGGTGGTGAATCCGTTGCATTTCTCCTCCCCTGGTGGCTGTCTCACACTTTTGTTTCACTCGGACTACGCAAACGCTGAGAAACATGCTGGTTTTAGAGGCTTTTACAGCATTCAAGGTGAGACGTCAAGTGTCCAGCTAAGCGCTGATGTCTTTTTCCAACAGGAAATCTCCTTTTGTTGAATGTACAAACACCATTTTAGTATTTAAGGCCAGTCATATTTTTAGACAGCATTCACAAAGTGTGCTGTGGTCGACATCTGCTAAAGCTGATGTGGAAAGCGTCTCATTATTCCCGCATCAAAGCTTCCGGGACCAGGATTTCCTTGTATAGTTGATGTGATGTCCAACGTTTGCTGTGCAACCTGAGCAAGCATGACTATTTGTTTTAGGCCGAATGAATACCTGTTGCGGATGCTTCAAAGTGTTCAAATGTTCATAGTTGAGTGGGAATAAAATGATGTTGCGGATGCAATAATCTGATTTCCTGCGTTAGACTTTAATGAGTGTGAGGACAACCTGAACTACAGATGCAGCCAGTTCTGTCACAACTTCATTGGAGGCTATAACTGCGCCTGTCGCCATGGCTACTACCTAACGGAGGACAAACACACTTGCACGGGTAAAGATGCCTTTTCTATTTTTTAGCTATTATAATATCGGCACAACAAACCAGGAGAAGCAGATAATCCAAGCTACAACGAAACATGAAGTGAAATTAAGGAATAGAAGAAGCAGAAGTGGTCGATCATGGATGGATGATTTTATGCGATTGTGTAATTATCTCATGCCAAATTCAGTGAGCTGCAATGAGGATCTGTCTGGGCTGAACAACGGTGACATATCCAGTCCCTTTTGGCCTGAGACGTATGCAGAGAACGCCAACTGTCAGCACAACCTGTCCGTGGTGGAGAACCTTCAGCTGGAGCTGCACTTCTCTGAGGTTTTTGACGTGGAACAAAGTCCTGATGGTGAATGCACTGATGCACTAACGGTAAGAGCTGCATCAGAGAGTATTCAAATACATCTTAAAAGAAGTTTAGCATGCAGGCTAAATGTGAAAATAGTCTTCTATACCCCTATTTCCTGCATTAGCCGCTGATAGAAATAGACGGGGAAATGCTTGGATTAGAAAAGCCGCGCGTCACAATGACAATGTCGCGATGGGGAAGTCTGTTCTTGGTTTAGAGTGCAGGAAATGGCAGAGCTCGTCTCAGCTAGAAGAAGCTAACCGTTAGCATTAGCACCTCCACAACATGGCAGAACTTCTTCAGGCTTGTGTTATTTGTGGAAAGCAAATGGAGTCAGTGGTAGGGTCAAGTTACTATTATTACCCAATTAGAGTCGGGATATCAGAATACCAAAATCTGCTAGTGTCTGAAAGAAAAGCACAAGTTTAAATAGTCCAAAGTTGATGCCAAAGCCGTTCCAAATGAGCGCTGTTCCTGAGCTGACACCATCTTTGTTGATTTCCTCTGCCGCAGCTCTAGCATTAAGGCCACCCAACAAACAAAGAAGAAGAAGTTCATTTATATAGCACTTATTTGAGATCAAATTCATAAAGCGCTTCACAGACAAAAACAAACAATAAAACTGATATAATAAACAACAAAATTCCAGGAAAACATGGAAAGCTAAACCTAGAAAACCAAAAAAAAAAGGGAAAACAGTTAAACAATAAGAAAATAAATGATTGTGTCATGTGAGAGCGCTCATGCGAGAGAGTGTGTGTCAATGTAAGGGAGATCACAAACGCTCAGTTTAGATCCAATGTTCGTCATTTCAAAGTAACAATCTGACGTTACGTGAGCTGATCCAAGGAGTCCATCATCCCATGTGAGGAACTGGGGAGGGAGGGGTAGAGCATCTGTCTGCATAAACAACAGAGGAGTTTTGTACGAGCGACCTTGCAAGGCTGATGTGAGGGCGCCAAATTCAGATAAAAATTGTTTCACGTCTTTTGTTCAGTATCTCAGTGATCTTTGGTACAATTCCAAGCAGATGAAACGGGATCAGTTTCCATCGAGCCGAGCCGAAAGCTTTTCCAAGTGCTAATCCATTTCACTGATGAGTTAAGAAACCGAAGCCAGTTTTCTGGTCAAAGCATCCTTTCAATTATGCTCGTTCAACGAGAGTGTGAATGCTGACAGTTCGACACATCCCTTCGTAAAAGCCAGGAAGTTTGCCAATTGCTCCCGACTGCTTTTGAATCTTATGACACACCAGGAACCCGCTCGCTCCAAAGAGAAGCAACCCGGTTATCATGAACACGGTTATATAAGCATCTTCTTCATCCTCAACGAACAGCAGCGACAAACACATGATCTTCCACTCGTTCCAGGAATCCATCATTTATCCTACCGGGTGTGTTTCGTCAGGGAGGGAAGGAGCCCCCTTCTTCATTCTTAACGTGGAAAAAAAAGTATCATTGGCATTCAGAGACCAGCTGACCAGATCCAATGGTTAATGAAAATTAGAAGAAAATGCAGAGAGGCACCCCAGATAGACTACAGGACAAAGAGCAGGCAAAGGTAGGAGGGTAGGAGGAGAAATGAGAAAAGCATCCACAATTGCCAGGGGCAGGAAGTTGGGAAGAGCACTGTGATTGGCCAGACACAAAACTGAGGCTACAACGGAGAGTGGCTAGACTGACCCGCAGAAGAAATTTTTTTTGCTACTTCTACAGTTGGTCTAGATTTCTACACCAAGAGACTGCAAACGTGTTGAAAAAAGAGTAAAAGTGGTTTAAATTAAGAAAGCTGCTGCAGCACGTAGTCCAACTTACGCTGTCTCAGATTTGGGTCAAAAGACCATAAAGTTCTGATCATTTCACGTGGCAACTTAACTACTTCTTCTGGTTCGACATCAAAAACAACTGTCCCAACAGAGAGTGGACGGAGATGGCGTGTCACAACAGGATATCGTGGTTATTGCGTTACCCTAAGTTTGAAAAAATATCACCACTGGCAATAACACTCAAACCACCACAGCTCCATGCTTTTCAACGGGAATCAAACACACGGTCCGTTTATCTTCCCTGTGCCTCATTAAGATGCAACTGCTTTTATTTGGACACATCAGAAAAAAGTCATTGAGTTATTTGTGGAGTTTTAACTTTTGACTTGTATGTAAGCTGCATGTTTCATCAGGAAGTTAAGAAACTTAACCTTGAATTTCATAATGCTTAAAGTGACAATCTGTATTTTTCCTGGTGATAGGGGGCAGTACATACCTAAATCATTGCAAGCAAGCAGTATTTTGGTGTTCAAGTAAATCTTTATCAACGGATGGCCATTAGGGTCAAAATTCTCTGGGAGCTCAACCTCCCACAAAATGACAACACATCCGAATCTCTTTCCTCACTGGCAATGAATGAAGAGGTAAATATGTATAACAACGTTCATGAATGGAAAACGTTTTGTAACTGTTTGTTACAAATCAGTAAACGCATTTAGTCCTCACGGGCTCCCGTAGAAGGAAACATGGCGTCTAATATGGCGCCACCCGGAGACGTAGACCCACTCCCAAGTATTTTAGACCCAATTTTTACGGTTTTATGTCATGAAGCCGCCAACATTTTTCAACTACTGGGCATCATTTAATTCATTTTGATGGCTTTTTCCAGAGATTAGCGCGGTTAAAACTACACATTGTCTCTAACAGATTGAAACTCACTCTGGGACTTTGGCAACATTCTGTGGTGACAAACCTCCCCCATCTCCCTTGCTCACTCACTCACACCAAGTCCAAATCCGCTTCACCTCTGATGGTTTCGGAGCAAACAAAGGCTTCAGCCTCCACTTCAAGACCAGAGGTAATACCATCTGCTCAAATACAAGAAGAAACTAAAGCATTTGTCATGCAATCGCTGTTGAAAATAATTGTGATTTTTGTTCTCAAATGCAGATAAAGTCTGTTTACCAGAGGTGACCTCAAAGTCCACTGTGACCCCTCTGAAACCAGAATACAAGTGGGGCCAAACAGTGATCGTAACATGTGACGTTGGCTATGTTGCAATCTCAGTGAGTCCTCAAAGGAACAAAACTATACCATTACATTTACAAAAATACTAACACTCCAATGTGTTTATCAAACCCTGTTATTGGTAAACAGACACAAGCCAGCGATATTATCATGGAGTACGAGGCAAGCTGCCAGAGTACAGGAACGTGGGCTCCCAGCTACCCCTGTGAAAGTTAGTCCAGCAGTGTTTTACACCAGCTTTAGGATTTACTGGAGATGTTTTTAACTCACATGTTGTTATGTACAGTTGTGGATTGTGGTTTCCCGGTCCTCGGTGATGACAGCATCCTTCAGGTGGTGGATTCAGCTAAACAAAGTACAGTGTACGAAAAACAGATCCAATTTTACTGCAGTTCAAAATACTACAAGCTGGATGGAAATGGTAATTTCAGGAGTCACCTTCACCTTTTTCGCTGGTTTTACCATATTATGATTTTTTAATCAATGTGCTTCTATCACTCTTTCAGACACCTACACTTGCAATGCCAGGGGTGAATGGATATCAATGGATGGCAAGGCAGAGATGCCAAAATGTGTAGAAGGTACAGTTCGTCTGACGTTTTATGAAATCGGCTGTTTTCTGAGCTTGTTTTTTAATCCCCTTTTCTCAATTTTAGTGTGTGGAATGCCTGAAAAATACACCCTAAGTTCAGGAAGGATTTTGGGAGGAAACGTTGCTGCTCTTGGAGATGTACCATGGCAACTTTTAATAAAATATCCAAAGAGAGGAGGTGCATCACTGATAAACGATATGTGGGCTGTCACAGCAGCACACGTAGTGAACGAACATCGAGGAATGCCCTTAAACTTCCACGGTGGAATAGTTAACGCAAATTCATCAGACAGCATTGTCCTCCAGAGTGAGAAGATCATTATTCATCCTGGTTATGAGAATAACGATGGCACAAATTATGATAATGATATTGCTCTTATAAGATTCAAGTCCCGAGTGAACCTTCAGCCAAATCTCACTCCTATTTGTTTGCCTAATGTAAGCAGAGGTGTAACAGAAAATGAACAAGGCACAGTGTCAGGCTGGGGATCATCACTAAAAAAACGCAATAATAAAATTGTAAAAGTTCAAAAAACACAGTACTTAAACTATGTTGACATTGGGGTTTATTCCTCATCTAAATGTGAGAACGTGCCCACCCTGCCCTCTAACAACAAAGAAATGTCTTTTACAAACAACATGTTCTGTGCTGGAGCTCCTGGGAAGGACAGCTGCACTGGAGACAGTGGAGGGCCATTTTTTTCACCCACGATGGGTTCAAGCGAAGGGCCTTATCACCTGATTGGCGTTGTGTCCTGGGGACCCAGCTGTCTGGATCCTGACCTCAAGGATGGGAAGGGGTACTACACCACGGTGGAGAATTATGTAGACTGGATCAAAAACACAATCCAGACAGAAGAAAGGAATTTTGAGTTAAAGTAGAAAAGAAAAGTAAAGATGAAGGCAAAACGTGCTCATGGCTATAGAAATAAGAACTTATCTGATTCAACTAACAGCTCGTATGAAAGCGATGAATCATTTGTTCCAGTCACAATAACACACTATGACTGCCTAATTCATTCTGGTATTAAAGAGAATTTATAATCCCTAATCGACACACCTGATTATTTTTCTGTACTGAGATTGTATCCAGATACTCTGTAGTTTGTATTAAACACAAAATGTGCTTGTATGATTCTGAATTATGCAACACTGTCTGGGATAATGATTCAATGTGATGATTAAAAATAGCATTTATTTTGTAACCAACGTTAAATATGGTAAATTTGGTGTCTTTAAATGATAAATACTCCAGAGATTATAATATGGTGCCAAAGTTCATTTATTTTAGTAATTCAGTTTGAGGTGAAACTAATATTTGAGGCAGACTCATTCCATTCAAAACCAGATATTTCAAGCCTGTATTTGTTATAATTATGATGATTATGGCTAATGAAAACACCACATTCAAAATATCACACAATTAGAATATTCAAAGAGTCACACTCTAATCAGTGAATTGATCTAAATCACATGCAAAGGGCTCCTGAGCCTTTAGATGGTCTCTCAGTCTGATGGACTTTTATATCATATTCAAAATGTTTGATTTTCCTCTGTATAAACAGGAAACCTTTGTCAAATAAATACAAGAAAACGAAGAAAGTTGTGTGTATTAAGCCATTATCTTGGTATTAATTTTAAACACTTCTTTAACAGGTTTTATATTATATGGAGATGGTAGACAGAGCAGCACATGGATCATGTATGGTTTAGGGATCATAAGGGTCAGAACATGTTACCATAAAACAATTCTCTGAACCAGCTAGGTGTAATTTCATAACCTGACAAGCCATCCTAATGCAAAGAAAACTTTATTTGCTTCAGCAAATGATCTGTCTAGATTCTAGGCTATTTGTGAGATCATGTAGAAAAAGCTATTTTTGGCATTTTGGCAGCCAGTGCCCATGCTGCATATAAAACAGATAATTTGGCTTTTAATTAGGAACAGACGAGGTGTTTTCTACCTCTTTTAACTATTTTCTCATGTTATTTTAAATTGTATAAGATGACAAATTTTTATCAGTGATTGCCCTAAACATTTAATCTTCCCTGTTTTTACTTTGTATTTATTTTTCGATCTAGTCACTTTGTATAATTTCATTTTTATTTTTGTATTGTTAGCTGTTCCTCACGCTGTGAAGCACTTAGGTCAGCAACAGCTATTTTAAATGAGCAACACCAATTAAAGTGACCTTGACCTTGAATGTCTTGACCTTTCAATCATGTCTCTACAACACTTCGCCTCCTGCTTCTCAGTGTCTGAGACTTGGAGTCAGGAAGCCTAGAACATCTACTGCCAGTTACTCATGGGATCCCAAGGGGCTTTTGCCCAGCCTGTTTTGACCCTGGGAACTCCTCCCATGCTTGAAACAAATCTCCTTGGAGGAGTCCAGGAGGCCTAGAGACCACCAGCCAGAACCACCTCAGCTACATATATGATCAACATCCTGCCTTTAATCAAGAGCATAGTTTCTCAATTTAAGAGCATTAAATGTCATTTTAAATCTCAGATCTTGTACTGTGGTCCTTCAAAACAAAATGTGCACACAAAAAAAATTCCCATTTTGCATTCAAATATGCTTTATTTGCTTTCAGAAATGAAATTGTGATCAATTTTTTTATGTGGTGAAGCTAAATAATTTAGACAAATAATTAATTATTTGCTTTTTATTACAAACTGTAAAGTCCAATCAAACCTAGGAGATTTGGTAGTAGTGGTAAAACTTTTAAGAGCACGGAAAAGAAAACAGGAAGTTAAAGGCCTTTTGTTTGTAACAGTTTTTTAAATTATAATAAATTAACAAAAGTTACCTGAACATACATGGGAACAGCGGGGAGTGGGGGGAGATCCAAAAACTTTAAACTTTTAAATGCATCAAAACGTTTTTCTGCGCTTTAGATCAACCAGTTACACACTTCCTGTCTAGTTACCGGAAGTACTAGAATTGTAGGAATTGTAGTTCAAAGCGGGCTGAGTTAGGAAGTAGCGAGTTCCCAGATCTTAGCCTGAAGGATTTAAAGTAATATTGACAAGAAAACCGACACTTGCTCATTATTTTGCCTCGTTAAAATGTTTACAAGCTGTTTCGTTACCTGGAACGTTTCTAAACAGGCTCTGCTGAAGAGCAACAAGGAAGGTAGGCTATATGTAAAAGCCGTGTGCTGCCCCCTGCTGGTAAAAGTAACCAAGAAGACTGGAAAAACGAGAAAAATAAAGAAACAAAAGCAAAGTACACGTAATATTATTTTTAACTATGTAAAAAAATAAATCACGATTGTTTTATCTCACATTCACCTTTTAATCCCAATAAGTTTTTTGTCTGTTTTATTGACATATCTGCTGTTCAAGGTCAAACATGATTTTGCCAAGACAAATAAAACATTCCTGGCATTAACGCAATCAGTTGCTAAACCCCAGAAACAACTATATGATATCAATGTGTTACAGCTCTGTCAGACTTTTGCTACGGATTAGTTCAGTCGTGAAAATGTTTGATCCTAGGTCGAGGTGGATTTCTTTCATCGTCTGGTAAGTTTAGTTTAAATATTTTTTATTCACTTGTGTTGGAATCAGATTTTAAAACTTACTTTTTCAACATAAATGCCCCATTAACTGGAGAATTTCTTCTTTTTTGCTGCAATTATAGTTATTTACAAAACAACAATTAATTCCAGTTTCCTACATGTTTTAATACATGGCTTCTACTCGTCTTGATTGTGCCACTGCATTTTTCAGTTTGAATCGACTTTGAACCAGCAGCAACAGCCTGATAAATAGATCAAACTCTTTTCCTGCATCTCTTCAGGTTTCTGTACGTGTTGGTGTGTGAGAGCCTCCCGCTGCCTGACTCAGGCCCTCTGATTCATAGGGAGGTCAAGTCCCCCCAGTATCCCCAGCCGTACCCCCCAAACCTGCTGAAGCAGTGGGACCTCAACGTGCCAGAGGGTTTCCAGATCCGACTGACCTTCACACACCTGGATATAGAACCATCTGCAGGCTGTTATTACGACTCAGTCACAGTCAGAGCCACATTTTACATATGTAGCACAGCATTACCCAAAATAACAGATCAATAGTAAAACACTTCATTTGAAGGTTGCTTTAAAATAACACAAACCAAGACAAATTGTAAAAAGGTTCATTGCGATAAAATCAACTAGAATTCACTTTGCTGCTGAGGCAGAATTTGGGAGTAAATGTAGAGATTTAATGTGACTTTTACATGCAGTTAAATGGGAATTGTTAGGCTATCAACTCATCCGTGATGCATCAGAAATTACAACCAGGTCAAAGGATCCATCAGCTATTAAAAGTGTGGAACATTGAAAAAACATTTTTAAAAACTTTTTTATGATTATAATCTGTCACTCAGGTTTTTTCATTCAGGCTGAATTTGAAAATAGTCTCTTACACCTGAATTTAGACTGTAAAATGCTAGGATTTGAAAAGCCTGACAGATCTATGTCACACTGTCACTTAACATTCATGACTCCATCTTGACTTGCAACGAGGAAGACTGTTGTTGGTTTAGCGTCCAGCAAACAGCAGAGAACATATCACCTAGTAAAAGTTAACCATTAGCATTAGCAACTCCACCACATAGCAGAATTCCTCTAGGCTCGTGTTATTTGTGGAGATAAAACATCCACAAGTCAGTGGTAGAGTCGCGTTGCCGTTATCCAATCCGAGGTGAGATGTCCAAATATCAGGAAATAAGACCCCAAAACCTGCCGTCTGAAGCTCAGCTGTGAGGTGGCTCACTTCTATTTCCTGGAAATGATGCACCGGTGTTTATTGCGTTCCCCCCCCCCCCCCCCCCCCCCCCCCCCCGAGTACAACTTACAAGGCATTCAGACACAATTGCAAATGTATTGATTAAACAAGTGTTCCACACCTTTAAACCCCATAATCTTTCTCCTTTACGTTTGTTAAATATAACTCGACAAGATGGCAATTACATAGAACTAGACTGTACTAAAGACTGCAGATCTGATGATTCAACAGCTAAAGTTCTATTTCAGTGATGCTCTTCTTTAGCCTATGTATCGGTAGATAAGGATCTCATCCTTGCTAAGACAACCAAAAGGCAATACGACATTGTTTTAATGGACTTTAATGCACTTTTTCTACGTTCTTTTAAAGATTTAATTCTTTTGTTTAATCTGTCAGGTTCTGTACGATAAAAAACTGCTTGGGAAGTTCTGTGGCACTGAGAACTCTGCCGATGACCATCACCCAGGCTATGAGCCCATTTTGTCTCCAGGCAACAGGCTTACCCTCGTTTTCCAGACGGATGACTACAACCCAGAAAGGCGTCAGAATGTGGGATTTTCTGCTCAGTACCAGGCGACAGGTGCCTCTTCCTCTGTCAGGTTTTTGGTGACATTCCTCCACCACAACTGTCATGTATCTCACTAACTGAAGAGACTTTCTCATCTTCAGACATAGATGAATGTTCTGCACCAGAACCTGAAGATGGATCCGGTCCATTGTGCTCTCAGATCTGCCTCAACACACTTGGTTCCTATCTTTGCGCTTGCCACCATGGTTACGAGCTACACTCTGACCAGCGCACCTGCATGTGTAAGTTGGTAGCACGTACAGCACAAGCTTTAAAGCAACACAGTTTCCTGCTCCTCCGCCCTATTGGTTGAAAGTGGAACTACCACAGTCGTAAACAACCACTGCTGCAGCCTGCTGTAGCTAGCGCTAACAACAAGCTAACACTAACGTGTGCCAACTAATACTAAAATAATCCACGAAGTAAAAAGATCCACACTGTTGGACAAACTAGCGTAGGCTGCGCCGATGTTCACTCTGGTTTTAGCTCTTTGCTAAATCTCCAAAGACACGACTCTCTTACTTTTACTTCCAGGCTCCGCCATGATGCCAACAAAAAAAATCAAACTGCTTTTTCTTGTGCTTTTCATTGATGATCGGCAAACTGAAAATTCTAACCGCTAACATAACAGCTAACAGCCGTGAAAGAGGAAAAGAGCACCCCCATAGGACACCTACCCACTCCACAAAACTATCAAATGTGATTTTTGGTCAGCAAAGGGCAGTAGAGTGGTGTCATATTTGAAACTGGTCAAGTTTCTAACCCAACAATTACCGAGATCACTGTTAAAGCTCTAGCTTAAAGTTAAAAAACTATCTAGTGTTACTTTAATGCCAGATTTCTAACAGTCTTATGCTTGTTAATGTCCAGGAACTTCAACTCACAAAAACATGACAGAAAAGTTGTTCAGGTTTGTTTGACAGAAAGCTGAATAGCTAAATAACGACTCTTTGCTAGAACATCGTCTTGTTCTCTTTCCTTGTGTCCAGTATCCTGTGGTGGCGGTATATTTGATGAACCAACGGGACATCTGTTCAGTCCTGGCTACCCAAACCCTGCGCCTCATGCTTTGTCCTGTCAGTACGTCATTTCTGTTGAAGCTGGTTTCACCGTGTATCTTAACTTCTCCGATAAATTTCACATCGAAAGTGTAAACACAGAGGAAGGCCCAAACTGTTACTATCACTGGTTGGAGGTAATATCATGTGACCATATCTCTAGTGTATAAATCTTTGTACAATAATAAAACTGTTAACTACTCATTTCCTAAAGCTCACCGTTCCACATGAAAAACCTGTGAAACTGTGCGGTGGAACAAGCCCAGGGCTGATAAACACAAACTCAAACAATGTCACGCTGGACTACCACACTGATGATCAGGGACTGAGCAATGGATGGAGCCTGGACTACAGCACCAACAGTGAGAGAGCGAAAGCACCAAAAAACAGACCGAACAGCAAACATGAGGCTGATCACACATCTTCTTCATGTCTTCAGGGGTGAAGTGTCCAGTTCCAGGTGTTGTGGTTAAAGGCAGGGTCACTCCTTCCTTAACAGAATACTTCTACAGAGACTACATCTATGTACGTTGTGATCAAGGATACAAGCTGATGGCGGTAAGTTTAAACTTTCTTTTGTTTGTGTTTCTAAAGTTGGTCGTGAAAATATGTAACATGCATTTCTTTAATTCTCAGGATGGCCGGGAGATTGAGAGTTTCTCTACTATGTGTCAAAGCAACGCACAGTGGCACCTCCCTCTGCCTGAATGCCACAGTATGTTAGTTATAAGATGCATGGCCGTAATTTGGGGGGGGGGGGGGGGGCATGCCCCCTCACCCTTTCCAAAGTCAAGTTTTGACCCCTGTACTTTTTACCATCCACAAACAATATTACGCTATATTAACTCATTCACTGCCAATGACGACTAAAGTCGTCATTTGCAATTTTTTACTGTTTGAGCATTGGAACGAGCCCCCGCGCTGAGAGAACAAACATCTCAGCCCTGAAGCCGATCTTCATCTGCATACGTCACAGATCACATGATCAGGAAGCAACACATCCATGTATTAGGAGATCGTTTTGGGCCGTTCCTGTAAAAAAAGTGAGGTGCGATCCAGAAAAGCGTCTGCCGATCACAATTCGACAACGGATTATGAAAGAACGGATAACGCTTGAAACACGCGGACTCTTCCTGATGTAAGAGGTGAGTCTCCTCTTTGTTTTGGTTGTTTTGGCATCGACATCATGCTAGCGCGCAACGTTCTGTGACTCTTAAAAAACAGTAAAAACGGAGAGAAACGCTGGCAGCGAAGGCCGTTAGTGATCAGGAAACGGCTGGCAGTGAATGAGTTAAATGGACACTGGTTGAGCTCTAGGACCAAGCGGAAAACAACCATTTGTGTTGAAGCCTGTGTCCCATTAGAACATACTGTGAAGATACGGTCTGCTCTCCTGCAGTAATTGACTGTGGTGAACCGGATCCTTTGCTGAACGGAGGAGTTCGCTTCCTGTCTGGTGCTGAGAATCAGTACCTTTCTACTGTTGAGTATCACTGCAACGAACCGTTTTACTCTCTACTTGGCAGCACAAATGGTGAGATCTCACTGCACTACATGCTCTCACAGATGTGAAGAGTGCATCCTTACACCAAATGCTGATCTATAAAACCCTTTTTTTCTGCTTCTAAGTTACTTTCACCTGTGAGGCAGACAGAAAGTGGAGATTGACCCGTGATGAAAGTTTCAGTCCAGTATGTCTACCAGGTATGACTTTAGTCTTACTGAAAATAACAAAAACTCTATAATGTAATTTTGTATATTTGTGTATTTTATTCATTTATTTATTCCAATTAGTCTGTGGCCGGCCAACACAATACATCGAAGGCTACCAGAGGATCATTGGAGGAAGTGAAGCTCCAGAACATACCATTCCCTGGCAAGTGCTATTAAATATAAACAGCAACAGGGGAGGAGGTATGGTCATAGCAGATCGTTGGATTTTGACAGCAGCTCATGTGGTGGTACACCAAGGACAACAGTCGCCGGCTCAGTCTATAAGGGTGAGTGGTATGGACTGTTTACCCAGAGATTTTGTGTTTTTCAAGCTACACAAATGTCTGCTGTTGGTTTGCAGATTTTCATGGGAGACACAGATATTCACAGAATGGAGACCTCCTTTGTACATCCTGCCTCAGTCCATGTTCACCCTGAATACAACGACCAGGATGGATTAAATTTCAACAATGACATTGCACTGATCAAACTGCAAGAACCGATCACATTCAATGCAGCCGTAATGCCACTGTGTTTACCAGCAAAGAATGCCACGTATACCACAGGACTAGTGGGGTAAAACATACAATTAAATATCATTTATGGTAATCTCATAAGTAAATAGTTTTTACTTTGTTGTTAAATCTTTCCATTTGCTTTTACCTCTGCTCGTATATTTAACTCAACGTGGTATTTTTTTAATTAATAGTTAAGCGTTAATGTTTTATCTCTTTATTTCTTAGACTTGTTTCAGGCTTTGGAACTACCAATGACGGTGGACGGCAGATGATAACAAATAAGCTAAAGTATGTTATGCTTCCTGTGGTGGATCAGGAGAAATGCAGGGAGTCAATCACTTTGTGGAAAAAAATAAGGCCAAACACACCAGACTTGACAGATAACATGTTCTGTGCTGGAACTCCTGAAGGTACGCAGGACTCCTGTCAAGGTGACAGCGGGGGTCCCTTCTCTGTGGATATTAATGGCCGATCCTGGGCTGCTGGGATAGTCAGCTGGGGGATTAAATGTGGACAGAGGGGAAAATATGGAGTCTATACGAAAGTCATCAACTATCTGGACTGGATCAAGCAAGTCATGCAGGAGAACTGAAAGTTAAAATGATTAAACTCAACAAGTGGTGAAGCTGCTGTTGAGACAGAAGTCAAACTAAAGCATTTGAAGTGCAACACCAACCTAAATATACATTAAGCTGCTGAACAAATCAAACATATGAAAGAAACAAGTTACAGGCGTAATAAGTAGTGAATATGTTTTTGAAACAAATATAAAAATAAAGACTTCTGCAATAAATGTCAGACCACATGTATTTAAACACTAAATGTGGTGTTTTGGTAGATGATTCAATGCTCCTGTTGAATCTCTATAGAGATTTGTTCATTCATTTGTGAATAAAGGAGTCTGATACAAATCCTTGCGTCCAGATATATGAGCTTGGTACTGGTGTCAATGCATCTGCTGTCTCTTAGGTTGTTGATCATCTCTTAAATTAACCTCAGCACTGAGGAGCACATGATCTGATGTTGTGATCAGTAACATCCAACAGGAGGATGGCAGACGGTCTCCTGTGACTGCAGCATTGTGGTTTACAGGACTTGGACAGGAGATAAAGTACAGCTGTTGGTTTTCCTGCACTGATGCTGTAGAAATCCTCTGTTCATCCATCTTCAGCTTATCGGGTCGAGTCGGGTCGCGGGGGCAGCAGCCTAGGCAGGGAGGCCCAGACTTCCCTCTCCCCAGCCACTTGGATCAGCTTCTCTGAGGGAATCCCAAGGTGTTCCCTAGCCAGATGAGGAACGTTGTCCCTCTAGCATGTCCTGGGTCTTCCTTTAGGTTTTCTCCCACATGGACATGCCTGAAAACTCTCACCAGTTCAGGAAGCATCCGAACCTGATGCACGAGCCCCTCAACTGGCTCCTCTCGATGTGGTAGAGCAGTGGATCTACTCCAAGCCCCTCCCGGATGACCAAGCTTCTCCCCCTATATTTAAAGGAGAGCCCAGCTACCCTGCAGAGAAAACTAATTTCAGTCACTTGTATCCGCAATCTCGTTCTTTCGGTCACTAACCCAAAGCTTGTGACCATAGGTGAGGGTAGGAACGTAGATCGACCGGTAAATTGAGAACTTTGCCTTCCAGCTCAGTTCTCTCTTCACCATGACAGATCAGTTTAATGCCCACATCACTGCAGATGCAGCACCAATCTGCTATTAATCTCCCAATCCAGCTTTCCCTCACTCGTGAACAAGACCCCGAGATATTTAAACTCTTCACTTGAGGCAGGACCTCATCCCTGACCTGGAGAAGGCATTCTACCCTTTTCCGACTCAAGACCATGGTCTCGGATTTAGAGGAGCTGATTCTCATCCCGGCTGCTTCACACTCGGCTGAGAATCGCTGCAGCGAAACCTGGCGATCACGTTCTGATGAAGCCAACAGGACCACATCATCTGCAAAAACCAGACTGCTCCTCAGGGCACCAAAACGGATCCTCGCGGCACCTTGGCTGCACCTAGAAATCTTGTCCATAAAAGTCATGAACAGTTCTATATTTGTTTCCCTCCATTCAACAGCCCACTGTAATGCTGGCATGTCGCTCGAGTTTTGCTTTTATTTAAATTTTGTGCCAAAACAAACAGACTAAATGTGCTGGTTAAACTCCACTGTGAGGGCTCCAGAGCTAAAGGAAGTGGCTCTATGAGTGTCTGACGTCTCTTCAATCAAGTTGGATCACAGCTTTTTCAGACATGGACTTAAGCTTTATCTTCTGGTGAGTTTGATTTGAGAATTTTCACCAGCAAACAGACTGTTTTTAAGATGTTATTGTTTATTTAATTTTAGATATTTTTATATATTTTGCATTTTGATTACAATTGTATGCATGTTGCTTCTTCAAAAGATAACGTAATTATGTTATATGTAAGGCTCAGAAGTCTAAAAATGAAACAAATGTTTTTACGTGGATGAAACGGCTAAAACGAAGAGATGATAGAAATGACTTAGTTTGCTCAGTTTTTGCTTGCATCAACTTTGGACTCCAGTTCTGTTGACACTCTCTTCCAGGTTTCTGTGTTTTTCAGTGTGTCTGTGCTGGGGCTGTTTCTGAGCCACCAATCCATGGCACAGTCCAGTCCAGACAGTGCATTAAGGTAATAATGGGACAGTCGCTTCTATAATCCAAGGGTAAGTAAAGTTGGCAATTGTCAGCATACATATGAAATCGAATTCCATACTTCCTCATGATGTCCCCCAGTGGCAAAATGTAAATCAAAAACAATAGTGGTCCTAATATTGAACCCTGTGGGACCCCCCCACCGCAGGTTTGTGAATCCAGAACTAAACCCACCCATCCTTACACTTACAGTCCTATCCTTCAAATAAGATCTGAACCAGTCAAAGGCCAGACCAGAGATTCCTACATTATACTACAAACGATGGAGCAACACTTCTATCGGATTAGATTTGTGCCAATAGGATCAAGAAAAACACTTTGAAGATCAAACAAATATTAAGACATTGAGAGAAAAAAAATTGTTTCAAAAGTAAAACTTACGATCTGAATCAGATTCTTAAAATGATCACGAAAAACACTTTGATGGTCAAACAAAAATTAAGAAATTGACAGAACAAAAATATTGACTAAAGAAAAAAAACATGTTTCAAAAGTAAAACTTACGATCTGAATCAACTTCTTAAAATGAGTAATAAAGTATGTTTCCTTTTTCTGTTTGCCTCTATGTGTTTTTGTTATCAGTTTCCTTAGTTTCATTCTCGCTGCTCACAGCTTTGCTCTCACTACCAGATTTGCACCTACACTTTCTGGCTTTCTCCTTTGCAATCCCTGAGTTTTTGGTTGCAATTCTGACACAACCCTTTCTGGTGGGTAGGACTTCTGAGAAGTCCTCTCCCATAGGACAGTGGTTTCTCTTGAGTGACAAGACAGTTCAGTGGCCCGGAACTGATGTAGCCTCCAAGCCTTTTTTTTTCCACCTCGGTCAACAACATGAATTTTGAGCCCCAAACATGTTATTTCTGCTGTCTGTGTTGTCTACTAAGGATCTAAAGTAAGTACTGATAATATATTTTATCTTTTCTTAGTTAATCTGTAAGTTAAGCCACTTTTTAAGTTGGTTTTAACCAGACGTTAGCTCACTAGCTAGCTGCCAAGCAAGTCATTGTGCTAGCCTCAGGAAGTTAGCTTCCGATTCCAGCTTCCGATTCGGGAAACGGCTAAAGGGCCAATACACCCAATTTTTCTCTGCTCTGACCATCTTTAATGTGCACTAGCTCAAAAACTATAACAGCCACACTGTTCAAACCCATTCTAGATTATTTTTATAATAATAGCAGATTGCACACAATCTTGTTTGGGATTTGTGAAACCTTTCCCTGATTTGTGAAACTTCAGCAAAGCATGATTTATGCGTTTTTTCAGCATCTGGCCAACGATGGAACAGCTGTAGCTCAAAAACTACAACAGCCACACTGTTCAAACCTGTTCTAGATTATTCTACAATAATAGAAGATCAAATAAAACACAGTGTGGGATTTGTGAAACCTTTCCCTGATTTGTGAAACTTCAACAAAGCCAGATTTATGCGTTTTCTCAGCATCTGGCCAACGATGGAACAGCTGTTGTTCAAAAACTACAACAGTCATATTGTTCAAACCTTTTCTAGATTATTCTACAATAATAGCAGATGGCATACAACCTTGTTTGGGATTTGTGAAACCTTTCCCTGATTTGTGAAACTTCAGCGAAGCCAGATTTATGCTTTTTTTCAGCATCTGGCCAACGATGGAGCAGCTGCAGCTCAAAAACTACAACAGCCACACTGTTCAAACCTTTTCTAGGTTATTCTACAATAATGGCAGATCAAATAAAACACAGTGTGGGATTTGCGAAACCTTTCCCTGAGTTGTAAGTAAATCTGGTAGTGAGAGCAAAGCTGTGAGCAGCGAGAATGAAACTAAGGAAACTGATAACAAAAACACATAGAGGCAAACAGAAAAAGGAAACATACTTTGTTACTCATTTAAAGTTGATTCAGATAGTAAGTTTTACTTTTGAAACTTTTTTCCTTTAGTCAATATTTTTGTTCTGTCAATTTCTTAATTTTTGTTTGACCATCAAAGCGTTTTTCTTGATCATTTTAAGAATCTGATTCAGGTTGTAAGTTTTTCTTTTGAAACAATTTTTTTCTCTCAATGTCTTAATATTTGTTTGATCTTCAAAGTGTTTTTCTTGATCCTATTGGCACAAATCTAATCCCATACACTTCGTGGTCCACAGTGTCGAACGCAGCTGTAAGGTCCAACAAAACAAGTAACATAGGATTCCCCCTATCAGTTTCCAACATAATGCCATTTAATACCTTTATCAGTGCTGTTTCCGTACTATGAAAAGCTTTAAAGCCAGACTGAAAAGTTTCCTTGATGTTAGACTCTTCTAGGAAATCCATTAACTGAGTATAGACACATTTTTCCAGAATTTTACTCAGAAAAGGGAGCTTTGCAATCGGCCGGTAATTGCAAGGGTGCATAACATCTAACCCCGTTCTCTTTAACAGTGGGTTAATAACTGTCCTTTTAAAATCAATTGGGACATAGCCAGAGGCCAAACTGCTATTAATAACTTTCAATATTAATGGTGCTATTCCATGAAAGACTTCCTTAAACAGCCGTGGTGGTATGATGTCTTCAGGAGATCCACTCGGTTTAATTACATCCACCAACTTAACTAAGTCATCAAGGGAGACTGGCTGAAAAGACCCTAAATGTCTATCCAAAGGAAATGAGGGAGTTCGCATATTTGCCCTTGTCCTCCCTCATCAGCCTCCACAACAGTCCAGTGCGATGCCCTGTAGTCTTGCACTAAAGGCAATAGACATTTCAATCAATCAAAGCTTTAATTATAAAGCGCATTCCGCCACCCTGTCGGGAAGCCCAAGGCGCTGAACATTTACAGTTACCCTCTGAAAATCAAGTTTGCATACAATCAGACATAGAATGTACCTTACAAGATCACACAAGAAAATAATTCAAGTTGCTACAGAATATTTTGACATGTCATTTTTTTTATTTTGTGCACATGCCTAAAAACGTGATAATGTTATTTTTTTGTTAATTACGTTTGTATTAATGTTTGTGTTTTTCTTATTGGTACCACACAAATTAAAAGCATAAAATATGCTATAAACATTTGTGCATTCAATGGAGTAATAACACTTAGAACAAAATAAAAAGATGAAACTTATTCCCAGTTGTTTTTTTTTAATCCTAGCTACAGTTTAGCCTTTCTGTTTTTAAGTACAAATAAAGGTACATGATTGTCTTTCCTGGTTTTATAAAGATGGACTGCCAGCTTAGATTCTAACTAACAACAAAACGATCTCAAAAAGAAAATGTTTTATTCTAAGCAACAGTTCGACTCAGGTGGCTAATGCTAACGCTAAGCTAGGTTATGTTACCTGCGTTTTCCCATAGCAACAAATGACTCACCTTGCTGATCTCTGATTGGAGGATCCACTCACTTTCATTTTTACCCTACAGTCTGCGCATGCTCTTGGGACCATCAGCGACTAGGGGCTACAGAAACTTCACTTTTGCTTTTTATAATTAACAGCAGCGTTAAATTAGTTTGAGTTCACTGATGGATCGAATAAAAGTCAAGAAATCCTTTTCCTGCATTTAAAAAGGAGATTCGACTCTGTTGGTAACGTTTGAAATCAAAAGTGAAAGTGCTGTGGTGCATCCAAATAGGATTTATGTTGTTTTATTACATAGTTTTACACATTTTTTCCACATAAACACGGATTTTGTGCATCCATGATGATTGAAGTAATATTCTTTGGATGTTTGATGGCGTTCATCAATGGTAAGAGGTTTTATTCTTTGTATAATGAAAACTTGTATGCTGAAAGCAGCATTCCGTTTTGCTAGAATTTTATACTAAAAAAATGATTCATTCATTTCATTAATTCATTCATTCTATTCAGGTAATTGAGATAAATAGATTCCTTTTAGTGCTCAGAATTATAACCTAATTAGAAAACACTATATATTATAATATTTGTATTATATATATATATATATATATATATATATATACATACATTGTTCTAAGTAATCTCCATGAGTTCTCATAGTCATGTTGGGGTGTAGTTTTTTTGACCCACGACATGTAGAATCACCACGGAGGCAAAAGTAAAAAAGTATTTATTTTTGTTTGGTTGAAGTGCAGGTGAAGGTCTGGGGTCGGGAGGGTCCAACAGAAGCAGAGGATGAGTAGTTGCAGTAAAATGAGAATAAAGCGAGGTGAGAGGGGGCTTACGGTTTCCTGAGCGTTTGGGGAGCTTGAGAGGAGGGCGAGTCAGGTCTGGCTGAGCGAGATGGTTGTGAGGGGCAGAGATGATGGCTGGGAACTGAGCGCAGGAGTCCAAAGTATCCGAGCGGGGCAGGTGAGCGTTGGAGAGCAGGCGGTCAGGGTGAGCGGTGTGGCTGGCAGGCAGGGTGATCCAGAAGCTTCTTTCTTGAAGAGGGGTGCAGTCACATGAACGAGAGGTAACAACAAGCTGGAGACAAGCAGAGGGCAGGTGAGATACTACCCAATACTGAGTAATCATCCGGCACTAGTGAGTTGTCACGCCGTTCCTTAAATCCCCTGATCCCTGATGAGAAGATCCACAGCAGCTGCTCTCCGGGACACACCCACCTGCAAACAGAAAGACTCAGACCAGACAGAGGTTAGCTCAGCACAGCCCATGACACTCATGATAGTCCACCAGTGGAAACCTGGTACTAAAAATGTGTCACCTTCTCAATAATACCTCAATTTCTAAATTATCTTTTTTTTAAGCTGACGGGGTTGCAGATGTTGTACTGTCCTGTGCTCTGGTGGAGGAAGGAGTTGGACTGGGAGGTGTTGCTCTTTTTACCAGGACTCCATCCACTCTGGTCCTACGAGACGTTCCAGTGGGTCTAGACGAATCACTAGATACACTCACTCCATTTGTCCCCCCCTTGGTCCCGGATCCAGACCTCCTCCTGTTTGAGACCAAAGGTTTCTCCTGCTGCTTTCAGTTTGTGTTCATTTGAGTCTGCTGAGCGCTCAAAACAGCGTTTGATTAATCTTCTTTCATTGTTATAGTGTCATCATCACCTGACATCCCCAATGCAGAGGTGCTGCTGCACGCAGACTGCAATGAGCAGGAGGTGACGTGTGAGATAAGTCGCTACACTCCACGGGGACTCCAAGAAAGTTCAGATCCGGCTTATTTTATGGTGTTTCTCAGCGTGGAAGGACTTGACTTCAGCATGTCACTGATTCTGCAGACTTTGTCTGTGGAAAAGCATCAGCCAGCCTTGATCCAGAAAAAACTCAGTTTACCTCTAAGTTCGTCAGGAACCCTGCAGACTAAAGGTGACCCCTCCCATCATGAAAATATGAAAATTAAATGTATTCATTTGCTTTTGAAGACAAAACATTTTTCATATTAGATGTTTTCTCAGTAATCTTTCTCTATCTTAGGGATTTTCTTGGTGTTTTCCAACAAAAAGTCTGTACTGGCTCCGTTGAGAGGTGACATTCTCCTCAACTGTGGCTTCAAGCAAGAGGAGGTGCCATTAGGAGCAGATGTGGGCGTTGAATGGAGACTACAGCACAGAGGGAAAGGTCATAAAGTGCTGGAAATGAAGAAAAATCTAGATGATACAAAAGGGACTGTACGTGAGTATAATCCAGAGTATACAGTTTACAAAAGGATTCAGAGAAGTCTTTGAAAGAGTTTGAAAGTGATTTTGTTTTATTAAAAGTGCTCCTTTGTAAATTATAGGCTCTTTTTGTTACCAGTTAGACTTTCTCAAATACATATATTTTTTTACAGTAAAAATAATAAACTTCTTTATTTTAAGATACAAAAATAAATGAATATTGAAAAAGAAATGTATCAGTTTGAAAAAAAAATGTGTTTCAGGCTTCTCATTGCACATGAGGCCATTTTAAAAGATAGTTTACTTTAAAAAAATGTAAAAGTATTTTTTGAGTCAGTACTTGTGTGAAATCTGCAATAGAGGGCGTAGAAAGTTCTTACAGTGCCCTCTAGTGGCAAAGGTGCACACTGCATTAACTTCAGCTGTAAAGGCAGTATTTGGTTGGTTTATTCCATGCATGCAGGGAATGTCTAATTTTCCCTTATTTCCTGTCAGTGCATGGTGAGAGGAAGGGCTCCAGCATGGATGCTGCTCAGCTTGCCAGTCAGGGGAACGTCTCCATGAGTCTGACCCAGCTGAAGGTCGCCGATGAAGGGACCTACATCTGTACTGTCAGCGTGGGTCGTTTCCATGCCCAGCAGGTCATTCAGCTCCACATTTATCGTAAGTTCCACTTTAATATGATTTGTTGTTTCTTCAAGCAGCAATCTGGATGATTTTTTGGAAGTCCATAAAAATGATAGTCTGACCATATGTCAGTTTGTTTTTGCTACGCTCGTCCCACAGAGCCCTATGCAAATGGAATTTACGTCTGTTTAGCATTAGCCTTTAGTGTCAGACAAATGCTCACATGCAGAAGCCAGTCACAGAGCAGGTGCAAGCATCATAAGTAATAACTATGTGTTTTAGCTCTGTTGCCTGGCCTAGAGGTGCGTGTTTCGTGGAATTAAGGAGAGGAGTTTGAGGTGCAATACAGTTTTCTGCCTCTAGATGGTGCCCTCTGACGAAAGAACACCAGCTTTTTGATTTAAACGCTCATCACATGACTTCATTTGCACATTCCATCATCTCTCCTCCATTGATTCTTTTCCTTTTTTCAGAACCACCTCAAGTTTCACTGTCAGATGAAAAATTAAAAACTTCCCAGACATTGAGCTGTCATAGCCGTAAATATTATCCATTAGATGCACAGGTGAGTATGTGTGGTTTTAGATGGAATTCACTTGAAATTGTTATATTTTGAAATGACTATAAAAAGACTTGAATAAATTTAGATCCTATGATTAAATAGATGTTTACTTATAGTACACAGCATTAGCCAAAGCACAGTCCTTTCTGTTTGTTTAGAGTTTAAAATAACAACAATCTTCTCTTCTCCTCTGGCTTTCAGATGCAGTGGTTTTATCTTTCTCCGTCAGACTCGAAGGAACAGCTGTTTCCAGATCAGGGCTCTCTGAGCAGCCATCGACAGCATGGAGACGGGACGTATTCCCTGTCTTCTTACCTCACCGTGTCCCCCAGTGTCTCCCCAGGAACTAAGGTCATCTGTAGGGTGAACCACCCAGTGCTGGACTCTCCAGTTGATGTCATCATTGTGGTGGAAAGTCCTCAACCGGGTAGGCAACAAAACTCAGAAAGTTTCTCAATCTAGTTTTTTTTTACTAAAGACCAGGTTCACTGGAAACTGTTTTTTTTTTAACTTATTTTTTAAATATGATCAGTCACCAACAGGGAAATGCTCGGATTAGAAAAGCCACACAGACCTACGTCACACTGTAAAGTAACATTTATGGACTCACCCATTTTGGTTCATGATCGGGAAGACTGTTGTTGGTTTAGCATCCGGGTGCTAGCAGAAGCTAACTGTTAGCAACTCCACCACACAGCTGAACTCCTCCAGCTTGTTTTATTTGTGGAAATAAAACATCAACGTTGCAGAGCAAACCAAGTCAGTGGTAGAATCACATTGCTGTTAGCCAATCAGAGGAGAGATGTCTGATAATCATGAATAATAATGAGTAAGACTCCAAGTCCTGCGCCCAGTCCTCTGGCTAACTTCTACTTCCTGAAACAGGGGCGCCAGAGCTTTTTTTCCACAGAAAACAACTCACAAATAATTAATTTATACTAGAAACCACCGCAAATGTGTTGAAAATAGAGTTTTAAATAATAAATGATACAAGTAGCTAAAGCTCGTACATTCAGATGTTCAGGGTTAAATAACTCAGTGGGGGAAAACATTACAACGCTAAAGTTAGACTCGTTCTAGAATAAATTAGGAGTAAATATCTAAAATAAAACAAGTCATAAAATGTACTTAGTTATCAGTCATGTTTCTAACTGGCGCATTTTGTTTTTCTCTGCAGATTCCTATTGGTTTGTTCTGGGTTTCCTCATCATCACTGTACTTTTCTTCTATCAGGTCATAAAATAAGTTAATCCTAGATCATCCCGACTTTAATCTGAGCCCAGAATGTTGTTATTGAGTCACTTTAAATGTTTTAAAAGGTTCTTTACCTGCTGACCTGGAATAAACACTCGTTCATGAGAACCGGCTGTGTGTTAAAACAGTCTGGCTTTATTATTTATTAGCTTTGGTGTTTGTTGTTTTGAATCATTTTGCACTAAACATGTTTCCAACTAGTTTTGTTATATTTTTAGTTTTTTTTTGGATTTGTTGAGTCCAGCTTTGTTAAACCAGTAAAACTCATAAAGTTTTCACAGACATCCACTCTCAGTCTGATTTGGGGAAAATCCTCATTTATTAGGCTTTTTAGGCTGATGCAGTAAAAACAGACGTTTATCCAGACTGTGGAAAATGGACATTTTTCTCTTTTTTAAAATTTATTAATCAGGAAGAAATTGGGGAATATTTCTTGGTACTTTTTAAAAATATAGCACCTTTTATTGTTTTTTATTGAATTTTTTGTGTTACACAGTTTTCTTACTCCCGCGTTCAACGTTGTAATTCACCTTTGACATGATCTATGTGACTCAAAAACTTTTGTTAAGGTTTCTGTAATGGTCAACGATGAATACATTTCTTGTTTCAGTGCGGATGAAATGGATATATATTTTTTGAATTTCTTGACACAAATCCTAAAGAATAAAGAAAAATGAAAAATGGTATTTATTCTTTTTCTTTTGGCATTTACCTTCAGGAGTCGCCACAACGAATCACCTGGCTCCGTCTAACCCCATCAGCCATGTTCAAAGGCTGGTTCCTGTAACAGCCTGGCCATTCGGGCCACCGTAGTGAGAAGACAAACTCACGCGAGATTGGTATGCAGAGGGAGAATAAAGATGGCTGAATAAAGAACAGACAAAGGCTCCGTCATGATGAATGATCATTCTTACTCATCTATATGAGAAGATACAACATGGTGTCAGAGTAGAGGCGTTTCTGACCGGAGATGGAGATGTTTGGCGTCCCGGCACCCAGGATGGGTTGGGATTCGGCGAACCTACCGGAGGCATGGCGCCGTTTTCAACAACATGCCGAACTAATGTTCTCAGGACCCCTACGTGAGAAAGACGAGCAGGATAAGTGCAGCTACCTTTTATTATGGGTCGGGGAAAAGTGCAAAGATGTGTTTCTGTGTCTGGAGACGACGCAAAGAAGCTAAAGACCTACTACAACATGTATAAGGAGTACCTAACCCCAAAGTTTAACCCCATTTATGCCAGGTATCGCTTCCACGAAAAGAAACAAGGGAACAATGAAACATTCGATCATTTCATAACTGAGCTAAAGCTCGTAAAAGACTGCGGCTACCCGAATAGCGAGGAAATGGTGAGAGACCAAATCGTCATAGCGACCAGCTCCCCACGCGTGCGCGAGAAGCTGCTCAGTTATGGTGCAGATCTCACGCTAGAAAAAGCCACAGACATAGCCCGCTCCCACGAAGCAGCCCAAGCCCAGATGAATGAGATGTCGGCGCATAAAGAACGCACCAGAGAGGCAGTGCATTCTGTCAGCAGAAAACCAGACACCAGGCGACCAGCTCGCAGAACGAAACTAAGGGAACACACGTCTACAAACTCAGGCTGTGGCAGATGTGGAAGTCAACACAGCACAAAAGATGCGTGCCCAGCAAAGGGCAAACAATGCCTAAATTGTGGAAAGCCAAACCATTATGCAAAAGTTTGCAGATCAAAAACTGCTGCTCAGCCCCATGGCAAAGCCATGCACACCGTGATGGAGGCAAGCGAAGAAGATGAACAAGAGCTTTTCATAGACGGGCTCACATCTGAGAACCCTGGAAAGGACATCGAACAAGCCTATGCGGAGATCAAGGTCAATGCACAGAACATTAAATTCAAAATAGACACAGGTGCACAGACAAATGCCATCCCAGAATAGCCCTAAAACAAGCTACACAGAGACTCACGTCATACGGAGGCGAACAGCTGAAAGTACGAGGCACCTGCAAAATTAGGTGTATGCACAAAGATCGCTCCGCGATGCTGGAATTCCACATAGTCGACACAAAAGCACCACCCGTGCTAGGCATAAGAGCCAGCCTAGACCTGAACCTGATCAAATTCATATTCGCAGTTACAAAAGAAGAAGACGCACAGGCACTTTTAAAGGAGTATGCGGACGTTTTCAAAGGCATTGGCGAATTCCCAGGCGAATGCCACCTTCACATCAACCCGGATGTTACACCAGTAGCATACCCACCACGCCGCGTCCCCATTGCACTACGTGGCAGGCTCAAACAAGAGCTAGACAGTATGGAAAGATCCAACATCAAACGCAAAGTGACAGAGCCCACCGACTGGGTGAACGCACTGGTGGTAGTGGAAAAACCACACAGCAACAAGCTAAGTACATGCCTCGACCTGAGGGACCTCAACAAGGCCATACAAAGACCCCACTACCCACTGCCCACACTAGAAAATGTCACAACAAAACTAGCAGGAACAAAGTTTTTCAGTGTCTTAGATGCCAGATCTGGATACTGGGCCATTAAACTGAGCCCAGAGTCATCCATACTGACAACCTTCAACACGCCCTTTGGCAGATGCAGATTCCTACGTCTGCCCTTCAGAATTAACTCAGTTCAAGATGAATTTCAAAGGTGAGTGGACGAGACGTACGAAGGCTTACCGGGAGTGACAGCCGTAGTCGACGACATCTTGGTCTTTGGAAGGACAAGAGAGGAGCACAACAAAAACCTCAGAGCCATGCTGCAGCGCACCAGAGAAAAGGGAGTACGGCTGAATCCTGAAAAATGCCAGATCTGTGTACCGGAAGTCAGTTACTTCGACCACACAATGTCACACGAGGGTATCAAACCAGACCCTGCAAAGGTGAAAGCCATCCAGGAGATGCTGCCACCCAAGAACAAAGCAGAGCTGGAGACCATACTGGGCATGGTCAATTACTTGGCAAGATTTGCACCTCACCTGTCTCAGATAAATGCGCCACGGCGACAGCTTCTAAAACGAGAAAATGAGTTCACATGGGATCGGCAGCATGAGGATGCATCCACACAGATGAAACATCTAATAACGCATCACCCCGTGGTTGCATTCTTCGACCCCCAGAAAGAACTGAGACTCCAGGTCGACGTCTCAAAATCCGGCCTGGGAGCTGTCATGCTCCAAGATGAGAAACCGGTGGCATACGCGTCCAAATCACTTAACAGCACAGAGGAGAACTATGCACAAATAGAAAAAGAACTATATGCAGTGCTATTTGGATGCAAACGGTTTCATGAATACATGTACGGCCGCAGAGTGATTGTCGAGTCCGACCACAAGCCATTGGAAGCAATACTGCACAAACCTTTGGCTGCAGTGCCCCCACGACTCCAGAGGATGATACTGCAACTCCAGAGATATGACATACATATCATCCACCGCCCTGGGAGGGACTTACCAGTCGCAGACACCCTGTCACGTAAGTCGAAACAGCATCACGATAACAACATAACAGAAGGTTTGGAAGCGCAGGTACACACAGTCACTAGGAATCTCCCAGTGAGCTCAGCCAAATTGCAGGAGATCAGAGAAGCAACAACCCAAGACACACAGCTAACCACACTCAGAAACATCACTAAATCAGGTTGGCCACATGAGAGGAGACAATGCCCGCTCAGCATTCAAGAATACTGGAACCACAGACACGAAATTGCCGAAGCAGGTGGCATAATGCTCAAGGGCGAGAAAATAATCATTCCCCACAGCCTCAGAGCTGAGATGATTGACCGCATTCACACCGGGCACATGGGCACAGAGAAGAGTAAGAACCGAGCCCGTGACATCCTTTTCTGGCCTGGCATGGGAAAGCAAATAGAAACATCTGTGACAAACTGCCAAATATGCCAAGAGCGATGCAACTCCAATGCCAGAGAGCCACTCATCTCACACGCCATCCCCGGGAGACCATGGCAGGTTGTGGGAACAGACCTGTTTACGTGGAACTCGCATGATTTCATCATCCTTGTAGACTACCACAGCAGATACTTCGAGATGGAACAATTTACCAACTGCACATCAGCTGCTGTCATCTCAAAATGCAAGGCTTCATTTGCACGCCACGGTATCCCAGACACTGTAATCAGTGACAACGGACCATGCTACAGCTCCATAGAGTTTTGCACCTTCTCAGAGGAATGGGATTTTGAGCATGTCACTTCAAGTCCACATTATCCCCAGAGTAATGGCCTCGCCGAAAGAACAGTGCAGACAGCCAAACGCATCCTTGACAAGGCCAAAGCCGAAAGAAAGGACCACTATCTGTTCCTGCTGGAGCACAGAAACGCCCCAGTGGACAACCTGGGATCCCCTGCGCAACTCCTGATGAGCCGCAGACTGCGCTCAATACTCGCCACAACCACGAAGCAGCTTAAATCACGCATAATGCGCCAAGAGGTTGTATACGGCAGGAGAAAGGCATGCCAATGCTGCCAGCAGATGTACTATAAGCGATCTGCAAGACCACTTACACACCTACCTGTTAGCGCACCTATCCGTTTCCAAAACGAAGATGGATACTGCAGGATGGCAACAGTAACAAAGCTGGCCAACACCCAAAGGTGCTACCACATCCCTACAGGTGAAGGACAACTGCTCCGGCGTAACAGGCGACACTTACATGAGAATAAGGAGGATCCAACCATCACAAGCACACAAAACAAGCACAGGAGCCCAAAAGACACACACAAACTGCTAACGAGACACAACATATGCCTGAAAACAACACACAACAACCTCATTCCGAGCCCTTGAACTATGTGCCACCAGATGAACAGACCCATGGTTACATAACAGGGTTTGGTCGCACCATCAAACCAAGACAAGTCCTAGACTTGTATTTATTGTAAAGGAAGCAGGCAGATCGCTGCCCTAAAAAAAATAAATAAAAATGTTAACATGCTGGACATTCTATACAGTTTTGCAATGTTTCTGTTGTTTTGTAATGTTTCTGTTGTTGCCGAGTATGGCATGAGAAGCCCACATACCGATAGGAGTGTCATGACGTTTACTTGCTCACCTGACGGTGACATGCTAAGTCCAGTCAAAGATACCTATCATTTAAAGTTAAGTGTACTCACAGTAAGACGAGTTAAAATGTCTGCTAGTTATTTACACAAGGATCATTCCTAAAGTGCAGTCACTGCTACTCAAAAGAAGGGAGATGTAACAGCCTGGCCATTTGGGCCACCGCAGTGTGAGAAGACAAACTCACGCGAGATTGGTATGTAGAGGGAGAATAAAGATGGCTGAATAAAGAACAGACAAAGGCTCCGCCATGATGAATGATCATTCTTACTCAACTATATGAGAAGATACAACAGTTCCCACTAATTATTCTCATGTCCAGGGGCAGTTCTAGGGTGGGTCCAGGGCAGGGTGGCAAGAGCAAACTTGGTGCCCAGAATGGGATAATTCTGTTTAATGCGAGATGTGGATGTATCGATCTGGAGTTGAAAATAGTTGCTTAGAAAAACATTTTCATGTTAGTTATAATTTGAATCTCATTGAAATGCTGTTGTATCTAAAGTAACTGTAACTAAATTACAGTGATTTAGTTACAATGCTAGCATTTTTATGACCAAATTTTAACTTATTTACCAATTATCGACCTATTCTTGGAAGTGTGCTTTTTGAAATGCAAAAAATAGTGAAAGCGTCATCCATTCCCATGTGGGGACCCCAGATTGAGAACCACTGTTTTAGAGAGTTCTGGCTGCCACAAAGGAAGTTTAGGAAGTTTAAGGATGTCCACTGTTTAGGCATTCCAAAAAGGGGCCCCAGTGAAAGATGTTCGCTTACTGGGACCAGAGGAAAATAAATCTGTGTCACAAACTCCTCCTCCTGATCACCCCCTACGGACCCAACTGGCGGACTACTACACTTCCCAGCATTCCCATCACCAGCGTGGCTCATCGACGTCATCACGCCGACTCTATTTACGGAAGTGCCGCCACTCATTCATCACTCAGTCATCGTCCAGACATTGACCCGAGTTCTCAAGCTCACCAGCCCTCAAACCAAGAAAGAGACATTTCCTCGCTGCCTGCTACCAGTAAGTCAGCTTCCTTGTTCAGTCGGAACCGCCGCTCAGTCTCAGCTCCTGCCGAGCGCTGCGTCGCCGTTCCCAGATTAAAGCCGCGTGTTCTGTTTAACCCACCGCCAGCCACTCCGCGTCTGGGTCACACAGCCACGCTACAATTAACCTCAGTCAAACATCAGCTCAGCCAATTAGACCTGACAATCTGCAGGTCATCAGCAAAGCAGTGAAAGGATGTACAGTAAGAACAATGAAAACGGTGCTGGGCCTAGAACTGAGCCCTGGGGCACATCACAGTTCAAGGGTGTAGCGACATGAATATCTACGCTACAAGGGAGTCGTGCTATAATTAAAAAATCTCAAACTCACTGAAAACGATCTACCCTGTAGGTAGGATTTAAACCTCTGAAGGACAAGACCTTTAACGTCTTGCTCCATGTGAGAAAGCAAATGTCGTGATTGACAATCTCAAAAGCAGCTAAATCGAAAGTTCTTTAAAAACACATAAAATAGCACTTTCTGCACTATGGCGCGTCTTGAATCCATATAGAAAATTTTCAGCAAAATCATTTACAGACATGATATTGGAGCTGAGAATAAACCACTTCCTCAAAGATCTTCTATAGGAAATTCAATTTGTCACGAATCTCTAGATAGAAAGTCTTCATTGAACGGCGAGTGACAACTGATACGCTTTTGGAGTTAATTTCATTCAAGACAGCTGCAACAGCTAATAAACCTTGCTTTGGCCAAAACAAAAACTGGCTATAAAGCAGTAAATCGTATAGATCTTGAACTTTTTTTCGACAACAAGAGAAACGTGGCTTCACATTTAAGCACAGGTCTCTCTAACCGATCAAATCACAAAAATATAAAAAACAAATCACGCTGCAGCTCAGTTGAGAATTTCTTTATTGGCATCAGCAAAAGTGGTAAACATGCATCATGTGTTTTTTTTATTTTTGCTAATCCAGTTGTATCTCTTACTTTATCCTCTTAACTCTTGTGTAAATTATTTGATGATTTTGTTGCACGCCATCATCAGTTAATTTGGCCTTAGTGCTACAGTTATGCATGAATGCACTTTTTATTGCAACTTTCAAAATCAATCCAAATCAAAGAAAAATAGATCTCCACTCATAACCGACCGTCCCTCCAAAAACCTGAAGGAATTTACATTAACACACATTCAGGAGCGTGAATCGACAAGATGTGGTTCTGTTATAACAACACTACGTTTTCACTACGGTAGCAGCTGTTTGCTGTCTTTCAATGGAAAGTCTTCAAAGCAAGAGATTTTTTTATTTTGGCAAACTTGTGAGCAGTTGCATTGCACATTGCATAAGCAGTAAGTATCCAATCAGAAAGACAATATACACAAATCCTTAAACCACTAACAAAAGAAAATGTACAATCGGCAGTAAGGTTCCGAGATGGCAGATACACAGGTCACACAAGTATGGATTACTGTTTGCCATGCAGATTAGAAAGGAACACCTCAGTCTGGGTTTTAACGTGCTGCAGGTGACAGATGAGCCTGTTCGTATGTGAATCAGCGGCGGACGGGACAGCCAGATGGCTCCGAGGATCATAATCCGGCTTTCTGACAACCAAAAGGAACTAACGCTTTAAATCGTGGCGCCACACATTCATCCGTCTACGGCTGAGACTTTAAACCAGAGACTTTCCTCTGAGTCGGTTCGGTCGTGCAGTCAGTCAGGAGCTGCTTCGTGTTCGTCCGTCTGTGTACGGAGCTCGGATCGAGACATGTAACTTGTACCATGTTTTGTAACTGTAACTTTTGTTTTGCAGCATGTAATTCTCATTTTGTAACACCTTTCAGCTTAACACCCCCACCTACGGTGCAGGTGAAGTCTATTTACACAACTAGGCTGCTTATTAGTCATGACTTTTACTTTTTAGTTTCGGAAAATATGCTGAAAAATCTTCTGATACTTTTTCCTGAATGAAAACTCAGTCTTTCCCCTTTTTTGTTTTCTCGTTTGCTGCGGAAATAAAAGATCAAAGGAGAAGAGTTAAGCAGAAGATGGAAAACCTATCAGGTAAACTTGGAAAAAGACTGTTGGCTACAGAGTAAAGGAGACATGATGCTAAACTAACATGTTAGTGAAGTCTGGAGCAGTAGTTGGTTAGATTTGTACAAATGCAGATCTCTGAAAAATGTCATATGAACAAGCCTTGGCGTATCTGGAGTAGATCAACCTCCTGTTACGTCTCCACGGGTTTACCCTCCACTTTCTTCTTCTTTCTTCCCTCTTTTCAGTCTGCCAGCTGCAGCTTTCAATAACACATGAGGGGTAGAGACAGGAGAAGTAAAGAACAAAAGCAACATGGAGGAAGGGAGCAGTGATGAAGCTAAGTGCAGGATGGTTGGATGAAGACTGAGAGAGAGCGAAGAAGACTGATAAAAGGGAGGAGTGGCGCTGGGGTTCTTTTTTATCCTCTTCCCTTTATTGTTACTCAAGTTCATATCCTTCTGTGATGACTGGCGACGCTCAGTGGAAGAAGTACACTGCAACAGAAGGACAGGGAGTCGTTAGTCTGACGGATCCTTCGACAGAAACGCGTAGGAATGCACCAGCGCAGGAATAAGAGGGATTATCTAGTTTTAATAGGAACCTCACACATTTGCTTCATCATTTTGTCAATCTAGAGCAGTGGTTCCCAACCTTTTTCCCAAGGGACCCCGTTTTTTTACCAGTAAAATTTTTGACGACCCCCTCCCATTCTCTCTTCCAGTACAAACATTATTAAGAAATGATAAAATTGTTCAAGCACATTTTAATATGCTTTGATTCAATAGATAACAGTAATAGTAGGCTCCAGTACAGAACAAAGTCATTAACAAAACCAAACAGAGCATAATGTGCTTGACAGTTTGTGTTACTTTTCTGAAAACATTGTTTCTTGTAAACACTGATAAATCAGTCATTCCTTTCAATAAACGTTTGACACATAAAAAATACACTGAGCAAAATGTACTTAAATGTGTATATTACTGTTTATACTAGATTATTTACTGTAAAGGCTGTGATTAATCAACCAGTCCTATCTTTAATGAACTTTTGACACTTGAAAATTAAACAGTGAGCTGAGCAAAATGTGCTTAAAAGTGTGTTCCTTTTTCTGTACTAATTATTTCCTGTTTTAATATCAGTAAACTTTTCACTCATGAAAAAAAAGTGAGCAAAATGTAGGCTATAAACAAGTAATAAATGAAGTTTTAACCCCTTAAAGTGGAGAGGTCCTGGCGACCCACTGAGAGGCTTTGGCGCCCCCTTGTGGGGGTCGGGACCCCCCCCCCCCCCCAGGTTAGGAACCACTGATCTAGATGATTATTTTTAAAAAGTGGCTTCAGACGTATAAAACTTTGTATAATTAGGGTTAAACCATCTTGTACTTACAGAATATTATTCCAACCACAATGACTCCAATGATGCCCATCATGATCATCATCTGAAACAAGATGTCCTTCAGTTAAGCGCTCAGAAAAACTGTTGATAAGTAATTATTTTGAGTGCTTATTGAGTTTTCAGTGTTTTATTTTCAGCGAAGGACTTTTGATAAAGTAGCTCAATACTAAACACTGATTCCTGATAACGCAGCTTCTTTTTCTAATTATCTATATGAGATGAATTCTTTAGTTTATTTTTTCTCCATTTTCTCATCAAATTTTTTCCCTTTCCCCTTTTTATCATGATTTTTAAAAAATTACGTTTTATTTTTGTTCTTGTGAAATGCCTCGTGATTTTTATCTTGAGAGGCGCTATGTAAAAAAATTCCTCTTCTTCTATATTAAAAAAAATGGAGCTGCCCCTGTTTGGATTGCACTGCTCATCACCACATTTCCTCCTCTGAGCAGAACACTAAACACAGAAAACTCATAACACAGTTAGTTTTGCTCCAGCCAGACATCGATGCACCCACCTTGCAGTTTTTCCACCAGTACTTGTTTTTTAGCTTGGCTGCGCAGCTTTCAAACTGGGAGGCTCCGGCCTGGAGAGCGTCCGCTCTGTCATCCAGCTCTGAGAGCTTCTGATCCCTTTCCAAAACCTTGTCCACATTCACCCGCATGATGTCCACCACCTAGCAACAAGGATGAGAAAGCATTTGAGGAGAGGGACCAAAGGGAGGAAGAGGCAGTGAGAAAACGCAGAACAATCGTGAACTATTAGCTTATAAACTGACCTTTTCACAAATTATAAGAAACTTTTAGTTTAATTCCTGTTCCTGAATGAGAATAATTTCTGATTTTTCACATCAAACAGGACTCACCTCCTCTACTTGGGCCTGAGTCTGCTGTAGCCTCCGGTTGCTGCTGGTGTTGGGTGGGCCAGCAGGTGGGCCAGCGGGGGCTCCATCTGCACCCGGGGCACCGGGAGCACCTGGAGCTCCAGCTGGTGGTGCAGCTTCAGGGGCAGACCTGAAAAAGAAAGATGTATGTTCTTATAACAGCGCCCATGGACGTAATTTTTTTTTGGGGGGGGAAATGTCCCCCCCACTTTTTCCAAAGTCAAGTTTTGACCCCTGCACTTTTTACCATCCAAAATCAATATTACGCTATATTAAATTGGCACTGGTTGAGCTCTAGGACCAAGCAGAAAACAATGTGTTGAAGCCTGTTTCCCATGAGAACATACTGTAAAGATACCCCCCCAGCCCCCGTGTCCCCCCCACTTCTAAAGTGAAAATTACGTCCATGACAGCGCCAATTAAAGCCGAGTCATCAAGACAAGAAGTAATGAGATCAGTTTCTTCAATGAATAAAAATAGAAAGTTAAAGTGTGCATCTTTATAGAAAATTTGCTTTCTGGTCAACAAAATGATCACAGAGAGTAAATAATAAAAGGAGGATGTTTGCATAAAAATATACAAGAAAGCAACACAAGAAGAAAAATGAGATAAAATGTTTAAACAATAACATAAAAATAATAAACCCCCTTTTGACTAATTAGAGATTTTGGTAAGAAATGAAACAATCAAATTGTGACGAGTTAAGCTGACATGAATGATGGGTTTCACATCACAGGAAAAAAAAAAGGAAACGTATTTAAATACGATTCCGGCTCAAGTCCTAATGATAAGTATCACATTTTAGGACTCAAAATTCAGATTAATGTCATTGTTTTCATACTGCAGTGATATGAAAAAAATATATATAAAACTTCTGTTTAACTCTGATAAATGCTTGGCTGAATGCATAATTCACTGGAGCCTTGATGCTCAGTTTCACTTGCGTCAGCAGGATCCATCCAACTGGAATGAATCGGCTCCATTTTTGATCTTCCTTTTGCAAAAGAAAACTAAAGAAAGTAAAAGGTGGATAACTTCATCACCAGTGAGATATTAGATGTTTTTGCAAAAAAAAAAAAAAGCGCAATAAAAGAGCCGCATTAATACTCACATCGTGTGTGCAGCTGTCTGAACTGACTCACGGAGCGGAGGAAGAGGAGGAGGAGGGGTCGCTGCGAGGCAGGAGAGGGAGGATCTGAAGTACAGCAGCAACGAAAAAAATAGTTCACAGGGAGAAAATAGGTCTGTGGGCACTTGTCCAAACAAAATTTAGGGATTTTTAATCAGCAAAGAGGCTGATGAAGGGCTGGGAGTCTTGTTGGCGCAGTGGAGCGGCTCTTCCAGCGATTCAAACCGCAAAGTACCGCAATACAGAACCACGCAAACAGGTCGGATAAGTCAATGGTTGGAGTAAGAGGATGGCGGAGGAACAAAAGAAAAATAAACACTTGTGAATTGTATTCCAGTTAAAAGATCCGCGGATGTTTCGCTTCCTGCCGCATCCAGCTCGTTCCTCCTGGATGCTGGCCGGCACACAGCGCTGATTGGCTGGTTCGGGTAGTTGCCTCTTTTGAAAGATACCTTAAAAAGAAATAAATCCTTCAAATATGATGATTAAAAGGCGAAGTGAGCTGAAAAATCTCACATTCCTGTCCTTCCCTCCTCCCTTTCAGTGTCTATGTGCGCGTCTTGGAGGAAGTGCGCTACCTTGGGTGCGTGCGAAGTTTCAGCTGCAATAATGCACTTGGACTCCTAACGACAGTGCGGCACCCCCTCCCCCCTTCCCTCCCCTGTCTCCCCTCTCACTTTGCAGTGCCGCAGCTCTCCGAGTCGGATGGGGCGGCGGGACGAGACTGCGGAACCGTGTGCAACCAAAAGAGTGTTGAGTCGACTGTTTTCTCTGTGGCCTGCTAAGGGATTCTCCCAGTTACATCCTGCTATTGTAACACATTTGCCTCTGCCATCACTCTTTGTCTGATTCGACTTCCTTTTAATCCTAAAATTTTCACTGCAGTTTGATTCAAGATTTATTTGGCTTATTTAATAAAATTCTAGTGCATAATTTAGATTTAAATGTCCTTAGTTTGCAGTTTGAGTATTAAACATTTTAAAGAAGTGCAAAAATACAAAATAAACCAAAAGGTATTTTGCAGCAAGTGTGACTCTGCTTTTGCATTGAAAAACATCAAGCAGCGAGTGGTCTGCAGTCAGCTCTGACATCACTGGGATGAACTGATGTTCTGACTCAGCTCACCAGTAAAACTCTGATCTCACTGTGATGTTATAGTGGAGCGAAAACAACCTCTGTAGCCAGCATCTATAAAGAAAAGTCCCAACCAGCTGAGAATCAGCACAAATCTGGTTCAAGTCCTGCAAGTCTTGGTGGACTTATTACCATCAGACGTGTAGCAAATAATCAGATTAAGTTGAGGAACTCAGAAGCTAAGCTCCTTTACTTATAATTCCTTTAATGAACATAATATAACATTTAAAAAAATTATAACACGTCTATAAAACATGTTTATTAAGTTCTTTACAACAAGTTCCTCTCTCATAAAGCGATCTCAGCATTTTTGTTTTGGGGAGTTTCAGTACCTTCCAGAATGAGCCGTTTCAGGGCTCCGTCCCTTTAGGAAAAGAAGCTGGAGCTAGCCACGCCCACCCTTCCCCCACTCAGATTGCTATAAGCTGGGAAGCTCCGATATCCTGGAGGGGGGCTTGGAGTAGAGCCGCTGCTCCTCCAGCAGCAGCTCTTGCTTGCACGCAAGAGGTGGTATTCTACTTTCCCCGTTTGTGACGTCACAAACGGGAAACTTTTGAAACAGCTTGTTTTAGGGTCATAATTCCCAAAATCAAACACCGCCATTACACAGACGGAGTGTTTATAAAGGGAATGGAGACTGGCAGCACAAAAGGATGCATATGTGAGTTTGACACAGTAAGAACATTTTAATCGTGTAACTGCACGTGGACAGTTTTAACACCTATTTGCTGTGACACACATCTGCTTAATTTTTTTTCACACACCATTTTAAACCAGGAAACACATTTCTGCATCAAAGATAACCCGAGTGAACACCAGCGGCAGTTTTTAAACCATGATTTTATTTAACGAGGGGAACAAACTGTCCAAAGTAATCCCTCTCTTTGTTAAATCACAAATTAACTGAGATTAACCACATTGATGTAAAAGCTGAGCTGATTTTTACTATCCGCACTAAGGCCTGATTACTAGACCTGTGACATTAAGAATTCCCTTAAATGAGCTTGGCATTAGGAGGCTGAAAAACAAGGCACACTTAAAGGATAAAGAGGCAATGTGAGGCGATAAATGGCATCCATGGGGGGGGGGGGGGGGGGGGGGGGGGGGAGCTCCAATGTGAAAACATCTGCTGATGAAGATGAACAAAAAGGCCTACCAACAGTCAAACACGGTGGTGGTAGTATGATGGTCTAAGGCTGGTGGAATTAATTCAGCTAGCAGGAAATCACGATGGAAGAATGTCTGACCTTTGACCTTAAAGACTTTTAATGCAGGAAACCCCTCCCGTGTGGCTGAATTAAAACAATCATGTAAAAGTGGGTCAATAGCTTCCACCTGCAAAACGAGACTCCTTACGAGTCACCACACATGCTGAGAGAACCACTGGGCCCGGTTGGTATAGATGCCCATTTGACTTTATGAATTAAAGCATTTAAATTTTTACCCCCTCTGGTTATCTTTGTGATATTTAAAATGACTTCTGGCTCTTTTCGAGCTAGTTTACTGTGTTACTTTAGAATAAGTTGAAAGTATTATGCAATTTTTTATTTCTCATTTTATTTCCCTTTAACTCTGCAAATTTATTAATCTTGTTCGAAATAAAATTAAAAAACAAATTCGAATAAGCAGCACTAAAGTTACAGAACTCTGTGCCACAGAAGATCCTCTACAGCAGGGGTGGGGAACCCTGGTCCATCGAGGGCCGGTATTCAGCACACTTTAGTTTCAACACACCTGATTTCAATCAGCAGGTGATTAACGGGTTTCTGCAGAGCCTGATGAGCTGCTGAACAGGTGAATCAACCACTGAATCAGAAGTGTCGGAGCAAAGACGTGCAGGATACCGGCCCTCGAGGACCAGGGTGCCCCACTCTTGCTCTACAGGCTTCAACCACATCAGCAGGTTTAAGTCATCATTTGACTTTCCCCAGACCTCATTAAGACACTGATCTCTACATAATACACTGCAAATTTGTCTTGCCTCCCAACATTTAAATGTGGAAATAATCAATGGCATTCTTTTGATCTTATGGCTTGATGGTTAAGGAAATCAGGTAAGGAAGAGCAGGAAGCTCCTCCTCCGAAGCAGCTCTGGCCTGCCAGGGTCTCCTGTCCAAACTCATTGAGACATAGTAAGAGCTAAATGAGGAGGGTGATTTGAAGAAATAAAAACAATCCACATTTTACGTTCCACAGCTAGTATTTTATGTCATATGTTGTTTTACTGGAAGAGCTTTTGCTACAGAATACAAAAACATAGAATAAGTTCCTAAAGCTGAAAAACACATTTCTTCACCATTATAGAATGATGGGTGGATAAAATCCCACCAAATATATTTTGACAGTTCTGAAATGCTGATCTGATGCTTTGTACAGCACTAGCGGTGTTTTCCTGTACGGTTGAAACGCTTGTAGAGGAAGCGAATCCTCTTTTCCAAGTTGTGTCGGTCCGCAGTCATCATCCTGTCTCCCACCATCATCCTTTTTCTAGTCAAACGCTGCAGTTCATGACCTTTAAAACCCTTCAGCCAGCAGGGGGCATTAATTAGGTCTTTGGGGTGAGCTTTAAAGTCCCCTGCAGGATGAAAAAAAAAACAAATAAAATAGAGAAAATGCAATGAAAAAAGCACAATAGGAGAGAAGACTGGACTCGTGAATACTTGCATCCTCTTTAGTTTTAAAACCAATAGAAATTATTTACTGTGTTTTATTATTCAGTAAAACTGTAAACATGATCTTCACAGAAGACAAATCAGCTCTTCTCACTCAGTGTTCAGTTAGGCCCATATAAACAATATGATTCAATTATTTAATTTATTTAGTCAAATCATTCATTAAAAAAAAGAATAGCTGCACTGAAAAATCTCTAAACCCTTACCCAAAATGCCGATGTTATCGTAAACTCCAAACATGCTCCTCTTCTCAGTCCACCTGTCAACTACTTTTGGCTGAGGAATAGCATGCATCCTAATCTGGCAACATGCTCCTAAAAACAAAAGAAAAAAACAACTGGATTAAATAATTAAATTAAACTACAGCAGTAACAATTGGTAGAGAGAACGGTAAATTTCATATTATTTTCAACTGTGGTAAAATTTGTAAGGTTTATAAAGCAAACATGTCAAATAATTCAATAAATACACATCTTATTGGGCCTATTTAGTTTTAGGTTTGCTGTATTATTTTCACAAACTGTTTGGGAAAAATACTTAAATGGTTTTGATAATAAAATCATAGTTATCTATTCTACACCCCTCCTTGTAATTAAACACACACACACACACACACACACACACACACACACACACACACACACACAGCACTTTTGCGGAAATAAAAAAACTAATTAGCTTTAAACTAACTTAACTAATAAATGTAAACAAATCAGGGATGATTCATGCCTGGTGGTAAAGCAATCACTGTCTCACACACACACACACACACACACACACACACACACACACACACACACAGATACAAAACAGAAGTTAAAGACTACAGGCAACTCCGTGTAACTGGAACCAGTTCTGACCTGTGGAGATGGTCCTGACTGAGTTTAGCAGTGTCCCAGATGAGTGACAGAGAGACGCTCCAGCTTTCATCAATCCCACGAGAATCGACATGTTCAAATACCTACAATCAATATTTACAAAGAGAATATTAGTCAAGAATCATCACGAAAATTAACCAGGCAGAATTCTCTCTCCAGCTAAGCTATCTCAGAGCTAGCTTTCGTTAGCTTCCTCAAACACTAAAAGCTAGCTTTATCTTTAGCTAGCATGTTAGTTCAAAGCCCTTACCTGTTCCCAAGCGCGATATCAAGCTTAAGCTATTTAAACATTTGATTCTTAAAGCAAAAATAAATAATAACAAAAAGGTCTGTTATTAACCATTCAACATGCCCTCTGTGACCGATTCCATGCTACTTTGTGTGTCCCACCATGCAACGCGCCTGTACCGTAATGTCAGTGGAGCAGCGCAACTAAAATTAAACCTGCATTTCCTTTTCCCCCCTCCTATTTTCATTTTTATTTTTATCCAGTAGAAGGTGCTTCTGGTACCAGATTACACCTCTGTGTCTGTGATTTAATCTGAACAGAGAAAACAGTTATTTGAAAATAATACCAAATATCAGATAGAAGTTTAGGCAAAGTATACCCCATTTTTAATATTTAATTAAATCACCATTCACATTTTCCATTTCATTTTAGCTAACTATGCTAGCATGGGGGTTTTGCATGAACACTTACAATCAAATTACACTGACACATTTCTTACATATATAATAACTAAATGAAGCTGTGACTTAAATTTTGTGTAACATAGACAGTCTTTGTTAATTTAATATGTGTACAGCACATTCACAGTTTGGCTCAATCAACTTATTTATTTATGTTTTAACAGTGGTGGCAAAAAAACACGAGGGGTAAGGATTTTATTTGTATTTGCTGCATTTTTAAATAAAATTTTATGGAAATGTTGAATAAATTTAATACATTTAAATAGAAAGCAATACCAAAAACAATTTAATTTACAATTTGATCCTTAAAATAGGTCAAATCAACCCACAATTTACTTTTTAAGTTGATGTTTAATATTTTCATTCTTTATTATATATTTTTTTCATGTCTATCTCTTTTAGGGTCAAAGAAAGGTGACATCTGTTCCAAATGTCACTGGTAGAGTAGAGTACAACCACACCAACAATCAGCACTGACAGGTTAATATTTGTGTCTTGGCTTAGGACACAAATATTAACCTGCTGGGAAATGCATTCACTGGTTAAGAAAGGCTAATAGAAAACATTTGCAGAAAAAGTTGGTGAAGATTTTGCAGAAAAACATGAAACAAAATAAAGAATCTACATACATTTGACAAAAATCACAAACTGTGGACTGATTTTAAATCTAAACTGATACTTCTAAATAATAACCCAGAGGCATCACAGGGTGATTTTTTTGTGTTTGTGTTTAGAGTCGCTGATTATTTGACTTAGATGCGTGAAAATGAACATACAGAAGGTACTTTACTTTGAAAACATTATTCTGGAACAAACAGGCATGGACAAAGTTGTTGGTATTCTTCGGTCAATGAAAGAACAACTCACAAGAAATAACTTTAATCTGACAAAAGTAATAATAGATAAAAATTCTATGAAATGTAACCATTGCTTTTCAAGCATGCTTCAACAGAATCCTTTAAAAGAATAAACTTATGGAACCAAGGGCGGAAATCCCATTTCAAATTTGGGGGGGGGGGGGGGGGGGGGACAATAAACAGTAAAACTTCAGAGAGTAATTTTTGGGGGGGACATGAAAAAATGCTCTCTACATACAACACTGTATGTCCTTATAAGAGACTGATCTGAGACTCTGTGCCTGTGTCTGACAGGCTCTGGCTGCCTGTGCTCAAGTGACTGGACTTTGCCTAATGAAACCATTTAGAAACAATTTCATTTCTTTCTTATAGATGTCTTTATCAAAATGCAAGTTTCTACTTACTTGACGTTCTGGAGCATTAAGAAACGACCTGATGTCTGCCGTTTTTCATTTCTCTGCCATTTCAACTGACCTGGTCTGCTGACAGTTGGACAGCAACACACACACAGATGGGATATTGTCATTAGAACGGAGCTGGAGGATATTGATCAACAATAATATCTTACTAATTTTGTACATCTTCATAAGCATCCTTTCTTTTTGTTTTCATTTCAATAACAAGACTGTGGCCTAAAACGGAATAAGCAATTCAGAATAAAGATTTAAAAGCAGATCGTTAATAGTTGAAGCAACATGTCCTGAAATGACATGGCTATTAGCTGACCAACAACTACACGTGTGGATGTATGCAATGCATTAATTTTAAGTACTAAAACATATCTTACTTTTTTACAAAAAAGAGAGAGAACACAAAATGTCAAATTAAAATTTTATTAAACCACATAACATGAAAGCTACTAAAATCCAAATAGTTCCATATTGATTTTAATATATTTGAAAATTTCCTTCTAAATATGGCTAGAAAAAATAACAACCTTCAAATCAGCTTTCACAAGTCAAGTATCAAAATGACTGAAATCTCTTTAATAAATCATAGAAATGTTTGTTGGCTCTTAGAGAATAACTCTGTAATATTTAATAACTTTATCTAAGTCCTACTGAACGAAAAGATACACAAAATCGAAAAATATATTCTTGAAATATTTGTTTCATTTTAATAATAAAAATTAAAAGCTTTTACTTTACAAATACACTAAACATTTACATACTCTATAGTTTATCTTTCAGTTTAATCGATCTTTCACTTTTCTCAGTTTTCATGGTGTTTTTGGGTCGGTGTGGCCAACGGGATCTTTGGCTCTATGTTTTACACTGAGAGCTTTGAGCAACGTGCCTCCTCCACACATTTGCTGCAACCAGCTCATCCCTAAGCTGCACGGTGCACCTGCACTTTGACATATTGTAAACAACTGCAGAGCCTGGGGAAGACGTGATAAGAGCGGTTAAACGCTGTGGTTTTCCATACATTGGGCCAGTTAGTTTTGATTCTACCATATTCATCTGCTAAATAGGATGAAACGCGGACATTTTCATCGATCTATAAATGCTCCGCAGATTCCAGGGGCAGACCGTGAAAGCGTACGTGTCGGGAAAAAGGAACTTTTGATCACCTTAGTGAATGGAATAATAATAGCAGAATAATCCTGGAATGACCAGAGAACATGAAGCGACAACTTTTTTTTTACTGTGGTGGTGGTGGTCTGTCGTAAAGGGATCTCCAACCGGTGATCAAAATCTAAAGATAATCGGTGTCTATGTTTGACATTTATGACCACATTTGACACACATATTCAAGTTTGTAGAACAAGCGTGTGATAAATGACTTACTGCTGGAAACCGCTGGCTTTTTGATTCCCGCCTCCTGTGAGCCTGCGGGCTTCTGTGAAGCTGTGAGCGGGGCAAAGCCGGCAGCCCCGCCCGTTGGAAACAGCGCGTGTGGACCGACCGTACCAACTTGAGGAATTGGGGAGGGGGGTGGACTATAATTTCTCAACAATTAAAAACACATTGTTTTGTATTTGCAGACCAACTTTTACGTTGTGGTTTTAGAAGACAATACAGGTTTACTGATAGCATTTATGTGTTTACAATAACTTTTGTGGGGGGGACACCTTTGTGTGAGGGGGGGACGCGTCCCCCCCCCCCGTCCCCCCTGGGATCTCTGCCTATGCATGGAACAGGCCGGGATAAAAATTATGGTGTACCTAATTTAATATCTTGTTGGACAACCTTTTGAGACAATCGCTGCAATTAAACGATTCCTCTAACTGTCAATGAGACTTCTGCACCTCTCTGCAGGTATTTTGGCCCACTCCTCTGAGCAAACTGCTTTAAGTGTCTCAGGTTTGAAGGGCGCCTTTTCCAGACGGCATGTTTCAGCTCCTTCCAAAGATGCTCAATAGGATTGAGGTCAGGGGTCGTAAAAGACCCCTTTAGATTAGTCCAGTGTTTTCCTCTTAGCCATTCTTGGGTGTTGTTAGCGGTGTTCTGGCTCCTTGTCTTGTTCAGGACCCATGACCTGCGACTGACACCAAGCTTTCTGACACTGGCCAGCTTTCTCTTGAAAGTCTTGAGATTTCATCATTCCCTGCACAGATTCAAGACCCCCTGTGCCAGTTGCAGCAAAGCAGCCCCAGAACATAACAGAGCCTCTTCCGTGTTTCGCAGTAGGGACAGTGTTCTTTTCTTGACATGCTTCGTTTTTCTGTCTGTGAACATAGAGATGATGTGCCTTAGCAAGAAGTTCCATTTTAGGCGTGTCCACATGTAGTTTAGCAAATTCCAGTCTTGCTTTTTTGTGATTTCGTTTCAACAACAGCATCCTCCTTGGTCATCTCCCATGTAGTCTACTTTAGCTCAAACAACAATGGATGGTGAGATCTGACACTGAAGATCCTTGAGCTTGAAGTTCACATTTGGACGTTTTTCTGGGCTCTTTTGCTACCATTAAGATCATCCTTCTCTATGTTTTGTAATCAATTTTCCTCCTGCGGCCTCACCCAGGGAGGTTGGCTACAGTCCCATGGATCTGAAATGCCTGTATAATAAGTGCAGCTGTAGTCACAGGAACATCTAGCTGCTTGGAGATGGTCTTATAGCCTTTACCGTTAACATGCTTGTCTATAATTTTCTTTCTGACCTCCTGAGACAACTCTTTCCATCACTTCCTCTGGTCCATGCTGAGTGTGGTGCACACCTACCTGGAGCCCTACTGGCTAATCACAAGATTGTAGACACCTGTGACGCTAATTAGTGGACACTCCTTGAATTAACATGTCCCTTTGGTCTTTTCTAAAGGGGCACCATCATTTTTGTCCAGGCCTGTTCCAGGTTTTTATTTTTTTAAATAAACGAAGCATGATTGAAAAGCAATGTCTGACTTTCATTGTTAAAATTTCATAGAATTTTTATTTATTATTACTTTTGCCAGATTCAAGTTATTTCTGTGAGTATTTTTCTTTCATCGACCGAAGGGCACCAGCAACTTTGTCCACATCTGTATTTCTCCAAACGCAGCTCTTCAATTCAGATTTAAACCTATCAAATATTTTTGTTTTCAGGAGTCGCTGAGATGTTGATTTGCAAACTTTTTCAGAAACGATTTTTCCTGATTAGGAAAATCTTCAGGAGCCACAAGGGCTGGACTGACAACACAGCATGTGTTCATTTTTCACTTATCCAAGCTACTGTGGCCTTAAAGGGTCTAGTATGATGGGTTTCCATTACAAATGACACATATCTGCATTTTTATTAACTTTATTATACTTGCAGCAAAACACAAAATACAGAGTGATCCGTTTGAAAAAATGTATTTTTTTCCCTTCTGTTGTGCTTGCAGCAGGACTGAACACACACACACACACACACACACACACACACACACACACACACACACACACACACACACACACACACACACACACACACACACACACACACGCACACACACACACACACACACACACACACACACACGCTGACAGATGTGAGTACTTTCAGTCTTACTGTTGTCAAAAGCTTAATGGAATATTTTGTCATTTTCAAAATAACAAGCGCAGCAAAGATGATGTTTGTCAGTATTTCATTCTTGCTAAATCGCCCGCAGGCGTGTGGAAATTTAGTCCGAACAAAACTTTATTAAACGTTAGTTTTTGCTGACTTTCTGCAAGCGTTGCCTGTGCAGAGAAGCCGTGCTGATTTACTGTAAGCCTGCAGGGCATTTGCACACCGAACTGAATGCATTGAGCTGGATTTTTATAAAACTTTAAAGCAAACCCACGTGCAAAAATAAACCCACACGTATGATTAAAAGAAATAAAAATGCACAGATTATTTTGTTGAGCTACAAGGAATGGAAGCCGAAAACTCAGATACACATCTTTGTTCTTGTGAAGGGTTCCACTTGAGCGTTAGACAAAACGCTGACATGAAAAAAGTGGATTTTCTCAGTAGAGCAGCACATTTATCAGCTTCCTCTGCCAGTAAAACTCAGCGGAACAGCGTTTAGCATCACCTACAGATGTAAAACACGGTCATCATCATATCTGCTGTTGAAATGAAACCACAGCAGCAGAAGGAGTGTGTTCTCAACGGGGGGTTAACACTCATGTCAGCTCAGAAAATCAAACCTGCTGTGGGACAAGAGCAGAGATGAGAGAACGAGAACGTGCCGCAGGAACAAACTACTCATCTTCAGAGCTTCTAAAGAACTCAATTTGACTATTTTCCAAGCTCATCCTGATTAACATGCTCATCATTGTCTTCTAGCTCAGAGTGCAGTTGTTTCCATGTGAGGGGCGTTTTCCCCAGAGAGCCTTCAGCTCGTATTCAGATCCAGCGGTGGTGATGAGGCATCAGCTGTAGGAAAGACCCCCTCACAGGGGGTGACGCACACAAGCCCCCCACCTGGGCCCAGCTTTCTCCAGAACACTTTTTGTTTTTTTTTAACTGAAACTGACCTCACAGGCTTTGAAGTTTGACACGAGGAGGAAGTTGAAGGAGGCAGAGATGAAAAGAATAAAAGCTACAGTTTCACAAACTTGGTGTTATTTAATGTGGCTTTTACAGAGGAAAACGTCTTCAGGAGAGGAAGAAAACTACTCGGAGGTTTCACCCACACGCTCAGATGAACCTGTTTGACTTTCTACAGCCAGGCAGAGATAGACAGGGAGAGGGTGAGCTATTAAGCAGCAGGATTAACCGTCAGGTGGGAGAGTGAACTGAATTATTATGAATTATAAAGCCCATGTGAGGATTCATAGGATTTAGATAAGCAACAAAAGTGAAGGAATTGGAGTATCTAAAAGTGAGGATCTGCCAAAATGTAAAATATTTGTAAGGAGCTGTGGTCTGCCCGTCATAGATGGTTATTATTATCAGGGGCGTGTCCAGGGAGTGGCCTGGGGTAGCAAATGCCACCCTTAGAATCTGACTGGCCACCCCAGGTGCCACCACACAGAATTCCCTTTAGATAGGCTTTTCATTGTCCACAAAAGGCTTGGGGTTAAAAATAAATAAAGCATAACCATTGGTGCCACCCATGCACAAAGTGGTGCCTCACCTGGGCCACCCCATTTTAAAAGATCTGGACACACCACTGATTATTATGATACCTTTTTGCTAAAAATCTTTAAATGAAATCTTGCTAATTTTATTTTAATAAACGTCCATGAAAAAGACCGACCAGAACTGTGTTTTCTTGATTTTATTACAGTTATATTAATTGTAGGTAGGCAGAAAAAAACTGCTACAATTACATCTAAGTTGAGGTTTTCTTCATTTATTTAGATTAATTCCATTTTATTTGCACGCACAAACTAAACATACTCACTCCTTTTCAGAGAATGTTCATTCTAAGGTCTAATTGATGATTGTTTGATGCAAATGATCAGGCATAAAAAAGGTCGATTAAACCCACGATATTCAAACGGATTCAATTCATTTCTTCCAGCTCAAATGATTGAAGTCTACACACACCCCACAGTGATATGGGGGGGGGGGGGGGGGGGGGGGGGGGGTGTTAGAAAAATATAAAAATTGAAAACGAAACATGAGAAAATATGTACATGAACATTCACAGCCTTTCCCATGAAGCTCCAAATTGAGCCCAGGTGCATCTGCTTTCCACAGATCATCCTTGTGATGTTTCTGCGCCTTATCTGGAGTTCACCTGCGACTGATTCAGTTTATTCAACATGATGTCAAAAGAACGAGATCGTGGACACAAGTGGCCAAAATGAGTTTTCTTCACAGGATGTCTGGGCTCCCTTAGAGATAGGGTGAGAAGCTCAGTCATCCAGGAGGGGCTCAGAGTAGACCTGCTGCTCCTCCACATCGAGAGGAGCCAATTGAGGCGGTTCGAGTATCTGGTTAGGATACCTCCTGGACGCCTCCCTGGTGAGGTTTTCTAGGCACGTTCAACCTGGAGGAAGACGCAGAACACACTGGAAGGACTGTTTCCCAGATGGCCTGGGAACGTCTTAGGATTTCCCCGAAGGAGGGATCAGTTGAATACAAAGACCAAGCACCTGATTCCTTGATAGTTATTAATTGCTGTGATGTCCTGAGAGACCGATCTTTGACGCAGCTGAAGTGCAAGCACACGTCAAGCTCTCTCTCTCATAATATTCACATCATGATTTAGAAATTGCATATGTGGACAAGAGGCTGACTGATATATAGGGCAGATATATAAAATGTTTTCTATATCGGCCATTGGCTGAAATTATTTTTAAAAGCCGAAAAAAAAAACCAACAAAAAAAATCAGGCACCTGTGAGGCCATCTCCTGCCACTACTAATGAAGAAAGGACCCGAAGGACCCCAACACATCTTTTTTTTTCATGTTTTGAGTTTGTTTTATATTTGAAGTTCAATAAATATGAAGAGATTTAATTACTTATTTAAGTTATATTGCATTTAGTGACCATTCAGTTGTCTTTCACAATAAATGGCTGCTAAAATGTGTACATGAGCTTTAATAATCAGCTTTAGATATCGGCCATCAGTAACAAAATTATTTAAAAATCGGTATCGGCCTAAAAAACCCACATCGGTCGGCCTCTAATGTGGACTTTCGAGGAGATGTTTAATTACGATTGGAGCATGGATGTAAATTTTGGGGGGGACAGGGGGGGGCATGCCCCCCCACTTTTTCCAAAGTCAAGTTTTGACCCCTGCACTTTTTACCATCCAAAAACAATATTGCGCTATATTAAATTGACACTGGTTGAGCTCCAGGACCAAGTGGAAAACAACCGTTTGTGTTGATGCCTGTTTCCCATTAGAGCATTCTGTAAAGATAACCCCCCCCCCACTTCTAAATTGAAAATCACGCCCATGGATTGGAGCGATTATTCATTTTTTTAAATCTAAGTCGTGAGGGAGAGCGTCGCCAGTCACCATCTCATCTGCCAAGGATTTCAGCCAATCATCTCTCTTCTATTTCTTCTCTGCACAGTAAGAGATTATTTGGCTCGATAAGCTTTCAAGGACACCCAGATAAAAGAAAATGGCGTTCCATGGGGTTTGTTTGATCTTGATAAAAAATTTCATTTCAGTGTTCATGAACTCCACAGAACTTTCCTTCGAGAGGAATAAAGATAAAAAACTTTGTGCTTGGGGACCACTAAAAGTTTGTGATGTCACAAACAGGCAAAGTAGAACAGAACCACCTCTCACCTGCAAGAGAGAGCTGCTTTTGGAGGAGCAGCAGCTCTATTAAAAGCCCCTTCTGGATATCAGAGCTTCTCAGCCTAAAGCAGCCTGAGCTGGTGACAGGTGGGCGTGGCCAGCTCCAGCTTGTTTTCTTAAAGTGGCCGAGCTCTGAAGTGGCTGTTTCACTGCAAAGAACTTCATAAATATGTTTTGTATCGACCATCAAACCATTAAACTTACATAAATCATCAAACCTCTCCTTTCATAAACAGTTCCTGATTCTTTCATGTAACAAACTTCACACCAACAAAGCAGCGTCATTTGAAATTTCTTTAATCTGCATCATCATAAAGAAAATGTCCGTTTCCTCTGGAGGAAAACACAAATTCAAACAAATATTTTACAGTAACTAAAGTTCCTGGTGGCTGACGCAGACTGAAATAGTGGAAAACGACTTGTAAAAACGAACATTTGTGCAGCAGTGCGAGTCTGTTTCTGCTGCGGTGACACCTGCCTTTAAATCGACGAAAAGGAAAGTAAAGAAATGAGAATGGAGGGAGTGATTCACTTTCATGAATATCCAGAGGAGGAGCCGGGCCGTGTGCTCGCTCTCAGGCTTGTTAACCAGAATCTGTGGACGTAAATGACTGGCAGTGACGGAGTACCGGTGAGGTGGTTTGGTGCTGCGCTTTTGCCATTTTAGTTTCAAAACAACAACCAGAGCCTCTCTGAATGAAACAAACAATGTTTCTAAAAAAGAATCTCCCACGGTGGTCTGTGGAAAAATTTAGAACAAATCCAAATATTCTTTTAGCATTAAATTAAATTTAAGTAGATATTTTAGGGATCAGTGAAGATGCTCTGTCTTGTTTTTTCATGTTCTTCAATATTTCATTGGATAAAATGAAGATAGTCTAATTTTGTTCAAGTTGGAAGAAGAAGAAGAAGAAAACAGAAGTAAAGAGAATCCGTGGGAGGAAGCGGGACTCCCTGTTTACATCTCTGTCTTACAGTTTCCGAGCTGACAGTCAGACCGCATCAAAGTCTCACTTGCAGCTGAAGACACGTGATCAGCAGAGGAACTACCCAGGACTCCACCTGCGCTCGCACCCACGGCCTCGTATTTAAACCTCGCAGCCCCGATGAGAGCAGACACACCGCCGAGCACTTCACTGGAACAGAAACGGGAGGAGCAGAAAAACTAGATAAAGCTAAAGAAACAAGAAATGATGTTTCTGGAAGGTTTCGTCACTGGAATGATTTTCTTTCTCACACCAGGTCAATTAATATTTACATCTTCTTTAAATATTCATCTGGCTTTCCTTGAAGCTTATTTTAACCTTCATTCCTTAAGGAGGAAGATGTGAGGAGATGGAGGTGATCGCTGAGATGGGATCTAAGGCGGTTCTACCCTGCAGATGTGGCATAAAGCGGTGTGATCCTGCCGCCATCACCTGGACCAAAGCAGGAAAAGGGTAAGAAGCTGCTTCCCTCCTCACGTCTGTTTCAGCTTCTTGTATGTGCATGGCCTTTGACCCTGGGTGTTTGTTGTGATGCAGCACTGTCTGGAGAAGGCAAACCAGCGGTCTGCAGTACTGGGGCTCCAACTGGGTGGAGGGCGGCACCCAACGGGTGCGATGCCCGCATTCGGCGTTCGTTCACGGGGATTACGGCCTCCAAATCAACAGCGTGAAGGTGGAGGATGGAGGAGTTTACTCCTGCAGGGTGGTAGTTGGAGGTCATATTACTGGACGCCAAGTCATGCTCCGAGTTATTCAAGGTAAGAAGCAGAATTCTCAGCTCACTACTTTCTGTCAGTACCAAACTAAACTGGCTAGAAAACTAAAAATGACCACGACTGATGTTTTCTCCTTAGTGTCCATCTCTCCGTCCTCTCCCATGTGGGGGGACTCGATGTCGGCCACCTGCAGTGTGACACCATGGCCTAATGGAGCCAGTGTGAAGTGGATGGTGAACAACTGTCCTCTTTGGTCTCAGCCCAGATCGACCTCAAACAAACCAGGAAGTGTTGTGAAAGAAAGAGCGACTGAGAAAGTAGCAGGAAACTGGACCTGCGTCTTCAACTACAAGAAAGAAGCGCGGACCACAGCCGTGTTGTCTGTGAGAGGTGAGACTTGGACAACTGGGGTAAACCAGAAGGTGAAGCTGGTGGATTTTTACAATAAACTCAACATTTTGTCTCCTTGTAGGAATTGTGCAACCTCCCAAAGACGACACCAAGGTCTACGCTGCTGTTGGGTCTCCAGTGACTCTCCCCTGTGTCTTCTCTCCTGATTTAAACCCCACATCCACCGTTTTCGAGAAGACGGGCGTTGGTAAAACGCTTGCTTTCAGCAGGTCTCTCCAGACCTCCTCAGATGCATCGGTTCCAATTCAGGAGGTTACGTCTGAAGATCAGGGCAAATACAGATGTGCAGGAACTGTGCAAGGGCGAAGACTAGCTCGGACAATGCAGCTTGTCGTTGCTAAAAGTGAGTTTGCATAAATTTAGCTGGAAGAAAACAAATATTCAGGCATCTTTATTTTTAATGATAAAATTATTTGATCTTTTCATTTTTCAGTCATCCAGTCAAAAAAGAAAGGCTCTGTGGGACTGACATGCCAGCTGAGCGACGCGAGCGAAGTCACCAAGTACGAGTGGGTTCACGCGACCTACGACCTCAACGGCACCAAGTCAGACGGACCCATCCTAAAGGAACAGACCATTTATCCGGAGCATGGGGGTGAATGGACGTGTCAATACTATGGAAAAGAAGGCTTTCTGGGGAACGTGACGACCCAAGTGTTGACCCAGCTGATTAGTGAGTTTCCTTCTTTTATGCACCGAATATTAAGAACGAAATTAGGAATGTAATTTAAATATCCTCTTCTGATAACGCTCGTTTCATTCCAGGCAGTCAAAGTGGACAAAAACCGAGCAACAAAGGAGTCGTGATCGGGCTCAGCGTTCTCCTGGTGATTCTGCTGCTGATCCTCGCTCAGACGTACAAAAACCACCAAAGGGTGAGAAGCTGTTTTCAGACCTTGAAACAAATCAGTTTCGTGAGTTTTTCTTTAATCGTTTCCGTTTGTCTTTTTTCTACAGAGGAAAAGAGTCTTTCGGTACCCTGCGATGGAGACCATCGTTCACACCGTCTCCAACGAACGAGAGGAGAAAGAAAAGAGTCGAGTGAAGGCGTGAAAGACTCGTCACAGCGGAGCTGTCGCAGGGAAATGTAATCACGCGTTTAAACACCTGCAAGATTAAAAAAGCTTGTATTTGCACATGTTTTGTAAATAGTCTCCCTGGTAAAGTTTGTAGAAATAATTGTTTAAACTATAAAGGAATTTAAAATGTATTTAAATTTTTCAGTATTTCAGCTGTAAATATTCTTAACTGTCCCGATTTGCTCGTGTGTTGATGTCTCATAAATAAAGTGCACTTAACAGAACGGATGTGGTTTTATTTCTCAGACATAAATAAGATGTACACTCACTTAGAAAAAAATAGCTTTGAAATTTGTCTCGTGTTTGTGCAAATATAAATACATTTTTACATAAATTACAGTTTATTTTTCCCGCGACTTCAGACACTGAAGAAACTTTACGGCGTTTTCAAATCTCCATTTAACTTTTATGTGCTTTTTTCTGTTATTCCTGCCAGCCTGTCGATCTAAAACTCAGAACCTCAAACTAAAATCTGAGCTTTCAAACCAGCTCTAGCTTTAGGTTAACGCTACACCTGACTACATTCCCCGTCGTCGTGACTTTCGAGGTGAACCCAGTTGGCCGGCGATCGGCTTGATCCTTCTGGAAGTCCTTGGCTCCTAGGACTCAGGTAATTCAGCACTTCCTCGTCATCGAAGCACCAGCCTGGCCAGTCGACGTTTTCACCATCCAAGAAGACGGTACTGAAACACGGAAAGACAGAGCATCAAATTGTTTCCTACTATTTAGTTATGATGCATATTAATAATAATAAAAACAATACATCAAACTTATATAGCGCTTTTTAGGACTCTCAAAGACGCTTCCATGCACTCTCACATTTACACACTGCTAGTGATGATAAGCTACTAGGTAGCCACAGCTACCCTGGGGAGGTCTGACGGGCGAGGCTGCCATTTGGTGCTGTCGGTCCCTCTGACCACCACCAACACAGACAAGTTGGGTGAAGTGTCTTGCCCAAGGACACAACAGCAGAATACTCCTGGTGGGAGCTGGAATTGAACCCATGACCCTCCGATCACAAGGCAAGCCGCTCTACCTCCTGAGCTACCGCTGCCCCTCAGTGTTAGAAACCATCCAGAAAAATATCAGATGGAGGAAAGGTTCTGTTTCAACAAGTAGACCTCCATCTTGTTGCTTGGATGACCTTAGAAACAATGGTTGAGAAATTAGATTCCTTCATGCTTCTCACTGAATTATTTAATCATTTGTTGCATCTGGTAAAAAAAACTTGCAAGAATGAAATCAGATGTCTTCTTTGTGCACGTCTAAGTGCACACAACTGATGGGAGACGGTAACACAAACGTAAATTAAATCATCATTACAATTACAATCCTTCAAATTATCAAATAAATATTACATTTATTTAACTTTACCAAAATGCCCACTAATAATAAGTGAATACATTAATGAATAATGTTGAACTAATTGTGGTCTTTCTGGAATAGTAAACGGTAAATAGCCTGTATTCGTATAGAACCTTCTTAGGGTTCTACAACCCCCCAAGGTGCTTCACAACACAATCAGTCATTCACCCATTCACACACTGGTGCTGATGAGCTACAGAGAAGCCACAGCTGCTCACTGACACAGGCGAGACTGCTGAATGCTGACGCCACCGGTCCCTCCAACTACCACCAGCAGGCAAGGCGGGTTAAATGTCTTGCCCAAGGACGCAACAGCAGCATTCTCTAGGAGGAACTGGGATTGAGCCTACAACTTTCTGATTACTGGACAACCTGTTCAACCTCCTGAGCTACTGCTGCCCCAATAAAAACACTTGATATTTTTAAAATGTGGCCTAGAAAATATTTTATTTTTTTACGATTGGAAACTGATTTCTGAGCCTCTACACAGCATGTGAAACTTTGTTTTGGCTCCCAAAGGCCCATGAGAGCTGATAAATGGCCAAACACAACCCCACAACAAAGCCCTACAGTGGAAGACTGGGTTTCCCCACTGCTATGGAAATTTTATATTTCATTGCTTTAATCCTGTTAACAAATGTCCTGAAGAATTCTCACACGCAGACACACCCACACACTGCTATTCCCCTACACTCATACACACACCGGCTCTCTCTCTCCTCTCACAATGACCTCACTCCCATCTTTATCTCGTTGTTTAAATAAACTCTGTGATCAGATGTTCAGGGCATTTTGCCTCGTGCATGTGCCACAGTTATAACTGGTTGACTCGTCTGCTCATTGTCTCCTTCTCTCTTCACTAAAGGAAATGGGTTTATAGATAATCATATTGATAAAATCCCTAACATAATTTGGTCTTTCATGAGCCGGAGTCCCGTCACCTCGTGGCGTGAAGAACCGATGCCGGAGGACTATCGACAACCTAAATCCCCTCCAGCGCTGAGTTTTGCTGGGGGGTCGGTGTGAGGGTCTTGACGTCGCTGGGAGGAAATGCGGATCCATGAACCACTCAAGACCTGAGTGGAGATTTGGTGAGACAAGTTTGTTGTTTGTTTGTTTGTCTTTGTGGTAACGAGAGAAAATCCTAGGTGACCAGAGAATAGAGGGGTGCCGTCCGCCGTGAATGGGACGGTTTTGACAGGTTCTTTTGAATGCTGTCTGTATTTGGCTTGGTTTTCTGCATTTTAGCCAAAATTAGAAATGCAACTCTGGTGTAAGAAATGAACTAAACCAGTGTGATAACTATGAGATTAAGTGGTGACGTCCTCCTTGAATAGGATGGTTTTTGACAGATTCTCTGAATGCTGTCTGTATTTGGCTTGGTTTTTTGAGTGTTTTGCCAGAGAAATAGAAACGTTACTCTAGTTATCTGTTGTTGTTTGTTTGTCTTAGATGTTGTCTGCTTTAACTGTTGTTCGAATGACTGAGAAAGTGTCTGGACTTGCTTATTCTTGAAGAAAGAAAGATATTACAACTCATTTGCACACGTCTCGAGTTGGTGGTCAGAGTTTTAAACTGGCGGTTCTAGTTGAAGGGCGGATTCGTAAGACTAAATCTGACCTCATGCCGAAGAAAAGATGGTGTGGTATCTATATGGGGGAATAAGAACTCACAAAATACCTTTTGAGTAAATACTGTACATTGATGTAAATTTAAATCCAGGAAATGTGGAAATTATCTGAAAATTATCAGTGGATTGGTGGAAAACATGATTTTGATAACCGCTGACGTGCCACAAATGTGTTATGCTTACGAGGAAGAACAGAGCGTATGGAGCTAGGATTGGGACAATATTCAGCGTAACTTGTACCAAGTTTTGTAACTTCGAACATGTTTCATCACATGTAACTTTGGATTTGTAACTTGTAACTTTAGTTTTCTAACTTGTAATTCTCAATTCGTACTTGTATTTCTTGTTTTGTAACAGGAACATTGTATTTTGTACATGTATTTTTTATTTTGTAAAATCAAACTTTTATTTTGTACATTTACTACTCATTTTGTAACATCAAACATTCATTCAGAAACATGAAACTTTCGTTTTGTAACTAGCAGACTTCCAAATTGAAAAAAATCAAGGTACAAGTTTGAAATCAAATCTCTCAAAACACACGTTTCATTCTACAGGTACAAACCTCAAATCTACCGTTACGGATCTTGTTGTCTCGATTCTAGTGTCAGTGGGAGGAACTTGGGTGGAACCAATGAGAGCATGAGTCTGAGCTACCAATCACGCTTCTCGAATTCCTGTCCAATCATTGGGAGAGGAGGGCAGGGTTCTGTCAGAGCTGTAGAGAGAGTTACGACACCAATAGAGCTCCGGACCCCACATGACTCTCAGTTAGTAGAAGCCATTTTGGCAGGTAAAAAAAGGTAAACAAACACATGAACGTGAACGGGATCAGCTTGGATTTTACTTCATCAAGTCACCGCGTCTCGTTATTTGGCGCTATTTAAACCAATGTTGTAAAATTACTTCTGCCCAGCCCAGATGTGCTCACATGTGCACCCGTGAGCCGTGGTTCCGCTGGAACACGTCTGACCTCTGACAGACGCGCTCTGAACTTCAGATCTTCAGCGCGCTGTTAATAGCCGGAATGGGAATCATTTCTTGTTATTTTGTTACATCCACAATGTCCTGTGTGTGAGGTTTACAATGTCAGAACACCTGCATGAGACAGGTGTTAATTACAATCTGCCAGAATGTCTCGCCACCTTCAGATTTCTCCAACACCGTTAAGATGATCAAATACGGAACATATCGGCGTGCGCAGGCCAGAGTGCTGAAGCTCGGCGCATTGTTATTATGAAGCTAGGGCACAAGTGGAGGACACACGCGCGCGCGCGCGCAAAAATATACTTGTTTTCAATTACATTTATTGGGCCCACTTTCTTTTTCTTTGGCCCACCCACAAATGAGTTTCTACGCTAATGGTGACATATGACAGACTTCTCTGAGCTCCGCAGCCATTACACTTTTCACCTCGCGCACCCCCTAGCGGCAGCTCGCGCGCACCACACTTTAGGAATTCCTGCACTAAAGCATTTAAAGCTTTACCAGAGAATTATTGCAAAGGCACCATGTTTCATAGCAAATAGTATCAATATTAACACGCAGTCTTAAAACTAATGCAGGGAGTTCACAAGCTAACACAAATGCTACATAAATAAAGCAATCAGCAATTGTAGCTTAGCTTTAACTTAGCTATTTTTTGGTCTCCCTGTTTGTTAAAACAGTTAAAGTAATAATATTAACTTTAAATATAATTTAGATATGATATAAAGACCACAATTTCTAATACTGACTTGACTGAAACGTTATTAATACCCTTTTTATAATTAAAAAGCGTAGATTTTCTGAAATTTGTAAGTGGTTTCAATCACTAGTTTTCATACGAGGCTAAAGTTAGCTTCCGATTCGAGAAATGGCTAAAGGGCTAATACACCCAATTTTTCTCTACTCTGACCATTTTTAATCTGCTCTAGCTCAAAAACTAGAATACATACACTCTTCAAACCTGTTTTAGATTATTCTGGGCTCGTAGCAGAATGCATAAAACATAGTTTGTGATTTGTGAAACCTTTCTCTGATTTGTGAAACTTCAAAAAAGACAGATTTATGACTTTATTTTTCAGCATCTGGCCCACACTGGAACTGGTCCTGTGCACCCAAAAATACATTTTTTTTTCTTCCGGCGAAGGTAATGACCCGATGTCTTGTTCTTCCGGTTACGTCATTTCTGGTCACGGCAAAGACGCCAGATGATGTCTGCAGCCAGATGCTTGTGTGAACATGGGGGGGGGGCACCCACAACTGTCAAGAAAAGGTCTTGGAATCGTATCATCATCACCGACGAAGCCGCCATGTTGGCAGCCTCTGAGTCCTTACTTGTTGCTAGTTACTTCAGACAACAGCGTGCTCAGTCTAGGTCTTGCAGCTTCATTTAATCGATTATTCATTTGATCGTTTATTTTTCAACCACGGTAAATCATTTCTTTCTTGCGAGGTGAAACAGCCCAACGATTTCCTTGGGAAAATGTGGAAAACGGGTTAACTTCACTGGGTGCGTTTACATGCAGCCAGTAAACCTTTTAAAACCCGAATATTCACAATAACCCGGTTCCGCACGGCCACGTAAACACCGCCAAAAACCCGGATATGCTCATAACCAGGTTTTTAAAAACCCGGTTACTACACCTGGGTTAACCCTTTTCTAACCCGAATGTTTGGTCGTGTAAACGCATACCGGGATATCCCCATCAAAGCGTGTGTTCTGCGCATGCTCTGTTCGCAAGGAATCTTGGTCTTTTGAGTAGCGAGACGTCTTGTATGCGCCAGAACACCGGAAGTAAACAACAAGTTGGGAGCAACATGGCGAGTCGCGGCACAGCACCACACTTTTGGGGTGACGAGGAAACCTCTGTCTTCATCGATCTGGTGAAAAGCATGAACATTTTGTCTTTTGTTGACGGCCGAAAGTACAGAGACAGCGAAATATACAAGAAGGTAACCGCAAATTGCGTCTTGATGTAGTCCATACGTCCTGACGCTACCCCAATGTCCGCATTTAAATCGGGTTATGCAAGTTAGAGGTAACTCTTTCTATTTATGCTTGTAAACGGGTTATTCTGATCAACTCAGAAACCCGAATACCAACCTTAACCCGATCATAACCCGGATATTGGCTGCATGTAAACGTAGTCACTGTTTTCTGGCTTGGAGGCCTAACCACGGAGACCAAATATCTGACATAACAAAGTCTCATCGGCTCACTTGGACCGCAGCTGTAAGGCGACCAAACATCACCTCCCACAGTATTTCAGTCTTTTTTCCCGTCCCTGTGTAAAATGCCCCATTTGTGTTTTTCCCTTAGTGCTTATTCAAATAGAGAATGAACACCATGTACGGTAAATGGTCTGTATTTAGTTAGCGCCTTCAAGAGTTCCACAACCCCCCCAAGGTGCTTTACAACACAATCAGCCATTCACACTCACACACAATGGACCATGAGTCACACCCCCTGCAGGACGCCCTGTCTGCTCTGGAGAGCAGCTTCAGTCACAGACTGATCCATCCTCGCTGTGCGAAGCAGAGATACTGCAGGTCTTTCCTTTCTGCTGCTGCTAGACTCTTACATGGTCACTGCTAACATGGAACCCATACATCTGTGACATTCCACCATACAAACATAATCACCGACATGAGCAATGTTACTACTACTATCAATATTATGTGCAATAATTATCTCGAGCATCTTAACCTACAATTAAACCCCCGTGTGATATCGTTTGTGTGCTACTGATGCTCTCCTCTGTCCTTGAGCTGTTGCAACAATGCATTTTCCCCACTGAGGGACACGCCAACAGAGGTGAGGCTGAGGTACACTGGTGCCATCAGTTCCTCTGACCGCCACCAGCAGGCAAAATGGCTAAGTGCCTTGTTCAAGAACACAACGGCTACGTCAGACTGAGCGTGAACTCGTTTAGCTTCGTTACTGAAAAAAATCAAAGGGACGACATTCCACACTAACCTCCTGTCGTCCTCATCTCCATCCACCAGCTGCTCCTTCCATCTCGTGCTCACGGTGAGAGCCCTGCGTCTCCTTATCCCCACCTCCCCCTCCTCCGCATTCCTGTCTTCGTCACTGGGTGTGGGTGAAGGTGAAGGGTTATTTGAGGTTACACGAGCCTGGTGGTTTGATCTAGGACTGGCTGGATTCATGTCCCTCTTTATTCCACTTTTCCCCCTTTCCTTGGCCCTCTCTAAAAGGCCCTCCACAGGAGAGACGTATGAAGTGGAATTAAATCCTAACCCGGGAGGGTCCTCTTCTTGGGGTGATTCGTACGTTCTAGTTGGGGTCACAGGGAGCCGTCCATCGCTTAGCATGTTGGGACTGGAGGCACTTCTCATGCCTCTTAAACTAGGCCTTGATATCTGGGGGTTCACTTCTGGCTCAGTGGATTCTGAAACGTTCCGGACATCTGTGGAGGCTCCTTTGTTCGGTTGGCTCGGTTTGGGGCCCACTTTGGGAGCTTGCTGTGAATCGGAGACAAAGACAACAGGAAGAGAGATTCTTTTGTAGTCCGAGTTGCAGTCCGAGTCCGAATTGGACGAGCTGTTTGAGGCAGACACTGATTGACCCAAGTCCTGGCTGAACGGCTTGGAAGTCTGATTAGCGGGACTCGGATTTGTGCTCCCTGGCCTCCTCTTCCGTAAGACGGGTGACTTTAAATTTTGTGGGAAGCCACGGACCTCTAGAGATTCTAGGTCTCCAGACTGACTGGTTAAGGAGCTTCTCCTGATATCCGAAGTCACAAGCTGCAAATCCGAGTTGCTCCTTAATAAAAATTTCCTATCCACCGACGGTTTTAGAAACTTTTCTGTGGAGATTTGGGGCTTGTTGGGAAGTTTTAAAGTGTTCTCTTCATCTGTCGGATAGTCGATATCTGGTATCTCATCCGGAAGTTTGGGTGGTCTAGCTGTGGGGAGCCTCAAGGGTTCTGCAGGTTTATTGGGTGTTGCAGGATTGACTCTTGAAGAATTTTGCCCTACGTACTTCCACATCACCATCGGAGTCTCAATTATTTTATCTTCATCCTCAGACTTGTTTAAAACTTGATCTCTTCTTGCCATTTCTATCCATTCGAGTCCTTTAAAAGCTGGCTTCCGACCCAAATTTGTCTTCTGACCTGATTTCTGGCTAACCCTCGGGGAGTTTCTTAAAGTTCCTCCAGTGTCGTTAGCAGGCACTTCCTCTGAAGACTGAGTTCGTTCTGGTTCTGCAAACCCATTTAGTAACAGATTCATTTTCAGAACATCGTTGAGTTCATCCATCAGAGTCTTTTTGGGAGGTGGAGGAGGAGGTGGAGGTTTTTCTTCTGGCTTCGTGTCGTTGGTCGTGACGTCTGCGGCTGGTTTGGTCTTCCGTTCAAGCTCTTTCAAACTGTCCACTCTGTATTTCTCCTGCTCTCTCAGGTTCATCAGGTTTTCCTGACAACAGAGTAACACCAAATATTAGATTTCATATTTGGAATCAGGTTTGTACCCAACAAAATCAAAAATGGTCAAACGATGAAAAAAAATGACCAGTTGTGTTGACGAAGCCCAGTTTTAAATATTCTATGCAGTTATTTCATAGCCTCCATAGGTGTCATATTTTCAGAATAAAAGTAATGAGTAACAGAGTCATATTTAGAAAATAGCTGCACATAAATTAAATATGGTTTTCAGGAGTCAAATATTTATTGGATTTTCAAGGCTCTGAAAAGTTTGCTACCTTAGAAAACTAGACAAAAGCCCGAACAGCCAATCACAGCGTTCTATGGTTACAGAAATACTGGGTAGGCTTAGCACCAGAGCTGCAATGGAGAAAAACTACAAAGATGGCATCTGCTCAGGAACAGCTTTGCTATCAACTTTGGACCATTTAGACCTGGGACACGAGCAGAAAGAGGTACTTCTTCATCTAACCAAGGTGACGTAAGCGGAAAGGTTTTCTATTCTCCTCTCTGAGGATTCAGTAGATTTTAGTCTACTAAATCTGCATTTTGTACAAGTTCTCACCTGTTTCTTTGCACCTTTTCTCCCTCGTAAATGTTTCTATATCATCTGAAGACAATCTGAAGACAATCCATCTCACAGTCGCAGAGATAATTAAAAGCTTTGCTGCCAGTGCGGTCAAAGCTAAATCAGACCAGAATATTTGGGTTGATAATTCTCTCTGTCAGATTGTACCTTTGCCTGTTGGATGCTGGAGACCCACAAGGAGCATCTCTCTGGGGAACTCGCCACGAGGATGATGACATTCATAGCACACTTGAGCTCACCGACTTCCACCAGAGCAAATGAATCTAAAATAAATCATCAGTTTGTTCGTGTTTATGAGGTTTCTGTTGTTCTGTCGTTGGGAGAGTTACTCACTGCCGTCTTTTAGTGCAACGCAGGAGGTTCTGTCGAGGGCCAGAGGAGGTCGAGCCACCTTCAGCCGCTCAACCTTCTTCTGGACTTTAGTCAGAAGGAGCACGTCTGAGAAGAGCAGAGCCACCAGCTCCAGCTTCATGGGCAAGAAAACGTATCACTAAATAAATTGGACTGAGGAAGTTAATTTAAAGAGCAAGTCACCCCCTACCAGAGTATTACCCCACTCCCACTTCCTGGTTGAAAAATGCAACAACACACACACACACACACACACACACACACACACACACACACACACACACACACACACACACACACACACACACACACACACACACAATAGCACTGTGACATCATATGGTACCAGCCAACATCATAGAGTTCCTCTTAGCCAATAGCGATGACAGATTTTAATTAGGATGTAGTGCAGAGTTTTTACCTGAAGAGGGAGCAACACTGACAGTTTTAGACAGAATATTCAAATTTTAACCAAGATGCACTAAAGTGCCACATTATTGACCACACATGTCTACAGCACAATTAGACACTCATTTATGTGGTTTATCAGCAAAGAAACGTTGATTTGGAGGTGACTTGCTCTTTAAAACACAGAACTGGAAAGCACCGGTTTGCTCACTTTGCTGTCCTTTCTGCCTCGAACCTTCAGGTTCTCCTCCAGCAGCAGCTTACGAATGACTTCAGAACCCACTCCACTGATGGAACACGTTAGATCGAACTGGCAGATCTCTCTGACAAGCTGTCAAAACACAAATGTTGATCATCAGTGACGAAATTAATTCCAAGATCAATAACTCTGAGCAATCACATTTTAATGTATTTTTCTTACCTTGTCGATTTCTTCATTAATTCCCTCCACCTCATACCCCTCCACCCTCTGTGCAGAGATGGAGAGTGCATATTCGTCATCCTTAACTTGCATGTAGTGGTTGATACCTTCCAGAAACCGGTTCACGCTGGACAGCTGGAGGGGAACACAGGGAGAGAAGGCTGCTGTGAGGAAGAAAAGTTGAGCATCTTTAGGAAGAACATTTGCTACTGAATCCAATCCTCACCATCGCTCTGAGGGTGAGCTCCATGTGAGGTTGCTGCGTGTTTTCCAGCACACTTTTGAGCAGCAGGGGGTACTTAGTGATCCTCTGATGTGGTTTAGCCTGCATGTCTCCGAGGCGCATCCGCTCACACTGAGGCTGATCTTCCACCCACTGGACAGTCCACAAAGCACAAAAACATCAGCAAATGGTAAATGGCCTGTATTTGTATAGCACCTTCTTAGGGTTCTACAACCCCCCAAGGCGCTTCACAACACAATCAGTCACTCACCCATTCACACACACATTCACATGCTGGTGGGGATGAGCTATAACGTAGCCACAGCTGCCCTGGGGCGCACTGATGGAGGCGAGGCTGCCGAGCGCTGGCGCCACCGGTCCCTCCGACTAGCAAGCAAGGTGGGTTAAGTGTATTGCCCAAGGACACAAATGCAGCATTCTCTGGTCAGAGCCGGGATCGAACCTGCAACCTTCCAATTACTGGACAACCTGCTCTACCCCATGAGCTACTGCTGTTCCTACAAGACTTTGAAAACCAAACCTAAACAGTGACTTCTGTTTTTTTAGGTATACATTTAAAGGTAGAATATGTAACAATTTAATAAAAAGCTATATGTAAAAAACTAACAATAAAATACCTCCACAGGTGTTTAGAGGTGTGCAGAATGAAGGGACAGTGTTTCCTTCAAAAGCTATAGTTTACTTAAAAAAATAATCAAAAATTTGTTTTGACGGACACAACAGAGTTTTTATGTTTACATCTATCAGCCAGTAGAGGGCACTATTGCGAGTTTCCAAACAGTCAGGCTCGGCACAGCAAGGCTGGCGCTGTGGAAAATGGCGGACTTGGCAAGTCAAGCAGCTGTTTCTGAGCCCAGAAGTTGTCGTTATTCTTCTCAGAAGAGGAGAACCCACAAAAGATCTAAAACCAGGTGAGTTTAGGTAAAGCCTACAACAGACGGACCCAAATGAAATATTTTTCACAGCATCAAAACGCACTCGCAAATGACAAATGTTCTCATGGATAATAGGCTATTGTTGCAACTACAACCTTCAGACACTAGATGTCGCTTTGGTGTACATGCTCCATATTCGACTTGTGGTTTCATAGAGAGCCCAAGTCTCCTCCCTTTCCGGTCGGCTCATGGGTCCCCGGAAGAGCGAAAAAATGAATGCAAGTCAACGGGGCTAAAACGTTATTTTCTGATCCGCTTTGCCTTACGCCCTGGTTAACAGAAATGTTGTACTGCAATTTAAATGAAAACTATTGATGGGTGTTTCGACCATGCCTGTCACGTACTTTGAGATTTATCAGCTTGTAAAAGTTTGTAATTAGCATGACTACACACCAGAAATCGGCACGTCGCCAATGTGACGTCACCGCATAATCTCTTCTCCCCTAGCGTAGCTGCTAGTTGTCACATGACCAGATTTATGGTGGTTTTTTCCTCCTGTGGGAAGTTCGCTGAATTTACAGCCCTTTTTCCTCAATTTTCTCCGTGTCTGGTTCGATGACGTCACTTTCGTGAAGCGCATTTGCAGTCCTGGACTTATTTTCACACAAAACCTAAAATAGCGTTTCCCCCTGTTCAAAAATGAGCGCGTTCTTGGTATCAAAATGTGACTTTAAAATTCACGGACATCAAATGTGAAATCCATCACACAAAACAACCGGAATTAGAAAACAGCATTTTTAGCCCTATTGATTTTTTCATTCTTCCGAGGACCCGTGGTCCGGAAGTTGATGGGCGTGACTTAGGCTCCCTATTAGAAGCAATAACCTCAGACAAAAACAAAAATAATCAGATTCACGAAACCAAAGCTTAACCCACTGATTGTTTGAATGCAGAACTGCAAAAGCCAAAAGTTTCTAAATGGCTGTGATGTTGGAGTATTGTCTCACTTCGACCCTTTGAACCATGGACGTAATTTGGGGGGGGGGGGGACAGGGGGGACAGGGGGACATGTCCCCCCCCACTTTTTCCAAAGTCAAGTTTTGACCCCTGCAATTTTACCATCCAAAAACAATATTACTTTATATTAAATTGACACTGGTTGAGCTCTAGGACCAAGCAGAAAACAACCTTTTGTGTTGAAGCCTGTTTCCTATTAGAACATACTGTAAAGATACCCCTCCCACCGCCACCCCCGTGTCCCCCCCACTTCTAAAGTGAAAATTACGTCCATGCTTTGAACACCCACCATTTTCTGGTAAACTGAGTTTTTATCTGGAAACCAAAAAGCAGCAGAACTGTGAAAGTATGAAATAGCCACCCAAAAACTAAAAGTACTCATGCACGGCAGACGGTTTACACCAAACAAGGTGCTTCTGATGGTCCGTTGAGGTGCTGGAACAGTCAGTTTAAGGTAAATCTGCTCACTGAGTCAGGCTTGGCTTAACTCTGGTAATCTAGAAATCTCTAATGGCTGACTCATTTTGAGACAACTTCTGTGTGACAAGTGGTTATTTGAACCAGACAGCACCTTTATCAGTCTGCCGACTCGGTTACTAAAACATCATGAACCACAGAGCCACAATCAGCAAAACTTTGTAGATTTTGTTCAGCTTTAATCTATTAACTGCAAGAGAGTGTTTTAACACAAGTGTGGAGAAAACAGTAATCCCTGTCAGTATTTAGGGAATATTCTTGATGATGAATCAACGCTAAATGAACTTCACCTGCACAAAAGCATTAAAAAGTGGGTTGCTCTCCATCTGCCTGCGCGTGAATTCAAGATTGTTTTCCTCCTCCCAGCAGTAATCGTGGTAAGCAGAGAAACGCTCGTGGAACTGGAGAAGAACAGAAAATATTAAAGAACATTAAAGAGAGCTGATGCATAAAGAAAATAAACAACCTCACTCTGATATAGTTGTTTTCTCATGTTGATTTGAAGCTGAATTAAAAAAAATGTTTTTATGGAAAGCTTTCTCTTCATTTTGAGGTGTGGGTGTCTGTACAGGATGTGAATACAGCCTTAAAACCTTTCTAATGTGCAGCTCATAAATGCAATGGAAACTTTAAATGAGCACTTTAAAGGGTAACCTATCTTTCTAGGTTAGTTTTTTCTTGTACAGCAGATGTTTTCTTGTGTGAAAAGACAGACACAGGTGTGTTTCCAAGTGGAAAAGTTTTGCATTATTATATCTCAGGCCCTTCAAGATGTTAAAATGCTGTCTGCAGCGTTTCGCCGAGGCTTTAAAGTTTCGAAAAAAGGAAGATTAGACGGCTACTTCAAGCATATAATGGATCATGTCACAAAGCTCCGCCCATCAGTTACATTTCTTGAATATGAAAACAAGTTCGCTGGACTCTACTGGCCTCCACGTGTCACCAGATCTCAATCCGGTGCAGATTCTTTGGGATGTGGTGGAATGGGTGGTTCTCATCATGGATGCAACCAGAACCTCCTATGAAGGTTCCCAACATCTTGTTGAATCAACAACATGAATATTTAGCGCAGAACTGGAAAGGCATGCCTAATAAATTGGCAAGTAAATTAAATTATCGGCCAATTTTCAAAGCAGAAGAGAGCACATGCATGAGTGAGTCCAAGGTAAAAGTCCAGAACGTCGTGATACAGCATCTACAGCAAGTCTCTTTAGACGTTTGATCACACACAAGCAGGTGCACAGTTCAGGTTTACGCAGATCAGAAGGAAGGCGTGTGTTCAAGCCACAGTGGGTGAAACATTCCTAAATTGTTTAACTGTAACGTTTATATGTTACTGGGGCACTCTGCTTTGGTTGTTTGGACCAAATCTTAATTAAAAACTATTAGAAAATAAATGGTGGTTAAAAAGCTCCCCTGTGGCAAGGCTCCAGGGGGTGGATGAGATCTGCCTGGAGTTCCTTGAGGCTCTGGATGTTGTGGAGCTGTGTTGGCTGACGCGGCTCTGCATTATCGCGTGGACATCAGGGGCAGTCCCACTGGACTGGCAGACTGGGGTGGTGGTCCCCTTATTTAAAAAGGGGGACCGCAGGGTGTGTTCCAACTACAGGGGGATCACACTCCTGAGCCTTCCTGGTAAGGTCTATTCGGGGGTTCTGGAGAGGAGGGTACGTTGGATTGTTGAACCTCAGATTCAGGAGGAGCAATGTGGTTTTCGTCCTGGCCGTGGAACACTGGACCAGCTCTATACAGTTAGGGGGATCCTGGAGGGTGCGTTGGAATTTGCCCAACCAGTCTACATGTGTTTCGTGGATTTGGAGAAGGCGTTTGACCGCGTCCCTCGGGGGGCCCTGTGGGGGGTACTCGGGGAGTATGGGGTACCAGGCCCTCTGATATGGGCTGTTAGGTCCCTGTACAACCGGTGTCAGAGCTTGGTCCGCATTGCCGGCAGTAAGTCGGGCTCGTTCCCAGTGAGAGTTGGAGTCCGCCAAGGCTGCCCTTTGTCACCGATTCTGTTCATAACCTTTATGGACAGGATTTCTAGGTGCAGCCAAGGTGTGGAGGGCATCCGTTTTGGTGGCCTGAGGATGAGGTCTCTGCTTTTTGCAGATGATGTGGTCCTGTTGACTTCATCAGAACGTGATCTTCAGCTTTCGCTGGAGCGGTTCACAGCCGAGTGTGAAGCAGCTGGGATGAGGATCAGCTCCTCTAAATCTGAGACCATGGTCTTGATTCAGAAAAGGGTAGAATGCCGTCTCCGGGTCAGGGATAAGGTCCTGCCCCAAGTGGAGGAGTTAAAGTATCTCGGGGTCTTGTTCACAAAGTGAGGGAAAACTGGAGCGTGAGATCGATAGGTGGATTGGTGCTGCATCTGCGGCGATGCGGGCTGTACCGGTCTGTCGTGGTGAAGAGAGAGCTGAGTCAGAAGACAAAGCTCTCAATTTACTGGTTAATCTACGTTCCTACCCTCACCCATGGTCGCGGATACAAGCGGCCGAAATGAGTTTTCTCCGAAGAGTGGCTGGGCTCTCCCTTAGAGATAGGGTGAGAAGCTCGGTCATCTGGGAGGGGCTCGGAGTAGACCCGCTGCTCCTCCGCATCAAGAGGAGCCAGTTGAGGTGGCTCGGGCATCTGGTCAGGATGCCTCCTGGATGCCTCCCTGGTGAGGTTTTCCGGGCACGTCCAACCGGGAGGAGACCTAAAGATAGACCCAGGACACGGTGGAGGGACTATGTCTCTCACCTGGCCAGGGAACGCCTTGGGATTCCCCTGGAGGAGCTGGCCCAAGTGGCTGGGGAGAGGGAAGTCTGGGCCTCTCGCCTTAGGCTACTGCCCCTGCGACCCGACTCCGGATGAGCGGATGAAAATGGATTGATGGATGGATAGAACATAAATGATATTAAACCAATCATGACCGTTTATTTAAACCCCTGTCAGTCAAAATGACGATCAACAAAAATGTCTAGCATGACCTCTGGGCTACACCTGAAATCCCAGAAAATCAGACCAAGACAATCCAACATGTTTGAAAGCCTGGATCTATGACTGGAGAGGCCCTGATCTCCTTTCGGGCGGAACAGACCATTCGTAAGACACCACACATGATAAGATTATCTGATAAGGTTATCTTTAGAGCTGTAACCACAAAAAGCAAAGAAGGCTGAGAGACTATTCATTCACCCTGTAATGGGTCATTTTAGCACCTACTAGCTCAAAATAATAATTTTAAAATAAGAAAAGTTACTTAGTGTACCTTTAAAGGTCAACTTTAATTATATTTTTAATACATTTTCAGTGGTCTCTAGTAGGCATGAATGCTCTTTGAGGTGCTCTCTGGCGGAGAACTGCTCTGGTGCTCCTGTTTGAGGATGTAGAAGTCAGCTAGAGGAGAAAGTCGCTTGAGACGGCAGGATTTGGAGTCTTATGTCCTGATATTTGGAAATTGCACCTCTGACTGGATAACAGCAACGTGACTCTACCACTGACTCTGTTTGCTCTGCAACGTTGAGGTTTTATCTCCACAAAAACACAAGCCTGGAGGAGTTTTGCCGTGTGGTGGAGTTGCTAATGCTAATGGTTAGCTTTTACTGGCTGAGACGTTCTCTGCTGTTTCCTGGATGCCAAACCAACAACAGCCTTCCATATTACAAATCAAGACAGCTGAGTCCATGAATGTTAAGTGACAGTGTGACATAGATCTGTCAGGATTTTCTGAACCGAGCGTTTATTTATTTATTTATTTATTTATTGCCTATTTTCAAATTTTCTATCAGCAGCTAATACAGGAAGTGGGGTAGAAGACTATTTTCGCATTCAGTTTACGTGTTAAACTCAGAGTATCTGATCATTTTAAAGTAAAATAAGAAAAAATGGTTTCTAAGTGAACTTGCTCTTTAAGATTGTCAGAAAAGGGAGGCGCGAGTTAAGATTTGGCATGATTGTCCTGCCGTGTGAACCGGGCTCAGGAGTAAGAACATGTCAGAACCCTGATCATCACCACACAGGACATATCTGAATAGGTGTAATTATCTGAATAGGTGTAATTACACCCTATTTGTTGAGTTCAAGGGAACTGAAATAAATCCAAAGTCGACAGACAACAATGATTTGCTTTAGTCAAACTGCAGAACAGAAACAGGCCAAACCTGTTCAAAAAGGTGAGTACTGTAGGTGTGTTTACTGTGCCTCCTGCAGACAACGAGCTCATACCTGCAGGCAACCAGGCTCCAACCGCGTGGGATCAAAAGGTTTTCCAGTCCGCCGTACTTCCTGTAGCATGGGATAAAGAACTTCTAGCCAGAACTGTTGGTGAGCCTGGAGGATGGAGGGGAGGTTGGAGAAAAGCAGCTCAGGTGTCACCTGTTACAGGAAGAAGTAAAAACAAAAAAACCCACATAGTTAAAGCTTAACTACTCTGATCTGACATTTTCCGTCTCCTCAGTGTAAACATGTCGTTCTGCTGAATGTTCCTTGCTCCTTTTTGCTCGTATTTTGCCTCAGCTTTAGCAGATTGGACGTGTCAGCATGCAGAGCGGTGGAAAATAGGCCAGCCTGTTATGTGTACATGCAGTCTGGTGCTATTCCAGTTAATCTGAGGGCGGGTGCTTTGCAGACTAACCTCCTGGAGAAAGTCACGCTGGTGCAGAAAGACGAGAGCTGCAATAACCAGCTGTGAGGAGCAGAGGTGCATATGTTAAACATCCTGCAGCAAGTACCTCGTTTCAGTAACAGCTAAGAGAGTCTCACGTCTTTGATGATCTTCAGCTTGTTGATGTAGCTGAGCTCAGTGCTAATGAACTCCCAGAGCGCCGCCTGCTGGTTCCTCTGCATCTTAGCCATCGTCTGCTCATGACGTCAACATGAAAGGAGTGGAAAGAGAAAGATGTGAGAGACGTCTGTAAATGAAATCTGAAGAATGTGTGATGAGTGAGGAGTTCACAACAAGGACGTGATTTACAGAAAATCTGCTTAAATGAGGTCTTTCAGGGTTTCGGTGCAAGGTTTTTAAAAGAGCGTACCAAGGAAGAAATAAAAGCTAAAAAATAGCAAAAGGAAAAGCTTTTATGGAAAACGGAGAACAATGTCAGCCTTACAGCATGAGAAGCCACCAAATCTGTCCACTCCTTCTCCAGCGTGCTTCCATTATTCTGCTCCCATTTCCATTTCAGGTCGGGTGGCAAACTAAGGGCCTCCAAATGCTGCTTCAACAAATCCAGCTGAACTCGCTCCTGGGTTTAAAAAAATAAAAAATACAGCATAAATAATAAACTCACACAAAGCAGGAGGAGGGCGGACAGGAAAATCTGACGCGGCGACGCGGCAGTAGTTCCTCAGAGGTAAATGAAAGGATGTTGTGAATATTTGTGGCCTCATAAAGACAAACCCAGCGGAGCAGAACAAGTATCGCTGCACTGATTTGAGTCTCGGTGTGGGCGGATGGGGCCTGTTCGTATCTGTTCCACGGTTTGAGAATGCAGTTTGATGATTAGTAGACAACATAATACCTCAGACGTTTTTTCAGGCACTCCCTGGTTGAACAGGGACTGGACCGGTCTTTTCAACTTGTTTCCTCCTTTACTCAATGTTCCAACCTTCTGCTTGGCTTTCCTCTAGAAATAAAGCATAAAGAGAATGTTTGTGGATAGTTCAGAATGAGATTTTTCCAGCATTTTCACATTTATTTTACTAACCATCAGCAAAGAAATGAGACACTTTTATATAGATTATCCATGTTGGCACAGGTAATGTAAGTATTTTTCATATTTCAACTGTAGTAAGACTTTAGCTCATGCATTTAACACCTCTAAGGAGTTAAATGCTAAATGGCCTAATTTATTTGGTGGTTTTCTAGGTCAGAAGACTCCAAAGTGCTTTACAGTTCAATCATTCCCACACCCACACACACACACACACACACACACACACACACACACACACACACACACAGATGGTGAAAGGCTGCATTGTAGCTACAGCAGTGGCCACGCGTCCTTCTGTCCACCGTTGGCATACAGTGTTCATTAAATAATATTGCGAATGATAAAAATAAAAGTGAAAGGCAAATATTAGATCAGAGGTCACCAATTGGGGGCCCACGGGCACCATGGTGCCCCCAGGAACCATGTAAGGTGCCCACAGGTCTTTCCTCTAAATACCAAGTTTAAAATAAAATTAAAAAAATTAATCTGCTACCATCTTTTAAAATCACAAATGCATTAATATAGATTTTAAAACTACAATTCTCTTTAAAGAACATTAAAATGTGTTTATTTGACATTAAGTTTAGTTGAAAGGTCACTCTTGTATCAACCTGGCAGCCCCATGAGAAGCTCTCAGCTTCACAAAGGTTGGTGATCTCTGTTAGATGAACAGTTTTGTATTTTGTGACTAAGAAGTGGAGTTCTGTGTAAAAAATGAATATTTGACTTGGTGTAAATAGCTTTATGATAATCTTAGTTTGGCGAAACAAATGAGCATTGACCAGATTGATAAGCTAACGGCTAGTGGAGATCAAAGTCAACATCTACTAAAACATCAATCTCAAAACTTCCATAGCGGCTCATGCAAATAATATTTTATTTTACATTCAAATGAACTTCAAATTCTCATCTCTGGGATTTGTCGACACAAATAAGAGCAGCAGCTAGCAGCAGTACGTCCTGCTGGAATAACCACTTAATGTTAAACAGTTTCAAGGTTTTTCAATTAGTGTTTGCATGAAAAAAAACTTTAAAATGTCTGAAACTGGAGTATTTTTAAAAATGCAGAAAATCCCTTTGCTCTTGGTCCCACAGCCAAAGTCAGTCTGGTCAGAATAAAATGTTATTTCATCAAACTGAGGCCTGAATTGCTGAAAGACCACTCAAGTGCTAATAGTTTTTTTTTTCTTTTTAGCTAAATGAAACTGTGAGAAAAACTTTAACAGATTTAAGAGGCATGAGTTGGCACTGTGGCCATTTCTGACCAAACATGATATTTTTGGTCATTTAGGTTGAATATTACATTTATTTGGAGGGGAAATGTTTATTTCAGGGTGACTGAGTGAATGTGGAGTAAAGCAGATGCAGAGCTATCATTAGTTTCAACACAGATTTCCCTTTGTTACAGGGAGACCTGGTCAAAAGCTTGGTGACAGAGATTAAAATAAGTAGCTAAATACAACAATTTAATAGTGTATTACATGGTAATAGAACATCTAAAACAAAAAGAGAACAGGTGTTAAGTTGACATGTTTAGTTATTGTGCTGTGAGAGAGAAGTTAGATCATTTTAATACCCACTTACCACTCTAAATGCCAAATATTAATTTGTAATAAATAAAAAAAACCTAATTATGCATTTATAACACATCTCTTATTTTAAAAAAACTTCATACACACAAAGTGAAGTTAAAATAAGACGTTTCAAGCAGAATAAAGAAGAAATGTCAACATTTTAAAGCGTAATTCTTGATCTAACAGTGTCTCTGCTGCGATAGACTCCTTCCACTTGCCTGGATTGTTCCCTGGATGGACTTTTTCTCCGTTGAGCCCCTGCGGTTGAAGTTTACGTCTGCAGGCAACGTCCCATCAGCAGCATCCGGCTCTCGGGTTTCTGCATCCTTCTGCTTCTCTCCATTCAAACTGTCTCTCCTCAGTATCAGTTCCTCCATCAGTGGCCCGTTGTCCCCTCCTCCGTTGTTGATTTGCGACATGTTTGAGGAAAGGCTGATGACAAACACAGTCATGTATTATAAGCATGTGGTGTGTGGAGACTATTATTAATCTGTCAAAGGAAGAGGTGTAAAAGGTGGGCATTTGGAAATGAAGGAAATCACAGTTTGTCATTTTAATGTGTCTAGACTTAAAAAGAAGTGAGCTTAAAATATTTTCTTGATGCCGTTTAACAACCTTCTAACATAGTATAACCATAAATATACTGTGGAGATTAAAAAAACTGAATTAAACAAATAAAGTGTTCTCTCACATTTGTCTTCAAACCTCCACCAGTGACACGGCTTGGACCAAAAGCAACCACTGGACCAGCTGTCGGTCTCACCGAACCACCTCACTTCCCTGCAGCGTTGCCAGACGTATGGTAATTATCCTATTTGAAGGATACTTTAGCCCTCTGCACGATCATAAATCCCATAAGTACGCTCGTTTCAGCCATTCCTTGTGTGGAAACTGCATCCAGAGACATTGCCTAACAACCAATCAACTCTTACGTCACATGCAGTGACGCATGACGCTGTCCATGACCAAGGAGGAAGTTGTGAAATAAGCAGAGCGGGCTTTAAACACAAGCAGAGATCGCTGTGGCACGGCAGCATGAGTAGCACTTTAAAGAAGAGGCTTCGCCGGCAGGCATACCGACAACAACGGGAAAGATGCACAGCATTAATAAACTGGTTGGAACCTGTTTCACCTGAAACATGGGGAAAATGACAGTGCTGTGTCACTTTGTATGTATAAAAACATCATGCTAAACCAATACATGATGGTAAAAGTAAAAAATGGCTCACATTACAGTTTGTTGGGTGCAGACACTTTGTTCATACACCAAACAGCTAGAGGTGCTGTTCTGTAAGAGATGCTTGTTTCAATCTGTGTTAGATTATTTAAAGCTAAAATTTGCACTAATATTGAAGCAGCGGGTCATCAGACGTGTCAGGATGCAACTAAGTAGTGTACGATCATTTAAAAAAAAAAAAAAAAGATAATTTTAAGATCCTGGTACAACACTTAACCTTTTCCAGTCTGGCAACACTGCTTCCCTGAGTCCTCCATTCTGTACACACTGGTGTGAGAGGTTCGTGGCTCAATAACATCAAAGAAGGAGAAACAGCCGGCTGCTACCACTTCAACCTTAGGATAAACTACCAGAATCCCAAAAAGAAACACTGTTTGAAGTCATGGCAGCAAAAGTCAAAAGTCTGGTGTTTTGGGCTCTGACGTTTCCTCTGACATTGCAGATTTCTGGTTCCAGTTGACGCTGAACTAGGGAAGATACCGTAGGGGAGCGGTGAGTGTTCCGTGACCATGATTGCGTTCAAGGCCTAGCTTGTTAGCAGATTCACTATAGCAGCTTATTTTGCAAGTCTTTTGATGTAAAACATGTTATTATTATAATTATTATTATTATTATTGTTTTTGCGTGTACAGCACCATGCAAACGTTTTTGATTAATCATGATTTCTTTCAAACATTCTCCCTCTCCTGATAATAATACTTTACTCTCTTTGACATTGAATGTGCTACTACTAGTTTACCCATTTAATTATAGATTCACTAGGATAAATACAGTACAGTTTATCTCTCACCAAATAGAATACTTACTAAGAAATAACAATGTAACCATAGAAACATTACTTGGTGTGTGTGTGTGCGTGCGTGCGTGCGTGTGTGTGTGTGTGTGTGTGTGTGTGTGTCTTCTCGATCCCCAGTGAGTCGTGGAGGATGGCTGCTTATACTGAGCCAGGATCCTCTGGAGGTTTCTTCCTGTTAAAAGGGAGTTTTCCTCTCCACTGTCGCTAAATGCTTGCTTAGTATGAGGATTGCTGTAAAGTCTCTGACACTAGTCAGTGACTTGATGCAATTTGCTGGGTTCCTTATATAGGAAACTTTTTTCTGATTGGCTTAATGAACTGACCTGTACTGGAATGCCTTGAGACGACTCTTGTCGTGATTTGGCGCTATATAAATAAACTTGAATTGAATTGAAATTTTAATTCCAAAGTTCCAGATTCAATTCAGTTCATTTCTAAAGCGCCAAATCATGACCAGAGTCATGTCAAGGCATTCAGTTTACTGTGCCAATTAATTAAAAGTTCCCTATGAAAGGAAACCCAGTAGGTTGCATCGAGTCATTGACTTGCTGTCTCCGAGACTTTACAGCAATCTTCATGCTCAGCAAGCATTTAGCGACAGTGGGGAGGAAAACTCCCCTTAGTTTAAAGTGATCCTGATCTTTGATTTTTCAGACTTCTTAGGACTTTAGCAGCTTTCAACACATTTTCAGTCCAGTTCTGACTGACCGAGACATGGTACTGTGCCGAGTGCTGATTTAAAAACGGAACACGTGGACAAACGGAGGACGAAAGACAAAAGTGTTGTGTCTAAAAAGGATGTGGCAGATAAACAATATGTGAAAGACACATCTTTTAACCTGAACCTTGAAGGTTTTTCTAGGTAATACTTTGGAAATGACCTTATTGAGACTAATTTATGTAGTATTTTCAACAGAATTGAGGTTTCCGAAGATCTGATCATTTGTGAAGCTGGCACAAATGTTTGGCTCTTTAGAAACAACATATAAAGAGATGAGGCATGAGTTAAGAGTTTTGGACTGTTGCTCCTTGTTGTGTTCAAGTGGAGATTTCTAGCCGGACGTTCTAACTCACCATAAAATGACTCATTTGACTTTAAAAGCACAATAATTAATCACCTTTAAGACAATCAAAGTGAGGATGGAGTTTTTAAATTATCACTTTTTACCATTTTAAGAAAACGTCAACAAAAAATGTTGTGGTACAGAATGTTTTTATGGTTTGGCAGAAACACCGGCTCTGTGAGCCAGAAACCCCGGGGGCAACAACATCACCGATCAGCTGAGCACCCGGGTCAATTATTTACATTTTAAAGTTAACCTTTTAAAAAGGAAGCCAAGAATTAAAGATAAACCCAGGATCCTGTTAAAATCCCCAGGAAAAATACAGTGTTTGAATCAATGAAATGTTTTAATGTTTTTCAGATTTTTTTTCTGACTTCTCCAAAAATCAAGAGCAATAAAAACTGACTTTCAAACCAAACCTTAAAGAGTGCCTCTTACCTGTCAGTGAGAGAAAAAAATGCAAACAAAAAGCACAAAAAGAACAAAACAGAGAAGAACAAAACAGAAGTATCTGACTATAAAAGCTGGTTTAGGGGAACAAGAGGAAACGGCTTCACACGCAATATTCTCGCCTCATTTTCACACAGTAAGAATCAAACATGGAACCATTTCAATGACCCAAAACCCGGCTCCAGCTCCAGTTACATGTGCAGCTCAGCTGCTTCTCTCCTGGACTCCACTTGCAGCTTTTCATGCTGCTGCTTTAAAACAAACATTTATCCCACGAAGCCACCAGATTTCTGCAAACTGTTTGACCATTTTCTGCCCCAGACACCAGAAAAGTGCTTCTCGGTGGTCGCCGCTTCTATAAAAGACTCTTTTTCACTCATCAGGTTAGAAAAACAAGGTTTTACTTAAAAATGTAAGATTTAGAGTAATTAAGGAATAAAGAAATAATCTGACTCAATTGACTCAAGAAGGCCTCGTTCACATAAACTTCCTGGGACTTTTAGCCCTGACAGATCAACCAATCAAATCCCATAAAAAAGTGGTTTAACACGTTGAAAGCAAACCACAAAGTCCATTCTGATTTTTAAACTCCTAATCCAGGTGATGCTCCTTTAACAAACGTAAAATCTCCGATTTACCTGAGCTGTGGCCGGGACCTTTTGCTTCATGAAGTCATCTTTGGTTTCTGTTTGCTTGCTTCTCCTCGCCTGCCTCTCCTGCACCTGTCAGGGTCCCTCCCTCTTCTGCCTTTCACCTGCGCCTTCGCCGTCTGCAACTGGCCCAACGGGAACAACTAGATCCTGCTGCAGACAAATCAGTGCTCAGGGCAGGTTTGATGCGGCCCAGTGAAAAACTGTTAAAACAGAGCAGAGGTGGTGACAGACCTCGGTGGGGATGAGCTGTCGCTGCTCTACATCAGTCAGGTTTATTGATCGCCCCGAGCAAACAGGAGGAGTTGTTTTTAAGGGAGAGAGAGTTTAACGAGAATAAAGGAGGCACGTTAACCTTCGAGATGAGGTGGAATAAAAAAATTGTAAAAGAAGAGAGAAGAAAAAAGATCTTTTATGGTCAAAGAAGGCATATCTTGAGATAAAAAGGCTTCATGTTGGAATGCAGATTATCAGCGTGCCTGAAGTCAGATCTACAAATACATCCTCATTTTTTTCTTTTTGCTCTCTCAACACAAAACCACATGAACTCTCAGATAAGTTTCAATTAAACACATTTAATAAAAAAAAAAATCAGACGATACAAAGACAATAAAACCAGTGTGAAGCAGGATGAAAGTGCTTTGGATTTAAATGTCTTCAGCCCAACCTGGAACGGGCGGAGACGGGGCGTGCCTCGTTTCCTGAAACGCGCACTAATAATGCTCGTATGATGGGGTTTACAAGAATGCTACAGAGGCGGCGAAAAATCCCCGGTGGGCTCCAATCTCCACCGAGGAGGAACAATAAAACTTCCTCAGCTTTGTTATTTTAATAACGTTCGACATAACTGGGAACTGCTAATAAAACGTCACCAGTTAAAATCTGATGGTGGTAAAACCATCTATTTAGGCGTTTAACTCGGAAAAAACAAGGATTTAAAAAGTAGATTTACAATATTGACGGAAAAAAAGGTGTAGCTTAGGTTTTAAATTAAATGACATCATTAAAAAATCTGATACAAATGAAAACATATAATTCTATGTAAATACAAATTTGTACAATATATTCAGCAATACTTCAAATTCATCACTTTGCCATGAGATCAGTGGCTCGTGTATAAAACACACTACAGTACTCTATAATAAAACAGCGCTATATTCTTATTTCCACTTTCACTGGCCACTTAGTTACTTTTGCCTCGTTAAAAAATTTGCAAAAATAAAATGCTGATAAAATAAAGATTGTTTTTCATGTCACAAAAATCCATAATTTTTGGTAACACTTTACAATAAGTGTCCCTCTATTAACATTACTTAGTACATCATTAAGCAATAAATTATTAAAGTAGTAACAACTGCTTAATATTAATGTTAATACTAAGCAGACCCCCCCACCCCCACCCCCCGGCCTTTGTCCCAACTTTTAGGACACTTATATCGGTAGCGTTAATAAAGGGATCCTTTGTTAATTAATGCTTAATAATGCACCGAGTAACGTTAATATAGGGGCCCTTATTGTGAAGTGTTACCAATATTTTTTCCATTCATACATCCGTCAATTTTCAACTAAAGTACCCTAAAATTACCGTGGAAGACTTAAACTTTTATTTTAAAAGCAAAAAATTTTGCCTCATATCAGCACCAACGGTTAGCTGGACAGATTCTGCTGATGAGACTGGGCTCAACAAAGTGTTTGTACACCAAACTATCAAGACATTCAAATAAAATTCCAGGATTTGAAAAGAAAAATCTGGATCCTAATACGAAACTGTTCACTCCTCAACCAAGAATTTGTTTTACCTCCGATGATGAGAGCTGAAAAGCTGCTGTACGGATATAAAATATAATTTTGTATGCAAATTTTTGTCATATTTCTTCATTTTAATGAGACAAAAGTAACTCAGTCGATTCAAAGTTCAAATACAAAAATAAAACGTACAACAAAGTAATGTCTTGTACGGAAGCATATTGCTGTCAGTGAGAGGAAAAAACAGGAGCCGTATCTCAGATGCTATATATATATATATATATATATATAGCATCTATATAAAAACGACTTATATATGTGTGTGTATATATATATATATATATATATATATATATATATATATATATATATATATATACACACACACACATATATAAGTCGTTTTTATATAGATGCTATATATATATATATATATACACACACACACATATATAAGTCGTTTTTATATAGATGCTATATATATATATATATATAGATGCTATATATATATATAGATGCTATATATATATATATATATATATATATATAGATAGATACTATATATATATATATATATATATATAGATGTTATATATATATATATATATATATATATATATATATAGATGCTATATATATATATATATATATATATATATAGATGCTATATATATATATATATATATATATATATATATATATATATATATAGCATCTATATAAAAACGACTTATATATGTGTGTGTGTGTATATATATATATATATATATATATATATATATATATATATATATATACACACACACACACATATAAGTCGTTTTATCTCAAAATAACGTGTTTATTATCTCGTAATGAGAAAGGTCATAACGGTAAGATGGCAGTTATACGTTGTGGCGTTCTACTCTGAAGGATTGAGCTAGTTATTCTTGAAGTTTCACTTTTAGAAACTATAGCAGCAGAGCCCCGAGGGAAAAAACGCTTAACAATGGTGCATAAATCCACAAATTACACTCGCTCTTTTCTCTGCTAGCTCCGCCACGCTCACCCCGTCGTCAAGGCAACAGACTGCTGTAAACAGGCGCATAACAACAAAAACACCCACAGATTTGCCACACAAAGGGAAAGTCTAATAAAATATTGGGACCTGATTTTTATGTATGTAATTTTATTAATGTAAAAAGATTTCAAAGTTTTCGCGTGGACAAGAAATCCAAGTGAGGGCGGTTTCGCGACAGCTTGACCGATGTGTGGAGGAATATGTCCATCTCACAAATTCCTACTTCTTAAAAAGCATAAAGAAGCTCTCTGGCTCCTTCTGAACGAGATTCAACCACCCCGCGAGACGTCTACGTTTACGATTTAGAGCCGTCTCATCATCAGGAGGTCTGAACATATAACACCAGTCCTACGTGCCTTGCATTGGCTCCCTGTTTTTTATCGCATCAGGTTTAAGGTCATCCTGTTTGTGTTTAAGGCGTTAAACACAGGGGCTCCTAAATATCTTTCCGATATCATCCACCAGCATGTCCCGGTGCGTTCCCTTAGGTCAGCTGACCAGAGATTACTAACTATGCCTAGGTACAGCCCGAAGTCCCGTGGTAGTTGAGCTTTTTCAGTACTTGGACCAAGTCTCTGGAATGAGCTGCCAGCCGATGTAAAACAGGCCACGTCATTAGAAACTTTTAAAGGAAGACTGAAAACACATCTGTTCTCGCTGGCTTTTGGACGTTGAAGTTGGGGGAAGTAGGCCGGATATGGACTTTGAACTGGCACTCAGGTTTTTGTACTATATTTTAAAATGGATTTCTTATTGTATTTTTATAGGATTTATTACGGTATTTTACAGGGATTTCTTAGTGTATTTTAATGGATTTATTAATGTATTTTAATGGTCATATCTCTGTCCTATTGTGTTGCATTTTATTGATGTACAGCGCTTTGTTTGTTCATTTTGGCCATGTGAAAGCGCTCTATAAATAAAGTTGATTTGATTTGATTACAAGACATTAAAAGCATTATTTCAAGAAAGTTCTCATTAAAATGAGATATTTATCCATCACGTTCTAGTGAGAACAGTTCTGACAGTAATATGCTTCCGTACTTTAGAAATGCCGGCGAGTGGATTTTGTTCATTATAAAAAGACCCGTTCCAGCTCTTTCCCCGCTTCTTATTTTAAAGAGACCAACACTGCTGTGTGAGATTTGCATCAGTTCAATTGTTCAGCTGTCGGCTCTGCGTTGTTAGAAAGCAAATCTATATATAAAAATGTTCCTCATGAAGGGTCCTTGGCGAGCCTTTATCTCATGGACGCTGCAAACACAGTTAACGGTTTAGGGAGAATGCGAGGTAAAATTCCTTAGTGAAATAAAACTGCTTCTCCATGAAGCCATCCTCCAGCGAGTCTCTTTTAGCAAACAATACTTGGTCTCATGAGCATTTTGTCCAGACTTGGCAAGTGCCGCATCACTGAATGGAATACTTTGTCTCCAGCTCCTCGGCGGCCCGACCCAGGTGCATCTGTCTCAGTTTGTCCAAGAGCTCTTCCAACAGCGGCCGGTGTAACATTTCACCCCTCCCCCCTCCGAGTTCCTGGGAGCCCTTCTGGGCCCAAACTCGTAGCATCTGGTAGTGAGCCTCCCGACAAGACCTGTGGTCCATCTCGGCTCGTTCGATCTCCGTGTCCTTCACACCGAGACATCGCACCAGCTGCTTCACCTGCAGAACGGGAACCAGATCTAGCACTGCGTAGATCAGCTCTGGGACTGCAGAAGAGGAGAGCACGGTCAGAGTTCACATTGTGGGTTTCTGCATGTCGAAGTCAGAGCAGACTGCTATCAACTCACTCTTAATCTCTAGGGGGACGCAGTCAGGGAGCTTGGACAGCTCCAGCTCACCCACCGGGTTTTGAGCGGCTGCTTTCAAACAGATGCTCTGCGGAGGTCCCTCAGCGCAGATCAGGAGATGCTTGGAGACGAGAGTAGAAAACACATGACTGACCGCAAACGTTCATCAGACCGATCAAGAGAACCTCAGACTGTTGGGTCAAGATACCTTTCCGGACTCCACGGAAACTTCAGAAGTCTGGGAGGACAGAGTCGGCATCTTCTTCTTGGTGAACCGTTTTGTAGCCAAGAAGGTGACCAGAACCACCAACGCCAGCAAGACTAGCACCACAACTACTGATCCAGCAACTAGATTTATTAGCAGGTGATTTTTGGGCTCAGGGCCTGGATGGAAAAACAAAATAAATGCATATTATAAAACAGAACATTACAAACACACTGCAAAAGTTTTAAAGCACCAATAACCAAACCTGAATGTGATCCTTTAAAATGTTCTTGGCCAGTCTTCAGGCTTTCTAAACGTTGAATCGTGTTTTGTTCCTGACCGTGACGGTTTATTTTGTGGTCTATGCTTATAACAAGGGAATTGCACGAGCGGAGGGCAAAAGAAGAAGTGTCAGGTCTAAAGAATAAATCTATCGGAGGGAAAAAGAATTAAAAAATCCAGCAAAGTTCCAAAAACAGGACCTGAAAATTCATAATCCTCAAGCAGATTTTCAGGTTTTCAGCCAATATCTCTTAGAAAACTAGCTTGACAATGCTAAGATATTATTTTATGTGTCGCCTCAGGTTTTTGCCATGCACTCAGCTAAAGAATTGGAAACATGTTCCCTCATTTTCACAAGACTAAAGTAACAAAGAGCTTAAACGTACAATTTAAAACAGGATCTGTGCCGAGCTGATTTGTGTTGACACAACGATGAATCATCATCAGGTTCAGGAGACTGTCTCAGTGATTCATAGGTTAGTGTTAAGTGTTTTGCTCTCTTGAATGTCTCATTCACCCATTATTGCAATAAGCGTGCAGTGGACCTTAGTATAAATAAATGCCTTGTCAATCATTCTCTGTGGAACAAAAGCTCTGGCGCAACTGTTTCAGGAAGTAGAGAGGGGCAGAAAACGGCAGGATTTGGAGCCTTCCTCATTAATATTCACAATATTCAGACGTCTCGCCTCTGATTGGCTAACAGCAAAGAGAGTCTTTCACTGCCTCCATTTGCTCTGATGTTTTACAAATAAACAAGCCTGAAGGAGTTTTGCCATGCTTGGGAAAAGCTAATGCTATCAGTTAGCTTCTACTAGTTGAGATGTGCTCTGCTTTTTCATGGCTGCAAAAAAAAAAAATCTGCCTTCCGCGTCACGAGCCAAGATGGGTGAGCCGATTAATGCAACTACAGAGATCCGTCCAATCCATTATTTATAAAATTAAAAACACTAAAATTCTGTGATCTGGTGGACTACAATATTTGAAAATGTATGTATAATGCAAACACAGGGTACACACCTGCAGGTTTAATCAACAGATTTACAAAAAGACATAGCAAATATCATTTAAAAGGACATGAATTATTTAATATACCTAGACATAGGATACTCATAAAGGAACATTGTGTGCCCATATATGGAGTTAAATGTGGAATAAATTAAATACTGAAATCAAGAATGCAAAAACAATATTGACTTTCAAAAAAGAGATAAAAAAAATGAAATTATTAACTTATATAGACCTGTTACATAAACGCGTGAGGGGAGGGGGGTTGGGGGGGGATGAAAGAAAAAAAATAAATAGAGGGAAAAGGAAACAAGTGTATGTATGCATATGTGTATATATGTATGTATATAGGTATATAACTTTATGCTTCTTTCTGTGTAACTTGTTTTCTCTTTTTTTTTTCAATTCATGGGTTGAGGTTGTGTCGGCCAACCAGTCCAGAAACGATATTGTTCAAATTTTTTAAGAATCATATGATAGTTTCATTTGTATTAATGTTATTTTAGTTTAAAGTGGCAGGTAACATATGTTTTTCTTCTTTCTGTCCCCTTTTTCATTTTGGCTGTTAGCATTTAGTTTTGTATTTTTCTTTTATTGTCAATAAATGAAAATAAAGTTGAAAAATAAAAATTATTGGGTGATAGATCTGTGTGGCTTTTTCTGACCCGATGCAAGGCATCAATGCTAACCAGTGCACCACCGTGTAGCCGTTTTCAACTTGTAAAAAATGAAATATAATCAGTCACTGTGAGTTTACCGTGCACGCTGATAGGCTCCTACACCTATCTCCTGTATTAGCTTCTGATCGTGAATTGCTAGAATTTGAAAATCCTGACAGATCTATGTCACACTGTCACTTGACATTCATGGACTCACCCATCTTGACTCGTGACGGAAAGGGTTTTGTGGTTTTAACATCCAGGAAACAGTAGAGAATGTCTCAACTAGCAGAAGCTAACCTTTAGCATTAGCAACTCCACCACCCAGCAGAACTCCTTCAGGCTTGTGTTATTTGTGGAGATAAAACATCAGCGTTGCAGAACAGAGTCAGTGGTAGAGTCCCATTATGGTTATCCAATCAGAGGGGAGATGTCTGAATATCAGGAAATAAGACTCCAAATCCTGCCGTGTTCTGCTCACCTCCGCTCTGGCTAACTTCCAGTTCTGAAACAGGAGCGCTAGAGCTTTTTTTTTTCCCCACAGATTTCGACGCACAAGGCATTCATTTATTCTAGAGACCACTGCAAATGTGGTTCAAAACCGAGTGAACTTGGTCTTGAAAGAATAATGGAAAACTCAAACGGTGAACACGGAAATATGGCAAGAGAAGAAACAAGTGCGTCATGTCACCTGGTTGGCGCTCACCTTCTGTCGCCACTTCCAACATGCAGTGTTGTGAGCAGCCTGTGGTACAACTGTGGAGGATAAAGAGGATGTTTCATTGCACCAAGGAGGAAGTAGCATGTCTTCAGAGGAAGTGATTAACGCAAAGGCTGACATGTATTTTTTTTAACTCCAGCTTTCTGTAGCTCTGGTTTCAAAGTTCGACTACACAGAAAGTTGAGCTGAACCAGTCACTGTCCCAGTAACTCAGAAAGATTCTTATGTTTATGCAAACCAGGATGTAAACATGACAGAAATATAGGAAGTTTGAGCTGCAAGTTTTTGTGCTTCCTTGTTTGATTTGTGTCAAACATCTTCGACTATAAGAACCAAAAATAAAAACACTCAACGCAGCATTTTAGGAGAAGATAAGAGAGGTCATTATACGCTAACAGACTTTTAGTAGACGCGAATAAGAAAGGTTTTTTTTTAGCGAGTCTCAAGACGTGTGTGTCATAACTTCTCTCCTGTATTGCTAACAAATGGAAAGCTTGAACAAAGTCGGAAGTGAGCTGCAAGTTTCATTTCTACAAACCAACTTCCTTAATTAAAATGTTACAAAAAAACCTTCCCAAACTCGAAGATGGAAACAAAACGAGAACCAAGGACTCGTCGGACAGCGATGCACTCACTTCCTGCAAGGTTCACACTTGTTTCTGACTCTGTAGAAGTTTTCCTTACAGCCACACACGGTGTCTCTCTCTCGAGTACCTGTGAAAACAAAACTGGCTTTACCACGGAGTGGTTGTTTAATTTATTACAGAAGAATCTTTAAAGACTCACATGCATGCTCCTCCGTTTCATCTGGTTTGCATCTCGAACACTTGAGGCACTCAACCGTTTCACTGTCAATGTGGTTTTTGTAATAGCCGACCTTACAGCCACAGATGGTGTTTTGAGCTGCTCTACAAGGTGAATCCTCAACTTCATTTCGTGCTGCTGCAGAAAAGTTGACAAAATTAAAGCTTTTACAGCTAATCTGATGCTGTGGAAGCTGAGAAATGAAGTCTGGAGAAGTTAAAGTCACACCTCTGCAGGTTTTGCACTTTCTGCACTGGAAAGCGTTGTTTATCTGGTCGGAGAACTGCCGAGCAGGACAGGGTGTGCAATTACTTCTGTGACCTTCACTGTGACACTCTGCAACCAGCTTAAACCCTGAAAACAAAATGATCCCACAGAAGTAAACGCAAAGTCAGAATTCACATTCTTTACAGGTCCCGTCACGTGTAAAGGTTACCTGCAGGACATTTGTTGCAGCATATTCCATCTTTGTTTTCGTAGTCACCGACTGGACACTTGGGTGTAACTAAGTTGAGCGTAGCGGCAAAGATGAATGTGAACTGAAAGTAACGATAAACAATGAGCAGGAAAATGAAGGCAGGGTTTCCCACTAACATGCATTTGCGTCTTAAAAATTTTTTTTCACCTCAAAGAGCAGGAGGAGGATCCTCAGCCTTCCTGCCATCATTTTGGACTTCAATTCAATCCATCTGGAAGAATAAACTAGAATTTAAAATGTTTAAATTACAAAAGAAAATCTTGTGTGTGTATTACTGGTCAACCGATGCGTTTTTTTTTTTTATTTCCGATACCGATGTCGATATGCAGGAGGCATGGTTAGCTGATGGCTGATGTGTACTGCAGATTTTCATGGCCGATACCTGGATGTTTTCCATGCTAAAATGTCACTGATGACATCAGTTGATGCACAAAATTTCTGAAGCTGAATCAGTTTTAAACTCTAAATTAAACTAACTGCTCATTATTAACTTTGTGCACTGCTCTGTGTTAAAGTCAGACACCTAAATAAAGTTAGTTTGGAGCATTTATTGTCATTAGTGAGCACAAAAATACATTTAAAGGTGCATTATGTAGAAGTAAAAATGACATCCTGTGGTAAAATGTGGTTAGTGCAACCACTTTAAACTACTCTGTAGCTTTTTGCCGGCTGCCGTCAAATTACAATCGTCGGCGCTACAGTATTAGCTCACAGGAGACACGGCAACTCCACACTCACTGATGGTAAACATTAGTTACGTCCCTACTTCTGTTGTTTTGAAAGGAGACAAACGTGACAATCCACGCAGCCAGCTGGATATGAATTGATAATGATAAATGACCCGCACTTGTATATCGCCTCTCAGAGGTGGGGATGAGCTACAATGTAGCCACAACTGCCCTGGGGTGCACTGACAGAGGCGAGGCTGCCGAGCACAGGCGCCACCGGTCCCTCCGACCACCACCAGCAGGCAAGGTAGGTTAAGTGTCTTGCCCAAGGACACAACAGCAGAATTCTCTGTCCGGAGCTGGGATCGAACCGGCAACCTTCCGATTACTGGACAAACCGCTCAACCCGTTGAGCTACTGCTACCCCTAATGACTGAATGAAATATGTTCCAGAATAACTTTCCTTCCAAAATGACAAACATTTCTCGTTTGGGATTTTCTCACTGAACAACTCTCACTATATTCTTACATACTGCACCTTTAAATAAAATTCTGCAACAACGTTGGACTGCCTGAGGATGTGCCCGACTTTAAATCTGCTTTACTAATGACAAATATAGGCCGCTGCTGATGTATAAATACAGTAAATATCGGCCCGATACATCGGCTCACCGATATATTGGTCTACCCCTAGTATGTAGGCATTTAGATGTGAAGTTCACTTACTTAAATTCAAAATGAGCATTCAGGACAAGGTTCACTTAGAAACCATTTTTACTTGTTGTTTTGGAAAACGATCAGTCACTCAGAGTTGAACATGCAAGCTGAAGATGAAAACAGTCTTCTACCCCTCTTTCCTGCATTAGCCGCTGATAGAAAATAAGACGCTGAAACTCTTCGAATTAGAAAATCCTGACAGATCTACGTCACACTGTCGCTTAACATTCATGGACTCACCCATCTTGACTCTTGATGTGGTAGGCTGTTGTTGGTTTAGCGTCCAAGAATCAGCAGAGAACATCTTGGCTAGTGGAAGCTAACCATTAGCATTAGCAACTCCACCACACAGCAGAACTCCTTCAGGCTTGTGTTATTTGTGGAGATAAAATGTCAACATTGAAAAGCAACCAGAGTCAGTGGTAGAGTCATGTTGCTGTTAGCCAATCAGAAGTGAGATATCTGAATATCAGGAAATAATACTCCAAATTCTGCTGTGTTCAACTAATCTCTCCCTTGACTTCTAGTTCCTCAAACAGGAGCTTTTTTCCCCCAGAGTACGACTTACAAGGAAGTCGACTTACAAGGAAGTCATTCCTAATATAAACCACCGTGTATTAAAATATGACTAAAGTCAACCTTTAAAAATGGAGAAGAAACAGGATGTTTCAATCAATCAGTCCATCAGGTTTTATTTATATGGCGCTTTCCACCACCCTCAAAGGGGGCCCAAGGCGCTGGACAAGTAACAAAGATAAAAGTAGCAAGTCATAAAAACATTCAAAACAAATAAGAACATAGACCTTTATGAGAACAATAAAATGCCATTGAGATAAAATTTAGATAAAAGAAAATTAAAATTCATTAGTTAAAAGAAAGCTAAGAACAACAAAATTCAAACCAGAAACCAAAAGCTTTAGGAGAAAGCCATCCTATAAAAATGAGTCTTCAACCTGCTCTTAAAGACTGCCAGTGATGGGGACTGTTTGATTGTGACTGGGAGCTGGTTCCAGAGAGAAGGTGCAAGGACTTGAAAAGCCCTATCACCACGAGTCTTAAATCGGGTGCGAGGGACCTGGTCAGCGGACCGTAATGACCTTGAGGGAACATGCTTTATTAAGAGCTCCACTAAGTAGGTGGGGGCACTGCCTTGGAAAATCTTAAGACACAAAAAGCAGAATTTTAGACTGTGCCCGGTATGAGACTGGGAGCCAGCGAAGAGAATCCAGCACTGGAGAAATGTGGTCCCTTGTTTTCATGATTCTGCTGGTCTACATGGATTTCCCCCCACAACCATTTCTAGGAGAAAAACAGTAGGGCTGTAGCGAAGCCTCGATGATGTAGACGTCTCGATTCTAAAAATTTGTCGACGTCAGATCCGGTAGTCGACGCACCACGCCCACTTGTTGCATCCCCAGGAGTTTGTAAATAGAGGTGGAATCTGCCTGTTTTTCCTCCAGTTCGCCCTCTTCTCCGCCTTCACTAACATCTCCACCAAATACAGAAGACCCAGAACAACGTATTCCTTTCCTGTTTTGCCCGCCTTCGTCTCCCGGCAATGGACAACAACTTCCGGGGTCAGATGCGCTGCTTCGTCTCTATCGCAGATGTAGAAAATCACCGGGAGCGTTTCTCCCTTCATAAAGGAGCTTCTTTCAGACATTAGGAGAGCTGTTTTTGTGGTAGCAGTCTCTCCTCCGTGCTGGTCTGTTTGCTGCTGGGTGTTTTTGGTTTATTTAAACTTGGTAACTTGAACTTAACGTTGGTACAGCTACTGTTAGCATCTTCGCTAACAGCTTCTTGCGTTTGGATAAGCTGTTACGTTTTGGTTTAGAGTTCATCTTTTTTGTGGTGCAGATCTCCCTTTTATTCCATTTAGAGTGTTGTGGGTTTTCGGTTTAGTTTAAAATATCACCTTGAGTTTGGTTTAACCGCCCAGTTTAGAGTTTGGACCTTTGGAGATTCTTATTTTGGTCCAGAACCCTATAATCTTTGCCCAGTGGGACATCCCTACTTATTTGTACTTTGTTTTAATTCCCCACAGGCAGAATTAAGTTTTATTATTCCCAACCGGTGGATGGAAAGATTTATGTTTTTTTTTGTAGTTGTAAATAAATCTGATCATCATTTTAACTTTTAAATCCCGTGTTATTGTCCCTTCCTTTTTGCACACAAGCCAAACTCCCCAGGAAGGGTCGTAACACCACTCGCCTCACGCACATAAGTGACCAAAACAAAGCAGCATGGAGACACTCCATCTCCAACCACCTCTCAGGCAGCAGCCTGCACTCCCACGTTCTACACGTCACCAGAACACAACCAATCGCAACACAATAAAAGCAGTGTTATACAAAATGGAAGGCCTGTAGTGTTTATTCTCTTACAGTAACAACTTATCAATTTTTTGAGGAATTTATTAGATTTTTTTTGTTTTTATTAACTGTGCAATAGAAATTTAATCATTAGATTAATTGTCTAAATAGTCATTAGAATAGTTGACTATTCGATAAAATAATCGTCAGAATAATCGTTTTAAAAATAACCGTTTACCCCTAGCCCTAAAAAACAGATAATCCCAGTGAGCAGCAGCTGTGTGGTTGAACAAGTCTCAATGATGTCAGAGGTCAAAGGGGAAGGGCAGACTGGTTTGAGGTTATCAAAGAAGATCAAATGGTCACTAGTTTCAACAAAGGTCAGTAAACAACATGTTGAACCTTGAACCACAGCGGGTGTCACACCTGTCAGGTAAAAACAGGAAACTGTAGCTACACATATCACAGGATCTATTCAACCATAGGAGACGGGAAAAATGTTTCCCCAAGTCTGATGAGTCTGGATGTCTGCTGCAACATTCAGATGCTAGGGTCAGAATTTGGTGTCATCATAAAAACATGGATCCATCTGCTGCTGGTGTAATCATGTGGAGATGTTCTTGTCCAACTTATTAGCACCAATTGAGTATTGTTGCTGTCCATCTTTTATTACATGGACCCATTTTCTGATGTCTACTACCAGCAGGATAATGCACCATGTCAGCAAGCTTAGATCACCTCTGACCGAGTTCACTGGACTCTGATGGCCTCTGCAGTCACCTGATCTCACTCCAGTCCAGAACCTTCAGGATGTGGGAGAACAGGAGGATCTAACTTTGTGACGATGTCACGATAATATGGACCAGAACCTCTGAGGGATCTTTCCAAAAATTCAATCTCTGACATGAACATTTAAGAAGGTTCTGAAGGCAAAATGAGGCCCAACCCGTTTACTAGTAAGGCGTACCTAATAACTGTGACTAGTTTGGGGGTTTTCTTTTACAAAAAGGCTTTAGGGTTTGACTTTAAAGTTATCTATGATTCTAGTTTTGGTTTTATCAGTTTAACCTGTTGCTGCTGACCTCTGACCTGCTCACTGGACGTTTGATTGAACACAAACTGTGCTGGAATGTAATGAATGTACTTTGGCTCTGAGACAAAGCCAAACTGGACATTCAAAAGAATAGCACCCAGTTTACCACCTCGATTATATCAAAAGAGGAGGTTCTCGGTTACTAAGGATTTTATTTGAATATTAAATACACACGAAACCATTTTCCTGTTTTGAAGCAAATCAGGTGATATCATCGACTCATTCTGGGTTTAACATAATAATAATAAATGTTATTCTAGGGTGCCTAAAACCCAAGGTCACTGCACAGAGATAAAAACAGAAATAAGAACATTCAAGCAAGCATTTACAGTTACAAGTGAAAGCAAAGGGAGTGTTTAAGAGCTACAATCAGTTAAAATCACTATCTAAACGTGTATTTGCATGCATGATGTCAAATATTCTGACAAAAGATGTTACTCAAGTGACACCATCCGTTCACAAACAACGTGACTTTATAAAAATAAAAAATAATGAAAAATGTGATCATTTTTGTTGAGTTTATTGTCATTTTCCCCTCTAATTCTTTTATTTAATTATTTATGGTTCAGTTTCCGGAAACATCCGGTTGAGGTGAGATTTGTTTTCCCCTAAGAGGCTTATCAGATAAAACAAAAATAATGTAACAAACAAACTGGATTTATTCCCCTAACTACACAGGAGGCATTAAGATGCATCATTTAAACGCATTTGCTAAAACGTTTGCGATTATTTTTTTTGCGTCAGTCACATTTTTCTGCGCCACTTTGGCAAACTTCACTTCCCTGTCGCGCTGGAACTAAACCCCTGATCCAGGCTGACGTTTCACTTTAAAATCCCCGAGACTCAAATCTCTCCTGCGGACGAATAAACAAACTAAATTATTAGTCGAATCTAAATCTGCTCAAGACAATGTTTTTCTTTCTGAATTCATAGTTTCGGTTCGGCACCACATATGCCTCCCCCCACCCCCCCGGTCTGAGATGAGTCTGCTCTTCCCACAGACCTACGCGCGTGTTTTACAGTTATTTACCTGAACAGCTGCGCTCACAGGGACGCTTTCACCTGTCTTCTCGCTCCGAACATCGGCTAGAAGCTGTAGGATTTAAAATAGTGCTTTATTTGTGTTCCCGGAGAGCCAGCGCGCTGTCGGCGCCGCAGCCGCTGCCTGGATAGAAGAAGGCGGACTCAAACGGGAAATAGATGCGTCACCGACGCGTTTCAAGGAATAGTGGCAGTTGGGCAAGGAACCTGAAGAAAACCAACCTGTTTAAATGAGCAATAGGCTGCAGGCTGGAGACTCGTTTATAGTGAAGTGTTTTATTGTTTGATGGTTGTTCTTTTTTGTATTTGTGGCATTTTATGATCTTTAATGTGGAAAAACTGAAATCCTGTAATTCTGCCTTCTTCTGTCCATCTTTATATTGACAGCTTTATTTTCTACCCTCTGCTGAGATCTGACCTCCTCAGTGAAATGCCCTCAAGCTGCATTATGCAACTCCAAATTCATGCTGCTGATCTTAATCTTTTTCTTTCTTTTATAGATCTAAATGCAGTGGCTTTACAAACCTTTCCTAAAAATGATTTATCTTCCCATCCATCCATTCATTTTCAGCAGCTTTTCAGGGTCAGGCTGTGGGAGCAGCAGCCTAAACAGGGTGCATGGTTCAAACTTCCCTTTCCCCTTGGGCCAGCTCCTCCGGGGGAATCCCAAGGCGTTCCCTGACCAGCTGAGAGACATAGTCCCTCCAGCGTGTCCTGGGTCTTCCCTTAGGTCTCCTCTCGGTTGGACGTGCTCAGAAAACCTCACCAAGGAACTAGATGCCCGAGCCGCCTGAACTGACTCCTCTCAATGTGGAGGAGCAGCAGGTCTACTCCGAGCCCCTCCCAGATGACCGAGGTTCTCACCCTATCTCTAAGGGAGAGCCCAGCCAGGCAGCCACCATGCGGAGAAAACTCATTTCAGCAACTTGTACCTGTGATCTCATTCTTTCGGTCACCCCTGAATGATTTATCTTTACTTTTTGGAAATAAAATCAACCAAAAAGACCTGCTTAGCACTTTTACTAACACAATATATTGCATTTGTATTTTTCTAAATGTGCCACAAGGTGGATCTCTGAACCTAAAATGAATTCAAATCTTTTCTTCTTTAAGCAAAATAAAAATCTGAAGAAACAAACAAAAATCGCAGTTTCAATGCATTTTATTTGTAAGATCAACACTGAATGATTAAAGGTCAATATAAATGGATTTAGTGGGTCATCTTGTGGCAACGTTGTGTACTGCAACTGAGCAAACTCGTTCTTTATGTATCAATAAAGTGTTACAGCTGTGAAGGAAATATAATATATATACGTGTATATATACACATATATACATATATATGTATGTATATATGTATATGTATATATATATATATATATATATATATATATATATATATATGTATACAATATATAAACATACACATATATATACATACATATACATATATCTATGTATGTATGTATGTATATATATGTGTATGTTTATATATTGTATACATATATGTATATATATATATATATATATATATATATATATATGTATACAATATATAAACATACACATATATATACATACATACATACATATATATATGTATATGTATGTGTATATATATATATATATATATATATATACACACATACATATATATACACATACAAATGTATATGTATGTATGTATGTATGTATATATTATATACATATATATATATATAATATATAAACATACACATATATATACATACATACATACATATATATATGTATGTGTGTGTATATATATATATATATATATATATATATATATATATATATATATATATATATATATATATATATATATAAACATACACATATATATACATACATACATACATACATATATATATATATATATATATATATATATATATATATATATATATATATATATATATATATATATATACACACACTTTTTTTTCAATCTTTTATTTTCATTTATTGACATTAAAATAAAAATACATTCAGAACTAAATTGCTGCAAGCCAAAATGAAAAAGGGGACAGAAAGAAGAAAAACTTATGTTGTCTGCCCCTTTTAACTAAAATAACATTAATACAAATGAAATAATCATATGATTCTTAAAGAAATTGAACAATATAGTTCCTGGACCTGTTGGCCGACAAAATCTCAACCCATGAATTTGAGAAAAAAATAGAAAAAGAAAATAATTTACACAGAAAGAAGCATTAAGTTATAGATCTATGTACATACATATATACACATACGAATACATACTAGTTTTTTTTCCTTTCATCCCCCCCACCCCCCTCCCCTCACACATTTATGTAACGGATCTATATAAGTTAATCTTTTTTTTAATCTCTTTTGTGTGTGTGTGTGTATATGTGTGTGTATATATACATATATATATATATATATATATGTATTTTTATATATGTATGTATATGTGTGTATATAGATAGATAGATAGATAGATAGATAGATAGATAGATAGATAGATAGAGCAGATAGCTCATTATTTGTAAAACTGTTGATTTTTGAAACAAACTAAAAAGCGTGTATGTAAAGTAACTGTAACTGAATTATATTGTTTTATTTTGTCACAAAATGTTGAAAAAGTTAAAGAGCAAGTTCACTGAAAAACCATTACTTACCTGTTTTGTTTTAAATGCTATCAACCACGCAAGCAGAACGTTGTCTTTTCATAGACTCGCCCATCTTGGCTAAAGACAGGGAAGGTTGTTGTTGGATTAGCATCCAGGAGAGAATAGAGCACAGCTCAGCTAGTAGAAGCTAAACGTTAGCATTAGCAGCTCCACCACACAGCAGCACTCCTTCAGGCTTGCGTTATTTATGGATATAAAATATCAAGATTGCAAAGCAAGTGGAGTCAGTGGTGGAGTCACGTTGCTGTTAGCCAGTCAGAGGTGAGATGTCCAAATATCAGGAAATTAATCTCCAAATCCAGTCGTCTCCTGCTCACCTCTGCTCTGGCTCTCTTCCTGAAACAGGAGCCTTTATACTAGAGACCACAGCAAGTGTATTAAAACATGAGTGAACTTTGTCTTTAAAATGTTTATAGTGTTTTCTGAAGTCTAGTTTATATTTCTCCGTCCGTCACTGAAGGAGTACAAAGATATGCAGCAAAAGTTGTATTCATGTCAGGAAACTGAAGAAACGTGAGTTTAGAGGTAGTGACTGGATGAAGAGGTGGGAGACAAGTGTGTCCATGATAAAAAGGCTCTGAAATACATTAAAACATATTAAACACACTAAGCATAGCTGCATTTACAGAAGGAAACACCATAAAAGCACTACGCCCTCTGCTGTCGTAGCGGAAAACTGCTTTACAACTCTGACACACCAACAGAGAAGTGTAAAAGAAAATACACGCACTCCATTGATGCACGTATTTGTATGTGCAACGTAGCTGATGGACAAGTATAAGCTAGGTTAGCCTTTACAAGAGCAAACTCTAGTCCATAACCTGCCCTGCACAGAAAGCTAGGGACAGAGTCGTCTCAGGGGACTAGAGACACAACTGTTGACCAGCGTGTTAAAGGTCACAACTAGAAGACCAGCTCCAAGCACCTCCATGTTCCTCTGGAAGAGGAACATTGGAAAATATGAGTAGAAAACCAAATAACCCAGAACAACTTTCAAAGAGATTAGAGGTGAACGCCAAGGCCCATCGGTGTAAAATCTCACCAGAACACAGCTGAGGAGGATACCACTGCTGGAAGCGAGCCACTACAATGCAAACTGCAATTTTCCTGAGTCCGTGTTGACAAGCAACAAAGGTTCTAGGAGAATTTCATATGAAGAGATGATACAAAGCTGCAGCTTTGGCACAGTTTCAAAACTAAAATCACCCATAAATGGATCTGAACCAAACATCGGACCGTCCTGAAGTGGTCTTCTATGAGTCTTGATCAGCAGAAGGAGCTGAAACATCTGGAGAAGGCACCCTTCAGACCTCAGACAGGAGCACGAAGTTGACTAAAATACCTGTAACTAAAAATAAAGTTGAGGTTTGAATTTTATTAATTCAGTTTTAGAACAGCCTCAGATTTTTTTTAATAGATTATAGTTTATTATTAGCTTATCATCACTTTTGTCAGGTTAACTCAGTTTTTCTTTTACAGAACAACTTTTTCTGTGTGTTTAAAAGACATCTAAACATTTCTGTTACTAGAACTTTTCATCATGTTCCAAAATACATATCAGCATTCTATCCAGTAAAGGCACGAGGTATCGTCTGGTTTAATCTGCTTCCTGTTGGATCTTTATAGTAAAACTGTAAACTGATCAGTCAGAGGTGTCATCTCCCACATCCTGTTACGACATGACACAAGCTCTATATCGTCGTAGCGACCGTGGTCTCCTGTCAGCGTGTTGTTGAGCACAGAAAGAGGCTCATTCAGCAGAGCTGTACACATGCTTCCTCTGGAAAACCACTTCCTACCTTTCAGGTGATGAAACTCAGAGACCGGTCTCAGTAACATCCAATCAGCACGCGCATACACACCTTCGAGTAAAAATGCAACTCAAGTCCCTTTACAGGGATGCCGTGGGGTATCTGTTTACTTTTATTGCACAAATGTCAACATGCACCTGGTAGAGCTTTGCCAGAACTAAGTTCTGTTAAAATGGGCCAAATGTTATGGTCAAGCAGTTGTAATACCGAAACCTCAAGATAAGTACAGCTCTGTCGGTTGCCGCTCAGTCATCCCTCGTTTAATCATCTCTGGACTGTGGCGGAGCGATGCTGCTCTCTTTGGGGCCCCGTGGCAGTCTGTACCCCCCCTTCAAAACTCTGAGGCTCAGCTCATTGTTAAAATCAGGTCACGTGTTGAGGTGTGCTTCTGAGAATAATTAGCTCATGCATACATTCATCTCATTCTGCGCAGAATGACAACGAAGCTCAGCTTGGCACGACAAAAACCAAACGAAAAGGTTGCCGAGCTATTTAAAACTGTTCAGAAAGAGGTTAGCACCAATGTAAATCCCAAAAAGGCTGTGAAGCATTCAGAACGCTGCTGCTAGAGTAACCAAGAGAACCGAGCACATCACTCCTGTTCTTAAATCTCTTCACTGGTTACCAGTAAACTACAGAATCGATTTCAAAGTGCTTCTACTAGTTTATAAATCACTCAGTGGC